CGTGCTTGCGCAATGCGCACTCACACCTCGATTAGAATACACCGCGAGAGCGCAGCTTTCGAGCTGCAGCCGCGACTTCGGTCGCTCGCTCGCGCGCTGTGCTTCTCGGCGAGCGCGAGTTCTGTCTGTCTCTCTCTCTCTCTCTCTCTCGACTTCACCACGGACTATCCGCGGTAGGGCAGTCCCCTCGAGACGCCTACGTTATCGACCGAGAACAAAGTGGCCGCGTGCAAGATCGACGATCCAATGTCGATCGGCACTCCGGCGCAGCTCTCGCCCTTATCAACTTGCTTCTGCGATTTCGCAGAGCGCGAACCCCGATTCGGCGAGCGCGATCGTCCGATTGGCCCGTGCGAAGCGGTGTCGATCGATGCTGCCGTCACGGCTACGAGCAGACGAGGTGTGCTCCCTGATCGCGCCGACACCGTCGAATAATAATAGCGGCCGAAAAAAGCCGCGGATTCGTGCGCGCCGAGGAGCAACAACCTCGCTCGGCTGCTCCCCGCGCGGCACGCGCTCGAGCGAGAGGTCACACCTCCGCTCTTTCTCTCTCTCTCTCGCACGCTTCCGCGTCGATACGTCTCGGCCTAAATCCCATCGATCGGAAGAATTGGACTAGCGGCTCTTTTTGCTTTTCTTCCTCGCCACCGTGGCTCCGGGGCGCACGCGATATGCTCGCTGCGAGGGTGTGAAAGCTCGGACGATCCGCGAGCGTTAACGAGCGCGGAAGCAATTGACCCCCAAATTTACTGCGGGCACAATGAAAAGTTGGCCGACGCACTCCGAGCCGATCGAGATTGAGTACCGGGGCCAGTCGGTAGTATTTTTCGGCATGCGTGCTTTCTCTCTCTCTCATCTCTCTCTCTCTCTCTTCTCTCTCTCTCTCTCTCCTCTCTCTCCTCTCTCTCTCTCTCTCTCTCTCTCATCTCCGACTCTCTCTCTCTCTCTCTCTCTCTCGCTCGCTCGCTTGGGCTATCGGCTGCGCACGCGGGCTGAACGGTACGCGCGGATATTTGCCACGCGCTTATCGGAACCGTGGAGAGCTGTCGACCGATCTGCTCGCGATCGAGGCCGACGCGGAAAAGGCGAACCCGTTCGTTTGTGGAGAGTAGCAGGGAAGAGGAGCCGGTGGGCACAGCTAACGGGGACGAGCGAAAAGCCGATCGGAAAAGCCGGTGTCGGCCTCGTCATCGGATTACCTGTTGCCTCGTTCGTTGCTCTCCGCGCGCTACTCTCTCTCTCTCTCTCTCTCTCTCTCTCTCTCTCTCTCTCATCTCTCCACTTAACGTCACGCGCTCGCTTGCCTTGCGTGCGTTCTCCGCGATACGCCGCCACGAATCGATCGCGCGGCTCTAGTCCGACCGCCGGTCGATCGCGAACGCGAGCTCGGGTCGCGCTGACTCGAGAGGACCGACCAATCGAATCGAGCGCGACTCCCGGCGGCTGCCAAGTGCCCAGATCAGCTGGAGGAAAGGAGTCACGTTCGACTGTTCGCGCCTGCCGGTGAGCCGCGACGCTACGAGCGACCGATACGCGCGCGTGGACGTACCGTTAATCGGCGAGCACCCGGCCGGATTTGCGTCGCGCGCGCCTTTCTCTTGCCTTCAGCGCGGAGGCGCTGCGTCGCCTGAGCGTCGAGTCCCCGTCGCTACTCACCCGGTGCTGATGGAAGCGCAGACTGCCGGAGCGCCTAAGAGTGCCGCCACGAATGTTGGCCTGCGCCAGCTCGACCTTCTGGCCGTCGGTGCCGCTGCGCCGCGACAGCTCCGACAGCTCGGCCACCGGCTGCACCTGCAAGCAAAAGGCGACCCGTCAGCGCGTCCTCCTCCGCCCTTTCGCCGCGAACAGCGCGCTCTTCCTTTGGCAACGGTCTCGTGGCGGGAAACGCGCAACGTAGCGCGGGCCGTTCGCTCGCGAGCGATCGTCGGCGCTTTCGCTGCCGCCGAGCGTCACCGTGACGTAAGCCAACGCGACAGCCACGCGAGCACGTTCCTGTGGCTGCCGATAGTTCCCGCCGATTCCACTTTCCGCCTCGTTCCGCGAACGTGGCGCAAACCCGCGGCCGTATCGGCTGCTCACCGAAGCTGTGCACTCTGCATTCGAAAGCAAGTGGCTTGCGAGCACACGAACGCAGACACGTTACAGCGGCTCCCGGCGAAGAACCGTAGACTCGTCGCAACCGAGGAGACTCTGCCGTACGCGCGGGCGCTGCATCCGAGTGTTTTCAATGGGATCGCGGCATAGTGGAGTCCGGTCACGCGCCGCTCGTGCGGCAGGGCCGCCGCAGGGCGGACGGACTCGCGTCGGCGAAGCATCGTCGAGAGCCGCTGCGCCTGCGATCGCGTATCCTTCTCGAATCCCGTTAGCCTCTGCATATCTCGCGAGCCGACTGCAGTGGCGACTGGCGGATCGACCGACGGGCGGCGAGGACGGCGAGCAACCGGTGCAGCGATCGATCGCGCCGATCCCAAACAACGGAGCGCGAAGCCTCGTTGCGCGCGCACGCTCAGCGAAACACGGAACCAGCCTCGCTTGTCGAGCATCGCCGAGTGCTTCGCGCCCGGAACTGTCTCGTCGCCGAGCTTCCGTCGTTTCGACCGTCGACGAATGAACGACGGAGACCTCGAGAACAAGCAGCTTGAAAACATGGATAAGCGGGAGGGGTCCATACCATTTGGCCGGTCTTAAATGAAAATGAAGGGAACAACGGACGCAATTTCTAGTGATTCTAATAGTACCCTCGTTTATCTTAAGGCAAAAGACACGTCTATGTAGCAACATGAAATTTTTCGTTAAGGACCTATTGTATTAAAAATTAAGGTATTGCGTAGAGATTTCGTCAATCAGTAACTTGTAGGTAAAAAAGACACGTAAAACATGTAAAATACACAAACAGGGAAAATCAAGACTAGATATCTTATCACGGTACAGCAAGACCAGTGTAACTTGCTTTAAAGAGAGACAAGTGGCGCCGTAATTAGCAATATAAAATAAATAAATACACGCGTAACCCACAATAAAAAGAAAAAAAGTAGGCAATAGTCAAACTTAAGGGTTTAAGGCAAGAAAGTATTTTCGCACCCTATCCTTGAAGACAGCAAGCGAAGACAAAATCCGTAGAGATGAAGAGAGTTCCATAGGCGAGCACCAAAGACTTGAAAAGATCTAAGTCTCAGTTTTCGCCTTGGAAATGGTAAGCTCCGGCCGTTCTCCCTACCAAAGAAGTCGGGTTTGTATGCAAAGAATAGCTCCGCTAAATATTTAGGCTCTCTCATGAATGATTTTGTGCATAAGCAGAGTAATAGCTCCTGCAAGAAGCATACATCAAATATATAGCGAATGCACGAGTTACTGAGTGCAGTCTAAAATACCATCACGCAGTAATTCAGATGTGACTGGATCAGAGATTCTATCAATATAGGGTAAACTATACAGCACTTTATTGACCTTTTTAGAGACTTGGTCAATATGCTGTTTCCATATTAGTTTGCTATCCAACGTGGCCCCAAAGCTGACAATCTCATCGTTGAAAGCGACCAAAATCCCACCCTGCACCTCGACCCCTGGTCATTCCATACTTTTAGTAGCATCGATGTTTCTTTGTGAACCGCAAATAATTGCTTTGCCCATCGTCTACTCCACCGCCATCTGTGCTACTCAGGACAACCTCGCGATAATTTCCAATAAGTTATCCCTAGCGGAATGCAGATAAATCTACAGGCCTTCGGTAGAAAAAAATGTGGTTTTTAGAACTATGAACTGGGCCTGTTTCCAAACTGTCGAAAAAGACCTTGTGCAAAGAAACAGTAGCCGCCTATAACCGGAAGAACCTTCGCAATCAAGCTGTGGAGTTCGTCATCTACTCCTTTTGCTTGCGAGAGATGTGATACTGCAAGGTTATACCATTAAATTTTATCGATTTGAAGCGAAAACCTTTTTCGCTTGTTACCATTATAACCTTCATCGCATTCGCAATATTTTGAAGAGGAGAGATGAACACTCTCGTAAAATGATCATTCAGTTTAACTGGTATAAACCTATAAAGTTTTTTTTCTTTCCCTTCCTTTCGGCAAGAAACCATGTTTTGGCATTTCTTTCCAAAGATTTTTATCGTTATCAAGAGCGTTTTAAAGTTACTTTTGGAGAAATACGAGCATCAAATTCGTTGCTGAGTTGAAGAAACTCGCCGCCCCAGCGATGCGCTTATAACGTCAACGAGTAGCATTGCGCTTGTAGATCGGTCGTCTAAATCCGGGCCAAACGACGGGGTATATTTCTTTGAAAGGTAAACGTTCTTCAGTAGGGCCAGTTTATTTGAGGCTAAATGTAAGATCGAGTTGAACTTGTTTATAACCCTCTTCCATTAAGATTTTAGAGATTGAATAAATGCCTAGTTACGGTACAAGTGCAGTCGCTTGTGCAGTGTCGCCGTATCATTGCTATCCGTCAGGATAATGTCAATCCATTTCCGTGGAGGTCCAGTACACTACGTTAGTCAATCGTCAATTATCCTCAGAGAGAGTTTCTCTGACAGGCACCTAATCGTCCTTGCATCAGCATCCATCGCCAATGACATATCCGCATTCAGATCCCCCATTATAATCTTGTGACTAGTCACTGCTCAATTATCTCAAGGCAATGAAAAGATCAACGATTTTCTGAATGGTCACTTTGGGTGGCCTGTGAATTAAACCAACTAGTATTGACGACAAGCCATTCCACTTGTCGCTGTAAAAATGGAATTTAGGAGTAGCTGATTTTTCCGACCCTGTCGCTGCAGATGCAGTGAGCTATTGCACCTTAAATTCATCACGTACGTATAGAACAACTCCACCTCCATTGGCATTCCGATGATTTCTCAGCACCGAGAAGTCTTGAATCTGTATAAGAGCGCCATCGCCCACGGATCCAAGCCACGACTCGGCAATCCCAAAAATATGGTAGGAAGGAGAGCGTGCCCCAGAGAGAAAGAGATGGGGAGGGAGGGATAGAGAGAGAGAGAGAGAGAGAGAGAGAGACGAACCAGTTGACGGTCGTCGAAGGTGGATCGCACGATGAAAAGATCAAAAAATGAGTGGCGGTGACGAGATCTGCACCGCTCGACGAGTGCAGGAGCGGCAACGATATCGTGCGAAAGTCATTACGACACGCGGCTGGGATAGTAGGAAGAGAAGCGGGCAACTCCATAATAGTGAAAACGAAACGCACAGCTCGCGTAATACGGCTCGGCAGCGGCAAGGCCGCTCTACTCTTTCCACGGGAGATGCTTATCGAGCGCGGCGCGTAACGAGCGGAAGACGAGCTTCCGACTCGCCTGCTGCCTGTGCGCGCGTAGCTGTCTTCGGCCTCGCGACGCTATCCGCGCCGGCTGCTTTATCGCGGCAATAACGAGCCTTCGCCGCTTGGCCGATCGACGGAAAACAAACCGTGGCGATATCGCGGCCGGACTCATTAAAGCCCACTCGATAATAGTCGCCGCTGAGCATCGCGGGCCTCGTAAAACCGCTTGCTGCGCGTCTGATCGTTTGTTTTCACGGCCCCAAGAGCCGGAGCGCCGACGAAAGACACGATCTGTCCGCGCGGCGGCGGCGGCCTCCCCAGCCGCGTCGATGGATCGGAGAGCAGCCATACCGCACCGATGGATAGCGTCGGACCCCGTCGATCGCCGGCGACGAAAGTGTCGATTAAAAACAATCGGCGGCCAAGGCGCCATCACAATGGACGTCACGCGAGAACTCAATGGACAATGGACGTTCCCTCGGAAACTCATTGCCGTGCGCGCGCGCGTTTCGGCGAACGAACGGGGCCGTCGCGCGCGCGGAGCTTCGATCGAACCTTTAGTCGCCATGGAAATGCCGCGCCGACTGTTTCAAGGACGCGCGTGCGCCACCCTCGCGCCGGCACCTATACGAATATCGCCGCTCGGCCGAGCGGCCATTATTCTTCAAACGGTCAAGGGCCCCGGCGTCGATTAACTCCACCGCAGCACGCATTCTTGCGCTATGCGCGGCATTTTCCTAAGCGCGCCTTTCTCCTTTTCTTCTGCTTTGGATGTGCGTTGCTCTGGCGCGTTCTCTCTCTCTGCGACTCGCTTTACAACAATCGACTAAAAGTTTGACTGCAATCGTACAGAGTCGAAATGTCGGGGATTTAAGTGGAGAAAAAAAGATCGATCGAGAAGGCATGGACGTGAATGCTCCCTCTCTTGGTCGCGACACGCTGCCCGTTTCCCGCTTTGAAAACAACTATTTATCGTAGCGATCCCAGGAATTTGGTTAAGCGCTCGCTCGCTCGCTCGCTCTCTCTCTCTCGTCGAGCCTGCATTTTTCGCGAACCGCACGTATCCCTCCTCTTTCTCTCACTCCGCCCATAGTGTCAATTCGACAATTGCCATACCGCCTCGCACATCCTTTCGTTTCTCCGTCACTCTCTGGAAAAGTGGAGTATCCGGATGTGCAATCGCACGACGCTACCTCGATGCCCCGGAAACGCGGAGTTTGCACGAGCCGCCAGGCCGAAAGACGGAGAGAGGCGTACCTTGACAGTGACGCTGCCGTCGGAGCTCTTGATGAGATCGATGATCTCCTCGCGGCTCTTGTCGTCGACGTTGATGCCGTTGACCTCGATGAGGCGGTCGCCGGGCAGCAGGCCCGTGTCGTTGACGTTGTGCACGAGCGCGCCGGGCTCGGCGAAGATGACCGAGCGCATGTGCGCGACCGCCTGGGCGCTGCGCTCCAGCACCACGGCCCGGCGCAGCGAGAAGCCGAAGTCGAAACGCGGCGCCGGCTGGCGCTGGATCAGCAGCTCGCGCGGCTCGGGCAGCTCCAGCGGCACGATTTCCGGCAGCGCGAGCTCCACGGCGGCCTGCTCCTCGAACGAGCTGCTGCTGCGCCAGCGCGCGAAGCCCTGCGACTCGCCCACCGGTGACAGGCTGAACGGCGGCGTGGCGAACGACGAGTTGGTGGTGTCGGTGAGCGAGTCCGCCGAGGGGCTGGCGCTGGTCGCCACCTGCGGAGCAAGTCTGCCTCGCATCAGGCCTCCCCGGGGCGCGCCGCGCGCACGGGCACTCACGTGCAGCAGCCTGCCGTCCTGCTGGCCAGCCTGGCCGAGCTGCTGCTGCTGCTGCTGCTGCTGCTGCTGCTGCTGCTGCTGTTGTTGCTGAGGGCTGCGGCGCACCGCGCAGCACTCCTCCTCGCTGTAGGCCAGCTGCAGCTCCTCCCGGCTGGGCCGCTGCGCCGGCAGGTTCTGGTAAGCGATCAGCTCGTTCTGCAGGGTGTTACGCTGCAGCAGGTTGTTGCAGTCGTGCTGGCCGTCGGGCAGCGCGCCGTTCTGCAGGGGGCCGCCGGCCGCGGCGGCGGCCTCGGCCGCGCCGTCCGCTGGGCCGAGCAGCGCGCCCACGCCCGGCCGCGGCCCCTTGAGGATGCCGCGCTTGGGAGGCTTGGGCGGCAGCGGCGGCAGATTCTTGCCGAGCGAGCTGAGCGAGGCCTCGGACGAGTCGCTCTGGCCGTGGCCGAGGCCGAGCACCGACGCGGCGGCGCCGGCGCCCGCGCCGTTCACCTCCTCGAGCACGTCGCGGTCCAGCTGGGCGAAGAACGAGGCGCTGTAGTCGGCGGTGATGCCCGAGGGCAGCTTCTCCTTCTCCTTGCGCCGGCCGCGGATCTTGAGCGAGCGCCGCATCTGCAATCGATCGGCCGCCGGCCGAGTCAGCGGCGTTCGGCCCGCGCGTGCACGTGGCCAGCGCGCCGGCTCGCTGTTTACAAACAGCCCCACTCACCTCGTCCAGCCTGAGCAGCTCCTCGGCGGACATGCTGCTGCGCTCGCGCTTCTTCACCTCCTTCTTCTCGCGCTTGTCGCGCTTCCGCTTGTCCTTCTCCTCCTTCTCCGTGGCCTTCTTCATGAAGTTGAACATCTTGGAGGCGCTGCTTTCCCGGGCTGCTCTAGTCTACTCGGCCGACCGGCTGTCCGCCGCGAACATCCTCCCGCTCCCTCGGTCCAGCTGCTGCCCACGTCCAACTACGGCTCTAATCGCGCGCGACCTTCGTCGGCCGCCGCCGACATTCTTCGCTCGCGGCCTGCTGTGTGATACGCTGAGCCAGGCGCTTTATTGCTGCGCTCAGCTGCCCGAACTCGCTGCCTTCTGCCACTTGCTCTGCAATCAAACGCTCGACGGTTCTTTACGACTCCTCCTCCGATTCGTCGCTCGCCCGTTTCATCTTCGTCGAGCGACAACTCAGCGCCAACTCGGCGGCCGAGTATTGCCTGCCTTCCGAGCGCAACCCGTCGCGAGTTATGCCTATTCAGTTGTTTGCAGCCGAACTCGCGCTTTTTCATTCAATAATCGCGCCAAGAAAATGCGCTTGTTTGAAAGCGCTACGCTGCCGAGGACAAAACCACGGTCATTGATTGAGCGCGTATCGACACCCCACATTTCAGCGCTCTCTGCACCGATAAGAATTCATCGCATTAGCCGTTATCGAGGGTACTTACGCAGTGAGAGCTGAAGTAAGCGCTATTTTTACAAGATTAATCAATTTCCTAATTGGCCGGCCGTCCACGATAAACAATGCGCGCGCTCGGCAAAAATATCTCTCTCTTTCTCTCTCTCGCTCTCAGAGCTCAGCAGAAACAACCTCGCGGGGTAGGAATGCAAAAAGAAGGCGGCTGCGGCAAAACGCTCAAGCTTGGCCAAGTAAAAATCAGGTGTAAAGCTGGTAGGTAGACGAGAAAGAGAAAAAGAGACAGACAGATAGACAGCAGCATGTGAGAGGGAGGGAGGGGGAGAGAGAGAGAGAGAGAGAGAGAGAGAGAGAGAGAGAGCGCGCGCGCAAGAGAGAGGTGGTTGCCGCCTAGAAAAACGGGCGTACGGAAGCGCAACAGCTTCTGGGAAAGCACAGAGGAGAGGAGAGATGAAAAAGGAAAACACGACGAAACAAGCTGACCGCGCTGCGCTGCTCGCAATATACAATCGGACATTCGATTTCCCTATCGCAAAAGCAGCAGGAACACGGAGCTAACCTAACCTCTAGCCCGCGGACCGCACACACATTCCTGGCCGCGATGTATCGCAGGTACCGTCCTACACGACGTTCAATTCTTTCAGCTAGACGTAAGACGCCGCCTGCGAGTACACCTTCGACTGCGCTCCTCGCAAAACTAAGCTTTATTTCGATAGCCGCTGCACATATACACACACACACACACTTACACCGTTGATTTGGAACTGCGCACACACCCACGCACTGCAACTGCCTCTCCGACAATGCAGTTTATTGCACTCTATACAGTTACGACGCCCGGCCGACTACACTACGGACGATTCAGCGACACTCGCGCACGCACGACGTGCTACTGCTGCTGCGGCGCACCGACCAGGCGACTGTCATGGCAGTCTGCAACCCTGCCTGCCTGCAGCGCTCGCCCCTCGCCGCGCCTTGCCTCGCCTTCTAATACACATATCCACTCGTGGCTCTCCCTACTTCGTCTATCATCCTATTTCGCTATCTCGCTCGCTCCAGTGCACACCTCGGTTGGAGACTCTTCGACTGGAGTTTGGTCGAGCTTCGACTCACTACTAATGGCTGTTGAATTCGACTAATTACCAAATAATTCAAGTTATTTCGTGGAGAATCGCTAATTTTATTGACTATTTACTTTGACCTAATTTTTACTCTTATAATATCGTTGCGAAATTTTTCGGAAACCTTGATCACATGGATATTGTATCTTTGTGAGCTTTTTCGAGTGTCTTTGGAATTTGATATACAACTGTGAAACAATCGAAATTAGCGCGAGGTTCTATGACAACACTTTACTTTTTATTTTTCATTTATTTGAAGTGGATTTAAATTTAGCGCCATAGTAAGACTAATGGATGACTTCAAAGATGGCGTGTTTGGTGCTGATCTCATTGAAGAGACTACAGCTGTTTTCAGACGGTTTCCCGCAGACGCGCCAGTATGCGTGCACTGCTGCACATGAATACATCGGATTTGATGGAATTTAGTTGCTGTGATGGCGCTGGTACACTCGGTACCGGTTAACAAATCTCAAACAAATTCATGATTAAAAATAAAGATAAAGGTATTAATAGCCTCCTGTCGAACTTTCTTTGTGTCCTTTCATCAATTAGTTCGGTAGTTATTGTAACAATGAGCTTTAAATTTAATAATTTCGTGATATTACTTCTATGCTCATAAAAACTTCGAAACGTGCAAGGCGTGTTTTTCGAGTTCACGACCCATTTTCCACTTTCACTTTTCGCTATTGGATTTAAACTTTCAACGATATTGCTGCTTTATTTTCTAGAGATCGGAGTCTGTGTAATTTCGGAAGTTTAAGACGAATTCAACATAATCAAAATGACGACGTCTTCAGAAGACGTGTTAATGCAAGTAGGCCAAGTTCGCTACAAAAAGGGTGACGGTACTTTGTTCATAATGAACGAGAGAATAGCCTGGATGCTTGACAACAAACACACGTTTTCCGTAAGTCACAAGTACACAGACATCAAATGTAAGTACAATCAAATGTTAGCAAGTTTATTTGATGATTTGAAAAAGAAACTATTTAATGATACTATCTGTGCAGCACAAAAAATTTCACCCGAAGGCAAGATCAAAATTCAACTACAAGTAGTTCTTCATGATGGCCAATCATCAACATTTCATTTTATCAATACAAAAGGAATAGAGGCTCAAATTCAAGACAGGGATCAAGTCAAAGATATGTTGCAACAGCTTTTGCCTAAGTTCAAGAGAGAAATCGATGAGCAGCTACAAGAAAAGAAAAGAATATTGTTGGAAAATCCAGAACTTCAGCAACTGTATCGTGATTTGGTTATACCTAAAATTGTTACATCTGAAGAATTCTGGGAACAACATGCTACACAATATACACACGCTAAAATGGTCCCTCGTCAAGATATAGGAGTCAACAGTGCCTTCCTCGTGAGTTAAAAATAATCTGAATGTTATTTTGGATTTGCAATATTTTATTATATATTTTTTTAGACTGGTATAAAACCTCAAGCAGATGGCTGTAATGGACTAAAATATAATTTGTCAAGTGACATAATAGAATCGATATTCAAAACATATTCCGCAGTGAAAAAGAAACATACTGAGTATGTACCTGCCAAGATGTCAGATGCAGAGTTTTGGGCTAAATTTTGCCAGTCCCACTACTGTCATAGAGATCGTATTAACCTAGGGACCAAAGATATTTTCACTGAATGTGCCAAAATCGATGAACAGGAAATGAAAAAAGACATTCAAGCTGGTATCGATGACCCATTAGTGGATATTAATAGCTTCGACGATGTTAATATGGAAGAGCTGTTTGATATTGGTATTGGAAAATCTGACAAAACCTCTGGCAATAATATCCATCAAAATATGATCAAAAGGTTCAACCAGCACAGTATAATGGTAATGAAAGCTAATGCTACCAACAAAGAATCTGCATCGAAAGAGCAGCCTCAAACAAATGGTTCAACAAATAAAAGTTTAGTAAACAATCAAACCTCGATTGGTCCACCCACTGCAAAAAAAGTTAGTTATTCAATAACAAATAATGAATAATAGTCTTATTCACTTTCTCCCAACAATTTATAATTTTGTTTGTTCGCAGCAACGTGTAAAAGAAAAGATCATACTTGAGGATCTTGACACCAAAAGTGATGTACAAATAAACACTGATCCACCTCTAGTATTAACCCAGGTAGATAGGTACTTGCATGGGCCGGTCCCAAATGCAGAAAATAATCATGATACTAATATAGAACAAGTGAAAACTGTCGCTGTTGAATTAATGAGAGAAGTTAAGAAATGGGCCAATGCTTCATATTTACCACGGCAGCCTTCTAATCTACTGGTCAGTACTGATGCAGCTTTATTTGCCTTGGGAGAACTGAGTCCAGGAGGAGCACTGATGAAAGGGTTCCGGAGAGACAGTCTGGGTCGTAAGTAATCTCTAGATAAATAATGCAAATGCAAGTGATTTCAAACCTTATTGAACGCGTTAATCCTCTATAATCCTCTTATAGAAGCAGTCCCCAAGGATGTTGAAAGGGAACTTGCCAGTGTGTATGTGAGTACGTGTGAATTGTTGAAGCATTTTTGGCGATGTTTCCCACCGACGACACCGCAACTTGAAGAAAAAGTTACGAGAATGCACGCAGCATTGCGCAACTTTCATACTGTTAAACTAACACCATTTGAGGTGACTACCTTTAAAAGAACCCGTACTTTTCTACTAGAATTTTCAATTTATCGAGTTTTTGATTTTTTTCCACAGGATCGCTTGCAACGAGATTATTCCGCTGTTAGTCAGCATATCACAAGCCATCTTAATCAATTACTCGATGCTGCCTATAGAAGATTTGCCCTTTGGCAACAACGACGAGGTGGGCAATTGAGATAGCCTGCAGAGTCAACTGGATTGTGTTCAAACTATGTCGCTTAATATTTATACTTGGCACTTTTATACTTTATTACTTTCGATCGTTTGAACAAGTTGACAAACAATCGTTATTATTTATAAAAAAAGACTTGTGATGTTAAATGTCAATCTTCAGTCGAAAATAACGAAAGAAATGTATAATTTTGCAAAAAAAAATTTACATGGATAAATTTAATGTTTGATAGACATCGTTAAAAGTTCATTACTTTTTCAACTTCATTAGTTCCTTCTTCTGAGAAATGTATAAATGTAAAAATGATGTTTCTATTCTGGAAATTTTTTAAGTGCCCAGATGAAACTGTATTAAATACGAAAACTATTTAAATTAAATAAATGAATAAATAGTACCAATAATGGTTTAATGCACTACTAATTATTATTTGACTTTGAACAATTAAAAGTGCAGTTTCTAGGAACATAATATATGTATAAAAAAAAAACTACGAATAATAACGGCAAAAAATATAAATCTGATCCGACAGAATCCCTTGAAGATAATCTCTGGGGATTATAATATTTTTAATTGTGATGTAGGTCTGCAGGCGAAGGAATTTTCGAGAGATCATAAAAAAGATAGAGCGAAGTCATGAGTTGTGCGGGCGGCGATCAAAGAATGAAAGGATAGAAACCTGTTCTCGGTATAATATTAATGGTCATATAGCAACACGATGGCCATTCGCCGAAATTCTGCAAAAAGCGCGAGTCGGCGCGCCCTTTTCACCGCAGCAGAGTGAGTCTGATAATTGTGAAGCGAGCGCGGTCGAAGCCCCAGGTAGGTTATAAGGAAGGAAAAAAGAAAGAGGAGGAAGGAGCACGCGCACTTGCAACCCCATGCGCACCTGCCTGCCTGCCTGCTAATAGTTAGCGTAGCGGCAGAGCAGTAATCCTTGGACTCTCGCTCTCGCAAGGAAGTCTGTTCCAAGCCTTATATGGCTAATAAACGATTCCCGCCGAGCGTGCTCGGATCGCATCGTTTTGTTCTATGACCGCCGACGCATACCTACTTAAGACAGTTATCGCGTAGGTACGTATCTGTGTACAATACAATTTACCTACCGATCTACGTACTAGTGCGTGTCATTAAACATCAAGGTGCATTGTATAAGCTAAAATCCCGCGTGCATCGCGAGTTCCTGTTCTATTTGAAAATGGATCACCGACAGATGCGTTGCTCCGTAATACATACATAACAACTATGTTTTTGATTGAATGATGCGATAATTTCGGTAATACTAGAATGTATATCCTAAGGATTACGGAAGAAATACGACTGCTATTGATTGACAGATCTGTAAGTAGAATCAGCGCGTGATGTATTAAATATGTTTCTTTTGTGAGCATTCAGTTCGGAGCAAGCCACCTGGAAATCCGAATCGTGGTGTTTTTTTTATTGTCGCATCGCGAGACTTTGATCGTCGTTCAACAAGAGACGATTGGTTTGCAAATTATTCAAAAAGTGCGCTTGCCAAGGCCGGCGTGTGGACTGTGGCGTGCGTTACACGGTGGTAAACAAGAAAAAAGCCGACTGCGGCGAGGCGAAACGAAATCGCAGTCACAGTGCAGATGGCGCGAAGTCTTGCCGTTGCTACAAAAATACCATTCGAGCTACGAGTTGTCGTAAGCGTGAGTGCGAGCGAGCGAGACGAACAGAGCGCAGTATACGGACGAAAGACGAACGGCCGGCGTTCGCCGCCACCGCCACCGTTGCCGCTACGGCATAGTGTTGTTGGCTTAGCGCTGCAGTCATCAGCCGGAGAAAGCTGCTTACAAATAAAATAGGTGCTGAGCACCTCGGCTAGGTGGCGCGTGTCTCTCATTTATCGTGGTGCAAGAAATACAACACATTCAGCCTGCCGCCCTGCGTGTGAGCTGTGCCCAGCAGTGCCGAATTGGTATTGCTCGTCTATCTCACACATACGTGTGGCATATAGGTGGCAGAGAGAGAGCGTTTGTGCGTGTTGTTTGCGCGGCGGCGGCGGTGGCGACAACGGCGACGGAGCATCTCCCCCTCGGCAGCGGCTCGATCGTCGTACACTCAGCAGGCAGCAGTGGATTACCTCGCGCCGTTCCAAATGGAAGCTGGTTGAGCGAGAAAGCGCTATCGATAGCCCTTGTCAAAATGGCAGTGCAAATGCAACAGCAGCGCGAGGACTTTCCAGGATCATCGCGGAGACACTAGGCAAGTGCATTAATCCGTCTCTTTCTCTCGATTTCCATGGCTGCGAAATTGATGTGTACATATATGCGAGTGACGCGAGAGAGCGACGGCTCGTTTACACTTCCGCGACCGACCGAGAATGAGCGAGAGAGAGAACGAGAAAGAGAGAATGAGAGAGAGAGAGAGAGAGAGAGAGAGAGAGAGAGAGAGAGAGAGAGCTGGGGGCCTATTTTCAGACTGGCCAAGGGCAGCTGCTCCGATGCAGCCGAGAGTTCGAGATTCGCGTTTTATAACTTGACGAGACTAAGCGAATGAGAAGAATCCGTCCGTGTGAGCGCGTGTATCTGTGTGAAACAGAGAGAGAAAGAGAGTAAGAGAGCGGCGGTAGGCATTGGCGGGGCGTGTGAATTCGTACGCACGATACAAAAGAGCCAAGAGAGTAGTGTCCGCGAGCAGCGCACGCGTCAGCCACCTACGTGATCGTCGCCGCCACAGCCGATGTCGCCACCAAGAGGATAGTCCTCGAGTGTTCGTCCTCGTAGTAAGTAGGTAAGTGCGCGCGGAACAAGGGCACGCAACCGCGCAAACAGGTTGTCTCGCAGCGATAGCGTAACAGTACTGAGTGCTCTCGCGTGCAGCATGCTCCGAGCGACCGACCGAGTCTGTAAGCAGTGGACTTTAATTGCTCGTCGTTCCTCCTAATTAATTTCTCCGCTGTCGCGCAAACGGCCGACCCGACCGAACGCAGCATAAAACGAGCGAACGAGCCAACGAGCGAGCGAACGAACGAGGGGCCCTCGCTCGTGCTCCGTGGTTGCTCCGTTCTCATCCTCTTTTTTACGTTTCTCGCGTCGGAGCGCTCCGCGAGGGGAGACACCGGAGAGATAGATCGTATTCCTAGCCAGTAAACGTACAAGAACTTTTGGAGGAGAGCGATGACGAGCGAGCGCATTTAAAAAACCTAACCTCTGAGCAGCCAACGACGGGGACACAGATTGTTCGTGTGCCTGTGTGTGGGTGAGTGTGTAAGTCGTGCGAAAAGAATAGACGGTAGTGTGGGTCAATGGTTTCACGCAAAACTGGGGGGCGACAGTTGTCGCACTGTGCGCGGGGGCGGTCCTACCCTACGACTCTGTGTTGTATACAATCGCACACCGCCTTTCTGTATACTGACGAATCCAGAAGCATTTACATAAAGACGCCCGCTCAACGCTGGCAGAGCTTTTTTCTGCGCTCCGATCACGTGCGGCGCTCTGCTTTCGCAATCTTTTCGAAATCGCCGCTTTGTTTCCGCTCCTCGTCCGAGAACGAAAGCTACTCCTGCACGCATTTGATAATGTTTTCAATGTAAACATGATACGACGGTACATATGAAGATGTAATATGAGATAATGGCGCGTGGCAATTGCATTTTCATTATTGGAAATCGTGCGCGTTTGCTGCGTTACATAAATAAAGAAACACAGAGCGCTAGAGCTAGCACCTGCATGTGTCTCTGATTTTTGTTTTGCAATTTTGTGCGTGCGTGCGCGCGTGCGTGCGCGTACGTGCGCGTGTGTGTGTGTGTATGTGTGCGACCCGAATATCTGTCATAATTGGAGATGTTGTCATGTTGTAGGTGTAAATTTGTTGGTGTTGTTCCGCATGCCAAACCCAAATGGTTCTAATGCACAAGTTCAAATGGAAGAAGCATGATCTGCAACACGTTTACCCCAATGAAATAAAGCTGTGCTATCAAAAATTTATCAGTTGATGCTGAAACTCACTGATAAATTTTTCCTGAAATCTGTGGCACTGAGAGTGCCAAACAGGGGGTAAATGGATCCCGTTGGTCCATGGTACACATCTTACAACCGCCTTGCTGCTACCCCGGGTGTCACAGCAACATTCCAAGCCGCAACCCCAACAACTGCAAATGCGGAGGCAGTACTGCACCTGACTCCGGCCACAGTCAACATCCAGGCAGTGCCGTCCACAACCACACCACAGCTGCTGATACAAGCAGCTGGGCCAACCACCGTGACTTTGGCTGGCCAACCGTCTGCTTTTAACACGGGAGGGTTTCTCTCCACGCCAACTGTCAACTATGATGTTTTTACTCCTTTCTTTCATCACTCTAGTCCCAAGCAGACCACCCACTATATTGCTCAACCTGCACAAGCTATTGCTCGAGCACAAGTTGTTACCACTCCAAAACCAAGCTCCCCCACCGAATCAGATATTCCCTCTCTAAGGACTAGTTTCACATCACCACAGCAAAATGACGTAAATATATCAACTCTCTGGGATTGCTTGTCCTTATCAATTTTACTCATGTCTCTCTTTTTTGTTTCTCCTTGCAGGCATTTTTTGACAACCCCCAGAGTAACAGCTCCACTTCCACCGTCAATTGGAGTCTGTCACACCCCAGCAACAGCCAAATCACGAGTCCGTTTGGAATTCTCCCACACGAGAGCGTTGCGGTCTCAACTTCGGCGAGCGTTACTTCCACGACGAAAGCTAACAGTGCTGTAGCCTACGAGAACCCGTTCGCGACGCATTATGCGAGCAACGGAACGACGGGCAGTATCGCCGACTCCAAGAGTAAAGCCCAATCTCCTATTAGCAATAGCAGTAGTACAATTAAGTGTATAGTTACGGAATCGTCGATCCCCGGTGCTCACACGTTTTTCCAAGGGACAAGTGCTTTCGATTCGGACGCTCTCGCGAGTGGTTACACGACTGACGATGCCGCTGTGACGACGCACGCGGTTCAGTCGTCCTTGCATCACCAGTCGTGCATTGTTTCGACGCCAAATGTCGCGCGATCTTGTGTGCCAACGACCATTTATCTGGACGCCACAGCAGCCACCGATAAGCAGACGGCAGCGCAAGGTTTGTTAATTGACTTTTTCGACATCCGTGCTCGAGAACTCGGTTGACACAGGCTCGCGAGAAAGCAAGTATGATCAAATCTCGTTCCGCATAGGTCCTATCGGATAATAAAGTTATAGATAACCGTGCAAGAAAGTGATTTCATTCTCGTGTGGATATGTGCCATACGAGGGTCAAATCATTTTCTCGCACTCGAGTCCAAATGTAATGTTATTTTTTAAATTCGAAGACTTTCATATCGCACCCGGACCTTATCCACGCTATCGGGAGAAAAAGAAAAAAGTAGTCGAAATATCAAAATCGAGTGACGGGTACGGGAGGTGTCGTGTACACTCATTATCTTGTTTGGGATAAGCGGCCAAACGCTGAATCCTTTCTTTAGAGATACGTAAGCCAACTGAAACATTTCCTCACTGTGATAATGCTCTCGTGACGTAGGACCGGACGCAAGCCACGACAGCAGCCAGTCATCGCCCATTAGCTTTTCGATCATGGACTCGAGAAATCTGAGCTACGGGACGAACGGCACCGCAGCGGGCAAGCAAGGTGCCAACGGCAGCGTGCAATTCCACATACTCGGGCAGCAGCCCGGCCAACAAGCGCCATCCTCTTGCCGGCTATACTCGACCGCCAACGCCGACGCGGAGTACCATCACCCGGCGCGCTCCAAGTCCGCCGCTTCGACGGACAGCGCCTACTCGTCCAACACCTCGCAGAACGGGCCCGACTGCGCAGTCGTCGTGCCTCGTAGGCCGTCGCCTTTGCAGGCGCACTCGCAGGCGAGCCCGCTGGGCCACGTGCCCAGCCCTGCCACCTACCCCATGTACAACAGTCCCATGGCAAGCATGTCTTCGCCGTCGCCGTTGCAGCCGCAGCACGCTGACGGCACCACCAGCACGCCCTATAAATCGGCGCCCAGCGTACAGCAGCAAATGACGCCACCCTCACCACTCGACGTCTCCGTCACCAGATCGCCCTCCCAGCAGAATCAAGTGGTTTACTCGTCCGTGATCACAAGGGCGCTCGGTGCTAACGAGAACAAAACTCTGTTCAACAGCACCGACGGTGAGAGCCCGCACTTTAATCAGCTCAAATATTTGCTCGACAAGGTGCGCATTATTGACCTACCATCGTATCCGCTTTTAGCCACGGCGAGGTTCGACCGGTCGCAGGATTTGACCCAGGCGAAGCAGCAGCAACAGATGTGCTGGGACAACGACGCGCAAAAGTTTTCCGGCTCCGATTATCTGTCCGCGGATAGCAGCGATCTGATGAGCGAGCGGCCCTCCTGCCTGGAAACCAGCACGATCAACTTGCAGGATTTGGACAGCTGTCGTGGCGATCCGATCACTATCGTCGGCAAGAGCATGCCGAGCCTCTCCACGGGCACGGACCCCGACAGCGACGAATTCGAGGAGCAGCACTGCCAACAGGTGGCGGGTATCGATCCCAAGCGTAAGAGTCTCGAGCGAATACCGCCCCCCGCGCACCACAATGCTGCCCCGCAACAATCGCAGCAGCAGCAGCAGCAGCACCATCACCATCACCATCAGCAGAATGGCTACGTCGAATTCGATCGCTGGAACATGTCGCTACCGCACAACAAGATTATTTCCAATCCACCGGCGACGGCGTCGGTGGTGACGCAGTCTCTGCAGCAGCAACAGCAGACCGCCACGGATTACATGGGGGGCAACGCCACGACCGTGCAGCACCAGTCGCTCCTGGTGACACACCATGCGAACCCCAACGTCTCCTACTTCTCTACTTTCCACATGGGCCCATCGAACGTGGCACCGATGCAGCAGCACGTACCAGCGGGGCAAACTCCCCACCATGAGATGCACTCCACCGTAGATATGAATGCTGTAGCTATGGTGCCCGGTGAGAACTGCCACCAGGATAGCCTCCTCGCCGATGACAGACCACAGGTCATCGTGCCCGACATCGAGGAGGAGCTGGGTTTTTTGCAGCAGCCGGACATCCCCCTGCAGATAAATAACAATCATCCACTCGTCAATCCAGAGCTCAAGCGATCGGCTAACAGCGATCCGAATAGTGGATTCATGACCAGCTACCTCAAGTTTCTGCAGGGCGAAAAGGATTCTTCACCTCCGCCGAATAGAGGTAATTGCCAGATGACAACCAATCTCGCGCGGTAATTGCTACATGATAACTTACCCCGAATGTCGCATGACACTTTAGCAGCAAGAAAGTCGTCGTGGAATCATAGAAGACCGTTTATGACTGCCACCGACTCGAACGGTGGCAATGCTTGGAACAGAGGCAGCATATCCTTACCTTCGGACAAACTAGAAGTACCGAGTATCGATTACGAGAACGATCCGCGCTATTTTCCTCTTCCCAAGGAACGAAAAGCTTTTGACTCCAGCGATGACGGTTTCTCCAGCGACGATGAGCTACTGTCGTTCGGTCCCAAGAAAAAGCTAAACGTCATCAGTCCTCCGCAGAGTCAGCAGTTGCCAAGCAAACCGCTCATAGCTCCTGGTATCAAAAATATAGGGCCGGACGGACGGCCGAAGAAGGGCAGACCCATCAAGCCCGGTGGTCCGACCGACAGGAAAAGGAAGGCAGCTGCTGCGGCTGCCGCTGCCGCTGCTGCCAAGGGCATCGTACTTCCGCCCGCTGACGAGTCAGTTAGGAAAAGTGAGTTCTAATTTAATACAATTATACACGGTGAGCCCAAAACTGGAACTGTGCACTACCCTTTTGCATGTAACCAAAATATTAATTGCATTTTGCTCACTTGTTTAGTTCAATTGTATTGAAAAATATACGGATTTCTCTATCATTTGAAAAGTATTATATTATCAAATTTAATCATTGACAGTGTTTGATTGTATAATTATTAAAATACAACAATTTATAATCGTGATAAATTGTTTTTCGTCACTTGAGCTAATGATTGACGATTTAAATTGCTTGTTAATGTTCTTTCACTGTCCGCGTCTATAGTTAAATTGATACCTCGTAATTTCTAGATCTAATGATATTCAGAAATATTAAACAAACGTTACTATCTGATTACTCTTAAATCTAGATATTTTCATTTTAAGAGCTGATTAAACTTGCCAAGTGGTTAAAGAAAACATTACGTAATATGAATATGTGCGTTAAATGTATAGGTTACTTCATAAGATGATCGAAAGGATTTGTTGAAGAAGCGCTTACCTTCTATCCGCCGAGTCTCACGAATAAAAACAACATTGTATACGCCGTAACGTATGTTTTTGTTGTTTAGAAGCCTTGAACCTACCGAAACGTGAGAGTTCAAGAAGAAAAGCCAAAGAGAAGACAAGTGAGAAATTAAAGGACAATCTGCAACCGGCAGATCCTTACGAAGAGGAGGAGCAAGGCGACTCGGATAACGATCCGGCGTGGACTCCACAAGCGAAAGCCAACGCGGACGACCAAGAGCCGCGGAAAAAGCGCGGCAGACCCGTTATCAAGCGCAAGCGGCTGGATGACTTCAATGATTCTATTACTACGCCCAAGCGTCCGGGAAGAAAGCGAAAGAACCCCATCGATGTCAATGCTCGTGCGAATGCCCTCAAGATCAGCTGTAAAATCGACGAGAAATTGCTCGCTTCGGTGAGCGACGAAGACATTGACATTTCGCCATTCAAGGTAAGCACCAGCTTATATCATTTGAGGCAGAAACCATGCCGCTTTCGACCGGAAGCTTAGAAAACTTAGAAAACACTGTTCACTGGCTAGCTCGAATCTCAATATTAACAATGCTAAATGTCGAACAATCATCGTTACTAACATGCGCGCTTATTTTCTTGCACGCAGCATTCCACATTTGGAGATTTCGATGATGCGGTAAAAAGAAAAACTTTCACTTTCCAAAGCTTCTTTTTTATTAGTTCATCTTTTTTTTCATCGTATCGTAGTGTTGTAGACGTATTATTTTTCAAAGAATTTTTTTCATACTTTACTAAGTAGTCGTTTTCACAATTGTTTTGATATTATATTCTTTCAACAGATATGTAATATTTGTCCGTTGAATTTTATTATATTTTACAAATTTATTTATTTTGTTCGTTTTATGACTTATTTTGAATAATGTTACTCATTTTCAGTTTTTGCTGCAAAAAATCCCTCAGCATCCGCTTTAATAAAAAGAAGTAAAATGCTTTATTTACATTTTAGTCTGGAGAATTTGTCGTGCTGAAAAGTGACTTGAACCAGGAATACCCTCCTTTGTGGAGAATCGATGGCAAAACTTTATTACAAAAATACGAACCATTCCCATCTAACGGAAGAACTTTATATAAAAATATATCGACGGTATATCGATTTTGTAATCAATTTCATGATGAAACTTCATAATTGTTACATATTTAATAATATATGAAATATTATTGTAGTACTCGGGGTGGGCTCCGCAAAATCGTCACATTTATCAACAAGTGCCTGTTAAATTCTGGCAACAAAATAAAATGGAAACAGTCGTGGAGTTCTTGCGAGATGAACTGATAACGGATGATAGGTAACTGAAGCATTAAAATAAATACAACTAGATATAAGGTATAAAAAAAATAATAATTAACGGATCATAATACATCTTTGGTATTTCAGCGACTACATAATTAAATTTATGAAGGAAACTGAAAAATATCAAGATAACTTTGAAGTGTATATACAAACATTAATTTCGCAAGCACTAGATTCTAATTTTTTAACCGAAATTTTCCAAGAACAAGGTAATTTTCATTGTTAACACAAAGCCTCTAGTACAAGCATCTGTAAATCGAAACTTTTTATTTATTCCAGACGATTATTTCTTATCTAATGTCAAAACGGTTGACGAAATAACGGAAGAAAGGAAACAGCAATTACTTTCCACGACCAATTGGCGATCTAATGTTGTAACAGCATTATCTACGTGGCCGTGCATAAATGTACTGAGAGACAATATGTCCGATCATAAAGGTAAATCTTGTGAAGGGTGCAATAAATTGAAAATTCACTCAAGGGTTCTACTGTACGGTCAACCGTACAATAGTACAACACTCGAAGGTTCTCCTCCTGGTCCTGAAGTGCCTCAAGAAAAGGTATATTTAAAATAGTGTTTAATATCATCTTTCACGCATTAGAATTGAAAAATGAATTAATGTAATTTTAATTATGTAGGACTTTTTGTTCTGCCGACTATGTCAAAAGAAGGTTGGATTGTTTAATAAAGTAGCTCATCAAAAGTATCTCATGTTTTTGGAGTGTGCAAGGAGGGTCGCTGATAAAAGATTAGCCGATCCTAATAAGGACACTACTATTATTTTAAATGAGCTATTGGCGGATGAATCGTGGCTCAATTTGGTTAGTCGTACTGATAATTTATCAAATATTGCTTCTACAAAATAATATTAATATCTTTAAAAATAATTTAAATAGCTATTCAGAGAAGTCCGAAACATTTGGGCTGAAATAGACAGTATACAACAGCAGGCCAAAAGAAAAGCGGCTGCCGATGCTGGAGACCCTAGCCCACTCAAGATACCTGGCGTGTCTAATGAATCTCAATCAAATTCTTATCTTAACCAGATAAATAGTAATTTATCTTAGTATTTGCATAATTACGACGCCAATTCTTCAATGCATTTACTAAATTCAAATGAGTCAGCATTAAGCTTACGCGAAGTGGGCACTAATATACAATACCTAGTATGAACAAATCTTTCGTTCGTACAATATATAAATCATTTTACCAACAGCAACAGACTTACTTACTGCTGCGACAGGTGTAATGTACCGCATTTCATAAATGCTAGTGATCAAATTTATTATTGTGAACTTGATTAGATTAGTTAATATATTAAAGAAGGTGCCAATACAAGGAGGTGATAATTGTTCGTGTATATTTGTAAAATTTTTTGTATTCGCCATAAAAGGTGAACGTTTACAAACCTAATTATTGATGCCGATATTTTTATTCAAAATGACACTCAAAACTTCTAAAACAATCATCACTTCTTTGGCATTGTCATAAAGGTGTATCTTTATATATTGTTCAAACCGCGGTATGGAAATTGACATTATTGTATTTTAAACGGAATGGTATTTATCATATCTTAGACACGTTATGAACGTTTAAATGAAACGGATTAATTAGAATATTTTTCAATACTGAAACTGACTTCATCGAATCATTTTTTGTCTATGAAATTCCAATTATTAGTGTTCCTTTCTTTTTTTATTAAAATGATTCATGTTTTTGTTGATTTAGCCAAGTATTTTTTACAAATGAAATTATTGTGATAAAAGTCGGATGACTTGACTTACGGTCGCCTGATCTATTTGAAAATATTTGACAACTTTTTTGTTAACAAATAATTTGACTAAACTAAAAAGAGAACTCATACGTATGTACAATGAATTCAAAAAGAGAATCAGAAAACTGAACATATTTTTTTGAAAAGTTTGCTTATAACAATCACGTGCTCACTCATTGTATCGATATTCTAATTTTAATAATTATTATTGCTTAATGACAGACTGGACTTATACATCACCTCGGTAAAATAGCTTCATGGTATAAGTCAATATATATTTTCCATTTATACAAAATAAGGGACAAATATTTAAAGTCCATTATGCTTCCTTTGATAAAATAATTATGTTGAAAATAGATGATCGTTCGGTATGAAAATGATATTTAAATATTATTTTCCTGTAAATTTATCTGTATATTCTTTGAATGATATTAATCGAATAATCCATTATTATTATCATTGCTATTATTATCATTATTATTATTGCTATTATTGTTTTCAGTTTTTCCGTTCAAGTTTTGAAATGTTTCACATTCATTGTAAATTTGATTGCAGCGTATAAATCTTGAGTGTGAGTGAATGGCTGATCGGATGAATCTTTTAAAATTTATAACGCGCAAACAAATGTAGTCATAATTGTAAATTATATAAATATGTAACAATAACAGCGTACTGATATGATGCATATATGTTTGTACGTACACATTTTATTATAAAAAGTAGAACTCTATTATTTCATTATCTTAAATTTTTTGAAATGCGGGCATTTAGGACTAGGATTGTCACGTGTAAAAAGTAAACGTCCGCTAACAGTTATTATTCCCTGACTTGCGAATGCCAATTTACGGATATTGCTACGTAGAGATTGTGCCATGTATTTACGATCGTGAGCTTCTACATATGCGTTTGAATGATTAAGCGGAATAATTCGGAAACTACAATTATCATTCAGTTTCATCATATCTTTTATTGCAGAGAAAGCAAGACTTTAGAAGAAAAAATTTTGTGTGGCAGCTCGACGCACGTCGCGCACTATGCTAAACGTTATAGTTGTACATTTAGTATAAATCGATAATGAATAATAAAAACGCAAAGTGCTATTGTTATATTGCATACACAGCTATATGTATGCATCCTTTTACAAAAAGCAAATAGGTCCTTATACTCCTGATGTCATTTGTAAAATTTTTCAAGTATCATCTTATATTGAGATAGTTACATTGCGCATCAATCATTTCGGCGATAAATGATATTCTTTCGGTGCGATTTCGGTTTACACTCCGAATATATCATTGAATTTTTTATCGCATAAGTAACGAGATTGAACTGGAATAATTTATGTTTATATCAATAATTTTTCAATAAAATTAAAAGAAATCCTTTCGTATAATATACACGTTTCTTTATTACCTCCTACGGCTCTTAAAACGTGAATTCTAGTATTGGCGATTTATTCTTAAAGAAATTGCAGAAATATTCTTATAGTAATACAAATAAAATAGAGTTTGTATACATGCCGAAAGAATCCGTTTCGATACACTGATTGAGTGCATCATTTTAATACATACATGCAAACACCGAGTTATAAAATTGGAAACTTTTTGTATTGTTAGAAGGTTAAAAGTAATGATTATTGCAAGCAATAAATTATAACGAGTTATACAAGACGTTAGAGACGGTGAACTAAAAAAGTTAGCAAAAACACTTGGACGTTTGATCGGTTTAACGTAAAAGTTCATACAAAAATTCGCGCGATTTCGGCGCAGGCGCACTTGTTGGTCGGAAGAAGTGCGTTGCACGCCGGTCACGCCGTCACGGCAAGACGGATATAAGAGGGGAGAATAGGCGCTCTCGCGTCGCGCTCGCGACAAAGTACTGCCTGGGTCCAGTTCGCGTTTGTTGCCCGTGAAGGATGCCTTCTGCCAATCCCAATTCTAAACTAGAGAAGCAGGCCTCTACGGAGGCCTTAGATCCGATTCGCCAAGCGATTACCGTGATTGAGCACAAGATCCGTAACCTCGAAAAGCGCAAGGTAAGTGTACACGAGTCTGCCGAAAATCCAAACGAAAGAAAACGAGAGGAAGAGAGAGCGAGAACGAGCCGCCATGTTCCGCTCTTCGCCATGTGCTCGTCTCCTTGTCGCTGAGTGCATATAATAGCCACTTATATATATATCTCTCGAAGATCGCTATTCTTCCATTGCATACCACTTAATTCCTTTTTCGTGCTCTTTTTTATTGGTTTACGTGATAATCCTACAACTCGCTCTAGACGCAAAGCGCTCGCAACAATGAAATGTAATATAACCATGCACGACGGTGATTCGCGCGAACGTTCGCTCTGACACGACTGCGCTGCAAGACTCGCTCGCTGTTGCTCTCACCGGCCCTATTCTCATTGTCCTTCGTAGGGTAAGCTCGAGTCGTATCGAGATATCGTGAAGAATGGCGGGGAGCTCAACGCCGACCAGAAGACTGCTGTGGCTAAGTACGACGAGGTCCAGCAGACTCTGGAGAATATGCGAGATCTCTATAAGCAAATCAACAGCATTGCCACCGATGCTCAGAGGCAGCAAAAAAAGCTCGCTAGGATCGAGGCCTTGGAGAGGATGCGCCAGGATATCGTCAAGGTGATGACTCATTTCGCGTTCAATCGTTTACGCGATCTCCGAGCACGCTTCCATCTAACCCCGTGCTTGCTTGTACTTCGGTTTATAGGTTCGCGAGGTGCTGCTGATACAGGACACCCTCATGAACATGGGCGCCCAAGGTGTCAGACAGGACTTTATCAACGGGGTTAACGGCGCGGTACAGCTCGCCGAGCAGGAACTTAAATTCCTCGATGATCTGTATAACGAAGTCATGCTCAAACACGACAAGCAGGACAACGACGTGACTTTTCTCCAGCAAGCGCAGAAGGTCGCCGAGCATTACGTTCTCATCGTCGATGGCAAACAGAGGGACGTCGTGGGTACAACTTATGCCAAGATCAAAGAAGTCATCAATTCCATCGTCCAGTGTGGCTACTTTGACCAGGCTTCAGAAGTAGCTGTGGAGGAGGTAAGCTTAGCCAATCAGTATTTCCATCGATCACTACTATTTCCATTGAGCCTGTTGAGTATCTGTATTTTTGTATATTGATAACTGAATTACTGAGAAATTTTCAAATCACTTTGCATTCTCAGGTCACAAAAGCTGTTGTTGAGACCCACATCAGCCATACCCCCCAAGCACCTGAACAGGTCAACGAGGAGTTTGGTGAAAGGCACATTCCACCACCTCCTGAAACTATCCTGCGTACCATTCAAACTTTCCCTGTAGTCTCAGCAATAACTCCAGTTTCTTCTGTGCCTTTAGTGGCCCAGCCCATTCCTGCCATGCAAGCTCCGGTTGATCCCTCATACTACACCAATGCCACGACTTTCGTAGCAACTCAACAGGTTCAGCCACAGCAGCCACCCCAACAACCACAGCAACAGCAGCAGGCCCCTGCTCAGAGAATCAACGAAGTTATTGGGCCAGCTCCGAACTTCTACTTCCTACAGGATTCCGAGCTTGATCAACCACCTGAAGGCAATGCCTCTCAAGCACCACCAGTTGTATCACACATTCCTTCTTTGCCTGTGGTTGCTGGAGCAGTCACAATCAATGCTCCCATTCCAACACAAACGTTCACTAACCAAACATTTACTGGACCACCTGTGGGGCCACCCCAGGTAACTTAACCAGCAGCTTACCTTGAGTACATAACAAACATTTGTTTGAAATACTTAAATGCTTTTTTGATCTTTTTGTATAGGTGATGTATCAACATCAGCCACCGCAAGACATCTCGCATATGGCACCATTTAACAACACCAATCCTCCTCCACCTATCCCCATGCCTCAAGCGCATCAACCTACTATGCAATTCAACCAACAAACCCAGAGTGGTTTCCAACAACAACAGCAGCAGCAACAACAGCCATCCCAAACCTTTGAACAAATGTCTCATCAAGATTCTCTGTCCACACAAAAGGACGAAAGCCATGTAAGTGATTTTCGACAATTACGTCATCTCTGTTTCGCTAGTTATTACATTTATCGATAAATTAACTGCAGGACAATACGGAAAATATTACCAACTCCAACGAAAAAGATACTCAGAACGAGACTAACGAATGGGGGCAGGTGACGGATGGTACAACTGATTGGAGCCAAGTAGAACACTCACCACCATCGAACCAGGAGCAAAACTCCCAACAGGCTTGGGGTAATCGTGGTGGCTATCGAGGACGCGGTAGAGGTCGTGGAAATTCAAACTCATACAACAATAGAGGGAGAGGAAATTACCAGCAGAATGGCAGAGGTAAGCTGACAGCTTTGTCAAGCAAAATTCATCAAGCGGTTCCTTCAACGCAATGTAATGCAATTTTCTTGAAGGATACTACAACCGTAACAACGACGGAGGAAATTATCAAAATGGCTATCAACGCAACAATTGGAGTAATAGCGGTGATGGATCATACCAGCCATCAAACGGTGGATACAAAAATAATTTTAACAGGAACAATGCCCAGCCAAGAGGTGAACGTCGTGATGGCGACAGAAGCGGAATGGATAGGGGTAATCGTGGAAGCAATGGTGGTGGCGGTCAGTACCGTAGCAACCAGCGAGGCACTAATCGTAATAATTACGTGCCTCGAGGTAACAAAGCTCAAACACAGAATTAAAGGGCGCCAGTTTTTTTTAAATTACGTGCTATATTTACGGCGAACTACATTATATCAATCTCAATCAAATTGTTCAATGATCCGAATTACTCGAGCTTTATAGACGAATGACATTCAGTATCTTAAGCGAGAGTCGAACCTACACTTTCGCGTGCAAAAAGAGTATTGAATTCTTTAGTAAAATCAACGAATAAATCGATTTAGTGATTAGAGTATGCGAACTGTATTGAAGCCAAGTTTGTTGTTCATTTCTTTTTTTAATGTTTCTAGTGCTGTGACTGGTACAATTAACTTGGTTTTAGTCAGTTCGTTTGTACATATAATTATTAGAGTATTTATCAAGCGATTTTATTTGGAATTCTGAAGGTAAATATGAAAGTATTATTATATACTACACGAAAATGAGTGTATATGTGTGTGTATGTATATGTATGTATATGTATGTATATATATATATATATATATATATATATATATATATACATATATGAAAGCTACTTTGACGGATCAACTGATTTACTATCTGTAACTTGGATCATTGAACAAACAACAGAATATAGCTACTTGAATTTGGTGTCCCGCGTTAAACTAGACAAAACATGTCTAACTCTCATGTAAAAGCGAAATAAGATTAATGGTGGAAAGATAATTATGATCAGCCAAATTCAAATACGTGTCAATCCACCGCGCAAGTATTAATTGTGTTGTGACAGAAGGCAGTTTTCACTGGGCAACAACAGCTGATCCAAGATTAGATGATTTAAGAAGAAATAAAAAAATTTTTAAAAATCCCAAAAAAAGAGAGAAACTACGTGCATTTCAATCGCTTACACAAACGTGTATGCGATTATTTATATCAAGTTGGGTTAGAAAGGCAGAGCAAGTTAAACATGACGCCAGGAAGCGATTGGCCTATACATAAGATGCATATAATCATAATTTTTAGCATAGGTTAAGTGTAATTTTGTTGATGTATCGTATCTGTATGTAAGTCTCTTTCTGGCACCAAGCGCCAAGTTAGCTTTGCCTTACTAACCCAATCAATTAAGAGAAAAACGAAAACAATGACAAAAACTCAGACAACACATAAATGACTCTTCGTGTTGCGACACAGTGTTCTAGTGATTTTTTTTGTAAATGCCAGAAAAAAGAGGATCTATGAGCAATGCTTTTCTCACGTCTTTAACTTGATACGTAATTTTTAATTTTATCAACATAAATATAGAACGAAAGCGAAACCGATGATATGTAACATCATTTATTAAATTACAAATAAAACAAACTATTGGGATTAATTCGCTTTTGTAAATCTTTTGAGATGAAACAAGGAACCCTCCTCGTTTGCTCCTTTCTGCTTTTTTCTGTGACATTCATAGCTTTTATAGAAACTTCACAATGACGACGATAAATTACGATAGTCGTCATTGATTGATTGATCCGATTTTTCAAGCGTCGACCGTTTGCGTTGCAAGAAACTTTTTACCTTTTTTTCCATACAGAAGATATACATTATATTTTGAAAAAACAAAAATCTAATGATAACTTGATGCTTTAAGAGTTGAAAAAAGTTTAATATGCAATTGTGAATTATACGATGACAGGAGCACTTTTGAGCGTGAATAATGTTGACCATTGGCTGCCAAACAAATGGTGTACTGGTATCGTATTGTATTTCGTTTGTATATTTGTGTTCAACCACGTTTTTCCAAATATTTAATTTTTTTTCACGATAAATCACGCTTTAAACATTATTTGATATTGTATCTTCCAAATGAATTTTATTCAACTTTCAAGAATAAATTGGTTTGAATTACTAATCAGTGTTCGATATTATACCCAGCGAGGTTTCATTACATACAAAATTAATACGTTAAGCAGGTTTTATACACCGTGTTTTATTTATTTCACCCGGTTTTGTGCAATCCCTCGGACAAATATGCCAATCCATTTTCATTCGCGTGCGCACCATTTTTACGGAGCTCCTATAATTATCCAAATGAAATTGTTTACTTTGAATTTTCCTATATAACATTTTTCAAAATAAACTACGCTTTCATTTTTTGTACTTACTCTAAGCTTTGTTTATTACTATCAAGCCCTTTCGAAACTTCAACATTTTACCAAGTATTTTATAAAGTTATAAAACTCGTTCAACGTCAATGGACGTTCAAATTGGGTTGACATAACGTAATATCTAATGGTTATAAAAACAGAAGTTGGACAAAAAACTAAAAAAAGGAATTAATAATACTATTATTAATTGGATCTGATTATTAATATACCAGAGTACTGCGATACCAAAGTATAGCATAAATAATTAAGAGAATTTAATAAAGTACGACTTAATGGATATGTAATTATGCGAAACGTACACTTTACATATCGTTCACTAACAGATTGTGCTAAATCTACACATTTACAACAAGTTGAGGGAGTAATTATTTTGCCGGGATGATCATATGGAATTAGCGTGGGGCGTGGATCACTGATGCAATGAGCTGATAAGGATAATTAGATTTAAACCCTTGTTTACAATATGTTGAAATATTTGAGAACGAAATGAAGCCCAGGCTCGGCTGCTGAGTTCAGCGTTCATAAATAAAAGTCACCATCGGGTTCTACTTATGCAGCCAGACAATCGCTGCGTTCAACTGAACGTTTCGCATTACCATAGTTCACTGCATGCGAATCACAATATAATGTATCGCTTTAAGCAATGTTTTCGGCTTCTTAAATTCTACTTTCTCTTCTAATTAAACAGTTAAAATTCACAATGGGATTGGTAATTGCAATAAACCACATTTTTTACCAATAATATTCAAATACAACGGACGATAATTAAAATAAATATATGTATATAATTCCTTATAATGCTATTCTTCACGCAACCAGACATCACTTCGGAGAATCAGCGGATTGTTCAATACACGCGGTCTCGTTTGAAGCTGTGCAGTCACTCGTTTTATACCACTTATTTTTCGAGATAGAAGTGTGCATACCTCATAACATTACTTTAAGGTAAAAGTATTTTAAAAGACGGTGAGTTCGAGAATTCGTATTTTTTCATTGTAATTTTTTTATTGACAATGTTTGAATTGCGAATAACCATCAAGTTAAAAATGATCTGGAAGCTGATCGTCAAGCTTTGATAACTGTTGTGGTTAAGTTTTTTTAAGGAATTTTAAAGTTTTTATTCCTTGCTTATTCCTCCATTTTTATACACAAGTGAATACAATAATGTAAAAATAAAAAAGTATTTCAAATGTTTACCTACTGTTTATGTACATACAACTTTTGAAAGTGACGTCACTGGATACATTCCAGTGAAAGTAAGTGTTAGAGCTAGTATTTCGTCTATTTACACACAAGAGATACTGAAAATACTTGAAGAAAAATAAAAGGTGACGAAGCGTATGGTTTTGTTTATATGTAAAAACATTAAAGTAACCTATATATTTGTCCAAAGAAAATTGGAAAAATTACTAATCCCGAGCATAAAATAGTTTTTCAGAATCGAATTTCGTGCTCGAGAATGATTTGAGCATTCGGGAGTGTCATTACTCCGTGCAACGCTGTGTAGCGTTACGGGATGCGTAAATACAAAATCCGGGTATAATTGCCCGGCTGCTCCCGAATAAAATTGCATTTAATCTGTTAGAATACGAAAATATATGGAATAATATAAATAATGTTTCCTGTGGCAAACGTGACGATTGTGATGAATGAGGAGAAAAAAATTTGAGTTTATTTTCTTCGACCCTTTCTCTACGTGGAAAACCAGCTGCCATTTACATATCAGGCCTAATCAATCCGACAGACGTAATAGACCAATCTATTCTAACTTTTTACAACTTTAAACGTCGTGTGCCTCATCGGTATTATTTTGTGTAACCGAGGTTCTTGGGCTAATATAATAGTCCAAGTAGAAATCCATGTTTACAGAAAGAGATTTTGTCAATTTCCAAGAAAAAACAATAAATGTATAATAAAATATACAAAAATTATATCCTAAACTTTTTCATAAGTAATAATAATTTTACAAATATAAAAATTTATTTTTCAAAACTTCGCGAAATCGACCTCTCACGCTAACCAGTTCGTTTCGCAATATTATGTAACGAAAAAAACACTATATTTAAGTATTTCAAACATAACAAATAAATTTATCGTAAAAATAAATGAGAAAAATTATCAACATTTTTTTCTTCCTTGCTATAAAATAACGAAAATCTTTATATCAATTTTAAGATAATAAAAAATCCGTTTCTTTTTTTATGTACAAAAAAATTCTTCCTATTTCACTGCCATTATTTAAAATGTAAAAATTGTCAACTTTGTTTCCGGAAAAACTGTAATTATTATGAAAATGTACCAATACTTTTATAGCATTATTATGTCAATTATCATGTAAGTAGGTAAAATACCTAATGTAATTAAAAAACTGTATTGCAAAATAAATAAAAATAATTGAAAGTAAATTAGTTTTCTATGTTGATCAAAACTAAAATACTAACGCATAAATCATGTTGGACTAATTGATTATAATTAACACCTTCATTAATTAGATTTTTTTATAAGTCTTATAATGCATTAGTAGAACATAGCACGATTAAATACTTAATTATTTAAAAAATGTACATATTACACATGATTAATTCACATAGGTGATACTTAAGAAAGATTAGTTTTTTATAATCCAAAACTATATTATATAAATTTGATTTCATACAACATACTTCTCATTACAAGTAATATTGATCCCGAATAGTAGCTGTGAATATACAATATTTCGCAACATTTCAAAACATATATTAAATCATCTACAAAATAAACATAGAAATCTCTTACGCTAGAGTCGAGTTGGAAATCTTGATTTCATTTGCATTACATGGTCAGGTACATTCAAGCCAGTGCATGTTGGTTTACATTCACTTACTCATTTGTTGACAAGTTTTTGATTAAAAAATTGATTATTGATATTTTAATGGCTTACCCGAGAGTTCTACAAGTTTGATCATATTCATGTAACAAAGTTTGATTCAAGATTCGCTTGAATTGAAATCTCCTGCAATGATTTTCTATTATAACAATACCCTATAGTAAACACTCAACTATGCCATAACAACAAAAAATACTCATTAAAAAATGTTTTGATAATTATACACAGGATTGATGTCATTATGTTTAATGGCGTTCAATAAATGCCGAAAGAAATATTAAAAATAATTTATGAAATACGAGTACATAAACAATTTTAGGATTTTGTTCCCATCTCATAAGCTCAAAGTATGATGAAAAGTAATACAAAACATTATTTGATTATTGCTACTGCGACGGTTTTTTGCGCCTACCAAACAAATTGCTTAATACAGATGACTTTTTATAATCGCGATCTTTTCTTGTGCTGACGAAGCTGTGTTCGCTTTCCGACCCACTTTCCGATGCGCGTCTGCCGGTTCCGTCAACAACTGAGATACCTGAAGGGCTTGTCGGGGAAGATGCCGTTGGTGGCGCAACATAAGGGGGTAAGGATGCTGGTCTGCCAGCAGTAAATGTAGTCATTGGATGTCCCGTCATCTGTCTCGTATTTACCGGTAAGTTGCCGTACGCTGAAATTAAGAAATTGCCATATAAATGATTCAAAAAAGTATTTATAGGTTATCATCTATAAGAGCAAACCATTATCGTTGGGATTATTCCAGTGCGTCATTTTACTTTGCGGAGGCGGGGCAGTCGTTGGCAGTGGAGGCACTATTTCTAGAAAAGGATAAAATTCTGTTTAATCAACTGTTTTCTACAACGTTTTTGTAAACAACACACTTGGAACAATCATATTACTGGCAATGCGTATACCTTGTTGAATGTGGGAATTATGATCGATATTAGGCTGTCTGAGCCAATTACCATCATTACCGGCATATTGACTAGACGTACCATTCAAGTTTACGTTTCCGCTAGAAGGTTGATACGATTGCGGCCTCGCTTGTGGCCCGTACTGTTCATTATCTAAAATACCATGGGAATCATGACACGCAGAATGGAAAATTACGTAAGTAACAGTTGATACAAACCATTACGACGGAGTGGTACAGTATTGTCGAAGCTTGGTGACCTTGCAGGAACTGGTGGTGGAGCTCCCCTCGGAGGTATAGGCGGCTTCTCACTTGGATGTATCATATACTGGTGCTCTTGCTGTCTCGTAAGCTGCTGATTTATTGAATGGTGATGGTGCTGGTGCTGTTGATGTTGATGTTGATGTTGATGTTGATGTTGATGTTGCTGTTGCTGCATGTACATTTGCAAAAATTCCTTTTGCGGTTGCGTATCGGGAGGCGACCTTGCCATCTCTATATTCCTATTAGGATCGGATCGCTTTTTGCTCGGTAGTGGTTGCTGTTGATGGTGTGGATGTTGCTGGAATTCCGCTTGAGTCTTGTTAGGATTTGGCGGCACGTCACGCCGAATTACCGAGTTCTTACGTTCCATTTCGGGAGTGGACGCATGACTACTACCTGTAGACAAAGCCTCGTCTGGATGCTCCGGTGATAAATTACGGATATTTTCAAACTCGCTCTACAAATAACAATTGATTGTAATTCATGACTTTTTGCTCCATACATAAGTAATTTTGCTCAATCTTACCTTTTGAGAGTCATCGTAGCTCAAGAGTTGCAATCTCGGAGGCAATTTAGCGTGGAATGCAATCTTGTTTACCCAGTCTTCCATTTCTTGCTTGTTGTTCGATAAAAACAAGAACTCTGAGCCATCTGTGCATTTGAGACGGAAAACGTTTTTACGTTTCGTGTAATCTTCAGCTTTTTCGCACGTTCCGTTGAAAATGTTAATTGGTGCAGTTGCTGCTTTACTCGACTGGAAATCATCTATATCTTTAAAGAAGCACAGTAACTGGCCGCACAACACTGAGAGAGAACAGAAGACGATGGTGATATTACTTTTACCAATATAAATAACGTCGCGAACGAACGATTTAGATGTACCTGTGTAGTAAGGCTTCCAAGAGCGAACAGCTGCCTTTTTTCCGCCGCTCTGAAGCTCGTGCTTTCTCTCGAGTACACCTTGAATCTCAACTGGAGGCAGAGCATCAACGTTTTCTATTCTTTGATGTTTTCTGAAGCTTTGCGTTCTTCTTCTCGTTGTAAAGCTTGGTGTTCTCTTTGGTTTCTTTGTATCGACTTTCATACTTTCGGCTCGTTTGATGTCAGCTGCAGAAGCTAGTTGACAAGAGAACAGTTTCATTAAGAATGAGAAATAGCTAAAAGTGCAAAAGATAAAATAAAAACTTACATTTGCGAAGTCTATCAGTCAACATGTGAGATAAGCCGCTATAAGATTTGCTACTAGTCGGTGGAGCTTGAGGTGAGTCGTTGATTGAACTTTTAGCCGAAGAAGCCGAATTGTTGAAAACCTCATGGTCGTCGTAACTGCCGTTGATGCCGTCACGAGGCACGTGACGCGGGCTGTCGACGTACCTTCGTCTCTCTTCTTCACGCTTGCGTTCCTCGGTGATTCTTTGAACTTCCTTGCGCTTGCGCTCCTCGATCCTGGCCCTCTCGATGCGCTCCTTTTCCGCCTGTCGAGCAGCCATTTCTGACTCGAGCTGCTTCTGGAAAGCCTGTTCCAGCATAGTGATTCGCTTGATGGCATTGAACTTGTCCTCCTGCGCCTCGATGGTCTTTTCAAAGTCTTGATGCTTCATAATAAGCTCCTCGACTTGAGGTATAGACTCGCCCAGCTGCTCATCTTTGAGCATCGGCTCCCTGCTCATTAACCAATTCTCTAGCGTCTCGGCGTCCCGCTTGAACACTTGCGTATCTAAATTTTGCTCGTAAATGATCCGCCGCTGCTCCCAGGTCTCCTCGAGCACTTGCTTTCTTTGGCGCAGAACCGAGACTCGCTCTTGGATGTCTTTGGCAAGGAAGTGGCCCTGCTGCACAAGCGTCTGGCCAGTCTTATAAAACTTGCCGAAAGCGTCATCGTGGGTGTCTATCTCGGCACGATATTCGTTGTGCCGGGAGATGAGAGCCTCGGCGCCCGGTACGTCGCGCGCCAGCTCCGGAGCTGTAACCTTGGCTACCATCTCATTGATCCACGACACCAGATCTCGGTACTCGTCGAAGTAAGCCTGCAGCTGTTCGGCTTGCACTAATTTGCTTTTGCGCTGCGCGGCCTTCTCCAGAAGGTCACTCCAAGCCTCGTCCACTTGCTCGTGCTTGACAGCAATGTGCTCAGTGGCGTCGGGGAAAAGCGCAGCGAGTCTTGAGGCTTCCTCCATTACCCACTCAACTTGTTCCTTGACTGCACCCAAATCTGTGTCCAGTCCCTGGTGTTTCCTCACCAAAGCCTGGATGGTCTCCAAGTCATGTGAGTATTCGTGGTCAGCACCCAGGCTGGCTTCTTTTTCCTGAATCCAAGATATTGTCTCGTCAGCCGTGCGGTCGAACATGTGAACCTGCTTGGCGCCGGCAAGGGCCTCTTGCCGCGCATGAGCGAGCTCTTTCAAGTCCTCCCATTGCTGCTTTGTCTCATCAATCTTGCTATGAATCTTGCTGGACTCTGGATTCTTCTCCTCGATGAGCTTTTGGCCGGCATCGATGATACCAGTCATCCGATTCTCGCTGCTCATCAAACTCGACATGAAGTTATCGAACATTTGAATTAAAAGTTCGACGTGCTCCACGTCCGCGCCATAGTCTTCCGATGCGGCGACCGTGGTCTGATCGCTGATCCATTCTATCACTTGATCGGCTTGCTGCACAAATCGGTGATATTTTTCACTTTCGAGTAACCGTTGCGATCTCTTGTCTTTCAATTTTTGCAGCTCGTGAAATTTCTGCTCAATTTCCGATTGTTTATAAGCGATATTTTTACTATCAAAGTGATGCCTTTCGACAAGTCCTTTTGACAATTTCTTCAAATTCTCAACGATACTCGTAAAGCCATACAGGTCGCGCTCAACGCCTTCAAGTTTCTTGAACAGTGACTGAACGGAATCCTCGTCTTTGCCGTAATCCGTTGACGTCAGCAGAGGCTGTTTTTCTTTGATCCACTGTTCGGCCTCGGCAGCTTCGGCATAAAACATCTGTGATTCGACTGCGTCAAGCAGCCTCAATTTTCGGATACTCGCGACATCTCTCAGATGCATCAACTTGTCTTGCAAGTCGCAAGACAGGGCATCAATTTTCTCTGACGCAAAATGCCCGCTTCTCACCATAGCGGTGGCTCGACTCGCCAGAGATGATACAACTGGCTCCCGAGATATCAGCTCCGCCTCAAGAGCGTGATGTTTCTTTTGTAGACGCTGCACTGTTGTTAGCGAATTGCCCAAATCTTTACTACTCGCCAAAACTTCCTTTTCCGACAGCCAGTGTAATTCGTCTTCAACATCTCGAGCAAATTGATGTAAAAGTTTGGCATCTTCCAGATTGTCCCGCCTTATTTGTATTGGTTCTTGCAAGCCGTGATAGCGGTTTATAATGGCAGTAGCTCTTTCGGCAATCTCCTCGCTCATGAAATGATTGGCTCGTTGGAAATTAGCAGTCGTCTCTTTGACTGATTCGCAAGCTTCGTTATGGCTCATCACGTCGTTTTCCAAATTAGTATGTCTCTTTAGAAGATTAGCAACGCTAGACAAATCCTTGCCGTGGTCTTCGGATTGCAATTGTGTTTCAATGTCATCGATCCAAGTTTCAAATTCGTCGAGAGTTCGGCTGAACAAAAGTGCTTGATATGCGTCATCAAGGCGAGTTTTCTTCAATTTACTCGTTTCCTGTAAAAGTTCCCATTCGGCTTCGAGTTCATCTAATCGTTGCTGAATTTCCTTCGATGCAAAATGATCTTCTTGAACGAGTGTTTCACCTGTAAAAAAGATACGCGTAAGTTGGAATGTTTCTTGCTGAAAATATTTTATGACAATATTTTTACCTTCCACTGTGACCGCAGAAACTCTTCCTTTATTAGCAGCCAACTCACTCTCGAATGCCGCATGTTTTTGAATCTTGCTCTGTAGATTGGTAGAATCCCTGTAATTTTCGTCGTTTGCTACCTGTTGCTTCTCGTGTAGCCAACTTTCAACTTCCAAGACATTTCTTAAGAACTGATGTAGCCGTTGACTTTCAACGAGTTTGTCATGCCTGGCTTTGGCGCTGTTTTTGAGCTTGTCTCTCCTAGCACATACTGCATCTAATCTTGACTCTATTATGGCTGCGTCTGAGTGCCCTTCGGAAAGAATGACTTTTGCAAATTTCTCAAGCTCTTCGATGCGACTAAGCTGTGGAATCAACATTTTTTCAAAGTCTTCATGCTTGCGCATTAGTTTTTTGACACCGGACAATGATTCTCCAAGATCATCGTTATTTAAGAAGGCTTCTTTTGTTGCGAGCCAGCTGTCAGCTTGATTAGCCTGTTTTTATAAAATGATTTATTATAACATAGTTCAATTTTTGTTGTCCGTAACAAATGCATGCAATTTTAACGTAAGGTCTTACCTGTTCCTTAAATAGCTGTAATTGATGCGCCTGCTTGAGTTTCTGTTTTCCCGAGTGCCAAGCGTCATTCAAATCTCTTTGCAATTTCTCTAAATGATCCAAACTTTCTTGTACGTCTTCTCCCAAAGGTATCAGCTTACGACCATGTTCACCGAGAGTCTTAAACGTATCCTGTCTACCGTCGATCTCGGCTTTCCTTTCTTGGTGCAACTCGAGAAGTGCTTCCGCTTCTAAAATAGTTGTAGGCGGCTCGACTTCTTTCATGCGTTTTATTGTGTCGACTACCCAGGTTTCCAATTCACGTAATTCAGCACGGAACTTGTGTAGCGTATAAGCTTGACTGAGTGCTGCTCGTCGTTCGCTGGTCAAACGCTGCAGCTCGCTCCAGTTCACCTCAAATTCGTTGAGAATTCCATTTATTTGAGTTGCTTTTTCCGGGTACTTTTGCGATAGCTCGCATGCTTCCGCTTGATGTTCCTGCAAACAAACAAATCAAAAATACCATTATTACAGAGCCACTGTGGCACCGTTTTTATTAACATACCCTTAATTTTCCTTCGATTGCTGTCATATCTCTTTCTATGGCTTCTTGTTTCCTTTGCAAATGCTCAACGGCTGCCAAGTCTTTACCAATATCGCTGGTATTCATTGACAAAGATTTTTCTAATATTCTTTGATTTGTGTCATCGATGTCTCGATTGAACAAATGAATTTCTAAAGCTCCCGCCAAAGTTTCTCTGTATGCACCTAGAGCCCCTTGCAGAGCTCGCCACTTCATGTTAAAACTATCACGACGCTGTTGAATCGCTCTAGTTTCTTCGTCTTTTTCCTAAGACAATCCCATTAAGTTACAAAAAAATCAACAGACATAACGTAGTTATAAGTACCTGCTTGATAAGTTTGTCCGCAAGAGCATTAATAGTTTTAATTCTGGCATCATCAACGCGCATGTCGCTGTCAACATCGTCCAATTTTCGTTGCAAACTTAGACAATGCTCATAATCTTTACCGACATCTCCAGCTTGTACCATCATCTCTTTATCGCGAATCCATGCTTCAATTTTCTCGACTTGATTGTTAAAGTCTAGTATATCTTGAGCTTCTTCCAAACCTCTACCACGATTCTCCGATTCTAATAATAATTTCCTCCAAGATAACAGTAGTTGTTCCAATTGCTGACGGATTTCAGAGCTTGCAGGATGTCTTTGTTTCAGCAACATCTCACCTTTAACTAAAAATGTTGTTTAATCATTAAAATTTGTTCACTCTTTATGCGATGTAATTTTATCAAAATGCTTAAATGCTATATTCACCTTTAATTTCTTCAATTCGGCTTTGGTTAGCTGCCAATTCAGCTTGAAAAGCTTGATGCTTTTGCAACTTTTTTATTTTATCTTCGAGACTGGAAACTTGTCCCTTAGAGGCTTCAGTTTCCAATTTCTTTTGCTTCTCACCAATCCACGACTCTGCTTCTCCAACATCTCTTACGAATTGGGCATGTAATAGACTAGCATCCAATTTTGCTCTTCTTATATTACACAAATCGCGAATACGCGCTCGTCTTTGAGTTACTTCTTCCAATCGTTGGGCTATCAGACGCGATTCAAAGTGATTTTGTGATAAAAGTTTACCGCCGTGCTCTTGAAGAGCGCTAAGCTTATCCTCTTGAGTGAGAAGTAATTTTTCAAACTCGTTATGTTTTTTCACTTGCGCGTCCACTTCTTCAACCGACACTCCAAAGTTGTCATGGCTAAGAGCAGCTTCTTGGATGGTTGATAGATTATCCAGCTGTTTCGCATCTCGCAAGAAAAAGTGAAGGTCAATTAACTGATCAAGATGGACTTTCTTTTGCTGCCATGCCGTATGGAGTCTTTGCCGCTCGTCCAGCAGTTGGCTACATTTCTCTTCGACTTCACTCGCGGCATAATGTCCAGTTTGTACCATTGCTTCACCGAGATCGAGCACTGAACTAAAAGTATCTTCTCTGGCTTCTATTTCACCTTTCAGAGCATCGTGCTCTGCTTTCAATAGTTGTGCACTTGCAGCATCGCGTACATTATCCTGGGTTGACATTGTCGCACACAAGCCAGCTGACCAGTTTGCTAAGTCTCGTACCTGAATATTTTTAATGAATTATCGGTTAGTAAATATCATAAAGCTTCAATCGACTACTTCTATAACATCGAAATTATTTTTGAATTACCTGAGTTAAAAATCTTTGAAGATCACAACTGGCCTGCAACTGATCTCGACGATGCGCTGATCTTTCTTTTAACTCCTCCCAGTTAGCGAGTACAATTTTCTGTTGCTGGTCTATATGTGCAGCATTGTTGCCTGGATAAAGCGCCTGCAGTCTAGCCGAATCTTCGACCAAAACTTGCAATTGAGCTTCTAATGCCACCAAATCATTTTCGAAGCCCTCGTGTCTTCTTATTAATGCTAGTACCGAGTTCAAGTCTCTACCTAAATCTTCCGGCAGTGCAGCCTTTTTTTCCTGGATACGTGATAATGCCTCTGCTACATCTCGATGAAAGCGATGGATTTCACCCGCAGCCTGCAGACGCTGTTCGCGATTTCGTACAAGTTTCAATAGATGTTTCCAAGAATCGCTGAAAATGAAATCGTCTTACAACTTTCTTGTTTGCTCATTATTCAAAGCAAAGCGCCGTAAAAAATAGAAATATCTAGCAATATACAGCGGAACCAAGCAGAGACAAGACGTCACACGCAAACAGACTTACCAGATCGACGCATGCAATCGAGCCACCTCGAGTACCGGATCGTCTTCGTCATTGCTATTAGATTTATGTACAGAAAAGTAGTTAATGTTAGTGTTCCCATATACCAACTAAAACCATGCCACACCTTATTTTTCTACGATTACCTAACTCGAATCATATTCATTAATTGGTAACACCATTAAATTATTTGATTAACGCTATCACCATGCAACACTTAATATCTTACACTTATTTGAGATTAACAATAAATAATCGACAACTGTTTGTCTCAAACTTACCCAAGCTGTTCTTGACGTTTTTCGATATCCTGGATGTACGGGCTTTCGTTGGCAACTAGTTTCTTCGCTAGCACTTGGCATTGGTTAAATCTCTCGGAGCCAGCGTCGATTCTATGCTTGAAATCATTGAACTTTTGCTGAAGTAGCAACAGGTGTTCGTAGTCTTGTCCGTAGTCTTCGGATGCAGCCGTCTGCTCCTGTTCCTTAATCCATTGCTCGAGCTCGCGACTCTCAAGAAAGTACTCGTGTCGATACATGCTCTCCATGAGGCGCTGCTGCCTGAGTACCGCGAGACGCTGAAGTGATCGGACCTGTTGGGCTATCGCTTGCTGCTTGTTAGCAATGGCCTTACTATCTGGGTGCTTGGCATTTATCATTGTAGACGCAGTGTTGCCCATCTCCGTCACAATCCCATTGTAAGTGTCTAATTCGAGCTCCAGTGCCTATAATTAGAAGCACACACGTCACTACAGTGGCACCGGATACATGAAAATAGTAAACTTTTCTTCTTCTATTTACCTTATGTTTCGTGAGCAGCTTTGTGGCCGCATCACGATCGCGGCCGTAATCAGTCGAGTTGAGCACATCGTTCTTTTCGACAAGCCAGCTCTCCACTTCGCCAGCTTCGAAGAAGAATTCTTGTGCTCGCAATGACAAATCAAGTGCGTGGCTTCGTTCTGCTGCCTTTTCGCGCAGATGATCCCAAGCGTCCTTCAACGTATCGCACAGCTCTTGAATCTAAATTTCAACATACGCGCACATGTTACAAAAAAATCTTATAGAAGTCGTTGAAACTTATTGAAAACGTAATTTTTAGTTATTGCGATAAAAGTTGGTATGTGGATAAATACAGTCACTCATACAATGTAAATTACATGCCCGGACACTAAGAGCCAAAATTTTAATTTGTTTAAAATGGCCAAAAAAAACAATTTTAGTGAAACGTATGGAAGCCATAAAACTGTATGCCAAAGCATTTTTTTCCGGTTTGCGGTTTTGTTACTTTACCACGCTTTACCAAAAACACACGCTTATAGCACTTTAATTTTTTTGCGTGAAGTTTTGGTTAATACCTTTCTCTCTTACCTTAATGAATACCAAAAGAAGAAGTACTCCAACTGTATAAAAAGTTCACAATTCATAAACGTTCAAGAACATTACACGATTCCCATAATGAACAATTATATTTGCACTCTAACCGCACTGATTATAATGAAGAATACTTTCAAAATGTTTTTTACCTTCTTTCTTTCTGGGTGAGCTTGGTCAATGAGACCTTGGCCGGATGCAAGTGCTTTCATAATCATTGGTTCGTGTCCTGCAATTTCGGCTTCAAACTTTTTGTGTTTTTTATGTAGCGACTGTGTTTGATGCAGATTTTGACCCATCATAGTTGACGATGCCTGTGGTAAATGGTCACTGATCCACTGCAACTCTGCATCTAGTTCGAAACCAAACTTGTGGAACCGCAAACTCTCTTCCAGAGCTTCTCTCCGTCGTTTTGCTGGTTCCTTAAGACTCTGGAATCTTGAAACCAAAAATTGTTTAATAAATATAGATATTTCATAATTTTTATTGAAACTTACTTCTTTTGCGTTTCTTGACTAGTTTTTAAAATATTAGGGGCATCAAAATGGCCTTCATGAGCCATTTCTTGTCCCATTGTTACAAGATCGTCAACTTTATGCTCCCACTGCATCAACTTTGTCTCGAGTATTTGGTGTTTCTTTAAAAGGTCTTTGCAACTTCGCAAATCTTTGCCAACTTGCTTGCTCGCCAGCGAGTTTTCAATCTCTTCCAAATCTTGTCGAGCATCTTCAATAATGCGATTGTAACCATGTTGCGCTGACGCTTGACGTAATCTTCTACCTTTCTCCAACGACAACATGACTAGTTGGTCCCATTGTTCGTTCAAGTCTTGTAAGATTTTTCCAACGTCTTCAGATCTGACGATAATATTTTTTGTTAATACCAGTCAACATTATCTTCATAATATCAAATTTACCTATAATTCTCTTCAGAGATGAGAGCTTTTCCTGCTTTGTTGACAGCCCTCAATTGGCCCTCGTTAGCTCTGAGTTCTCTTTCAAATGCCTCGTGTTTTTGTAGTTTGCGCTCCAGATTATTCAAATCTCTGTAAGTTTCATCCGAGGCAGTTTTCATTTTGTCAGTCAGCCAATCTCTAAGATCATCCACTTCGGCGCAAAATTGTTGATAATACTCAGATGCTTTGAGAGCAGCTCGACGTTGTTGAGCTGCATCTTTAACGGCTGCTCGTCGTGCAAGTACTTGATTACGTTTGTCGTTGATGCTGAAAATTGAAATGACAACGAATGTGATGAATATCGCGTAAACAGTGCTTCGTTTAAACGCACGATAGTGCTTTAACATACTTGTTCTTGTCATAGTGATCCTGAGCTATGAGCTTATCCGCAATATCGCTGAATATTTTGAGCCTGTCGTCTTGCGCTTGCAGCGTGTTCTCGAATTTCTCGTGTTGTTTCAGCAAAGCTTCAACATCATCAAGTGACTCACCGAGATCAGCGAACTCCAAGAACGTCGCATGCGAGCTAGTTGTGGCGTCAATCTGGTCGGCTTCGCGATTAAACTGCTGTAATTCGAGACATTGTTCTAGCCATGCTTGCTTAGCTAACCAAGTTGATGTAACCGAATCGTAAAGCCCTTTTAATTTGTCGTGACGTTCCTTTACTTCGTTCAGCACTGGATTTCTTTCAAGAAGCTTATTACCAAGAGCTTCGACTTCACGGAACCTAATTGAAAACACGGTTTTTTAATTGAGCAAACAATCGTCGCTTTCAATCGTAATTCTCCAACACTTACTCATCCTCTTTAGTTCGAATTTCATCGCCAAGTTCCGCGTGTTGTTTCTTGAGTTTCTCGGCGGTTGCAATATCTCTTACCGGTTCTTCAACTTCCATCGTCTCGTGCGTGTCGTTTGCCCAATTGATCAAATTCTTTGAACTGTTCATAAAGATTTGCTGCCCTACGGCATCTTCTAGTCTCGAACGGCGCTCTATAGCTTTACTTTGCACTTTATGCCATAAATCGCGTATCTCACCTTGCCTTTTATTGACATTATTCAACTCATTGGGATAAGTACTTTTAACGCTATTGGCAAGGAGGTTTACCTTTCGAACCTAGAAAAGTAGCGAAATTACATGTAATAATAGTGTTATGTTAATATGAATATTCTCGTTACCTTCTCCTCGACGGGTGCCAATTCCCGCTCAAGATGTTGATGTCTTCTCTGCAAAGCTTGTACAGTTTTTAGATCTGGCCCAATCTCCGCCGTATCCAACTGCGTGATCTTTTCCAACATCCAATCATGCGCTTCGTCGCAGGTCCTGTTGAACAACTCAACACTGGACGCTCCTTCGAGGCTCTTCTCTTTCTGTGCCTTGAGCCAGTTCAGATGGTCCCACAGCTGATGAATGTGCTTCTGCCTAGCCTTGACTTTGTCCAACTGACCGTGGCCTTGCTTAACGAAATCCTCGACCGCGGTATCGATAGCTTCGACGCGCTTACCCGAGGCCGAGAGATCTGTAAGGAATTTCTCGTATTTCCTCTTGGCAGTCTCGACGTTATCGCGCGAATCATCGGCCTTAAGCATTTTTTCCCTGTCTTTGATCCACTTTTCAAAGTCGTCGCACTCGCGGTAAAAACCGTACAGACGTATGGCGTCCTCGAGGAGAGCATGGCGACGCTTGGCCAACTTTTGTAGTTGTGCGTAAGTGTCGTTGATTTTTTTCATGCGCTTCTCCAGGTTCTCGGCATTGCCGGTTGCTGGTTTCTTGTGCGGCTTGACCGCCGAACGCGTGGACTTGACTCGACGCACGGGTACCACTTGTCTGACCATTCGCGTCTTCTTCACTCGCTGCGTCACTCTCACTCTTTCGGGCTTGCGTACTTGCACTTGCACCACCTTGTTCTCGACTTGGCGGACGTAGGAGGCCGGCACATAGCCATCCGTGCCGTCGGCTTTCCTCACACTCCACCAGTCCGGGTTGGTCTTGCTCAGCAGTAGCATTATCTCGCCCTTTGCCATAGACATTCCTTGGCCGTTGAATGGATACAAGCTTCTGACTTGGGGCACCAGTCTCTCCTCTACGACAACGCGCGGCTCCACGCGCTCGACCACCTCGTCGACCCACTCATCTTGCGGCACAAGACGCACTTCTTGTGTCCACTCGTCTTGTTCAAGCTCAGCCAGAGGTTCGGCCTGTTCCTCGTTCTGAGTTTGGTCGATTTGCAGAGCCGAGACTCCCGCGCGCTGCAGCTTCTCGGCTTGGGTGTTGAGCGACTGCAGGTCTCCGCGGTAAGCATTAAGCTCGCCCTCAAGGTCTTTGTGGCGTTGCAGTAAAGCTTGAGCCGACGGCTCATCAACACCGTAGTCTTCTGAGGTCACAAGAGACATTTTCTCTTTCATCCATGAGTCCGCTTCGTTGGCGTCCGCGCAAAACTGTCATTGAAAGGCAATCCTCGTTATAATTTACCAACCCGCAACGACTTTGGAAATCGGATAACCTACCTGTAGAGCTTCGCTAGCCTCCTCGAGTTGTTTCTTTCTCAGAGCAAGCAACTCCTCAAGTACTCTCCAATGTTCTTGCAGTGATTCGAGCCTGTTCTCGATTTCCGGCGCTGACGGGTGATTTTCGGCGACCAATCGCCTGCCGACCTGAACCAACTGGTCGGATTTTGGTCTACGTGTCTTCGCCTCGTCCTCGAGTGCCTTGTGCTTCTGTTGCAGAGATATCAGCGCTCTCAAGTCCTTGGCAATTATGCCGGCCCTGCAAATCCTCTGTCTTTCGATCAACCACGACTCCTCATCTTCGTGGTCCTGTAGGAATTGGAAAAAGTTTCGTGCATCCTCCAGTCTGGCTTTGCGCTCTTTGCTGTATTCACCTGTCGACAACAATGCAAGGGAAGATCAAACTTCGTTGGGACTTCTAAAGTGAACGAAGATGTGCCTATATTCGTATGGGGGTTCGTCGCAAGCGAAGGTTGTCACCGTCGTTGTCGCATCGCGCCCGGTTGTTCCACACGAGATGGACGATGCAATTGCGCTTACCCAACTGTCCATAAGCTTTGTTGAGCTGGTCCAGCTTGGCCTCCAGCAGAGCAGCCTCCTTGCCGAGCAGCGGCGTGCCCTGAGCAGACTGCGACTGCTGAGCCTGAGCGGCGACTTGTGTCTGGACCTGGGCCGCCTGTCGAGCCAGCCTTCTCTGACTCTCGCCCAGGGCCGTTACCTGGAGCTCCTGTAGGCTGTGTCTTTGCAGAAGATCCTCCACGCCGAGCAAGTGCGGCCCGACTTCCGTACTCTGGAAACAGAGCTGCAGCTCTTGTACGGTATCCAGCGTGGTCTCGATCTCTCGCATGAGACTCATAAGCGAGCACAGTGCCGTGAGGTTGGCCTTGTGCTTGTCCAACAGTCCCAACAGCTCGCGCCAGCGCTGTAGCACTTGGCGTTCACGGGCCTGCACGCGCTCGAGACCGTGGTAGTTCTCGCGCACGAGCTCCTCGGACATGTTGGTCAGGTCGTGGAAGCGCTCCTCGCGCGCGAGGATGTCGGCACTGATGGCCTCGTGTTTCTTCACCGTGGCGTCTACTTGGGCGAGGTTACTACCGTAACGCGGGTCCGACAGCACCTGGATCATTTCCTTCAGATAACCTTCCCGCAGCACGCTCTTCCTCTCGAACTTGTAATTAAGTTGCTCTAGCCTCTCTTGGCGGAGCAACTCGCTCCTCAGCGCGACTTCTCGCCTGTGCTCGGCGCGCTCCAGCTCCTGCCATTTGCGCTCGATGTCGTTGACCAGCTGGCCCTCTTGGGGTACGAAGGCCGGCTGGTTGAGCGACTTGAGCCGAGTATTGATGTGGAAGTATAGCGCCTCGATCTCCGAGCGCTCCTTATACTTGGGTGGCTTCTCGATAGTGCGATACTGCTTGAATGCCAGCAGCTCACGTTGAATGCCCTCCAGCGAGTTGGGGAAATTACGGTCCTCCAGCACGCCGATTTTAAGTTTAATCCATTCCAGCAGCTCTGCGCACAGCTTGCCGTAGTGCACCTTCATCTTGTCTGCGTCCATCATTTGGCCCACGATCTGTCTCATCATTATCATTATTCATCCTCCAATCTCATATTTTTTCAAATGTACGTGCAGTCGAGCAACCCAAAATTTACTTTTACATTTTTTCTAATAAATTCAGTTATTTTTCATGAACTCGATGTTACACGCTTCGCTTTTCGACTTGGAACTCTGTGCGTGGCGTAATTCGAGCCTTCAAATTAGTTTACTTGCATTTTTCATGTATCACAGAATCTTTTTTCTTTCATTTCTTTCTTTCTTTTTTTCGCCGAATCAGCTATTAAATTGAAACCAAATCTTCCGAATCGTACGTTTCTCGACTTTAAAATAAAAGAAAAAAAACCCATTCAAGCACAAACTTACATTCGCGATTCTTTTGCCACTCTTGATTTCGTTCTTCATCCTGGCGAATGTATGATAATAAGAAGCAACATAAGTCATGATAGATTTCTCGTCGGGTCGTGCAGTATCGACGTCCTCGGCGTCAAGAAGCCGAGGAATGCCAAGCTCAGAGTTGGCCACGTCAAACGCATAGTTGAGCGTGTCGATGGGCTTGCTCTGTTGCAGGTCCGACCAATTGACCAAGTCCGGCCGATGCGCGTGGATCAGCGCATTGAAACCCAAACCACTTCTCCATGATACTAAAAAATTTTCATTGCAAACAAAAAGCAAAATAAGCGATGGGCTTGGTTATGTAAGACTATGTTCACTGCTATGATTAATCGACTGACTAACAACCGAGAAGAAAAATACTGCCGTATTTCACACGACAGTTTTTTTCAGCAATTGTTTTGCCATTCCAGTGACAAATAAAGACCTGCTCGCTAGATTATAATCGATGTTACGAAGCTACTCGAGATTATGTGCCGAGATATTTCGTATGTGTCTTGGCGAACAATCGATAGCGCGAGTTTTGGCGAGGAGTGGTCAGGAAGTGGGTAAGGAGGAAGAGGGGCGGTGTGCAAGCTCACCAGTGAAATCCTGAATGTTAACGCTGGGATAACCATTGGTCTTCCTCTGGCACCAGAGCAGCAGCGCGTCCTTGGCGGACTTTTTCTCGCTGCTCTCGTTCTCCTCGTCGACATCGATCTCGATCTCTTGGATTTGAAAGCGTAAAATGATGGTCCATATCAATCCGAGTATGAGCCGAGGATTGCCGTCGACTATGTCTTCGGCGCCGATACTCTCCAGACGCACCTGAAATACACTCGAGTCTTTCATTGAGGAGCGCGGCATCGCTCCCAAGGGGGCATTGATCCGACTCGGTCAAGTATTCCTCGAGAACAATTGGCGGATTCGCGCGCGCGAGGCCGTTTGCATTTGGCGATTCATCGGCAATGCGAAGCCGATGCCTTCCGCGCGAGCTGCGCCTCGCTATTCGGCATTGTTCGGCGCTAGCCGCTCGAAATGGCAAGCAGCGACTGCGGTCTACTTTTCCCTCGAGACTTTCGACTCGCTAATAGCCCAGCGGAATTTTCGCGCGCAGCAATAAAGCACGAACTTGCATTCTACGCTTTACTATCGGTGAGATAGCGCTCGAAAATATAAGGCTCCGTGTATCGATACAAATTGAATTCCAGTGTAGCTTGTTATTAAGATCGTTATCTCGGAATTATCTGTAATAGCACACTTGTTGCGCGAGCGAGCCTCGAGTGAATCGGGCAAGAGGCAAAAGCTCGCGTTGCGTATCGCTGGCAGGCGCGCACCAGGCGATCCGCACCGCGATCGATTATCGCGCGCGGCCTTGGGCGGCGCGCCGCGGTCGAGCCGTCACCCGGGCGCGCGCGGCTCGGTAGGCGCGTACCTTGGTGTGCAGGAAGGCCAGCGACTTGTTCACGTTCTCGATCTTGTGCACGCGCATGCGGCCGTTGTTGGGCTTGGCCAGGCGCTCGCCCGAGATGATCTCGAGCAGCTTGAGCAGCCGCTTGCCGTCGGCCAGGTCGGCGAACAGGTCGTCCAGCTCCATGCGCGCCTGTAAGCAACAACGCACAGCCGGTGAGCGGCAGCCGTCGGGCCCGCGACGAACGCCGCTCGCGGCCACGGTCACCTTGGCCAGGAACGAGTTGATCCATTTGGTGAAGGTCTTCTTCTGGATGAGCAGCCGCTCCTCCTGGAGGGACTTGATGCGGTTCTGCTCGAACTTGAGTGCATCCTCCCTCTGCGTCATTCTCCCCGAGGCTCGCTGAGACCGCTGCTGCTGCTGCTGCTGCTGCTGCTGCCGAGTCTGCTGCCGAGTCTGCTGCTGACGGTCGCTGCAAGCTGTCGGCCCGGCAGCGTCCAGCTCATGCTGCACTGCCCCTGCAATCAGCCGCGCCGTCATCGGGAGAGCCTCGCGGGAGGTGCGAGGCCGGCCGGCCGCCACGCCCGCTCCTCCCGCCGCGCGGCGCCGATTCGCTCGGCCGCGCGGTCCCCGAGCCGCCTCGGCGCGCCGCGGCCGCTGCCCGCGCCTCCTGCTCCGCGGCCTTCCTCGCTCGGCTCGCTCGGCTCGCTCGGGCGCGCGGCGACAGTCGCCGACCGGTCGCGATCGGGCGCCGCTTTCCATCGTGCCCGCGCTGGCCCATTAAACGCATTCCGCACCGCTACGCGCGCCACAGCGCCAGCGGCCCGCTAGCCGGGGGGGGGGGGGGGGGCACCTACCGAACTCGTGGTCGGCGTGGTGCTGCCGATAGAACGCCCGGTAAAGGCTGCGACGATCCATCCCGGCGCGTCGCCCACGCACTACTGACTCGCTCTCGGCCCCCTTATCTGCCGCGCTGATAGCCCGGAGCTCGGCGGCGCGCACCTCCAGCCGTGCTTCTAATTGCCCGCCCGCTATCTCGCGCCGACTTTCTAAGTCGCGCTGAGTCACGCGCTCCTTTCGTTTCTTTTCTGCCTCTCTTTCCGCGGCGATTTCTACGACTGCGTGCACTCGCGCGAGGCCAAGTTCGCAGCGCGAGCGTACATCTGTGCGACACGTGCACACCCGAAAGCGAGCCGCGGGCCGAAAGTGGCGCGCGCCGCGAGAGAGCTTCCATTAGCGAAACACTGCGACCGCGAGCGACGCCTCGTTGTGCAATCCGCTTTTGGCCACGGCGACGTTTCACTCCGCGCTTTCCGCGAATTTTCGCACGAGGCGAACAATAACGGGAACGCGACTCGCGCGCTACGCGGAATTCGCCGCGAAAAAGGAAAAGAAAGAGAGGGAAAAAGGAAAAAAAAACGCGACGCGTAGCGCCACCGCCCCGGGCTACATTTTATCTTTCGCAGGCCTAGCGGAGATAAGCGCGGCGCGAATCTTATTGGCATCGCTCTCGTCTGCCGGGGCTGCGCTCTACTCGCCAGCCCAACCTCTCTTCCATCAGCGCGCATTTTCGAGGCGTTAATCACGATAAGGCGCCGAGTGACACCGAGATTGACGAGAAGCAGCGGTGGGAGCCCCGCCACAACATCGAGGGGCCTTTCAACGGGGAGGACGTATAACCGCGGCCATTGATGACAGTTATCAGCTGTTTGCATATCGCTATCGGGCCAACTCCGCGCGACACTAGCAAAGCAGCCGCGCTCTGAAGCTCGTCAACGAGTCGCGACGAGTGTCGAACAGATGTTGCCCAATTGGCACGCAACGCAGTCTAACGTACGAAATTGACAAAGGGACGGGGGAGAAAGAGCTACACGGGGCGCGTTTCCTCTGCGGTTCACATGTGAAACCCAGCAAGAGCCGGCGCTCGGCGGATGTGACCGTCTTTTCTAAGAGTTCGAGAAATAGTAGGAGAGATAGAGAGAGAGAAAGAGAGAAAGAGAACTGGCCGGTCTCGCTAAGTATACGTGCGTAAGCGCAGGGCGGGAGGGGGCCAAGCGAGTCCGGTCGATCTTGAGGGGCTTCCGATCGGCTCAGAAACAATCTCCACGCAACAAAGGTCAAGACTGGCCGTGCAAGCATGCGACTGTGCGTGCATGTTGCGTGTTGTTATTTTGGCGGGCGCTTCTGGCGCGAGTGAGCGCCACGCTATGCAAATAACTCTGCAGCAAAAAGCAACGGCGGGCATCTGGCGGAGATCCTTCTCTCTCTCTCTCTCTCTTTCTCTCTCGGCAAACGAATCTCGGGCGCGGCGGCTATACGGCAGCGGCGTCTCAAGAAAAAGAGAGAGAGAGAGAGAGAGAGCGGTCCAGCGAGTCTGTTGACCGTACAGCGGTGGCGGCTGCAGCTACGCAGGCAGATACACACCCCAGAGAGTGAGAGAGAGAGAGAGCAGGTCGGAACAGCTCACATTCGCAGTTCTTGAACTTGCACGTGATAATTCGGAGAAGAACGCGTTACAGCTGCGACCTTGCCAATATGTTGCCCCTGCACGAAGCACCTGTTGAGCAGCCGCTGTTTCTGCGAACCGCCATAGTGAAATCGGCGGCAGCTCTCTCTCGCTCTCTCGCTCTCTCGCTCCACACTCACTTCACGAGAGCCTTTTCAACGGTGTAGTTTGCTGCGGCAAACTGTCGATCCTCGATCAGTAACAATCACCATCAAGATAACGCACTGTACACAATATCACTTCGAAAACACGGCAGACGTGGTTTCCGCGTAGTTCTCGCGCTCGATCTCTCACAAACTTGCTTGCTTGTGGGATACAAGTCGGTCGGTCAAAGTCCCCGCTCGCTCGCTTGCTCACTCGACGGCAGCGGCGCGACACTGCTATACTCGCGCACGAGAGGCATCGCAGCACCGATGCGAAGACAGCCCGACACAAATAACATTTTAGAAAAAAAAATGATCACATCTCACGTATGTCTAATTGTACTTCTCGAAAAAATAATTATTTGTTATTGTACCATTATATTTCTCATAAAAAATAAGAAATATCCTTATCGATATTTCACCTCCTATTTATTCACGTAAAAGACATAATTAAGCAAAAATAAATTCACAGAAAAATTGTACCTTCTATAGTCTAAATCGTACCATCAGTACAATTCTATAAATTTGTTTCTAAAAGAAATAATAGGACAATTACAAATTACCACTATTTGTTACATCTTACAAGGATGTCATCCGGAAATGCACTTTGCGCAGGCGTAGAGCTTTAAACAGCGGAAAAATTTTGAAACCAACAATATTACATACATAAATTTATATAAATTCAATTGATGATTTAGTATGCATGATTATTTGTGTACACCCAACGTGAATTGAATCGCGACCCCCCCTAGTTAGGTTGGTAGAGTGCTACTTTCAGTCCGTAACGGTGGTTTTCAGATCGGCCATAGTATTACGCTCGTTCTTAAATTATATAATTAAAACCTAAAATCAAATAATCATGCATCTAAATTCATTGTTCGCAAACAATAAATTTTAAACCTAAAAACAAATTAGTAACGTTTTAGCTTTTTATCGTATCTTAAAACGAATTTTCATTTTTGAATATTCCCGCGGTTTTTTCGTCCCGATGCAACGACGGAATTCTCATACCAACCTAACTGGGGGGGGTCGCGATTCAATCCACGTTGGGTGTACCTAACCTCGAATCTGCATCGAAAATTCTTCATTAATAATCGATAAATAGTAAGCAACAAATTAATTGTTTGAAAAACTAATTGCGGTACAATTAAGTCGGATGTTCGATGAATGAGGTACAGTTGTCCTTAAATTGCTATATCTGGATAAAGTAAGCATTAGCATGAAATCAAATCGGTGTAGCTGTATCTTTCTCTTTGTCAATGATTTTCGAGGTTTATAATATAAAAATAATTAGTTAGATGAAAGAAAATTATTTTGTCTGACAAGTTAAATTATTTCTATACTAAATCATCAATTGAATTTATATAAATTTATGTATGTAATATTGTTGGTTTCAAAATTTTTCTGCTGTTTAAAGCTCTACGTCTGCGCAAAGTGCATTTCCGGATGACATCCTTGTAAGATGTAACAAATAGTGGTAATTTGTAATTGTCCTATTATTTATTTTAGAAACAAATTTATAGAATTGTACTGATGGTACAATTTAGACTACAGAAGGTACAATTTTTCTGTGAATTTATTTTTGCTTAATTATGTCTTTTACGTGAATAAATAGGAGGTGAAATATCGATAAGGATATTTCTTATTTTTTATGAGAAATATAATGGTACCATAACAAATAATTATTTTTTCGAGAAGTACAATTAGACATACGTGAGATGTGATCATTTTTTTTCTAAAATGTTATTTGTGTCGGGCTGTCTTCGCATCGGTCAATCAAACCAAGCTGGGAGGGAATGAGACGCCACATATGTATAAGCACACCATTCGCAAAGTATAAAGTCAAGCAAAGTGAAAGTATGGACGGCTGTCAGAGAATACTATTGAAACGAAGAGGTTATAATAGCTTCTTCTACAATAAAAAATGCCTTTCATGTCACTAATTTAAGATTAGTTGCAACGTGGCATACAACGGTAAAATTCATTTTATTCATTATACTTTAAAATTATCATCTGTTCCAAAGCCGTGACTCGCTATGTACGATCAGAAACTTGCTATCATGTAATAAAGTCGACTACCTCGTATTTCTTATATACATTTTGCTTCTAAAGCTTTTCTGTTGTATATACAATAGTAATGAGTCGAATTACTTATTGTTTCAGTAGATAATAGGTATTTTCATTGAATACTTCGTTAATTGTATGAAGATTTGTTTGCTCAAGTGTTTTATGAGATTTTAAAATTAACAGATTTTCACAATAATAAGCAATGGGTGCTACACCAAGTAGATTTGAGGATCTCTCACAAAATACATATCTAGAGAGGTTCTGTAGTAAGCAGCCTATACCTTTGGATGATAGCTTTTGGAGCCGTTTCCTCTCATATAACATAAGACCACCTCTCACAAGAAATGATCAAATTGAATTAGATTCTCGATTAGATTTATGCTGTCAACAACTACTTGTCAATAATTTAACTACAGGAAATATTGGATGTTTGATACAAATATCTTTAATCAGAGTCACCGAATTACTTTCAACAGCTGACGCAGATACGTAAGTTGTTAAAAGTATGCCTTTTCCATTTCACTTGCAAAACTACAATGATTTGTATTAAATTTTTAGCATTATGCCTGCATGGCAAACCTATAATTCTCTTTTTGCTGTGCGGTGTATTTTAAAATATTTAATTGAAACTGTTGGAGAGGAGGAAATGATTAAACATACAGAAATTCAAGTTGCTGGAGACAGCAGTAACAGCTTAATACCAGTTCGATTACAAACATTTTTTGAAGCCTTAGTAGCAGTTATTGTTGATGTACCACTTTGGTAAGAGTTTATACAACATCTATTTAACTAAAGAATTTGAATAAATTATATTCATCAATATACCTTTACAGTGAGTTTACATACCTAGTACATTTGGAAGCAATAAACTGTATGCTGGTGTTACTGTCAGTACAACTGTTTTCACAAACTCCTGCAGAATATAGTACAGTTTATAGAATAGTTATGAATGAAGAAGTGAGTGCACATGCTGCTGTGATGATCTGTACATTGCTGAATAACTTTGCTGAGCAAGCTCATGCACCCCCAGGCCTTTTAACTCCACAACCGGGTTCTAGTATAGTTTTTAGTATTGCAGGTAGGATTTGATACTTCAGTTAATATTTAGAAGTTTTTAACTTAATGTACAAGACTGTAAACTTATTTTTTTGTTGTTTATTTAGCTGGACTATGGCATGTCATAACTATGGGAATGGGAAGTAGTTCTAGAAATATCCAAGTAGCACATGGTGGTAATGTGGAGGATGTGGAGAAAAAACGAGATACTGAAACACCTTTAGCTAGCCAATCTTTACTTCTTCTACTGGTTCTTACCAATCATTGGACGGCGTCGCGGAATCCATACAGAGATGCTCTATTTGCATTCACTAATGTTGAAGGTTAGTAATTTTGTTTTACCAACTAACAACTATAATCATAGTACCGTAATAATTTGATCCTTTTGATTGTACAGATGACTGTGAAACTTCCTGTGAAACTCAATGTGCTTTCAAATTCAACGTTGATAAGCTGTATAAAACTATTTGTAAATTACCGAATACAGATGAAGTCACGCTATTGTTGTACATGCTGCTCCATCGAAATCCCAATGTGAAACGATTTATTATGACAAGACCTGATGTACAATTATTGGTATGTTTAAAAACTGTTGTTGAATTAATTTTTTACTATTCAAACATTTCACTTGATATTACATATTTTAGGTGATTCCTATTTTAAGAATACTCTATCATGCTCCAGATAATACTTCTCATCACATTTATATGTCTTTAATAATCTTATTGATTCTAAGTGAAGATGAAAATTTTAATAAAACTGTGCACGACATTGTAAATATTACGAGTTGCATTATACTTTATATTTTTATAAATAAAATTTAAAATACAAAAACATATTTCATCTATAGGTATTGAAGGGAATCACATGGTATACTGAACGATCAATTAGTGAAATATCTCTAGGAGGACTGTTAATTCTTGTTGTTATTAGAACAATACAGTATAACATGTTGAAAATGAGAGTAAGTTTTGTTCACTTATTGGCCTCTCAAGTGCAATAAGAATAAAGTAATAATTTCTTCATTCAACTTAATAGGACAGATATTTGCACACAAATTGTCTTGCTGCACTTGCAAATATGTCAAGTCAGTTCAGAGCTCTACATCCCTACGTTAGTCAGCGACTCATCAGTTTATTTGAAACCCTAGCAAAGAAGCACGCGAAATTGGAGACGTCCATACGAGCACAATCTTCTTCTGCATCGACAACTGTGGACATAACTGCAAATGGCACTGTTACAAGTAACGATTTGGTAAATACTAATTTTTGCAGATGATTATATGCCATATCACATTAATGTAGTTGAAAGAATTGATTAAAGAGCAATTGACTGGTCTGATGAGGGTGAGGTTCTTCAAGTGGAAGAAAAACAGTTTATCAGCTAGGATTTGCCAGTCTTTTCAAGCTTTTAAAATTATATCGATGAAATGGCGTTAAGAATATTAGCTTACTTTTCTTCCATTTCAAAAACTTTGCCCTCGTCAGATCGACCAGTCGATTGCTTTCCAATTACCTTCGTCAACGATTTACTAGTAAGGGTGACTATCAAATGAGTTGAAAATAGCAATGCTACAATAATCCAATTATTGCGTGGAAATTACGTTTCAGATACAAGATTTATCAGTGTTAGAAGAAGTTTTGCGTATGGTTCTAGAAATCATCAATAGTATCCTAACGTATCAATTAGCTCACAATCCTAATTTAATATACGCGCTTCTCTACAAAAAAGATATTTTTCAACCGTTCCGAACGCACTCATCATTTCAAGATATCGTCGCCAACATAGACTCGGTAAATTTTTGGTCGATCAAATTTCCTAATAACGTTCAAACATTTATTTACTTAAGAAATTTTTCTATTCTAGGTGATAAACTTTTTTTCTCAAAAGCTGGAGCAGAAAGAACAATCTCAACTTGGTGTCAGTCAAGTTTTAGCAACAATACAGAAAGGCACGAGTCAGTGGCCAAAGGACCGATTAAGGGTACGTATTTTTAAAATAGGAGCCTTTTCAAGATATCTAGACAAATACCTCATTTGCTATATTGTTCTTTCAGAAATTTCCTGAGTTAAAATTCAAGTACGTAGAAGAGGAGCAGCCCGAAGAATTTTTCATTCCTTATGTGTGGAGTGTCGTCTGCCAAAATGCTCTCTTGCACTGGAGCGCTGAAAATATCAAATTATTTTTACCAAGCCAGGGCGAGCAAACCACTATCATTGTTTGCTGATATAACGACGATAAGTCTAATTGCAGGATTTGCTAAATGGTGCATTATATTTCAGACTAATCGCGCCAGAGGTGCTTATGACGACTGAAAATCCGATTGTACGTATCAACAATGTAGGGATGGTTTATATTTAAACTTTAACGTATCTATAAAAATCAATGTATGTAAACTGGTTAAATGCTTTACGGCCAGGCAAGGATAAATTATATATATATATATATATATATATATATATATATATATATATATATATATGTATGTATGTATGTATGTATGTATGTATGTATGTATGTATGTATGTATGTATGTATGTATACACATGTATATACATACATGTGTGTGTGTATATATATATATATATATATATATATATATATATATATATATATATATATATATATATATACATACACACATACATATAGTTTTTGAAAATGGCGATTTGTCATTGCTTAGATTTGACCAAAATAAGAAAAAAATCATCATTTACTTTTAGTAACGGTTTCAATGTTGTACGGGAAAGCTGTTTCGAGTCATTGCGACTGCGGATTAAAGATGATCAGTGACTCATTATTTTTGTCAGTAAAAAATAAATGTAAATAATTCTTTAACCAGATGTAAAAGCTTCGCGTTACTAATGATTATGTCATCTACTGTAAGAGTAATTTACATTTTCGCACGCGTTTGTACATAGGCTCAGCTGTTATCATTTTGACAAATATTATCTAAAAATAAATTTACTATAATAAAATTTGTATATATAATAAAGATGAAACGAGTGTTTTACTTTATTTCAAGACGGAAAGCAGGAGTAAAGGATAGGGAAGCATAAAATGGCAGTAACGTCCAATGTTTTTTTTTCGAATGTACACCTTTATTAAACAAATACACTTGACGTCTTAGTTATTATTTATAATATGTCATTAAGATAGTATTCTTTTAATATTCCTAGCATGTGCAATGTGTGTACGCGCATGTGTGGATATCTCTGGTCTCGCATCGCTATTACTAAAACAAATCTCAATGAACAACCTCAGCTTAATTTTTTTCCGATCGATACAACTGTTTTGCTCGTCCCCTCAACAGGGATTAATATAATTTGACGTAATGATGCGTATAGGGTTGCGTTGGCTGTGCATAATGCTGTGTGCGCCACGAAACAAAAAGAATAAACAAACGCGCGTTGTGTAAGATCGCCGTCACATTCGTCTCTTTTTGAGCGCGAGAAGAGCGCTGCACTCTCTCTCTCTCTCTCTCTCTCTCTCTCTCTCTCTCTCTCTATCTCTCTCACCCCGTCTAACATTTCGCCTTGGTGTGAGTTTCCAAAGGTATAATAATACAATAATAAGCGTACAAAGTTGTACCTTGTATTCGTTTTACTTTATTATTATTCTTGCTGCTGATAACGATGTCGTTATATATATTCATACCAATGATAAAATTTGCTTGCATCTTAACTGTTAATGTTAGCTTTAAGATTATCTTTATTAGTTAACACACAAAATGTCCAAAACGATACTGGGAGGGAATCCATTTCAACTACGCTACGTACAGCTGTGTCATCTGTCTCTATCGCGCGCGCATTCGAACGCGAAATGAGCGCGGCGTGACCGAAGCAAAATTCACGCGCGCGCACGGCGTATTTATAGCCACGGTGAGCGGAAGGGAGAGAGAGAGAGAGAAAGAGAGAGAGGGAGAGCGCCGCTGTTGCAGCTTTTAGACGAGCCCTAATCTCCGCAGCCCCATTATCACGCGCCAGCATTGCGGCCCCACCGACGAAGGAGCCGGCTTCCTTTCTTTCTCTCCTGGCCGAGTCTGCTCCGCGACACCTACGCCTGACTCATCTCTCTCTCTCTCTCTCTCTCTCTCTCTCTCTCTCTCTCTCTCTCTCTCTTCTTTTTTCCTATTGTTACCTCGCTCCGTCTTTCACTTTGTTCGCGTTTAATATGCATAAAACATATCCATACAAACGGGGACGCGCGCGCGCGTAGTGCATGCATGTACCTTATCGTTTGCGTGTCCAACCGAGGGAACGAATTTCCGCGCTCGATACGATCCAACTCACCCGTGTGCACGGGAATCGGGAGTAACGATAAGTGGCGTTCAGCTGCTCACGGCAACGAAATCAACGACGCGGCGTGTTACCAAATCGATCCTGGCTTTTCGCGCGTAAGCGGCGGCCTCGTGTCCGCAGTGCACCCATGGCGAAATCGGGGCAGCGCGTCGCGGCACATCGAGGAGTGCGAGGAGAACTGCCAGCGATCGTTCAAAAATGCATTCCGGTTTTCTGTCCTTTGTCGCTGCCTAATGACGGGCGCTCCTCCTCGTCGTTGGATCGAGCTCGCTTTTCCTCTTCCTTCTAGAGAGAGAGAGAGAGAGAGAGAGAGAGAGAGAGACAGAGACAGAGAGGATGGAGAGAGTCTCGTTCCGTTTCCTTCTCCACGCGCACAGAAGTTCCTTCGCTTTCGCTCTTTATTTATTTATTTATTTTTTATTCATTATGCGCCTATATATAATATACATATACTTTTTATATACGTTGCTTTGTTCTCTCGCGGATTTGCGTGGCTTTTCATTAATAAAGTTAATTAAGTACGGAGTCGCGCTCTCGAGGCGAAATAAAAGTGGAGCTGATCGAGAGATGCGGTAAGAAAGAAGAGAGAGAAGCAGCGTTCTCGTACGAAATGTCGGGCGGAAGGGGGGCATGGTGTATCCTCTTCGCTCGATGCAGCGTGAGTGCGGCGATTAATTAAAAAAAAGCTTACACGCGTGAAAAGTGGCCGGGTATGCAGGCAAGACAACTATGCAAGTCCACGATAGTGGGGGGGGGGGGGGGAGGCGTACGTTTTCGTGCGCGTAAGCTCTTTAAAGGAAAAAGAACACAGGCAGACACACCGCGGGCGGAGGCGAAAAGAGCCGGGGCCGAAAACGCTGCTCGGAACTGACTCGCGCCGTCGTCGCGGTCGTGCAGCGCGGCAGGCGCGCCGAAAACAACGAAGAAGACGCGGGAGGCGAAGAAGCAACAACGCGGTAAAATGGCGAACGCGTTCGCGCGCTCCGCGTCGTCGCGCGCTGCCAGTTCTCGGCGGCGGCGATCAATCGCGCACGGGGCGAGGGGTGTGTTACACAGGGCCGTTCGCTCGATCCTTAATCGTTAATCTCTCGTGCAAAATTCGCGCTTCGTCTTTAGTCTCTTTCACCGTTCGTTCACGCGCGCCGCCAAGCTCTCGCGCTTGGGTCCTTATCCAATTTTTTTTTCTTTTTTATAAAAATGATATGATATGCACGTTCAAAAATAAATTGTCGTTATAGTCCCTATACGAAATACATATTCAAATATTCAGTTCCTAAGTATTTGATCGATATTTCTATCTCTTTTTTTTTTCTTTTAAACTTCTCCCTAAAAATACATATACATACACGTGAATTAGGACTCGGCAGTACTTGTGTATATTCGTGCTTTTATTTTATTTTATTTTATTTTGTTCCTCGTCCACATGGGAGATGCATCATTACGTGCGTACCGATGCGTACTCTATTCGTCGAATCTCGCGAGAATCTCGCCGCGCGATCATCGGACACCGATCGCGCAGCAAAGTCCGTACATCAAATACTGCCTGATAAATACACACGTTTCGTTACATTACGTTTTTTTTTTCACCTTTTTCACTTTTCCCCCGTTATTTGTTCTTTAGATTCCCACGGCAAGCGGGATAGAGCTTTGCGAAACCCCGCTAAACGTAGTGATTATCAAAAAACCGGGTTTTCGGGTGTGATATCTCGATGAGCAGGGGCGGGAGATGGGGCGAAGAGGGAAGCAAAGAGGCAGGATCAAAACACGCATGTAAAAAAATAACAACGAATTACAATTAGTCCCAGGCCCTACGTACGTAGTCTGCACAACTGATTGCACTACCACGAAGAAACACATCCTCTTTGCCGAGTGCAAAGTATATAATTGACACGCGCGCTCCTTGGATACACGTACACCTATAAACGCGTGTAAACGTAATGTATATTCGACTTCCGTGCCGCGCGTAAATACATGCGCCTCCTTCTCTCACGATATGATTAATTTAATTCCTTGTCGCTTACACCGAAATACGTAATATAACACATACTAATATGGCCGCTTCCCGTTCAAGAAATGAATGAAAGAAACGATTTGAAAGGAAAAACAAAAAAAAATATTTCTCGAGGAAAGAAAGAAAAGAGAGACAATATTAACGTGTAATAGCTCCTCTGACCAAATTCTAAAGACAATTGGAAGATGTCAGGAAGAAGCAAGATCGAAGTTATTGCAGAATTGGCGGGGTGTAACCCGTCGTCGAGCGGCACGGGGACGACCATTTATTTTCGGATCTCGCGTCGCTCGACGCTCCCTCGAAATAGCAGAAAAGCACTTCCGAGCTTTAAAACAACTGTTGTTTTCCTGTCCTCTCCTCTCAATTACACAACTCGTGATTTTTTTTAATTATTTTTTTTACTATTTTTTCCACTTGATTTTTACCTTTAACAAAAGAAAGCTTAGAGATCATAGAGTACAAATCCGACGATGTCCGGAGGCGACAAAATGCAAAAACGTAAAAGCTTATCTCTGTATAATAGTACGCTGCTATATAACATTACTTGAGAGATTTGTCATTTATTTATTATATTTGAAGCCTACGTACTCAATAGTATTAATTAAATGTTTCCAACAGCGTCTCTTTCTCAGATACCATTAGTACCAGTAGCGATATTTTTTCTTTATATATATATATATATATATGTATGTATATGTGTGTATATATATATGTATATGTATATTTAGGATTGCCGAAATATCACGTAGTATCCTTCTTTACAAATTTATCATAGAAATAGATCGACGCCACATATCATTTGGAGATTTTTGTGGATTGTTTCAAGACCACAAATTTTTTCCTTCGATCCGATGAAAGTATGAATTTATTTTTTAATTATTGGACAGCACTTGAAAATTCTGGAAAAACTTTTTGAAACAGGAACTACCATAGTTACTGCTGGAACAAACACTTTTTTATTCGGATCTAATGATGACCTGGAAGCAATGCGCAAAAACCACCGGATCACGTGGCATCGATTTATCTCTATGATGGGTTTACGAAGAAGGATACTCCATGATATTTGAGAAATTTCAAATACATACATATATATACATATATATATAATATGTGAGCATTTTGAAAGATAATGAAAGCGTCTTAAAATCAATCTCTGCTATTCTACTATATAATAATATTCTTGAGGTTAATTAAAGCATTGTTTCAACACAAGGCTGACAGTAGGTGAGAGTCGCGATTGTTTTTGGTATTCATTTTAGTAAAAGTCATGTTGTGCATTTAAAAGTCTTAAGTATCTTACCAACAATACTCAAAAAATGTATTCTTTTGTCATACAAATGTGTGATGAACCAAACGACTGATATATATATTTTATGACTTTGTTTTTTTTTACTTTTTTTCATGCGTTTATTATTAAATATCTAGTCTCAATCTACTCGACTGCATTCCATTTTTATATTGAGCTTTGCAAGCATATTCCAACATCGAAAAATTTTGTCATCGCCGTCGGGACCATCGGAATCGTTCGTACAAATTGTCCCGACTGCGTCTAAATAGGTTTTCCCTTCTTTTTATTTATTACTGAATGCGTGTGCTTTTGTGTATATGTGTGTGAAAATAGAATCGAAGAATAGTACATCCGCATACCTCGACAACCACTGTTGTTAAGAACGTTACCGTATGTAGAAAGAGTTTTTTTTTTCTCAATTATTAGATAAAGCGTCCCGCACTCTTACAGACTTAAGTCGTTCTTAATTTTCTCTGTCTTACTTTTCTTCATTCTCTCATTCTTTCTTTCGCTCTGTCTCTTTTTTTTTTACTTTTAAGCAGCACACCGCCGATTCGCTGATGCCCTGGTACTAGAAACTCAATCTAAAGGGGACGGATATAATGTGACACTTCAACCTACCTGCAAGAACACACATTTCACCTACTACGTGCTTGACTCTAAAAGACCGAGCGCTTTTTGGAGGTGTCCTATATAGGAAGGATATGAAGTCTCTGGAGCCAAATTCAAAAGTTTGCCGATTTCTGCCAACTTTACTTTTACGAGCCCTTGAAATATTCGAGACAAGGCCGCTACAGTTGCTGCTGCTGCTGCTGCTGCTGCTGCTGCTGCTGACGCTTCAACTCCGTCTAGCTGCCTTTGCTGATCTTAAAGTGGATGAATTTGCGTGGAGAAGCTTCATGATGCCTATATTAAAAAATGCAAACACTGCGTCAAAGCTCTGTGCGCGTTCAACGTCAGCCAATCAAATTTTGAAACGACCGACACTTTTTCTCAACGCGATCGCGCGAGCTTTTGAGCCATTGAGCTCTGGAGCGCACGCGGGCGCTTAGAAAATTACATTTCGTCGGAATTGCGCGCGAGCTCCCGGCCCGGATTTTCATTTGGAGCTCGGAGAGAAGCAAAAATAGAAAGAAAAACTTGAACTCGGAAGCAGCTCGCTCGGTCAACTTCATCCATTTCTCGCGCGCCGAAGCCATTTTTCAGGGGTAATATTTGCACAGATTTCTCAAGCGCGGAGTAAGCGGAGCGTCGGGCGATCGCTCAAAGCGCCTCGTTAATGACTTCTGGTGTATTTTCCGCTAAGCTCCTTATCCCGATCGCTGATGTAGCTTGTCTTGATCGCCCATAAAGTGATCTTTGCCCTCGATCCCTCGTCAATTCGAACGAATTGGGGGCCTCCGTACGCCGATAGTTAAGCACGTGTCATTAAAACCGACAAATAAGCAATGCGGAAGTTTGCGCGGGATCGATTAATACGTGATTTATTAATGCGATGTCGGAGGAATCGCGCGAGAGCGCGGCGCGAATCGATGGAGCTTGAGAGCGCGTGGGAAGGAGCGAGACGCACCTTGTTCCTTGTTCGGTGCTTGGTGTGGCGGCTGGGGAGCGGAGGCGGCGGGGTGGGCGCTTAAACGTTGGGATGATCCCACTCGTAGTCGGGGCTATGGCTACGCCCGAGTCTGCGCCCGCTGCTGACGTCGCACTCGTTCTCGCAGTCACTGGTGTCGATGTCGTCGTCCCTGAAGCTGCCGTCCTCCGAGTCGCTGCTCGCCGAGTCGTCGAGCTCGTCGTCGCGCCGGCCCGCCACCGTCTCCTGCTCGTTTAGCCTGTCCATCGGGTTGACCGTGATGGCCAAGGCCGAGTCGTCCCACGCCATCTCGGTCTCAGCCGCCAGCTCCTCGCCGGCCGAGCGTCGCCGCTTATTGGCGCCTGCAACACATCGATAGGTCAGCTCCGCTGCCTCGGCGGCTCGCAGGGCTGCTCGAGCGGCCTTGCGTGGAAATGCCAGCGCGAGACGGCCGCAAAGGCACGATTTCGAGTACCGGCGAGGGGCGAGAGCGCTATAAAAAGCCCAGCCCGCGACCGGCTCTATCAATGAACAATGACGTGGATCGATACTTTAAAACATTGAGCAACGCTCCCGCCGCGATACCCGCCGCGATACCCGCCGCTGGCAACAATGATGAGCCACACGCGCATACGCTCGACCCACTTTCAAACGCTCTGTAAGCGTATCGACAGGTCTGTCGTACCTCGGACGCGAGCCGCTCCTACGACGACCATGAGCAGGAGGAAGCCGATGCAGCAGGCGGCCACGATGGTGACGGCGTGACTGCCGGCGGCGGCGGCGGCGCGGCCGTCGCGCAGCTGAGTCGTCGCGTACTCCTCGGTGAGCTCGGCGTGGTGGGGCGACAGTTGCGAGTGCCCTGGCTGCGGCTCTACGATCCTCGCCATCGGGATGTCGTTGGCCATGTGGGCGCTGGTCGAGCGAGGCAGCTCCGTCGTGCTCTTCTCCTTCGGGTGGATCACCGCCAGCGTCTGCACGTATTCGTTGCTCGCGAATCTACCGCTGCAGACAGGCAAGGGAACAGGGTGGTCAGCGTGGCTCGCCGGGCTCGTCGACGGTGTCGCGCGCGACGCGACCAACCTGAGCTCGGAGCAGGTGAGCTTGAAGACGCGGTCGAGATAGTAGGCTGGCTTGCGATTGGTGTAGGTGATGAAGTGGATGATCTGCTGGTAGTTGTGGGGCGTGTCGGCGCCGCTGAGGACCACGCCGTCGCGGTCGACCCGCGCGCTGATCAGGTGGAAGCGGCGCAGTGTGTCGCCGGGCAGACTGAGGCTCTCGTGGTCGGGGTTCAGGCTGGGGTAGACGCTGACGGCGCAGGCGTCGAGGCGCGTAGCGCTGCCGGCCGTCACGCGCGCGTCCGGGAAGACGCGCACGCCCGCGCGGAAGTCGCCGTACTCGCGCGCCACGTAGCCCGTGCCTGCAACGACAAGCGAGCGGGTAATGCAGCGCCCATCGACTGGCCGCTGGCGGGGCAGTCACGGTGACGCACCGTTGACGCTGATGCCGGGGCGGGGCGGCGGCAGCACGAACACGTAGGACTGCACCGAGGGCACGCTGAGCGGCCGATCCTCTCGGCCCTCGCAGATGACGGTGGTGTCGAGGCGGAAGTTGCGGCGGCCCGGGGTGGGGAAGCGACGCGAGTTGGTGTAGCCGATGCGGCGCAGCAGCGTCTCCACGTTGGTCTTGTTGTCGCCGTCGATGCGCAGCTCGGTCAGATCGGAGTTGGTCAGCAGCTGGGTGCCCGGCTGCAGCAGCTCCATCGACGGCACGTGGATGCCCTCCTGACAGTGGCGCAGACAGCTGAGCACATCGGGCTTCTCGTTTCTACCAACGAGTACCGAGAGGCCGGCCAGGTAGCCCCGGAAGTGGTGCTTGGTCTTGTTGTCCGAGCCCTGCCAGCAGGCGCCCACCACCAGCGTGGTGTTGATGCCCTTGGCCGGGTGCAGCGGCCAGTCGTCGATGATCTCGGGGTTCATCTTGTCGGCGTGCCACTCCTCGCCGTCGACGAACAGCGAGACGCGCGGGAAGTTGACCTGGATGGCGTAGTGGTGCCAGCGGTCGTCGCACACCTGCGTCAACTTCCAGCGCCACTCGGCCGGCCGAAACATGTCGGGGTCACCCTCGGTGAAATCACGCCGCAGCAGCAAGATCAGTCGGCAGTTGCGGATGAATAGCGCATAGTGGTGGCGGTTCATCTCTGCGGATAGACGAAAATTCTGGTTATTTGGCTCGAGATTATCGCACAACTACATTCTCGTTGCTCGTTTTAGGCACAGTTCCGCTCGTTTCGAGTTCGTTAAAAAGCCGTTTTTTACGCATCCAGATCTTCTCCTTCGATTCTCATCCCCGGCAGAGCAGTAATTGGCGTTCCGCGAAAACTGTCCGCGCACCGTATCGATCTCGTCATCGTCGCAGGTATTTCTGCACCGAAACTTGCCGTTCCGTCAACGATCGTTGCTGTCGAGTTTAATCACACGGCGCACAGCGAGTGCGCGCATCGCATTTATCGCGAGGCGCGACGCAGGCGCGGCCATTGTGTCGGCTTTTGGGGTCCGCGTGCCCGAGAGCATAGCGAAATATCGGCTTTAATTTGCGCGCGTATCACACCCTCGACGCGCCCCTTGCCATTCGAATTAATATATTTTCGGCCGGAGAGTATTGCCGTCGCTGTGCGTCGGCGCGGCCGAGCGCGAGCAGCGCTTCAAAAGCAGGGATTTCGAGTAATTAGAGGCCGCCGCGCGTTTCCCCGCGAAGAGCTCGGCGAATAATTACGGAAATATTTTTTGCGAAAATCCATCCATCGCACACGAGAGACGAGGAAAGTAGGAGAGGCCTTGATTTCTTTTGTCTCAACGCTCTCCCTCGACGCCCCCCTCCCCAGCGTCAGATATCTCATTGAGGCGGAAAAGTCGTCATTAAAAAAGTAAAAAAAGAAAGAAGAAAAAAAAAAACAACTCGCGAGTTCTCGTTATTTTTCCGTCAAAATTCAAGTGGCAGCTGCAGCGCTGCGGGACGATAGCATGGATATTTCATTTAGACCGAAAAAAAAACGGTGACTGCGACGCGTCGGGATTATACCGGTGGGCGGCTTTTACGGCTTTCTCGCGCGCGTCCCAATCATCCCATTGTCGCCCTAATGTAGAAATGGCTTCTGCGGATTTAGAAACTTGACGCGGTCTCGCGCGGATTTCCGATGGACTACAATGCCCGAATAATGCAAATCCTGCGGGGCGCGTACGGGCGGGCGTAGGGGGCCGAAGCCCGCCGCGTTGTCCGGACTCTTGGCCTCGGGCGGTCGACGCGTACTCGCGCGCGGAAGCCGCCGCGAGACGCGAGCCGCACGCCAGATTGCCAGATCGACGAGCGATTGGTGCATATACTGACTGTGGTCGTCGGCGGCGCAGAGGATGTGCTCCTTGACGTGGGGGTCCTGGCGAGGCCTGGGCCGGTGCTTCACCCAGACGCCCACGCTGAACTTCTGGGCGAGCGAGTGCTCGAGCACCTCGGCGGGCACGATGGCGGCCGAGCTGGCGCCGTCGAACTCGAAGATCTCGTCGGCCTCGCGGCCCTCGTCGCGCGACAGCGCGGCCGTCCAGGGCGCCGCGGGGCCCGGAGTGGGCAGCAGGTCCACGCTGTCCTTGGAGGCGCCGCACAGCTTGCGCTGGCTGCGCACCGTGTAGGTGTCGCGGTCGCAGCCCTTGCCGATGTGGTCGGTCACGAGGCTGAGGCTGGTGCGCAGGCTGTGCAGCTGGCAGGGCGCGTCGCACAGCTCCAGACGCGCCGACGGCAGCAGCGGCTGCGCCTCCACGCCCACGGCGTAGTCCACTCGCTCGGGCACTCCGCGCCAGCCCGGAGAGCACACCCTGTTGACCTTTTTAACGAGGCGCACACAACGACGGCGTTAGCAATCTCACCGTTGTGCCCCCCCCCCCCCCATGCCGCTGCCTTCCGATGGAAATGCGCAGCTGTCCAATCTGGCCACCCCCCGATCTCCCTCTCTTTCTCTCTCGCCGTCGCTCGCTTTCGTCGATCGACTCTGCTCTTTTCTCCTTCGTTTTGTCCGCCGCGTCGCGTAAATAGCGAGTCGGTCCGCGGACTGGACTCTGGTCCGGACGGCTCGATTTCCGGATCGTCGCGGTGGCCACTGGCCGACTCGTTGCCAGCTCGTCCGAGCACATAAATCCGCAGTTAATTGGACAGCGGCCGGCGGTGATTATCATAAACGTAACTTTTGGACAGGCCGCGCGATGACGAACGGCGGCGCGGCGCGTTTTTCGGGCTGATTAATGCGCGCCAACGGCAGCGCTCGACTGGTTTTCGCGAGGTCGATCGCGAGGCCGACGAGGCGCGGACTTTCGAGTCGCGCCTGAAGCCGATGCAAACGATCGATCGGCCGCGAGCAGCCCCGCGCGTCAGTGCGTCGCGAGCGTAATTCACGAGCGGTCCCGATCCCCCCTCGAACCAACTTACCGCGCAATGGGTTCCGACTCGCGCGAGTAAAGGGCCACTCGCGCTCGCGAGTCGGAGAGAGCGAGAGAGAGAGAGAGAGAGAGAGAGAGAGGCGACGCTGGTCGCGGGCGTCGGCGTACCTTGATGGTGACCATGGCAGGCGCAGACTGCTTCATGCCACAGTCGTAGGCGACCACGCTGAGGATGTAGTTGTGCGAGCGCTCGTAGTCGAGGGGCTCGGTGTTGCGGATGGCGCCCTCGTTGTCGATGACGAACGGCTGGTCGGCCGTCAGTATCTCGTACTTGCACACGTCGCCGTACTTGGGCGTGCAGTCGCGGTCCGACGCCTCCACTCGCACGATCTCCTCGTACAGCCTGCCCTCGTCCACCGTCGACACGTACGCCGGCTGCAGGAACTGCGGCGCGTACTCGTTCACGTCCACCACGGTGATGTGCACCGTCGCGCTGCAAACAAACGCGGCCACGCGTACAGTTCTCGAGGCTCGGCTGACGCGCGGCATTGTCGTCGCCGCGAGTGTTCTCGAGAAGCGCGCGGACCGCAAGCTCGCCCGTCGCCGCTCGAGACGTAACAAGGGCACGAGGCGCCGGTTATCAATTAAGAGGAAAAAAAGGCCTCCCCCCCCCCCCACCCTCCCGAGCGAAAGCACAGAATCCGTTGTTGCATAATGACTGGGCGTTGCGGGCGCGCGTAATTGAGGCGAACGATCGGCTTTCGAGGCACGCTTGAATCGTCGTAAACGCCGCCGGATGCTGAACCGACGAAAAAAGAATGCGGCCTTATATGGTGGCGCGGCTCGGCGTCGATTTTAATGCCTCAGCGCGATGTCATCGAGAGCAGGAGGGATTAGAGGCTCGCTCGAGATCAAAGAGAGAGAGAGAGAGAGAGAGAGACAAGAATCGACAGTGTTCGGGGTGGGGAGATGATTTAATCGATGAAAGGGACAAAGATTATAGGCTGATTGTAAAACTTGGAAAATTCATTAGAAAATTAGGTTCCTTCGCGCGCGCTCTCTCTCTCTCTCTCTCTCTCTCTCTCTCTCTCTCTTCTTTGGCTGCATACTCCAGGAAATTAATAAGCTGCTCGTAAAAGCCATGAAAAATTCGTTTTACGGGAGGAGGCTCGCTGAAATTGAATTTAACTCGCTGCCGTAGCTCGCGGGGCTTCTCTTACACCTTTTCTCTGCCGGCTCTTCCTCCCGCCCCACCCTCTCTCGTGCCTTTTCTTTCCGGGTGGCGCCGCGCATTAGCATACGTTGACACACTTTCAACCGACCCTACGAGCTTATTATCTGTTAACGCGAGTCGCGATACGAGCCGTGTAAGCCTCGTGTATCGAGCAAACTTGGATCGACGCCTCGTCCTTTCTTCGCCTTCCTCCGCGTCCCGTCTCGAGCGCCGTGGCGGATAAGCGAACGCGGGCGCCCACCGAGGCTAACGCGAGGAGTCGGCTCGTGAAAGCCGGCCGCGATCGATCGATCGGCGCGTCGGCGAGGCTCCGCGCGACCAATTTGCAAATCGGTTGTTGTCGCGCTAATCGAGAGACACTTGGCGCGCCGGCTCGACGCAATACCTGTTGCGCGGGCCCGCAGCGCCCCTCGGCCTAATTAGCCCGTGCGTTTTCTCCAGCGCGGGGCTCGACGAGCGACGGAGACCGAGCCTCTCGAATTTTGTTGGGCCGAGAGCCACCGGCGGCTCTTCGTATTCCAGCCGCCGCAGCTCGCGTCTAGCTGTCGAAGGGGGCGCAGGAGGGACGAGCCCCGAGGCCGCCATCCTACATACGCCAACTCTATTGAAATTCCAGCCGATAACAGGCGCTCGCGCCTATCCGCGACAGCGAGGCCTCGTATGTCTCGCGCTTGTCTGCGCGCCGGGTCGCTCGCGCGAATCTAGGCTGTCCGCGGAGCGCAGAGACGGCGCCGCGCGCGTTCGATTTCCGGCCTCGGATCCGAGCAACGGAGAGGAAACGAGCGAGAGGCAAAAAAATCAGAAGGGAGAAAAGGAACGAAGAGGAAAGGAGCGCGGGGCGCACGCGAGAGCGCCGGCCCGGCTCCCGCGCGCCTATCGATCGGCTCGTTCTCCTCCCCGATGTGTCCGCGGGAGAGCTTATATACTCACTTGTCAGATTGGGCGCCGTTGCAGGCGACGGCCGACACGTCGAACTTGTAATTGCGCCGCTTCTCGCAGTTGAGCACGTGGGTGGCGCGCAGCTCGGCCAGGTTGCTGCCCTCCTTGAGGACGATCTGGAAGGGCGCCTCGCCGTGGTGCTTGTTGGAGATGCGGAACATGCAGACCTTTACGCCGCCCAGCACGCGGATCTGCGGCGTCACCTCCACCAGCGACTCGTTCTCCTTCACCAGGCCGTGGTAGCCGCTCTCCAGGCTCTCCAGGTCCAGCCGCGGCACTGCAACGCACAACGCGACAACGCGTCAGTTCGTCGGTTCGCAAAGCTTGCCCCTTCGCGAGCGACACTCCCGACGTCGGACCTCGTTCGGGGCTGCATTCGGCTGCCACCACTCCACCGCGCTGCAGCTCCAAGGTCTGGCGTCAAAGATCGCCTCTCGCGGAGCGGCCTTGCATACGCGGGCGCGGGCGCATATCCGTTCGCAGATTTCTCCCCCCCCCCCCTCTCTCTCTCTCTCTTTCTGGCTGTCCGAAACTCGTTTCTCGCCGCGCGCCATTCTTTCGCTCGGCCGGCGCTCGGCGATGTTCGCCCGAACAAATTGGGCGCGTTCATCGCGCAACGGCCGTCGGAGGGGCAGGGGCGGCCAGACAATGGGGTCCGACGACGACGAGCGTCGACTCTTAACCCACATTCGCGGGGCCGAGCTCTCGGGAAGGACACTCGGGGCACCGTCGCGCGGCGACCCCGAGGCTCTGCTCGCACAATGCGCGCGAGATTAAATTCCGCGCGGCCAAATCCAGGCTCCGATTTACGAGCCGCCCCGCGCGGATTAATGGAACGGCGAATACCCGGCTCCGGTTTTTCGCGAGCGTAGTCAATGTTTCACGGTTGAGCTTAGCCGTGCGCTTGGCGAGCGTGAATCCGCGGCCGCGGTGGCGGCGCCTCTTTTGTCCGGCGCGCGCGAGCCTCACAGCCGAGAAATTGCCGGCGGAAAAGCGCCAATCGAGGCTCCGACTGCGACGGGACCGCAGTCGGCGCGAAGCCCCCCGCCCCCCCGCTCGCCGAGCTACGCGATGCGTCTCGACAATTAGGCCGCAATTCCCAATATCGCAGCCTCCGCCGCGCGCGCGGTCGACGAGCCGATGCACTACCCGTATACGTTCCCGATGACGAGGGGTGAAAGTAAATCGGGTTTGTCCCGATTCCCGCGACACGCGTCGGGGCCTTCGCAGGCTCCACGCACGAATTTTCCCCCAGCTCTCGCTTCTCTCTTCGGCAGCATCATCCACCGCCGACTTTCCAAGTTCCCTTCCGCTTCTTCTTTTTTTTTTATTTTATCCTCCTCTGCTTTCCTTTTCGCGCGGGCTTGATTATTCATGAGGGACGCGTTTACGAACGAAGCACTCGCGAATTGAAACTCAAACACATCGATCAGCGAGAGAGAGAGAGAGAGAGAAAGAGAGAGAGAGAGAGAGAGAGAGAGAGAGAGAGAGAAATTGGACGGGAACGCTGATTTGGTGGAAGCAAGCCAAGCGAGTGAAAAAACCAGCGAAATGCGCGCGCGAGCCCATCGATTTTTCCGTCGATTCGAGAGCTACTTGTTTACGGATAATGGACTCCGGAGTATCCGTCATTTCTCTCTCGCTAATTCTCTCACTCTCTCTCTGGGTTCCGCGCTCGTTTGCGTGGGAGAACGTTGCCGTGATTCGTCGGCTGGATGGCGTAACGCTGGAAAAGGCGAGAGAACGCATCGGTCAGTCATCCGTGATCCCATCGAACTCGTTTGTCGTCGGATCGGTCGCGATTGTCAGGCGTTGGCCGCGCAGCATTTGATAAACATTCCTGGCTGTATGTCGGAGAAAACAGGTGTGTGCGTGTGTCGCGAGCGCGGTGAAAGAGGGGAAAAAACAAGCGGACAGAGACGAAAGGAGAAAGAAAAGAAAGAGAAAGAGAGAGAGAGAGAAAGGCGGCCAGGTATCGTGTGCACAATACAGGTATACACGTCGCAGCACCGCAGGTCTACCGCAGCGTGCGACAGCGGCGGCTGCGATTTCAGAAAGGAAAAAAAAGGAGCAGCACAGCTGCGCTAAAAATCTCTCTCCTCCGGCACCTGCCGCCATCGGACAAAGGGCTCGACCTTCGCTCTCACCTACTACGCTCTGGCGCGTGGGTTCGAGAAAGCTCTCTCTTTCTCTACGCGCGTAAGGTGCTGCTAGTTTGCGGTCGATCGATCGCACCTTCATTTGCTCGGACAATTAGCAGCCGAAAGGAAAAACTGATTGCTCGAAAGAGGAAGGCAAAAAAAGCGCAACGAAAACGAGAATCCGAGACTCGAGGAGGAAGCTGAGATCTGCCTTATAAATAGACCGACGGAGAGTGTCGTCGAAAGTATGTATGTCTCTCTCCCTCCAGAAGCTCGCAACTCTCCGAAAGGATCGCAACAGCCGCACACGTAGGTGGACGCGCGTTGGTCTGGTGGAGTGTGCCGTGCCACCTCTGTGTGTGTGTGTGTGTGTGTGTCTCTCTCTCTCTCTCTCTCTCTCTACCAAGCCTTCTAGCTAGCTCGCTCGCTCGCTCGCTCGCTCGCCAACCAGCCAGCCAGCTCCGAAAAATCGAAGGCAGCGGAAATAAAGCTGATGAACGCGCGCGAGCGGCTGGAAAATCGATCGCACACACGTATAGGCAGACAGAGAGATAGAGAGCGGAGAGGCTCGGGTCGAGGCTGGTAGACTCACCTGTATGCTCGCTGTCGGCCCTCACCGCTGTGAGCAGCAGCAGGCCGACGCTCAGCAACGCGAGCAGCGACATTATGCCCTTACACTCGCGCGCGATAAGACAATTCCTCCGCCGCCGACACCAACGACTCGCAGTCTGCGCTCTCGGCGATGCTGCTGGCTCCGTATCTAGCAGCCGCGCATCGCCCTTCTGCCAAAGAGCTGCTCCACTCGCGCGCACTCTCCTCCGCACTTGTACTCCTCCGTACGGTTACGCGACTCGCTATCTCGGTGTGCGTATATCGACGTGCGCTCGTGTGTGTTCGTGTGTCAGAGTGTGGGTGAGAGAAGGAGACGATGCACAAGTGCGCTCTGCGGCTCTCGTCGTGCGACTGCCTGCTGGAGAGTCGGCGCAGCGCGGCGCACTCGCGCGACACCGAGCGCCACGAACGGCCGACTCTCGCGCCGCCGCCAGCAGCAATTGCACGCACGCACACCGACGCGCGCGCAACCGTGTGTGTCGCTTGCGCGCTGCCACTCCCGCGCGCTGGTATGCGTATACTCGGCTCGCGCACGCTCTGTCCGCGGCCTCGAGTCAATATTCGAGCCAGAGCCGAAGCTTCCGAGCGCTGGCGAGCCAGGCGCGGAATATTGCCGGCATCGATTCGGCAAAAAGACTCGCGTGCTTACCTGCGGTCCGTGCCGCACGCACGACTCGCGCCGTTGCTGCGATCGATGAAAAAGCCTTTGCCCGAGCACAAGCTCCTTCCTTGCTGTTAGCTTTTTTGCCGCATCCTTGCTCTCCGGTAGCACATGTTGCGCATCATGGCTCGCCCGGAGAGCAAATCGAACTTTGTGACTTTTCTCGTTTCGCGGACTAAGGAAATTGGCTCCCGGGGTGCGAGGGACACAGCCTATGAGAAAAATAAAAGCCTGCTGTTTCGTTACGCGCCTTGCGTGTCGTTTTATTTCATTTATTTTTTTATGCTTCCTCAGTGAAATTTGATTACATGTTTTCGCCTCAAGATTTATACACTTTCCTCGGAGAGCTGATCAGATATTCAAACCCGTGGTGCTGGGACCCCGAGAGATAAGTATCGGTTTAGCTGGACAACAAGAGGCACGTGGAAAAGACTCATAAGTCAGTCTTCAAACGCTTAGTAGAAAGAAAGTGAAAAAAAGCTAAAATAATCACACAAACCTTAATCAAACCAGTCACACACACATACACATACACACACACACACACACACACACAAAACATGCGTGCACATCTTCGTCGCTCTTAAAGCGGATAATTGAGCAGCACGTCCTGCCGAGCGAGCTCCAGCAACATGGGATCGTCGAAGAACTTATTAATCGACACGTCTTCGGATAGTCCCTTCCGGCGTCTCGTCTTCAGCATGAATTCGCGAGCCAGATGCGTGGCTGGCTGGGGCTCCAAGGGCCTGATCGTAATACTCTTGTCTAGCGGATCACCCGGCACAATCTGCCAGTGGTGGAACACCGACAAGCAGAATGCCTGGCCCTGGGTGTGGGTGCGAAGATCGGTCTCGAAACCGAAACTGTCAATCGCTGGGATAAAAGCTTTGATGGTGTAGAGCGGACTGCCAGGCACCGGCGCGTCCTGCGTTACGTGGCCTCGCCTTTTGGCCAGCACTGTGTACACAGCCGACACGCAGTCAGCGGGCGCCTGCACTTCCACGAACAGGTAAGGTTCCATGAGACGTGGTGTCGCCATGAGAAACGCCGAATAGGCGACCCGCCTCGCTGTTGGAATGATTTGACCACCTGAAAGCAATTTCGACCTTTTAACACTTTAGTGCAAACTTATTATCGTGGTATTCTGCGAATAGATGAATAAACGTGTAAATATGTGTTGATTGGATATTATACGCAAACATTAAAATACATTCAAGTCGTCAACATATCACAATCGTTCATCAAACTCTTAGAACAGAGTCAGTGTTAAATACTTACTATATAAGTGGGTTTTCCACGAATGTGAATTGTTAAATTGGCAGCGTTTCGTCTCATCGCGTGGAAGTAAAAAAAGATAGATACGTTCGAGACGCAAAGCTGCATAGTTTTATTTTGAGAAAGCTCCGCGTCCCTCTTTCTCTATTAATAACAACCGATTACTCGAAATAAATTTAGAATGACACGTCAATAAAACGTTCATCTATCAAGCAAAATTTTTACTCTGTTCAATAAGATAAACATTGATATTTTGCATGTCTATGAAATCGAAGTGGTAAAGTGCTTTATAGGATTAGATAAGATTACGTCAATTGTGTAAACAATTGCGTCGCTCCAATTCTTCAGTACTATAAATAAAAGAACAAGAAGATGCATCGTTTACCTCCACGATGAAGAGGCTCTTGCGCAATGACGGCGTCGAGAATCTTGAATTTGACATTTCTGATGGGCTCCTCGCAGAGAGGACCCTCTCGGGTACCCCACTGGAAGCCTTGCACGATTGCCTCGCGTGCGCTGTTCAGTAATGATTTATCCACCTCGGAAGGTAGCGTGTCGTCGACCAAAATATTTGGCCCTGTAGCGTCCGGTCCGAAAGCCCAGATACTACGAGCGGCCAACAGATCCCAATCGTATTTCTGCTGGAAGAACTCGCCGAGGCGCTTTCTGGAATAAAACGAGAACCGAGCGAGAAACGATTGCTTTACGACAGCAGCACCGCAGAGAGACAAACAAAAATAAAGAAGTCGACATCACTCACTTGTTCCACGTGATCTTCACCTGCTCCGACTCGATGTCCTCCGCAAGGCCACGTTCAAGGGGCTCCGCGATCATCGTTAGCTTGTTCTTCTTGTTGGGCGTTTCTGCGAAGCACTTCAGCGAAGACGTCTCGACGACCGTTTCCGCAAAGGCGACTACTGGATCGGCCACCTTGATATCGATCTCCGAGTACATCTTTCGCAGATCGTGCATGGCACAGTCAAGGTACAATTCGCCGGTGCCCATGATCACGTGCTCACCGCTCTCCTCGACCTTCGTCGTCAGCAGCGGATAACTCTTGTTCACTTTCCTCAAACCGTCAAGCATTTTCGGCAACTCCGACGGATTTACCGGCTCGACGGCGATCTTGATGACGCTCTGCGTGTTAAACTTGAGCGGCCTGAAGATGCACAAGTCGTCGCTGTCGACGAGGTCAGTGATCGTGCTGGTTTTGACGATAGCGCGGTCTATGCCCTCGATCAGAACCCAGTTACCTGCCGGCACCATGCTAAGCTCGATGTTGTACCTCGCCTCACTGACCCACAATCTACCCACGGTCATTACGCGCGAGTCCTCCTCGTCCTGGCGCGTGTAAGCTTCGCCGAGCACTCGCACTTTGTCGCCGGCGTTCAGGGTGCCGGACATCACGCGACCCAGAACTACAAACAACGTGCAATCGTCGGTCGGATACATCTTAGTGCTGTGTATCATGAGACGCCCGTCGGGATTGCAATCGGCCATGTCCTTTGCTAAGAGCGACTCAATCGGTCCTGTGTATATGTGCGACACTTTTGACAAAGCATTACTCTTCGGGTTGGGTATGTGGGAGACACACATGTCCACGAAACCACTCATATCACCAAGGAAACGCGTGCAGACCAGCCTCAGTAGTGGTCGGATATTCATTTTCATTTCCTCGGATGTCAGGCGAATTCCTAGCTCGTCAAGAACTGTTGAACAAACAATCAACTTGAATATACATTTAAGTACATATAACGTCATTATTTGAACATTTTTTAAATTAAATAACCATCGGGTAGAGTTGTGTCCACGTCACCAACGACTTGCGCAAAAATTTTGTACAATGGCTCCAAAATAAACTCAATAAAACTTCTCTGAGCAGTGTTGTGAGCTGGTTTCTTGGTAAACTTTCGTGACTTTGAGTTGAAATAAATATCTCCCCATAGGCGTTTCGCAAATTCATTGATATTCAACAAAGGGTAATCTCTTGCATAAAGCGCTGCAAATGATTTCAATGTGAAGCAAACATTGTATTCTGAACTAGCAAAACAAACATTTCCAATAGCTGGAGAAACAAACTGTGGATTCTCTGTATCCGAGTGTAGGGCTATTAGACTATTAATTTCCTCTATAATGTGACGTAATTTGTAATAAGCATCAAGAGGTGGAAGCTTTAGTTCGAGTATAAGTCTATCAATTTTGTTGATGCAAACAGTAAAGGCTAGCTTTTCTTGCAGTGCATGCTTCAAAAGCCTTTCTGTGTTCAACATGACACCTTCAGCTGCATCTACCAATAATACTGCTCCATCGGACAGACGAATAGCAGCTGTTGCTTCGTCAGAAAAATTAACATGTCCTGGAGTGTCAAATATGTTAAGGAGATAAGATTTAGATTTGACATCTGGCAAAACTAAAGTGACTGGCACTGCTTTTGTGGAAACGCCTCTCTGTTGTTCAGTAAATAACGTATCGGTCCATCTGTAATAATTATTAGAACAATTCAGTACCCTATCAAGTATGAGCTTAATAAAAGCTTATAAAAAAAATCTTACCTTAAAGGCTTCTCATCTGTAACTGAATGAATATATGGATGTGTTTGCCTGAGTAAACAATCCACTAATGTAGTTTTTCCATGGTGCAAATGTCCCAAAAGTACAACATTACGAATTAAATCTGGACAATCCATTAAATCTGCTAGATAATCTATATTATAAATAGTATCAGGAAGCTGTTGAGTTTTAATTTGAAATTTAGTCTTTTTCACTGGTTCAACTAATGGCTTGTCAAGAGGTTGAGCATCTTCTTCTTGTACTAACGTTTCAACCTATTAGATAAAAATGAAAATTACACCAAAATCTGGTAATGACAAATAGTCATAAAAAATATTAATGAAAAAGTGTTTACCTCTGGTCCATAGACTTCCAAAGCACTAGGATAGTACCTTTTATCTTCATGAAGTACAACTGCCATGGAATTTGACTCTCCAGCATCCTTATTTTCATCCTTATCCTCTTCAATTTCCTCATCAGAAGGTTCTCTGTCATCTGCATCATCACCAATGTTTCCATATTCATTTTCTTCCTCACTATCAGATGCTAATTCAGGACCGATATAATTTCCAAACTCATCATAGTAGTCAGGATCCATTTTGCCAATGAGTTATAATATTATCTGAAAAAGAAATTTTTTGTGAAACTATGATTGTTATTGTCCTGCACATAACCTCAAGAGTAAGATAAAAATTAAAAAGCTATGACACATAGGAAGGAAAAGATAAAACTTTAAAAATTAGTTTGGTATATAATTGTTTAACCAACCTGTTTAATTAGCTTACAATGCTAATCTTGATAGAGTACACTAAACGTCAATACAATAAAAACAAATACTGCAACGCAAACACGTTTCTTTTCATACCGGCGTGATGTATCATGTATATGTGGACGCTATGGTGGACGCACCTCTTGTAGTTACTTTTTAATTGGCTAGATGGAGCCTCTGCACATTTTAAAATTCACATCACATTGTTGAAATATTATTAAATGAAAAACGCTAAACTCTGGATATTCTTGTGCAATAAAATAGCGGTAAAATTGTATACACATATCCACATACTGTTATATAAAAATGTAGACTAAACAGTTTAATAGCATCAAAATCAAAATGTTATTGATGATTATTAGACGTGACAATGTAGATATTGTTACGACAGCGAAAGAAACGTTTGAACGATGATAATTTGTCCTAATAAAAGATGCAGTTTCCAGTGTAAAATTAATTTTTACATTTGCTCAATCGTTGAACGAAGTTTGTCGCTTTGTAGCTCACACGAGATATTGGAGAAATGATCGTTCCGCTGCAAAAGCGTCGATTTTTGCCAGATACCCGCTGCGTTTCGCGACGTGTGTTGAAGGCACGGCTCTCACGAGAGATGTCGCCACGAGCCTGGCTAGTAGGTGCTTGCGAAACTTGTAGCTCTGACTTGTCAAATGTAAGCTGTCGCAAATAAAATTTTTCGTGAAACTTGCGAACTTTTCCCTGAATCATAGCGATTGTAAAAAAAAAAATTGTCGTTCACGTTCCGCATTTCTACTTCCGTTTGCTTTCATTGAACGGCAATGGCATTGCCGACTAATGATCGAATAATCCGTTGTCGAGTTCACATGACTCCGACTCGGAGACCAAAACGATTGTCAGACATTGTTGAAGGTATCCAAGTTTCGACCGTTTAGCTTGTTGCTCATCCCGCACGGTCGAGTCATCGCCGAACAATCGAATAATTATCCCGATTCGTTCGAGAAAGCTTGTCGAGAAAGACAATCTTGTCGAGTTCTCGTCAAACACCGTCGTCGGCGTTCGCGCGAGCTCATTCAATGATCTCTCGATCGTCGCCAAAGCGAAGCAGAGCAGCAAGCCTGTCGTCGCGGAGTCGAGACAGAAATAAAACCGGTCTGCATTCGCGCGCTTACCAACGTACGAGCAGTCGCGAATCGACCACGGGGCTTTCGACGTCGCTCGTCGTTTCGCCGCGCGACCGCTCGGTCGATTCGGGAGCGACACGACGCTGCAGCAGCGGTCACCGCAAGGCTCGACCCGATCCTGGGCATCGCCAATCGTGGTGCGAGTCGACGCGGCACGAACGAGAAGCCGACGCGTAGTCGCGCGGCAGGGTGTACGGGCTTCCTGCGTCCAAAAGTCAGCCACGCGCTCGTGGCGTCAGCGTCTCCGCGGCGGCTATTATATCGACCTCCGTGTCGCCGAGTGAAGTTGGCGCATGCGTGGCTCGCCCATTTGGCCCGAGAACTGCGCTGCCCCGCTGTGCTTCAAAGTGCAGCTCGACAGCCGCCCCCTTGTCTCCGCGGCCGAAGACGAACTGTGCGCGGGGCAAGCCGCGCCGAACGATCGGCGGACGAACGCGCAATCGCGATCGCGGAGAGCTGCGTGGCTCGACGATCCGGGGCTATCGCGAGTCGAGCCCCTGCCGCCTGCGGGACGCGCGTCACGCGCGAGTTCTGCGAGGGCAGAGGGCACCTTTGGTTCGCGCGATCGCAAGCTCGGCGACGCGCACCGGGCAGTCCACTCGCCGACGCAGATCTCCGCGATGAAGCGCCTCGTTCGAGAACCGCTACGGTCCCAGTCCCCCGACTCGCGAGTCGAGAATAACGCTGACGGGCGCAGCCGGGGATCGGATCAGTCGGTGTACGGAAGCGCACGAGCTGCCGCTTAGCTGGGAGCGAGGCCGACGGTCGTGCGAGCGCCGTCGCGTCGTTCGCCGACCGCGGGGGGCCGATCCGAAGGCAGCGGCGTCGCGTCCTCGATCGGTCGCGGAACGCGGTGAGCTTGGCTTGGGCCCGATCGCTGCGCGGCGTCGAACGAGCAGCCGAAGGCCGGCGGCGCCACGCCACTCTGGGCGGAGCCTCCGCGGCTCGCTCCGATTGGTCGGCGCACGGAGGGCGCTACCCGCGACCATTTTGCTGGCCGCGTCCGCGCGTACACGCCCACTTGCGTCGGCATCTCCGTTCCGCAGTCTCTGCGGCTCGCCGGTGGGACTTGGCTGCGACCGAGGAGCTCCTCGAGCTCCGACAGCGACGACGCGTCGGACGGTGGCGACGGCAGGGCCCGCGAGCCGGCCCTTCGGCACGCTTGCGGACCCCGCTCGGAATCGGGCACGGGACGCGGATGAAACGGCGACGGACTCGCCGATCCCAGGAACAGCGGGCCCCGTCCAAGGCCGGCGCCGGGCGCGCTGTCGCCATCTCGCGTCCTCGTCGTCTTCGCCTCTCGGCAGGCCGCAGTGTCACCGCCGCCGCCGCCGCCGTCCCACGGTTTGGTTCGCGTGCGGGCACGGTGGAGCTGGCCGATCGGCTCGGCGCCAGCGTGCCAACGTCGACCAGCGACGCGCGGACGGAGCCCCGCGCAAGGCTCGCTCGACCGGATTCCGCTGCCCGCGTCCGCGGTTGCACGACGAGTCGGAGGAGCTCGCCCGGCCTTCCCGGACGCGACCATCGCCGCTCGGCTCGCAGGCAATCGAGCCCGAGAAGCCTCCGAGCTTCCGCCAACTCGGCGACGCGCGGCTGAGAATTCGCTTGTCGGACGTGCACAGCCTTGGCACTGGAGCGCCCACTCCGCGGAGTCGGCGAGCGCGTTTCGTCGTCGTCATCGGGCGAGCTCGCGCCTCGCGGGCTCGCATGACCGCGGGCGCTACGTGCGCCGAGCGAACGCGATAAGCGTGCGGCAGCAGCGAGGCGCATGCGCGCACGTGTGCACTTTGCGCAAGCGTGTACCCGCGCGCGAGTCCAGGCAGTCAGATCGATAATCGCAGTACAGGATAAATCAGTCTGCGGCGCCCTACAGCGCCCAATTCCTAGCTCTGTCTCAGTCTCTGTCTCTCTCTCTCTCTCTCTCTTTGTCGCTCTGCCGAGGTTCGTCGCTCCGCTGCCAGCGACCAGTGCCTCTCTCACTCCCACATTCTTGCGCTGATAAGCTGTGCTGCTCGTGATATGCGCACGCTGGCATGATTGCCGATCGGCCGTACTTGGCGTCTCGGAGCTTCCCGCGACTGATACGTCAGTTTTCGCATAGAACGAAAAGCAGATGAAAGATCGACCGTTCGATGGGCGCTCGGCCGGCTTAATTTTGGGACGGAAGACGACATATGAATAATGCTGAGGTAGATATACATGTGAAGAGAATATTTATTAATGATTAATCGGCGTGTAGTACAGAGATCATGAAGGTACACAATAGGTGAAACGTAACAAGACGAAGAATTAGGGAAAACATTCTAGTAACTGAAGATCCGACAACAAATGAAACTGACTTGTGTATTTTTACATATGTTATATACTTATCATACATCTGGCGCGCATCACGTCTAAACAGACAACACAACGTTTAAGGTTGAGTTTACTCACAGCAATGTGCTATTTGTTTTTCCTGTTTACACAGCAAACACGATAATGATCGATAAAATAAAAAAATACTATGGCATAAATAAATAATCGATTTTACAAACTAACTTTTAAAACGAGGAATTGCACTGAGGAGCGATATTATATTATTTAAAATAAGACAAGTACGCAGTACGCTGTCGTAAATTAAAAATCTAAACAATATAAGTAACATTTTGAACTGATAGCTCAACGAAACATGTTTTGTATATATGCACAGATGCGTTCTTTTTATACACCGGACGACGGAAGCTCAGGGATACATTACACTCTAGCGCATTTCTGACTTCCAAAACACATGCGTGTCGATATTTTTCATATATTTTATCAAGTTTTACAAAAAGTCTAAAACACTTTGTGGCAGACCTGTCCTATCCTTAACCCGACAGATCACACAAATATAGCGTCTGCAATACACATTACGGTTTCACTATTACTTTGCACGCAACTATGATTTATAAATGACGAATCGACGAATCGTATTAAGTGCGGAAAAGATTCCTTCCTTGACGATGGTGCTGCTTATATAATTGTACATTTGGTTTTTGATTTTTGCAATGATCAATGGATTACAAGAACACGCACAGCTAGCAAATCTATTGTATCTTCGAAAACGTTTCATGCAACTTTTCTTTTTTCAGTCTGTACAATTTTATCTGCTATGAACATCATCGGAATGAGCGTACCTTGTTTTTTCCTGTTTTAGTTTTGATGGGCAGTTTTCGTCATTGTTTTCGATAAAATGCACACATTTCGACCGTTACATCTTGTTATTATGGATAAGTGAAAAATTATATCACCCACTTCGTGAAAATACTCGAAGAGCACCGTGCTCTTCAAGTACAAACAGATTCTACAAAATAATGTTAATGTGTAAAATTGTTTTCTACGGTTACCTGAATGCGTATGTCTTTCAGATTTTGCATTTTTGGTTCTAGCCAATATTGAATATTCCCTTACGTTCAAAATAATCAATATTTACATATAACTATGAATCCAAACGAACGCATTTTACAAGATATTACGCCAATTTGGTTGGTGAAAAAGAACAAAATAAACAATATGAATTAAAATTATATCAACAATAACAATTTTGTTATGTCAGATGCTTTAAAATATAGTAGTAAAATTACTGGCGACAAATTTACTTTGCGGAAATTCTACAAAGCGTGATGCCCAGTAACTACAGTAACATTGCACTAAGTATTGCAAGTATTCGTTAAATTACACTCTTTGGCATCTTTAAGGAGTAGTTGTCTGTAATTGTAGTTATTTAAATTATTTCAGCTAAACAGATCATCATTCTTTGAGAAAAAGAAGAATTAAATCTTGGTGTTACTATACTACGTTGAACACAATCATAATGTCTATTTTTTTCAATCTTAACGTATAAAAGGATAATAAAATATTGTATTTATGCTCATGTATTTTTCCGGCCCCATCTATGCACCGTTCTACGCGCGCGCGTGTGTGTGTGTGTGCGTGTGTGTGTGTGTGTGCGGGCGGGCGGGCGGGCGTGTGTGTGGATAGGTGTGTGTGTAGATTGAATCTATATGAAGTTCTGCTTGATTACTAACATCTACTTACCGTTTACACACTAATCATTACCTGTGTTTGACGTATTCATAGGCAATACGATAAGTGACGGGATACTTAATAACATCGATGAACTACGTCTTGGTCGTTACGAATGTTTTGCGTTCAGATTAATAAAGTTATCAATTTAGATACGCTTGGAGGGACAGTTTGTACTTGACAAAATAGATTTTCAATATCTTATTAAAAAAGCTATTTCGCATAAAACTGTGTAAAAGTTACATCATCATTCGATTATTTGTTCCAGGAACTTTTCCACTTGTAGGAACGAGATATAAAAAAAATATCATTCTTTCTTATGCGCTTAAATAACTGACATGCTTCTTGATATTGATTCGCGATTTCACGTCACGCTGTTATTAATGCATCTTATTAATAAAATATGCTATTACTATTAAAAAACACCCTCCAAATCATATCCAAATGCTTAGCTTTATCCGTGAACACTTATTCGGATGTTTGATGATTGTTCGGACAAAAGTTGCTTGCATTTTGATAATAAATTTCATATAGACTCAAGACAATATTCGATAAGTCCATATAATTCAGTAGCGACTTTATCACAATAATTGTAATTTTGTCAAGTGGTACTTTTTCGAAGGTTTTTCAATATTTTGTGCAATTTCCTGGATAAAATTATCCAAAAAGGTACGTAATTCCTACGCCATATCATACAATATTTATAACATCATGACATATCGTTAATTTGAAGCAAGTGATTCTTTTCCAACTGTAGGTTAAGAAACGTTTGTTTTCATCACTAAAGCTAACGCTAATCATACCTTCCCACTCAGAGTAAAGTAAAATCTACCTTTTGTTTGAATATTTTCCAATTGACGTGTATAAAATACCGCTTACTTTTATCAAATATTCACTCAGCAAGACATCGATTCAAAATCGACGAATCGAATAATCACACTCTCATATCACTCTTCTAGCTAACGAACGATATAGGACATATTGCACATAAGACGAATTCATAAACAAAAGAAAAATAATAATATCGTTCCGAAACAGAAGTATTTGTTTACCTAATTGCAACGTACCAATGCAATCATACTAATTGTCTAAGGAAGAAAGTAGGATAAAGTAAAGAACCTTACATAAACGTTACTTAGGGAGGCTGATGCGCAAGACTGAAATATCCAGTTCTCTGGTTCCGGTACTGCGAGGCCACAACTGCTTGAGGGTTGGGTATATGTCTTACTCCAATACTAGGTTTGATCTTCATGCCAAAACCTGTAAGCCTCTGGTGAGGCTGAGGTATTCTCAAGGCTACCTTTCCACCTATCATCGGTCCCCCGATCGACGAGCTAGCGATAAAGTTTTGCGTTAGTTTGACCGATTTGTCTACTTGAGGGCCAAGCTTATTTCCTATTAACGATACTGCCGCGTCCGGCGTAGTCTTCAAGTTTGATTCTTGAGGCAATTTGGTTTCATCCTTTGGCTTGTCCGCTGTCCTGTTGCCACTATTCCTAAGAATACTTACTGGTTTGTGCTCTACGTTAGCCGCAGTTGTGGTCCCATCCGACACGTTAGAAGACAGGTCCAGAGCATTGCTAGGTGGACATCTGAGATCCAAAGGTGACTCTAACTTGCCAGACGTGAATGAACCTGGAGCAAACGTAACATTTGGTCGTTTTGCACTTCGCAAAGGCGTTAATGGAGGCGGGTCTTTTCTCTTAAGGCTACTCGGTGTAGGCGTTTCACATCTGGGAGCAGGAGAGGCCGAGGACGATGCTGTCGTGGTCGATGAATTGGTTTCTTTCGCACTTGACATTATACTTTTCAAAGTGTCTCGCATTTGTTTCTCGGCCAACAAACTGCGCACGCGATTGGCTTTGCTTTCTCGCAATTGCTTCTCTAATTTTTCTCTCTCTGCCGCTGGATCAGCTTTCTCCGAGCCACACTGCATGGAATTCCTCGATTGCTCCTGCCTAGTTTTATTAGCTTCGCTAATAGCAACTAGGCCTAATCTACGAAGTACTTCTTCATTTTTCGGTGTTTCATCCTTTTCCAAATCTTCGGAAGGTCTATGATTTTCATTTTCCACTTTCGGTTCAGTTTGCTTCTCGCTATCCGCGGAGTTGGCAAGCTTTTCTGGGGAGCTAACGGGCTTTTGTGCGTCAGTGGAGCCGCTTTCTCTTTCCGATACAACGTTTTCCTCTTCAATTTCCAAACTGACTTTATGATCCTTCGAAATATTATGCTTTTGAAGCTCAATACTTTTCGTCTTATCTTTCCGCACGGCCCTCATTTGCAGTAGCTTGTCTTTCGAATGACTGCCATCACCGGCGCTCGAAGGAACTCGAGTGGGAACAGGAGTTAAGCGAACTTTCAGTTTCAACAGATCTTCCCGTGGCGTCGTCGTAATTTCGGCGATAACGCGCTTGTTCTTGCGCTTTTTACGTTTGTGCTCCAGCTTGGCGAGTTTGCTCGATCTCGAGCGGTCGTGGATCGGCGGTGGATCTGGCGCTCGCATCAATGGCGACACCTCGCAACGCGGCTTCTTAGACTCGTACTGATCAACGACGATCGTCGAACGCGGATTTTTGCTCAATGAGTCCCCGCGATAAATTGCTGGCTTTGGACTCGGTGGAGGTGTCGGCGGTCTTAGAATATTTTCTATCGCTTGATTAGTCGCGTCGGAGGTATTGCTAGTGCAAAAATTGGTAATCGATTTATTGGTTGCGACATCACCTACTCGTACGACTCGGTATAAAAGCTTCATCGGGGCTTCCTGAAACGAAATGGCACGAGTGGCTCGCTTAAATCGTTGTAATTTTTGGAAAAACGATTGGACGACCGTACACAATAAAATATTGATAACGAAAACAACGGATGTTTGTTTCAAGACAAATCAATCGGTCGGAAATGCAAAGTGGGTACGTATATAGTAAATATATATGAAAAAATGTATCATACCCTTTTCCACTCAAAGATACAAGCCAAATCCATAAGTGTCCACGACAGATCGAGTAATCCGGCTTCGTTCTTCGTGTCATTTGCACTGTCGTCGTATATTATTTCGATTTTGTTGTTCCCGCATTGATTATTGCCGTGGTTGTTGTCCCAGCCGCGTTTGAGCATGAGTAGCCTGAGCAAATGCCTGACCGTGACCCCGGCTGGGCATTTGAGGTATCTGGTGGAGCCACCGCTCGTGGAGCCAATCTCGCTGAGACTCAAACTGACGAGGTCGTCGAAGCTGAGATCAGGGGCGCCGAGCGGCTGCTGATTAACATTCGAGCAATGCGGATTGATCTTGCGAAAGTTGTGGCGTCTTTCCTGCTCTTTCCTAAACAGGCCTGGCACCACGAGGTAAACTAGACGCTGCAGAGCGATGTCCGGGACGAGGGGAGCCACGGCAATTGTGCTGCATTGGGGACAGGTTTTCGGGCTCTCACGGAATCGCTGGACTATGCATCCTCGGCAGACTGCGAACAAAACAGCCGACGTACGGATCGTTCTTTGCTCACCTTGCGAATTAATGACAAACTCGAATGACTTTACGGCCCTCCCTCGGTCGCGCTATCCACGTGCGTTTACGCGAGGCATATCCTTGGATAATAAACCAACGCGACTCGTGTACGCGTCACACGAATGGAGATGGACGTTCGCCGAGCAAAAGCGCAAATCAAGCCGTGCACGCGAATGCACATTCGCGCGTGTGCGGTAAGAGGAGGTGTTGCAGGTTATTAGCGCTTTGAGGTACTGACAGGAGTGCAGGCACTCGACGAGCGTGATCGCATCAATGAGGTAGCCCCGGCACAGCGGGCAGATGATGTGCTGGTTGAGGTCCTTGACAAGGGGCTTCGCGCACTCCTTCGGGACGATCGCTCTCCTCTCCCGCTGCAGCTTCTCCATCATCGTGCACCGGCCGTGCCGCTCGCTCCGAGAGACCACCGCGCGCTGCACCCTGGAAAGCCAGTTTTTTCTTCGAGTCTTTACAGCTTGATTCTGGCCGGCGACGCGGATCTCGTTGCTCGCGCTCGAGCGTAGTCTAGTCTAGTTCTGCCGTTTCAAAATAAAATCCGCTCGGCGCTTGGCCTACCGAGTACCCACCCGTGGCGCACGGGCCTCAAAGTAAGCCTGATAAATTTATTGCGCTGGAAATATTATTACACCAGTTCACGGCGGAAATAGCATCCAATCAGTCAAGCGTAAAGAGAGAAACTTGCGCGCTCCCAAGGTTCCAAGATTCGCATTTGTATAAGTCGAAAACGCCGGCAGTCGCGTGCACGTAGGTGTATCTCCGTCACGCTCGCTCGGCCGGCTGGGCGGCAAAATGTGAAAAAACAAGTGGCATTGCGACACTGAGCAAGAGAGAAAGAGACAGAGAGAGAGAGAGAGAGAGAGAGAGAGAGAGAGAGAGAGAGAACGAAGCATTGTCTATATATAAAATACAGCGCTCGCATGATTTGGCGCCTGGCAGCGAATTGGTCAACATTCGCGCGATGAAAAGACCGTGCCTCTCTCGAGGCCCCCAAAAGAGCGAGAGAGCGTTGGAGATTATCGAGCGACGCTGCGCGCGTACACCCACGTCTCAACCAGCTGCTCTGGATACATTGGAGCTGATGCTGCATCGGACGCCACTGGCTCCTAACCATCTGTTCCCGCGATGCACTTTACCACCGGGAGGCAACACTTTTTCGGATCTTTTTCTTCTTTTATTTGCTCCCGTGCACTCGCATCGTTGCCGAGCCTAATCTCCGAGGGGCTTTGTTCCGATTCTTCGCGTTATTCAATAAGTGTATTTTTGCGAATGCATATTCAGTGTCGGGAACAGACGGAAAGCCGACACTGGGCTAACCTCTTCCGCGCCTCTTTTCACTGGGGCAAACACCATTTTTACGTTACTCACTTTGACACAACTGCATTTGACGAAAAGGATTTGACCTCACGACAATCGAACTGCAGTGCAACAATCGCAATTTATTGTTCCCGTTCCAATAAAAATGCAAATTCACTGTGCTCGCCAGCACTGTCTACCGCATTGCCGCATAGCGCCAAAATTAGACGTGAATCGTGACCGCGAAGAAGAAAACCATAAAAAAATAGAAAAAAAAGACGAGCGTAATTACGGAGCCTGCTCGTAGGCCGGGCATTTAAAAGTCACGTGCGCCAGAGCGAGACGACCGTAGGCCGCAGCAATACAGCAATAATCTCGGCAGTTGTGCACGCGCGTGCTCTCGCGGTAAATTGGCATCGGTATGCGTCTGTCAGTCCGTCTGTGCCTACGTACATTATCATACACGCGTGCATAGCTTTGGCCTTGCTGTGTGCGTGCACTTCGCCTACACAGACGCGTACGCGTGAGCTAACCGGTGAGCGAGTCGGTAAAGGGGGCTTGCTAGAGAGAGAGAGACAGAGCGCACAAGCAACAACACAGAGGCAAGGCGGACGTGGCAACGACACGATCGCGAACGCGCGCGTGTGCGAGCCTGTCGGTGAGCGCAGGCCGCTTGCTAAGTGGCGTCGTGCCCTCGCGCCGTAGCGCGACTGCGGCTTGCCTGCTCGCTGCGAGAGGCGGCGACGTGGCAACGCCGCGCGTGAGCGCCACCGGAGATATCTGGCAACCTCGACTCTATAGATACACACACTTGCCAGCGCGAGTTACGATAGCCTCTCACGGACGCACCTTCTCTCTCCCTCGGCTGCTGCTGCTGCTGCTGCTGTCACACTCTCGCAAGCGCGCGCGCGCGCTTTCTTCGCGTTCTTTTAGCTATGCCAGAGTGCGTATACTTACCGAGAGCTTCGTGGCGGTGAGACCTCGCGGCAGGTGCGCACGACAGAGGCGCCGTCGAAGCAGGCGTCGACCGAGGCGAAGGACTTTGCTGGCCGCGTCTCGACGACGACGCTGGCGCGCACTCGCTCGCTCGCTCGCTCGGTGGCTGGCTGGCTGGCTGGCTGGCTGGCTGGCTATCTGTTGTCGTCGTGGCTCTGACTCTGTGCGTGTGCGCGTGTGTGCGGGTATGTGTGCGGCGAGGCAGGCAAGCAGGCGCGCGCACGGACAGATATCGACCCCGCCTAAGCTCCGCCCACGGGAGTGCCGAGCGCGGCCGAACGCAGCCGACGCCAGCCGACCGAAGCGTCGAGCGCCTCCTCCCCTGTCTCGCCTTACCTCAACGCCGAGTATAGACCCCCTCGCCCCTGCCCAGCACGCCGCTCGCTACCGAGCTGTACCTTCTTGGCGCTTGCTCTCTCTCTCTTTTCTCGGAATCGGGCTTGTCTCTGGTTGAGTTGCGCATTATGCACGGATGACTGCACCGAGCTAGGAAAGAGAGCGAACCGATCTCCACGGGAGGCTCGTTGGTATTGCCGCGGCGACTCGACGTATTATACCTCGCGGTGCAATAAGCCGATTTGCCGTTCGCGAGTACGTACACCTACCTCGCGCGCTAATATGTCCACCGACAATGCCTTTTCGCGGCTTTCAAGCCCGATTTCTACCGACGACTGGGCCTAGCAGCCATCTTGCATCGTCCAAATCTTCAAGTTGACGTTGCACTATCTATCTACGATTGGCTCGATGGATTTTGCACGCCGGCATGCGGAGCTAAAGTGCATTGGCATTACAAAGTTGCCGTGGTAATCTGACGCCGCGCACTTTTAAGCTCTTTCGCGAAAAGCCAAGTAAATTGACTTGCTAGTTTCTGCTGCGTTTCATTTACGGGCATCGAATCGCATGCCTACGCTTACCGTAGAAGGCAGCGCTTTCAACTACTCGGCCAAGGGCTTCTCCATATCGCGAAAGCCCTCACATGAATAATGTGAAAAACTGGACAGGTTATCTAGACTTGCAAGCATTTTCAAGTAACGTTTGTGCGATGTTCCTGGAAAACGGGAAACTGCTTCTCCGGAGTGTGTGTACGTTAACGCCCGCTCGCGCCGAAACATTCGTCAGTGACGACGCTCATGCCCAATTGACTTCTACGAAATCTTGTCATTTCGAAATTTAATAAAAAGATATATGCAACATTCGAATGCACAGCTCGCTCCTTGGCTTTCATTTTGTGTGTTGTGCGAGTCCATTTCAGCGGATACCGCGCAGCAAATCTGAAACGTTCGAAATGACGAGACACGAGGCGGCGAAAATTGGCATTGGAAGGGCAACATCAAGATAACCTTTTCACGAGAGCTGTCGGCCCTTTTTATGAAGAGTTGGCTTCCAGTCGGAGGCTAGTCGTAAATACTTTCAGAAATTTTTTCTCCGTTATTTTCACAGGTTATCCGAGTTTTCCACAAATTCTGCATACTTCAAAGTAACGATTTTTACCCGATATATGCTACAAAATATATTCATGTGAAATTTCGCACTCAGTCTGTAAATAATTAATCGAGTCTTCGTGTAAAATTTCTTGACAATTATTTAAAATAATTAATCTGAAAGTATTATAATTTCTGAAATGTTTGAAAGTATAACATTGGATGTTCACTGCTATCGAAGAAAATCATGGAGCACATTAAATCTTCGATCTGGTAAGATTTTCAAAATTGATATCAGTGAACTGCTTCATTAATACGATTTTAAGTAATTTTGAAATTGCAGGTTTAAAAATGAAAGCTTGAACGTCCCCGATAAATGCTTCTATTGTAAAAAAATATTACGCGCAAGTTTGCAGCTGAAGATTGACCGTGATTATTAGAGAGAGTTGAATCGGTCAAAATCGGTGTATAAAAATCTAGCTTTGAAGTTGACTGTGACTTATCGGAACGCTCATGAATTCAACGAAACGTTCGTGGTTTGAAAGGACCGCTTGGCGAGCGCCCGGCGTGCAGCAAGCTCTTTGCACATCCGACGAAATTCGACGATGAAATGTAATTCTGTTGGATACGCAACCTAGCTCGCGCGTTACGCCGCACACGAAGGATGAAGTGCGCGCGCTGCTAGCGGCGAAGCCAGGGCGATATCTCTTCTGCGCGCTCGGCGAACAGCGGCTCGCGGCCAGTACTCGCAGGTATAACGCGGCCCAAAATCGAACGGCACGATAGCCCGCGTCTCGAGCGTATAGAAGTAGCCACGACAGGTTTTAAAGTTGGGAACGAGGTCGAACGCCGTCGTCAACCGATCCGGGGGCGGTGTCGGGACGGGCGCACCGATTTTTCCTCGTTCAATTAAGTCGCGTAGCCTCAGCGAGCTTGCATCAGCGCCAGCTATATAAATTTATCGTAGGGCTCGTAAAGCTCGCTCGGTTACCACTTCTCGTGCATGCCCGCGCGACCTTTCCGAACGCCTAACCAGCGTTTCTCTAGCGCTGACGCCTTGCGATTAACGATCGGCTAAACGTCGCAAGTATCGCCGGTTTTGTCCCTTTTATTTGTTGCACAAGTCAATCAGTAGCTCGTCGACGCCCCAGCTGCGCAAGGCGAACGTATCTGTTTTCTCGGGGTGGCGGAGCATCGAAATGGCCTATCAAATTTTCCAATTCGAGGGCAGTCGTAAAATATGCTAGCGGCAACTTATTCCCAGATGGGGATCGCTTTCTCTGCGTTGTGTGCTCTCAACCGAGTTAACGCGCATCACTTACTATCAGCATTAGTTTTCGATTCGAATGATAAACATGTTACTCGTGTCTTGACATTGACAACTCTTTAGTGGATGGAACCTGGGACGAATAGGTGAATTGACTTTGCTTCTTGAAATTCGCTGTAGAAATGAGCGACACATTTGGATCATTTCGAGAGTTACTCTTTTTGACGGAGCTCATAGATCGTTCGTCGCCATTTTTACAAAGGATTCCAGATGTCTTGACAACGATTTTGTTCAATGGATTTGCAAACGCCTGCCACGGTCGGCTCAAGTATTACACACGATTTTTGCGACAATGATGCAGCTTTGCAAAATTCGTTCTCTTGTTTTTTAATTTAGCTGTGGCGCTTAAAAAATTACATACGCCGTTGGAAACAATCGCAGGACTTTTTAATGAATAGCCGCTGAATTAGCATTGAAAAATCGATCCGAAGGTAAAATCTGATTTCAATCAGAAGAGAGCCGGTTTTGCAAATTGGAAAAGAAAAGTCAGTAACGTCGAGAATATTAAGTTTCGCATCGAGAACACGCGGATAGAAGCTTTCAATAAGGTGCCACGATGAATCAGAGAATACTAGTTCGAAGAAGCAAGAGATAAAAAGGAAAGAAGCGCCGTAGCCGCAGCCGAAAGGAGTAAAAGAGAGCGCGGTTGGCAGCCGAGTCGGTGATGTCTCTTTTAGGCGCTCGGCGCGCGCGATGGTCATTTTTTCTCGGCGATGCCTCCTCTCCCCGCTCGATGAGCTCGGACATTCTTGGGCAATCAGCGTCTTCGATCTGGAATAACTTATCCGCGGGTCGCGCGCGCCGTCGGGGCTCGGGACTGCGTGGCAACCTCGTCCACGGGAAGACGAGGGGGGACTCCGTCCCGCGGGCAATTTGGCAAAAATCAGCCGGGCGAGCGCGCAGGGCTAAGCTTTCGCGCTGCTCGAGGGGAGTCTCGGCGGAGAGCGCGGTCTGATTGGTCGTCGGCGAGGCGCTCGTCCCCAACCCTCCTTCTCGCGCGTCCTATTTCCGCTCTTTTGTATTCGTCCGCGTGGAGGCGCGTTTATACGCGGAGTCCGCCAAGGGGAGCGATTTATAGTGTCGACGCGATCCTCTTTTTCTTCGCGGATTCGGCTGCCCTCGCGCAGGTAGGCGATAGACAGCGGGTTCGCGCGCGTAGCCAGACAGCCCGGGGGGAGATCGCCCGACGAAATCGAATCCTGGCGGTGCGCGCCGCTGCGGGCATAGGCGCCTGACCGAACGGCCCGCGGACGACGCCTCCGTGACAGGTTTTTATTCGACGAGACGCGTGCGCGTACACGTGTAGCTCGTCGTCGTCCTCATTTTTCATTTGGGATCCAGCGACCGCAACAGTACAAATGATTTTGGCAACGAACTTTATCGCCGACCGCCTCGTAGTCGTCAACAATTTATTATTCCAGCCTCCGGGGCATGCTAACTAGCGAGCCCCCCGACCTCGCTCCACGCACAACAGCTCAATCAATCATGACTCTTTCCTCTCGCTCACTGGCTCTCCCGCTTTTTGTCCGAATCCCTTTTCGGCGCGCAGCCAGCGAGCACGCTACCTATAATGATTCCCCGGAAGCCCGAAAAAGCGGCCTCTCTCGCTTTTTGCACACGCCCCACTCGACGTCAACGAAACAGCGACGGGAGAGAGCGAGAGAGAGCGAGCGAGAGAGAGAGAGAGAGAGAGAGAGAGAGAGAGAGAGAGAGAGAGAGAGAGAGAGAGAGAGAGAGAGAGAGAGAGAGAGGGATGGATCGTGGAAAAATCGATTGCACAAGAGAGAGGAGCACTGCGCGGTTATAACGTAGGTATACCCACAGCTGTGCGCGCCACGGCAATGGGAGTGTACACGAGCGAGCGAGCGAGCGAGAGCGAGAGCGAGAGAGAAAGAGAGAGAGAGAGAGAGAGAGAGAGCGAGTGCGCGCGCTCTCGTCGGCGAGAAGGGAGGGCAAAGAGAGCGGGGGGTTGTTGTAAAGCCGGCATAGTCAGAGAAAGATAGAGTGGGGATCGTGTCTGTTGTGTCTACACAACGAGAGCGAGCGAGCAAACGAGAGAGAGAGAGAGAGAGAGAGAGAGAGGGAGAGCGAAGTCGTTTTGCCGCTCGCCGCTCGCCGTCTTTCGACGAGTACGAGTTTAGTTCGGCACGAGAGTCCGCGGACGACGGGTTACGGTTTCCTGTCTATCCGTCACTCTCTTCGTTCGCTCGTACATTGGAATCGGCCTCTCGTCGGCATCGTGTAATCGATTTTACTTTACACCACGACAGACAGTCTGAAAGAGAGAGAGAGAGAGAGAGAGAGAAAAAGATAGCCTAAGCTGCTACAGCATGGCCGTAATGTGGCATGTATAGGGCGTATGCAGCGCGCGCTCGTGTGTGTGTGTGTGCGCGCGTGTGTGTGTGTATGCGTGCGCGAGAAAGAGAGAAAAAGTGAGTGAGAACGAGATGGCGCAGACAAAGGGGGCCTACTCCTGCTGATTCCGCACTGTAGAGTAGACGCCAGCAGCAGCAGCCACAGCCACACGCGAATGCTCTACTGCCTGAAGGAATAACATCGGCCTGTGCCGCCTGCAGTTAAACTTATATAGGTACGTATATAGTGTACTTTGGCAGTGTGCGCGCCTCTATTCCGTGTGTCCGTGGGTCTTGCGCCGAGATTGCATGCACGCGACAACGGCGACGACGACGATTCTCAGTGTGTGTCCCCGCGATGCCGCCGGCTTATCCTTCTCGGCTTGCGAGAGAGAGGGCACGCAACTTATGGATTGTTTCCACGGAGGACCGGCTTTTCCCGTCCTCCCTCCCAACCTCGCTCTTTACCTCCCCTTCGAGCGAGGAGTCAGTTTTTTTTTTCATGCGCTGGCACGTGCACTTAAGGGGACAACCCGACAAGGGAGGGGGCACTTGGAACGTTGGCGAGGTGAGGTTCTGTTCTTTCTTTTCTTTTCTTTTCTTTTCTTCGTCTTCTTTCTTTATTTCATTTTACTTTTTATTTGTTTCTTTGGAAGGAAGGGGCGCGACGCGCAAGAATCGGCTCGTAAAGTGTCGCGACGACGAAATTGAGCGATAACACGCGCCCGCGCGCGCGCCGTAGTGATAAAATTCCAAGTGGGTGGTCCGGAGTGGCAGAACGGCAGGTACGGGTTCGTTAACGAACAGCAACGTAGTCCGTTTCTTTTTCATCGGCTAGGCGCTTGCACGTTCGGAGAAACGGTCTTATCCGGGGCTACGTACGGCCAGCGAGTGTCGCGCGGGTCGAGCTAATTAACGCGGAAGATCGGCAGGAGATCGTAATTGGCGAGCGCCGGTGACAATCGAAATTAATTAAGCCGGGCGTATAATGAGAAAGCGCTGGGTCCACGCGCGCGGAGCCGGCGATAAAATGCCGCAGCGGCCAGATTACAGCCGCCGTGCCGAGGCAGCGCCGTAGCAGGCCGCGAGGAGAGGCGAGGAGAAGGGCTGTCGGAAAATAAACAACGTGCATATACGCGGCGCGCACATGCATGCATGCGTGCACAGAGCCACAGACCGAGAGAGCGCGGCGTCTAATTGCCGAGGGGGGTTCTCTCTAACGAGGCTAAGCCCAAGATACACTCGATATACATTTCCCAAAGTGTATGCGCTGCGCAGGGCTCTCGCGGCAACACTCGACGGAAGTTTATTTTCGACGGAGCGAGCGGATTTCGCGTTAAGATTTTCCAAGCGAGCGACACGTGCAGGAGAGAGAGAGAGAGAGAGAGAGAGAGAGAGAGAGAGAGAGAGAGAGAGAGAGAGAGAGAGAGAGAGAGATGGCTCTCGCACACAGGCACACGCACAAGGCAGAAGGACAGCATCTCCGGTAGAGGGGTATAACCCGCCTGTCGGCTCTCGTTTCAGGGAAAAAGATGGCGAGCAGTAAGAGGACGTACCTAAGGGAGGTGAACCCTCACCTCATCTGCCCTTTGTGCCGCGGATACCTGATCGACGCGACCACCATCGTCGAGTGTTTGCACTCGTGTGAGTATAATAACCGCGACGCTGAGAAAGAGATTGATCAACCGAGCCCGCAGCATTCGTCCCGAGCAATATCTGACAATGCCGCGTGTGTTTACAGTCTGCCGGAGCTGCATCCTAAAGCACCTGAGGACGGATGCCAAGTGCCCGTCCTGCAAGCTGTTGCTCAACACCGCCAAGCCCAATATCAAGTCAGTCTCGCGCATGTTCCACCGCGTCCTCGCTTTAATTTGCTCCTCTTCCCGATCTAACCACTGCTTACGCCTGATTCACAGGGCCGACAAAGCGCTGCAGGACATCGTCTACAAGCTGGTGCCGGGCCTCTATCACAAGGAGATGCGCAAGCGGCGGGAATTCTACGGCAAGCATCCCGAGCACGGTGCGTTCACAGCCAAAGGCACACGTCGACACCGAACCTTTTTCTCTTCTGTCGATTCTCGATCAGATTCGAATACCGTGACGCTGACGCAACAGTCCCAGTGCGCGACTCTCGCGAATAATTGCATAATGCAAAAAGCGTATCGTGACCCGATCGTAGGAATAATTTACCGCCCGTACTCTCCGCCCCCCCCCCCCCGCCCGCCTAGCCCCCTAGTCGCCACTCACGCCTATTTCCCCCCCAATACCTCATGAATGAAACAGAATATTCTAATCGATTGCAGGATTCGCTGCAAGCCTCGACCGTCTTGCCGGTGGTAAGCTCTTATATCAAACGACCATACAACACCTTATTTCAGTTTTTACAAACTATATGCCTCTCTACACGACATCTACTGACTCTCCTGACTTTCGTTATTACTTTGCCGACTAATCACCGACTTTGCGCTGCTGCAGTTTTCATCGTGCGCCGTTTCTTTTGCTCTTCACGTTATCTTCGTTCTTACTTTTTGTTTTCGCTTCAACATTGTACTGGAAACAGTTTTACTTGGTTTTACTGAAATCGGTGGTTTGCAGCTCTCGTCGTTTCCTCGCTAACGCAGTATATTCTGTTTTTTATTTGTATCTATTCATAGTGGCAATAGAACAATTTGCAAGTTGTGTGCTTGGATACACGATTTTTTATGCGTATTTTATATTTTTTTCCTTTTCGTTTTCTTTTGTTTTTTTATTATTTTTTTTTCAATATCGCATACACTGTAGATGTTGTTTCTTCATACACCTATATACGAAGAGCTGTTCACTGTTTCAAACATCGTCAGACTAAAAATTCGATTGGAACAATTTAATGATAAGACTGAAAGTAATGAACAAAAGAATCAGAAACAATCGTCTCAAAAATGTGAAGCTTTGACGTTTACTAGTGAATAGCCCCTCTCGCACCTACACTCCATAATAGTACATCGAAAACCGAATGATCAGCAATTCCCATTGAAATAGAAAAAAAAAAAAAAAAAAAAACAGAACAAACAAAGAAAAAAATCAGCCTTTTCGAATAGTTATCGATTTGAAATTCATAAAAATAACACTCCAACAGCTGATTCAGCGACGCCTGAGCAACGTGGAGAGGACGTAAGCGGACGTCTGATCTTTGCACCCGAAGATGCTATCAGTCTGAGTCTTGAGTACCTGTCCGTCGGAGCCGATCCTTTGATTCTGCTTGCGACCAACAATAGCGAGGCAGAGCTCGCCAAAGGACAAAAGCCCAAGCAAATCAACGGCACCAATGTGGCCGGTAGGCGATATTTGCAGTGCCCAGCCCTCGTCACCATTGCACACCTCAAAAAGTTTTTGGCCCTCAAGTACAGCGTCGATGTCACCAGGTACAACATTGACATTTGTCACATGCGAGCACCGCTGCCCGAGCATTGGACGCTCATGGATGTCGCTTACATTTTCGCTTGGAAGAGGGTAACTATCGTAAAAGCATCTTATCTCGTCGATTGGACCATGTAATTTTTCGATTTTCGCTTGATGAATGCCTTTCTTCTTTTTTACTTTAGAACGCTCCTATTCGATTTTTCTACCGAATCACCCAGGAGGAGCAGCAATTAGAGGCACCTCCAAATGACAGGCCTTCTACGCCTGGTGTCGGTGCAAGCCAGCCCGCCACCAGCGAAGAGGCAGCGGAAATCGTTGCCGAGAAGAAGCCTGAATTTAACGGCGAGAAGCTTGAAAAGGCCAAAAAGCCGGCTGAACCCTTGGCGGCGCAAGATGCCAAACGGAATCTTCCCGACAAAGAGTTAAAAGTCACTGCCGAAAAATTGACGGCCCCACTAACGCCTGCCAAGCCCGAAGAGTCGGCGAAGCAGGTCAAGACTCCCATAAAGATTATGAAAAAATCAGATGGCAATTATCAAGTACTGCGCGGCCCCAGCTTACCTTCATCACCTGCTAAGCCCGACAAGAAATCGCCGCCAGCCACCCCCACCGCGGAATTTAGCGTCGTCAGCATAAACGATAGCAACGATTCAAAACAAGTGAAGATCACGCTGAAGCAGTGCCAGCCCAGCAACCCCGTCAGTTCCAATGGAAATTTGAGGAAACCCAAAGTGATAAGCAACGTGCTGCTTAAGAGCCCCAGCGACAAATCAAACGTCTCCGGTCAACTGCCGGACTCGCAGAAGCAGGAGAAGCACAAGCGAAAGGTCACATTTGACGTGAACGCCTCGCCCTCCAAGCAGCCCAAAAAAATGACTGAGCAAACGGAGAAGAAGCAATTCTTACATGCCGTCAGTCTTACCGCCAAACACGCTGCTACCACGGGTGCGAGCAAACAACAGGATCAAGAGGCCGAGGATGCCAACAGTGTTGAGGCCCAATTGAGGGATATTATCAAGAATAAATTGAACCGTGAGACGAACAATCAATTATCGCCGAGCAAACCGATCAGTCAGCTGTCGCCGACCAAAGACGAGCCAGTGAGAAAGCGACCGGCCGAGGTTAAAAATACCAACATAGCCGACCGCTTGGACGCCAAGCTGGCTAATGTCGATCATAACCCGGCCAAATTTATCCGCCCCAGTAACAACAAAGAGCAGCAACCGATCGACGTTTACGCCTTCCCCAGCGATCCACCCGGTACCGCGACAGTACCACCAGGCGCCGTTAAAAGGAAGTGTCCGCCTGGTTTGCCGATTTTTGATATTCGTAAAAAGCATCAACAATGCGCGTCTGGTAAACGGATTGGCGTTAACGCTGCGAAAGGAACGACCGTCAAGTGCTACAGAAATCAGTCTAAGCCGGTGATTTATCCCAAACCTGCAAGCCCGGCAAGAGTAAGTTTCACATCGCTGAGTCGATTCGTCTTGATCCGCTTATCAATTTCCAGCTATTAACTAAAAAAGCAATATTTTTTATAGCCCTTACAGAGCTTGCAAACGCCGATGCCCAACGCAGCAAACGCTAACATTAACAATTCAGTGGCCAATGCAACTGTTAGCTCTACGTCTTCCAAGCCTAACCCGATAAATATCAGCGACGATACGCGCTCATTGTTGGATGGATGTGGTCTCAACATACCCGCAAGTCTTAGTATAACTTTGACGGCTCCTAAGTCTCCTAGCCGGGATTCGCAGATAGATTTACGGAAAGATCTCTCTCAGCGCGGTTTGGACAAGCTAAATCCGAGCATCACGTTGAACGACAAATCCGTGGATCCTAGAGCATTGAAAGCTTTGAAGGCCGGTCAAATGAGGATGCCACCAGCCAATGCAAAGAGCAAAGGACGCCAGACGACCGATTTACCTCAGCAACAGCAAGGGCAAGCTGCTAAGAGGAAAAAGGACGAGAGCCCGGCACAACAACCAAGAAATGCTTTGGATCTTAGTGGCCAGAAAAAGTCGGATTTTAATTCTTCTTTGAAAATACCAACGCCCATGGGATCCAAATTCAAAAGCAAACCTCCACCGCCCACTTGGGTAAGGCAAGCCTTTGTCGATAACGCTTTAATTTGCTTAGAATGATGATCTGAATTCGTTTACTTTCTGTGTTACAGTCGCAAGCTAACAGCCCAAAACCGAAAGACGATTCGCAGAAATTCACTGCCAATGGCCAGGTTGTTACGTTAAACAGCGGTCAACGTTTCTATCGTGCACCGCCAGGTTCTCTGACCCCATCGGTCAACCGATTCAATGACATCCCAATGCCGACTCGTACCCCGGTATACGCATCTTTTGGCAATGTCTCATCCAATTACTCTCACATATTTCCGAGCTTGAAAAGTCTGTACGCGCTAAACCAGGCGCCCAGTCTCGAGCAATTCAGCATGGACTCGCGAATGCGCATGATTAAAGAGGCAGCAAGTAATAACACCACAATTAAAGCCACTAGTAGCACCACTAGCAACACTACCAGTAGCTGTAACAACGGCAACAGTAACAGTAATCCTCAAGGGAGCAAGAGCCATCTGGCTGCACAATGCGCTCCAGTCAAGCCAGCGAGATCGGCAGTCGGATCATTTGCCATGCCCGCTAAGCCGCCAACTGGTCTGAGCATCAAGATGACCAATAAAAGTGTGCCGTCCGTTTCCAGTGCTAACGAGAGCGAGACGCCTGTCGCTAATTCTACCGAGGCCAAGCAAAACCAGCAAAAGAGCGATTCCAAAGAAGGTGAGAGAAAAAATCGATTTGGGTTTTAGTGATTTGTTAAGGGGCAATTGAATTTGACGATTTTACTTTTAATTGCAGCTCCAGCGAAGGCCGACTGCGAACAAAGCGAGAACTGTGAATCTTCTACAGAGGAATCGAATCCGCCGCAGGGCTCAGCGAGTCCTCGAGTTACGTCCACGGTGTCTTCGTCGCCTCCACCGAACGTGAGCGAGACTTGTGCAGCAGAGAAGCCACCTGCCGAGGCGAAAGCCAGCCAGCCGAGGGCATCCGAGGTGAGCAGCAGCAAGTCGCCGGAGAGCCCGGACTCGAGCTCGCTGGTGACCGAAAGCAATCTAGTCGACAGCACCAAGGACAAGAGTCGAGAACCTTCCCCCGTAAAGAGTCTCGAGGTGAAATCCGAAGGGTCATCAAACAACGAGGATGTCAAGCTCAAAGACGAGCAGATCGACGAAACTGACCCGAAAAAGTCCATGAGTTCGGAAGCTTTACAAAAGAGACTTCTAGCCGCCTTCCCGTCGAACGAGTGGGCCAACAATCCTCAGGTCGCCCAGCACTTTGGTCTTTTTCTCGAGAGGTTGAACACGATGCCGGCCGAGCCAAAGAAGGCCAGCACGGTTGAGTAATCGCCTTATCCGTATTAAGGTGTAATCCTGCACAATGTTTTTTGATATCGATGTTTTTGTAGTGTAAGGCTCGAAACCTTTGAAACCTCACAGCGATGACTAGCTGCCAGTCACTGCCACTCAATACTGACCAAGTTGCGATCATTGAAGCAAGTATTTTTTCCGCCGATCTCGCAATCGATGACTTGGCAAAAGTTTTTTCATGCAATTGTGATAAGTGGTCTTTTGTACTTTTGCACGCGCAAAGCAGCCATACTTTGGCCAGTTATTGAATCTAGAAATTTATATTTTTTCAACGCGCTATCGAATCACGGCCGAGTATAGCATTTATTTTTCAATCCAGTAATATGGTCAATGTTTAAAAATGAAAAAAGTATTACATCATTCATTAGACATCTTTTTGTACACCATTTATACAATTTTAAATAAGCTCTCGGAAGTTAGTGGATTTACACATAATGATTGCTATTCCATATGTTTACATAATTATCAAACTCTATTAAGCAAGAGCTTACATGGTCTTTGCCATAATGAATGCATTATCTATAACTACAGTATTTTAATGCACACAGACTTAAAAGACACAAAGAGATTTATTCGCAAACAAATCACTGATACTTACATGACTTTATTTCGTGGTATTTGATTGGGTTATTTAATTTACCGTTGTTTTTGTAAAATATAGACGACTAGTTGTAATTAAATTTAAGTATCTAATTGTACATGTTCGACATCATTAACGCTTTCCAGTATTTTAAATATCTGGAAGATGAGTATTTGTTCCTTTAATTGTAGTCAATGGCAATATAGTTCTGTTTGCAGTTATATTTGGCATTGTTAAAACTTCAGTTTATCTTAAGTTCTGTTAATATAGAAACTTCCTCGTACATAGATTAAGGCAATCACCATAATTTATAATTTTATTGTATAGAATAAAATAAAAAAGAAGTAAAGAAAAACAGAAACTACGAAGGCTCCAGTGATTGGTACAAAGATTTTTAAATGCTTAATATGTACTACCAAGAAAATGATTTTTTCTTACTGCCAAAGTTTCTATTGACATTAAGCTTTCCATACTAAACCCAATTTTATGTATGAGGTACAAATTAATAAGATGATATATCTACGTCTACATACATAACAGCTAGTGGTATTTAGTTTATAAGTTGTAAATATTTTAGTTGTCTAAGTAAGCAATTGAGTATACCATTCGATGATAGGAGAAGTGATTTGAAATATTCTATTTTAGTATAAAAATCAACCGAGTTAGGTCAATCGTCATGTGTGTATATATATACAAGTATATACATTCTTGTTCAAACTTTTTAATAAAAAAAAAGAATAATCATTATGTAAGCTTTGTAAAAGAAGCTAATGTACAATACCGAATAAATACAATGCTGTATTCCTATAAATGCAAGTGTAAATTTTATAACTTACCATGCACTAATCAGTATTATCTTCTATCACCTGCAACGTCTATTTTATTTCTCGTGAATTGTCTTCTTTAATGGATTTCACTTTCACTTGACTAAATTTGTTACAAGTTTGTCGTTTCATCGTTAATCACACAAACTTTCAAATTTGACGCAAAATAGTAACGGGTGACTGAAAGAAAATGGCCTCCGACTTCTGCTCGTTTGATCGCCAATGGCGATGAGCGATCGGCTGAAAACTGACTATTATTGGGTAACTTTGGACGTTCGTCAGACGCCAATGATCGGCGCATGCGCACAGGTTAGTTGCAGCAAACTATATCTATATCGCGAGTCTCTCGAACACTCGACGACCACCGCTGGCTACAGCTATAGCAGAGTTGCTACGCGATCGCGCGTACACTGCATATACCGTTTTGTCTGGTTTGGTCTGGTGTGGCCAATGGCCAGTTTCACTCGATCGTCCTATAGCTGCTGTGTGCCCATTGTGTAGCTTGTTTTTGTCATGTTTGCAAATGTTCGCCTACCTTCCTTTTCCACCGAGTAGCTCATCGATAAATTCATCGTTATAATGTTTTCACCTGTGCGGGGGTGTAACTCGCAGATGTGACATGTGTTATTGGGCGGAGCTGTTGGCTGCGACTACGAAGACGAGGATAGCAAACACCAAGAGGACGATGCTGCATCAATAGAGTGAGAGATGTGGAGCGTGATAAGGACGTGGAGGATGATTGCGTTTATGGTCAGCGAGAGATAACGATTGTGATTAGCAGCCGATCTCGTTCTCGAAAATGTTGAGGTTCTTGTCGAGGCGCCGGCGCAGCGTTAGCGCCCAAGCCACCTCACCGCAGATCAAGAACCAGAGGCTCATCAGCAATAAAAATATCGTGCAGTGTCGTGTTATTCTTCTCGACGGTGCTGATCTCTCCATCGAGCTGTCGGTGAGTCAAGCCTTCTGTTATCGTTTTCTCTTCAAACAGTGTATGATTTTTATCAATCACTATTTAATAGCTTTTGTATGTATTCTGTTCTAGAAAAAGGCATTAGCCAGTGATCTTTACGAGCAAGTATTTTATAGCTTGGATCTAATAGAGAAAGATTACTTTGGACTGCAATACACAGACAGTAATAATGTGCAGCACTGGTTGGATCCAACAAAGCCAATAAAGAAGCAAGTGAAAAGTGAGTACAATCCAATATATCGTAGATCATGTGGACGATGCCCTTGCTGATACCTTAATTTGTTTCATATGATACAATACAGTTGGACCACCCTACACGTTAAGGTTAAAAGTGAAATTTTATTCATCGGAACCCAATACACTCAGAGAGGAATTGACTCGATACCAGTTTTTCTTGCAACTCAAGCAGGATCTCCTAGAGGGGAAGCTACATTGCCCTTACCAAACCACAGTACAGCTTGCTGCATTAACATTGCAATGTAAACAACTAATATATAAAGTTTTACTGCGAAACAATCTCATGAGGTTCACGATGACTGTTGATTTTCATGCAGCTGAGCTTGGAGATTATGACACAACAGTGCACACAGCAGCGACGGTGTCAGAGTTTCGTTTCGTACCAAACCAATCGGAGCAAATGGAGCTGGAAATCCTGGAAGAGTACAAAAGATGCACGGGTATGAGTCCCGCCCAAGCAGAATCGACATATCTGGGCAAGGCTAAATGGCTGGACATGTACGGTGTGGACATGCACACAGTGATGGGCAAAGACGCCTGCGAGTACTCATTGGGTCTGACGCCCACGGGCATCTTAGTTTTCGAGGGCTCGCAGAAAATTGGCCTGTTTTTCTGGCCGAAGATTGGCCGGTTGGACTTCAAGAAGAAGAAGTTGACGCTGGTGGTAGTGGAAGAGGACGACGAGGGCCGCGAGCAGGAGCACACCTTCGTGTTCAGGCTACTGAACGAGAAGGCCTGTAAGCACCTATGGAAGTGCGCGGTGGAGCACCACGCGTTTTTCAGGCTGCGCGCGCCAGTGAAGGGCGCGAGCGGTCGACAGAACTTGTTCCGTATGGGCTCGCGCTTTCGCTACAGCGGCAAGACCGAGTTCCAGACGACCCAGCTCAACCGCGCCAGGCGCACCGTCCAGTTCGAGCGCAGGCCCAGTCAGCGCTACGCGCGCCGACAGAGCCACGTGCTGAGGGACAGGCAGCGTCAGGTACTGGACCAGACGCCTCAGGTCTCCTCCGGTAAGGGCTGCTCTTGACTTTGCTATTTTGTTCGGTCGACCTCGCTAATCAGTTTCGTTGTCGACTTCGCAGCCGAGGAGGAACCTCTGGAAAGGCAGACGAGCCGAGCCAGCAGCACCAAATCGTCGTCGGACGTGAGCAGCGTACAAGGCGCGTCCTCGCCGCTAGTGGATTCGCTGCTCAAGTCCCTGGCAAAGGAGCAGCAGCCGACGGAGGCGAGAAACGACGCGAACGCCGCAGCAGCCACCAGCCAGGAGAAGACCGAGATCACGAAGACGAGCCTCGCTATCGAGGCGCCCTCGCCGCTGCCCATACCTAACAACCAGATGATCGCCGCCACGGCCTTGCCTCCTCGCACGCCCATTCCGCCCGAGGTTCTCAAGTGCAATATCTTGAAGGCCAAAGCCCTCGAGCAACAGGGTAAGAACTCCAATTTGGTCTCGATCTCGACTGTCGAGACACCAAGCGATAAAACGCTGCGACCTGGCACTGCCGTCATCGCTGCCGCTTCGAGTGTTAATGCCGCTGACGCAGCTACCATCGTATCTGTGGTGAGTTCGCTGACAGCTTCTTGTTGTTAGTTGGTTTTGCCGCTTTTGACATTTTTGATCTTCGTCTTACTTGCGCTCACAAGTTGTTCTTTTCGTTTTGGTTGTCGATGTTGTCGCTTGTTATTCGTGCTAGCTTCTGCGGGTTGGAATACACCTTGAGCTTCGTATGATTCCTGCGATCAAGCATTCACAAATGAACGGTGAGGCTTAACCGTCGCAGTCATCGAAGTTGACTCGAGGTGTAACGTGCACCTACTCACTCACACATTTCGTTGCTTTTTGCTCGTCCGTGCTCAACACAGGGTGGCGACAAGCTGACCCTCTCGGTGAGCGGTGCCTCGACGAGTCCCTCGCCGGTCGACGACGCGGTCACCGTCACGCACTTCTCCCTCGACAGCTGGGGCAAGATTCAGCAGAAGACCACGCCTCTCAGTCCCAAAGTGGCCAATCAATCCAAGAACCCTTTCAACCCATTTATGAGCAATACCAGCCCAGACGATTCGATCGCCAGCATCGCCGAAGAAGCTGCGGCTCCGGATGCTCCGGAGGAGCCCACACCAGTTGTTGTGCCGGCCGAGGAGAAGAAAGTCAACACCAACCCATTCGTCGACTCGAACCCTTTCTACGGGATGCTCAATCCCTTCGCTTCCGACATGACTTCAGCTCCAGTTCTGGTGACAGCGACTGCGACTGCAGCGAAACCGACAGTAGTGGAGGAACCTGTGGTACCGCCACCAGCACCAGCACCATTTGTTGTCACCTCAATCACCAGCACCGTCGCTGCTCCTGCGAACAAGACCGACGTAGCTACACTCAATGGCACGAGGGTCGTCAAGACCGAAGAGATTCAGACGACTACCACCACCCTCACGCATAAAGTAAGCCTCACTCGACGCTTGCGCTAGATCGGTTTTTTTCTCTGTATTGTTGTTGTTTTTGTTGTTGTTGTCTCGTTATTGTTTTTTTTCTTCCTTTCCTTGCGAGTTTTTTTGACTGAATTTGAAAATCTTTCAGCAGGACGATGGGCCGCCAGCAGCGTCAGATATTAGTCCCTGGTTGGTTGCTGATCCAACTCAAGCGTCGACGGCAACTGCGAGTCCAGCCAAGCATACCGTAATCACTCGCAAGACAGTCATTACGACTCAGTTGTAGGCGCATTCTCGTTTACCTACTCCGTAGCATAAAATGTAAGGGAGGAATTTGCGAAATAGTATTACTATTTATGTACGACAGAGTTGCTGAGATTTTGTTTTTCATCATCGAATGTTAGGCATACCGAAATTGCGGTTTTCGTTTGTCTTTTTTTTGCCAAGCAATGATTCCTTACTGGTGCTACCATTATGCTTTCCAACTGAAATATTAATATTATCTTGTAGAGAAATAAGCCTAATCTCGAAACTGCAGCGAAATTTAAAAAAGAAAAGAAAGCATTTTTCGAGGCTCTGGTGGATAGTGTGCCATGTCTATTGAAAGGCAGTTTCTTTTTCTTACGATTACCAACGTAAATAAATTATTTATTAAGGTCTAGAAAACTGTGATGTACTCACTGCTACGATTTTCAAAGACGAACTTTTTAGTATGCTTATGAATAATTCCTCCTGCTCGACCAACTACTGAATTTATACAAAATAAGACTGGACGTTTCTACATTTTGATAAAGATTTATTAGGCGAGAAAACTTAGCCTCATTGACGAGTTTTCTTCGAAAAAAAGCTTTGCTTCTTTCAATATTGTCACAAGGAAACTATAAAATATGTGCCTTAAAACCTTGTAAACTTGTACTTACGTTGGTGCAGCAAAGACTGTTCCCTATTTTTTACCAAGTAAAAAATTATCACTTTTTATTTAAGGTAGTGAAATTAGTCCAAGTGTGAAGCGAGTCGAATTGTAGTCAAGAAATTTCAACTTCACTTTGTCGGAGAAGTTTTTACGATAAACTTAGTTTCACGGTGATGAAATTTACCGACAAAATTATTTGAAATATATGTATATATAAACATTCGAAAGTCTTCTTTGCCTTGTTTCTTGTTTTATCAAAGTATTAAAGATATTTCACACAAGTGTATTTACTATATTTACTACGGTACTCGAAGACAGTATGTTTTATTGCTTGTTTTTGACCTATACATTCCAATTTTGATCTCTGCAGTCAAATTTAACCAGCCCCGCTACTATATAATGATAAAAACACGACTCATTTATAGTCATGCATTGACTGAGTACTTACCTATGAGAAAAAATACGTCCAATTATAATTTTAATCACAGGATTGCGTGATTAGCACTAACTATATGTATATGAGATGCAACCGCAATATTTGAAATTTTTATGTGCATTGTTACAAAGTTTTATTGTATTATGTAAATTGCGGCCTTATTAGATATATATATATATATATATTTTTATCATAGATGTTGAGTATAGATTTGTGTAAACACAAATTACCTTGCGTATACCTTATATGTAACGCGAAAATTAACTTTTGCTTTCTGTTCATTGCTTTTACAAGTACTCCTATATTTCAAATAAATGATTTTATAACGTCTACCAGTCAAAATATCCATATAAGAAGAACAATTTTTTTCTTTAATTCCTGTAATATTTTCTTTGCATTTCAAACTCCTGATAGGAATACTTAGAATCATGAAAAGTGCAAATCAATATTGTCTGTTTGATTGGTTAGCATCTGACAAGATTAGCTTATTTCGACTGTTAATAAAACTTTGACCAATCGCATCTTTGAATTGTATATGTCTTTCACTTGTCGTAATAAAAAAACTAGACAATAATTTAATAAAATAATGTTTAAGTCATTTATTCGATAAAACTTTTCACATCTTTCCTTATCAATATAACAAAACATCAAATTCAAAATTAGTTGGAGAAAAGAAAAAAAGGATGAAAATTCTAGGTAAAATGTATCACATGCGGCGAGAAATTTTTGCTCGGCCAAGCTTAGGCGATATAGGTATAGTAATCTTAAATTTACTATATTTTACTTTCGGCGGAGAATGCATCTGTTCAGCGCAAGCTTGCTGTAAAAATGAGTGCTTTAAAGCCGAACGCTTCTGGATCGCCGATTGACTGTTGCATACCTTTGCGTTGTTCACCTTCTGGTTCTCTTTGGCAACTTCGGCGTTCGCCTTTTTGCTTTTGTCGCGGTTCATCTTCAGTTTCGCGCGTATCGCAGTTAACGATCGAGGAGACTTTGGAAGTTTCGACATCGTTTTGAACGTCGGTCCTCGAGGTTCGTTAGCTGTTGACCGACGCTTACTCGCCTGCGCAAAAGTACCAAAGTAACAAGGTCACTGAATCAATGTATTCGCGAAGAAAAAGAGGCGAGGTATCTACCGATATTTTTCGTTTGGTCTCTTTGCTTTCCTTTTGAGTATTGAGTGAGCCTGACGAACTTGGTTGCGCTTTATCGTCGAACGTTTTGTCGGCATTGACCATCTAGAAGTAAGCAGTGCGTCGTGATTGTCGTTGCCGGAAAAATTCGAGTGAAATAATTGGAATAAAATAAAGGATGTATTACGTGGTGGCCACCGCCGCACTTCTTTAAAATGTCCACGCCTGGCCTTGAACAAAATAATTATTTTGTCAATCGAGCAGCCAGAGATTTGTTCAACTGACCATATAGTTTTGCACGCGCGATACGTACTCATCGCCGTAGTTCTGACAGTCGCGCAACAGTTGCAAGTTCCGTCTGCCTATTGGACACATAGAAGTTCATTATCAGCGAGGCCGCGATCGAAGATTCCTCGACGGAATATCTTTACCAACCGAAAATCGGTACCGACGACGCGTCCATTCTCGACAGCGAGCTATCGTCGCCCCCCGCGTCGGATGCCGCGATGCTCGTGTCCAGCCGCGAGAAGAAGAGCTCGTGGACGTTGATGGGCGTGGAAGTGCATCTGCCGCTCAACACGATCGACGAGTCTGCCGTGGACTGTGGCTGCAGGTGGAGCAAAGCGCGCGGCCCGGGGATCCCTTTTTCGTGGCTCATTGCTGATCTTCGCTCGACCCAAAGAAACGGATGGTTATGCTCGATCGACCGACGTCCGACTGCGTGGATTTACTCGGCGACCGGTACTCGACTGTTTACATCGAGCGCTTACGCATCACCAATCAGCAATCGGCATTCTCGTCGCGCGTGGCGAGAGAGAAATGAGTACGAAGACTGGCAGTAACGCAGATAAGCTGGTAGAATTTCTTTCTTTTTTTTATTCAATAATGCATGTGCGCTCATGTACATCATTGTTATTTTCAACGATTATTTATTAATAGTAACCATAAATCATGATATATAAATGGATATTGTAAAGTAATAATGTGATGGTGATTGTAAACAGTAGAAGAAACGGCAACGTAAATAGACGATCCGTGCGATTTTCCCACGACATTTTGATTGGAATTCCGAAGAGCAGTCTCTCTCTGTGCCGAATTTCTCGGTCGCTCCCGGGCTAATCGACGCGATCGATGAAAAGACGTTGTGGAGACTTTTATTAATTTTACAAATTTTAGTGTTCAAGTTTTTATTGTGATTGTTATTTTTGTGAGCGTGCGTATAGGTAACTGGTGCGCCTTCGCAGGAGTGCACGGCGATGTTGTTTTGCGGCACTCACGCCGGCGACAAATTGAAAAATTGAGGTTGCGCAAGATCCTCCATCTGCGGCGCGGGTACAGCGATTACTAGAACGCGCCGCGCCAAAAGAGGGAAGACAGAGAGCGAGAGAGAGAGAGAGAGAGAGAGATAGATAGAGATAGAGAGAGTAGAGAGTAAGAGTGAGAAAGTAGAGTGTATTTATTAACAAATGTTCTTTTGGTCTGGCGTTCTCGGCAAAAGCTTATTCCTCCTCCTCTTCTTCTTCCTCCTCCTCTTCTTCTTCCTCCTCTTCTTCTTCCTCCTCTTCCTCTTCTTCCTCTTCCTTCTCCTCCTCTTCCTTCTCGCTGGCCTCTTCCTCCTCCTCCTCCTCGTCAAAGTTTGGCTCCTCGAGGTCCTCGTCCTCGGCGGCGGCCTTCACGTCTTCCTCGCCTTCGGGCGACTCGGGGTCTCCTGGCTTCTTGCCTGGCCGCTCACCGAACCACTTCGGCAGCTTCGCTATTATGCGTCAAACAATTCAATCGTAAGTATTAGACTTTATTGCGTTATCGCTGGCTCTAGGTTCGATTGGCTCGGTGCGACAACATTTAAATCCGTCAAGATAACAGAATTAGTTGACAGACGTTCGTTGTTCTGCGCATTCGTCACCGAGCAAACATTGGCTCGTTTCATAATCGATCAACGACATGATAGATAGACAAACGACTAACACGTCCAATTAGACTAAGATGGAAAAGAGGATAGTTTGGTTAAAGAAAAGTGACAACAACACATACTCTTTTGACGGGCAAGGAACTGATCCTTGGACGAGGACCATGCTTTTTCCATAGCCTCCTTCTGGGCGTCTGTCAGGCCCTGTAACATCAAAGGACAAAAACCATGCTAGGATTATCACACAAACGGGCCAAGGATGTGTGCGGCTCTCTTCCATCTTTCTGCTGCAGAGGCCTCGATAACAGAAGTAAAGTTGGGCACAGTAGAGGGGGACGTTTTGCGTGATAGTCGTTATCATTTTCGGTGGACGCACGGTCGTGGTCGGCTCAGTCACCGGGGGCTATATTACACGGAAGGGACAGATTACATCAACGAACACGACGGGGTGAGAAGAACAAGGTCCAAAAATGCAACCTCCAAAGTTGTCAGTCATCACAAAAATCAAACGAGTCGGGCTGGACGTGATGAAGAAAATCAGGGGCGTGGGGAGGTGTTGGGGGGGGGGGGCACGCGATCATTGCATTTGCCAGCGTCGTCGACTCACTTTTTGTGCGTTTCATGAACAAGTCCTGTCTCTGTTTCCAAAGTTTCTCGCAGTATTCCTGATATAACGTAGTATAGCCCTGCGATTTGGAAACTGTCAGAAAAGGAAAACTGAATGGTGTCTGTCTGTGTCGTGTCTGTGGTGTTGGTTGCAGAATGTTCTCGTTGGGAATCGACGGAGTGAGAGGAGGATAGAAGGCTACTTACACCCTCGAACAGTTTCTTCTTGTCGTCGTAGGACCTGGTGTCCACGCGGCGCTCGTACTTGGAGGCGACCTGGATTTTGGGCTGCAAGTAAGAAGAAATGGAGCGAGTGAGAGAGCTGTTTTCGCGGCGTAGGCGCGAGGCGTACTCACGGGGTATTTGCCAGTGAGGGCTTCTGGATCGAGGCCTTTCTTGAGGGCCTTGTGCCTGAGCTGCTGCTTCTGACGTTCTTTCAGCTCTTTCAGCTGAAACGAGAGAGAGAGAGAGAGAGAGAGAGAGAGAGAGAGAGAGAGAGAGAGAGAGAGCAGGGTAGAGTGAAGGTGGGAGGGAGAGAGAGAGAGAAAGTAGCTCGCGACTCACGTCGTAGTCCTGGCGCTTCTGACGCTCTTCGAGGTCGTACTTCTCGGTCTCGAGCTTGACGATGGCCTCCCAGAGCTCGGTGGCCTTGAAGCGCAGCTTGTCGATGCTGAAGTTCTCGATCTCCAGCGGCTTGATGCGGATGCTCAAGGAGATCTTTTTCTCCTCCTCGAGCTGCTCTTTGGTCTTGTTGCGCTCGAGCTGTGCGGAGGTGAGGTTGCCGGCGAGGTCCTTCTTCTGGATGGTGAAGTTGGGGCCCTTCTTGCTCGCCTGTTCCTTCATCGCCTGCATCATCGCCTGGCGTTTCTTCTCCGACTCCTCCAGGCGCCGTCGCTTCTCTTCCATGTCTCGCTGCTTCTTCTCCTCTGCGCAGAGGACACACGACGCACGTTATAGCCACAGACGGCGACTCGCGGCCGATCGGCGCCAGGCGCCTTACCGATTTCGCGCTGGCGGCGCTCTTCCTCCTCCTTCTTCTTCTGGGCCAGCCGCTTCTCTTCCTCGGCCCGCGAGATCTTGCGTTTGGCCTGCTTTTCCTTCAGGCCCTTGAGCTCCTCCTCCTCCTTTGCCCTCTGCTTGCGCCATTCCGATATGTACTCCTTCAGCTGCTCGTCCAAGTCGCTTCTCTTCTGCTCCTGCCTCTGTTCGGGCGAGAAAGCGGGCAACGATCAGGTCGCGTCGCGACGCACGATGATACGACAACTCACCCTCATAAACTCGACTCCCTCACCGGAATCCCTGGATTCGCCGAAAACAACAAAATCACATCTCTGGTTAATTCGTCCGGCGCGCCTCCAGCTCTTTCTCGCTCAGACCTCCTCTCATCGACTCCTTTTTCTTTTTTTGTCTTTGTTTTCTTTCTTTATATGACATGCGCACAAGCATACACACACACACGCGCACACGCGCGCACACGCACACAGAGTCCGACAAACGGACAGCCACGGCATGCACACCGAGACAGACATATATGCGGCAATAGATTTCGGTGAGTATTGATTGGCGAGTAGTGAAGCTGATGGTAGTGCGGCTACTGTGTTTGCGTTAGTCGACAGTCGGAGCTGTAGCGCTGGTTTTCGAGCCCTTCGAGGTCTGCGTGTTCACGGGCCACGTGTTACAGGAGACTGCAGAATTGGCGGTTAGAAGGCGAGAGAGAGAGAGAGAGAGAAAGAGAGAGAGAGAAGGACGGATGTGGCTTTCGCCGGAAGAACACCAGCGAGATCGGCGCTCTAGTTGCCCCAAGGCTGACGCGCGTCAGCGCCTGACACGCTTTCAAAATTAGACAGCACAGTTCGGCGCAGGGAGGAGCCTCGTGCGTGCACTCGACGATCGAGACGAAGCTGCCGCTCGTTCGCTCGCGAGACACAGACTCGTCGGAGGACAGCGAAAGAACAGAGCTCTCTCGCGCGCTTGTTAATTGATTATTTGACAAACAGAAGGACGCACAGCGGGCGGGTGAGAGAGAGAAAGAGAGACGAGGGGGTTGCGACACTCGGCACGTTAGACACAGCTCGGCGCGCCGCGACACGAGGCTCCTCGGCGAGCGCTCGCCGAGGGCCGCCGTGCGCGAGCTACGGTCGGGCGACAGTCACAATAAACCACAAGGATCGGAGCGGCTGTTAAACGAGAAGGCTCGCGCGACAAACGACAAGCTCGACAGCGAGAACTTACTTTTGGGACGCCCTACCCCTACAAAAGAGAAAGAGACAGATCGGTTAATAGAGTGGGCGCAGGTCGCACGGGGCTGCGTGCGTGCGTGGCTGGCTGTGGCTGGCTGTGGCTGGCAAGCTCGCGTCATCCTGCACGACGCTGTCAGTATAGGCAGAGCTTTCGCGCGGCTCGGTCCGGCCAAGCGCCGGAAATGAGCGGCGCTCGGCGGAGCTCGGCGGAGCTACGGTTCGGCCGCCGACGCGGCCGCGCGCGCGCGCGGAAGGCCCGGGGCCGGCGACCAACGGCGGACGCGCACGGCCGCCCGCGTTGCCGTGCCGATTGCGAAACGCGCGTCCGTCGATGCGCAACACAAGCGACAAATAAACAATCTCATTCGCGGGTGCTTTCGCTCTACGGTCGGCGTGCCACTGTCGCCGGAGTTAGCTCAATCGGCAACTGCGCTCAATTGTTATGTCTCCAAAGATAAATCAGTGAATGAACGAAATCAAAATTACAGTCGGTCGGTCGCGGCTGCTCATTGCCGCAGAAACAAAAACCTCAAGTACCAAAAATCGCCTCACGAGACATCACAACTGCGAGAGGAACAAATCCAACAACTAAGTCGATTAGATACAGCAAAAGATATAGGCAGCCATTGTTTTAATGCTCGAGACTCTTTGAACAAATATTTTGTGAGTTGTTGCGTTACTTTGACGACTCTTACAGATAATTATTACAAAAAAAAGGAAAGAAAATAAAAAACAGTATCAAACAAAAGAGAAAAAATATAACGAGACGTTTACACAGCAGCATTGGAGCTGCGGCACGACTTGCTTGTTCGTCCCTATTGGACGTCGAATTCTGCTAGCGTCGTGCTGCATCTCGCCAGTAATTTAATAGAGCCAGTAGTCGTTTTAAAGATAGCGGACGAACAATGCTGCGATCCGACAGATAGACAACAACATCAAAAAAAAAAAAAAAATAGTAAAAATAAAAAACTGTTAAATTAGAGATTACAAAAAAAAAGAGAGATCAATGTAGACATAGACAAACAAAGATGAAAAAAAATAGATGTACGACATCAACTCTGACACTTACTCGACTTTCTTCTCCGGTTGCCTGTTCGTTCGATCGAGATCGATTCGCGTGACGCGTGCGTCGATCGGCGTGGTTTTTTTCGTTTTTTTTTTTTGTTTTTTTTTTTCGTGTATTGGTTTTTTTTGGTGACGATGGATAATAGCGGAGAGGCGGAAAAAGAGAAAAACCAGTCAGTTATGGGTTCCTTGAATGTACGTCGGGTGGGGCGGGGGCGGGGGGAGACACAGAGAACAGAAGGGGCAATCGGAATCTTTCGAAAGGCAGCAGACTGGAGAGGCGAGCGACGGGGGAGCGCTCGAAATAATTGGCGCGCGGCGGCACGCCATTCCCATCGGCCGCTAAGAATAACGCGGCGAGACCGCGCTTTTCGACGATGAGGCAACAAGCGAGGCATCGCTCTCTCGTCGGCCGGTCGAGGCGTTCGATTCGCGAGAGCAAGCCCGAGCTGAGGAATCGGTCGTCGGAGAAACGGGCGAGCGCGCGTCGCTCGTCGGCTCGTCTCGTGTTACTAAATCGGTGTCCGGGTGGCCAGCGCTAACGGCCGCTCTATTTTCGTGAAGGAAACGCGCGCGCTAATAATAACCGGGTCGGCATCCGCGCGCTCCGCGAGTCTGCCCACACGGAGTCGTCTTCCTCTTCGTTTCGCGCCGTAGCCCCGCGATTCTCCCTCGATCGCGCCCAAACTCCCTCGGATCTTGCGCAACTGACTCCCCGTCTCCGAGGTGTCGCCCGGAACAAATGGGTTGCTGACTCGCGTATACTCGCGTATCGGCTTTCCTTTCGAAAAATTCCGATGTTGTCGATCGACGTCGATCTCCTCCCGACCCTTCGTCTCTTTTGCGCGATTCGCTAGCTATAATTGACTTGAATCTCAGATGAAAATTTTTATGGAACATCGCGCGGGGACTCTATAACTAGGGAGCTGATCAATATGGTTCAACGAATGGGTCGATTATGGCGGCCACTGGAACTTACTTCCTGCAATGAAAAAACACAGAGACGGTCAGTTGGAGAGGGACGGGGCGTTTCGGGTGAGAAACGCGACAAAAGGGAACACTTACACTTCCTCGACCTCCTCCTCTTCGCTGCTGTAAAAGACAAAATGGGGAACAGTTTGGTTAATACATCGTGTGTTACGTTATCACTCTCGAGGGGGTTCGACAAAAAGAAAGTGCGCAACAACAAAAGGGGAGTTAATCACTGAACGGTCACACGGACAATTAACGATGACCGAAAAATTAGACTGGTTCGTTTGTTGAAAAAAATGTACGAGATTGAGCGGGGATTGACGAGGGTGTGCGCGATCGTGGAGAGACTTCCCTGGCTTTACTCGACAAGAACTTGCGATGACGTTCTCGAGGTGGTCGATTTGCTCTCGACGACCGAGACGTCGTCGACTCTTGGAAAAAGAAATACCATGTGAGCGAGAACAAAGGGACGTGGCTACTTACGAGTATTGTTCCTCTTCGTCCGACATGACTGTGGGAGTTTAGGGTACTGCAACAGAAAGCATGGAGATTAATCAGGCGGAAGAAGCGAAGCGCACGACATGACAGTAATTCGATACGGCCAGCGCAAGCTCTACCGTGCGCAAGCTCTATAAGGAGCCGATCCCTTGCCGGCGCGCAGCTAATTATAGTCCGGCCGGCGCTCGCGCGAGAGAGGCTCGCGATGCCCGAGTCGCGGATTTCTCGTCGATCGCGTCACTGCACGCCACGACTCCCGATATGTACTCGGCCGCCGCCGAATGGAATCGACCAGGGCGCTCGCGGAGGCCGTCGAGGTCGCGCTGGCGAACGAGTTGCTCGCGAGATCGGCACATAAGGACACGGGCACAGAGTTGCACAAGCTTGCAAGCCGCACTGACCGAGTCACTTGTTATCGATGCTTCGCCGCACTGCACGCGACTCGCTCGACGGACACTGGCACACTGACGTCGCGGCACTCGTCTTTCAGAGATAAAGAGACAAGTGGAACCACAAGTTCGGCACGGGTGGCTGGAAAAAAGACGCGCGGTAACGGAGGAAAGGGAGAGAGAGAGAGAGAGAGAGAGAGAGAGACTCACGGCAGCGGCGGATCGTTAGCGAGATCAACTCGGAGAGATACGTGCGAGTCGGTGGAGAAGAGAAAGAAGAGAGGCTCCGTACCCGTGTCACAAGAGCTTCGCCGTTGGAATGTGGAGTCCGCGACAGCTTGAGCGGCTCTGAGTCTCGAGGCTCGGCCCGGACACCTCACTCTCGCCTACTCCCCCGCTCTCGTCGCGCCGAGATAGAGAGAGAGAGAGAGAGAGAGAGAGAGAGAGAGAGAGAGAGAGAGAGAGAGAGAGAGAGAGAGAGAGAGAGAGAGAGAGAGAGAGAGAGAGAGAGAGAGAGAGAGCTATTCTCGGAGCTTTCGAACTTGGGGCCCTACCTATTTTCCGCGCGACGCCACTGCGCTCGCTCGTTGCTCGGCCTCGACTTCCAATCCACCGATCCGACTCCTCGAGATTTAACGCCTCGCGGTCAGCTTCGTCTCTCCCGCCCTCGGCTTGCGTCGTGCCGCTATTTCTTCTATTTTTCTTGCGCTTTCTCGGGGGGCTTTACTCTCGCCTTTCGACTGGCTTCGCTTGCCCGCGCATGATTTTGCCGCTGCCTCGCTCTCGACGGAAGATTTCGACTGGCCTAAAAAAAGATTAGCAGAACGCTTCTTAGATGCTGCGATCGTGGCGGAATCCAGTGTTGCTTATCGCTCAACAATCTATTTTTCTTTCCATTTTCTTTTCCACGAGTTAAGCAACCGACCTCTCTGAGCTTGCATTTTTGCTCTTCCGTCAATTGCTTCTTGTAAAAATACTACGATCGAATATTAGAAAACGTACGTATGTCTTTGTAAGATGGAAAACAATTGAACTCTGCGGTTGTCGCGGCATTCTATTGTTCGAGACGACGTCTGGCGCGATTGTAAAACTTGACGCGCCGCGACGGTACGAGGAGCGTATAGGTATTTCGAAAGCAACCGTCAGAAGCCCGTGGGCGTGAAAAGCGCACTCATATCATGTGTCCGTGGAGCCGAGTCTGACCACGTTTGACTTATTCTACTTGGCCGATCGCTGCAAAACGACGTCTCCTTCCTTTTTGGCTAGCGCGAACGATCCTATGCGCCATGAAGAATCCGGACTTTCGAATATCGAATCTCACGCTGTTCGCTCGACGGAACGCCTTTACCTTTAGACCGATTATTTTTCCGGAAGCCTGCAAAGCTCGGCATCGAACCGAAAAAATACACACTTAAGGCTTTATTTTAGCTAGAAAACAAGCTGTTTAATTTTAGTCTAATAACAAAAGCAAGCGGTTTTAAATAGCGCGTGATTTGATCAAATAATTATCGCACAAACATCACGAGTAGTTATCGAAGCACGTTATTTTTGGACAACGCTATTTTTAGTATGCTTTCCATTCCGTTGCGAGATGATAATTTTCTCGGATTATACTTTTCATTTTTTTTTTTCGGTACTCCAAGTCGTAAGCGGAAAATTATTTTTAGTTCGAGGCACATTAATATCATATCAGTACCGTACATTTTTCCACGATAAAATGACGTGTCACGTGGCGTTAAATTAGATATCTTTATAGTTCAAACGATGCTCGAGCAATAATAAACGTTGACTAGCACATGAGCGCTGGTAGATCTTTAATTAGATCGGTGGATCCCAAAATAAATATTTTTTCTTTAATCTACACCCATTAATATTAAAACAACAAGTGAACGTGAATAATTACAGTTTTATTTGGCAGTCGTAATATTTATTTGAATTATTTTACACATTTTCTGACACAATTGCTTTTGTTAATTTTGATCATTCAATTAAAAGATCAATATTACAATGCACATAACGTAACTTGCTTGCGCTTATTAATTATCTAACGCAAAGTTAAATATGCAAGTCAACGAAGTGAGTTTACGAAAATCGACTCTTTTGAATTGCGGTCTCGTTCGCGGTATCAGTTACAAAAGACGAATAAAAATACTTTCATCGAAAACACAGAAATAGTGGGATAACTGCGAGGGCGTAAACGAAAAAATAGTCACGTCCACACAGCGAAAGCTCGAACGAGCGCATTGTCTCGCGTGCAATGGAGAAATGGTATGAAACACGAGCCGCGAACTCAGCTGTAAAAATGTGGGTATGATATCGAGTGACGAGAGGCCTCGTTCGGCCCTTATTTATTTGCCGAGGCGAGGGTGTCCCGAGCCGATCCTCCGGTGCGACGCTCGTCAATCGCGAAACACGCGTGAGCTGCGGCCATATATGGCAGGGATGTGGGTCGACGGGAGAGGGCGCCGCCCGATATAAAGTTGTCAACCATCTCGACGGGCGCTCAACTTTTCCGAACGTCGTTACTGTGGGAGCTCTGTCAACTGTTGTTTCTCTTAGTGCACGATTCGACGATTTTCGCATTGGAACGGCGTTTTGTTCAATGAGCTCTCACTTTGCATTTGCTATTTACGCAAGTGTGGTGGTACATCAATTAAAATCGGTCTTTTGAAAGGCCGCTCCTTCCCGCCAAATCTGAGCTGTCCGGATTCCTTTTTACCCCCAAAACCACCACCTATTATGAAAAAAAATATTGTTTTTAATAAACATCTCATGATATAACATGTTACTCCAACGATTGTTACATACCAAGTCTTCTAGGTATCCAACCCTTCATAGTTCGACTGGTTTCAAAGTCAACAAAAAGCTTATGATTGTACAAGACTAGGTGATCTTCCTTTCTTGCCAATTTCCAAGCATCACGTTCTGATTTCATTTCCACAAAGCCATAATTATTGGATTGTCCAGTAACCACATCGTATATTACTTTGGCAGAAACAACTTCTCCATACTGTGAGAAGAACTGAAATATCAAGAGTATGATTACTAAGGTTTCAAGATAGCAAGACGATCTTGACAAAGACCATACCTCCTTCAAATCTTTCTTTGTTACTTTGGGGCCAAATCTAGAAACGAACAAGGTTTTTTCTGGATTTGACTTCAATCCATAAGGTGGCTCGTAATGAGCATTCATTGCTCGAGCAATAGCTTTATCATGAGGTTCCATATCTGTTCCATCAATACTACCTGCTTTTAACGGATCATATTCCTTTGCAAAAGCAGACCAGCATGCCAATGAGTCAGAGTCACTCTTTAATAAGCAAACAATAAGATTAATTTCAAGTGGAGTTTTCACAAATGATCATTTAAATACAGCTGTCACATAAACAAACGTTAACCTAAGAATTGAAAGAGTTGCAAGAAAACGTCAAGTAACGATTAATACTTGGAAAACCTAGAGTGATAATTACTCACCATGTCGAAAAATTGTTCGATTGTATTTTAACGGCGAGTATCAATATAAAAACTGACAGGAACGTTGGAGAAACGACAAGAGGAATGAGCGTAAACAAACGCATGCGCCACTGCGCTGTCTGCTACGCTACACATGTAGTACACCCAAAGCGAATTGAATCGCGACCCCCCCCAGTTAGGTTGGTAGAGTGCTACTTTCAGTCCGTAACGGTGGTTTTCAGATCGGCCATAGTATAACGCTCGTTCTTAAATTATATAATTAAAACCTAAAATCAAATAATCATGCATCTAAATTCATTGTTCGGCAAACAATTAATTTTAAACCTAAAAACAAATTAGTAACGTTTTAGCTTTTTATCGTATCTTAAAACGAATTTTCATTTTTGAATATTCCCGCGGTTTCTTCGTTCCGATGCAACGACGGAATTCTCATACCAACCTAACTGGGGGGAGGGGGGGGGGGGGGGTCGCGATTCAATTCGCGTTGGGTGTACGTAGGGAATATAGGTTGGTACTATTAGAGGTGCTTCGGTTGGCAATAGCGATGTGCACTCTTGAGCGGCATCATTTGAACACCTTCAACGGCCACTCAGGGGTATACGTATACAGCCCGTGCGAACGTGGCAGTGCCGTAGTTGGTATAAATAAATTTGTTCTATCCCTCCAAGCTTTCGCCTACTCTTCCTTTCTTTCCGAATGGCTTCGTTGCATCTTCCGAAAATAGCGGTGAGTCGAGCCCTCGCGACAGTTCAAATCGAACAGTTGTCGTACGCGATGATAGGCTGCGTCGTCGGCGTGGCGTGCACCGCAAGCTCGCAGGTAAAAGGTAAATATTGAGTTCACAGCATATATATTTATTTACACTCTGACTTTATAAAAACCAAGGATCGTGCACAGAGCCGCGATTTCCGTTACAATTTGCGAATCACGATATCTCGTACATACATTCAGATGCGCGACGGCACAGGCACGGAGTGAACATGATCAGCGGCGTTTACCGCTGATCATGTTCCGCGGGCACGGCTTAGCGTTGCAACGCTCGCAAGCTCGGCTCGCTTGGTGAGCGTTGCAATTCGACTGCGTGCACGGGGGTGCCTTTCGCGGACAGAAACGTCGTCCGTGCAAGGGAGCACAGTGAAACGACGCAGGGACACGGCGAAGGCGCAGGCAGCAGTCAAACGAGCTCGAGATCGATGTGGGCGCCCATGCGACGCAGCGCGAGAATGGTGTTGACGGCCTTGACCCAGCGCTTCTTGATGACGTAGCGCTTGAGCCGTACCTTGGAGATGGGATTCTCCAGCGGCGCCTCCAGCCAGCGGTGCTCCAAGAGCTTCTCGGCGCTCGGCCTCTTTCTGCGATCATCATCATCGTCATCGGACGGCGATCAGTGCGCGAGCAAGCATCTCGGTGTGCTGCACGAGCGCACAGCGGTTAGTAAGCACTCGCCTGTGTTAGTGGTGTTGGCGAGGGAGCATTAGTACGTTGGCGCTCGCTGATCGGCTGCAGGTCGAGTAGAGGAGCGCGCGCGTACGGCTGGGAGGGGCGGCTGAGCAGTAGAGTCAAAGACAAAATTGTCGGTTTGCATAATACTTTAATACGCCTTACGTCCTAATCTCCACAGTGTTCATTCTTACATCTCGCAGACTCGGCGTCTACAACGAGTAACGAAAGGGGCGCAGAGTGGCGAGCCTCTCGTCCGACGCTAAACCGCGGAGAGGGAAGAGAAGCTCGCGTCGCAGTATTACAAAAATAAGCCGTTGCTTTCGCGTACAGGACCCACGGATATATGTACAGGGGACGGGAAGGGGTGCGGGGGACAGGCCGTCAATTTCCGGAAGGCGACACACGTAGACACACTCGCACGCGCGCATCGGTCAATGTAAAAAAGTGGCACTCGAGCAGGACCGATCGCAGGAATGTCGACAACGAGCACGGGTGGGGGCGGGGGGCGGAGGGCGGGGGAGGGGTAGGATCTCGCGAGGGCGCGCGGCCTGTCAGCGCCGGACCTTCCGCTGCTCGGCCTGGAAGTACTCGGCCAGCGAGTCGATGGACTTGCGCGCCACGGACTCCTCGCCGAACCAGTCGAGGCTGACGCTCTTGCGGCCGCCGAGGCCGCAGGGCCGGCCCAGCTCGCCCCACTCGTCCATCAGCCGCAGCAGCAGGTCCTTGGTGCTCGCGGGCTCGTCGAGGTTGACGCCGCGGTGCAGGTCGCGCAGCCTGGCGATCCGCGGCACGTCGCGGCAGGTCTCGCCGAAGCGCCGCTTGGCGCGCGCCTGGCGGCGCCAGGGCGGCGTCAGGTCGACCTCGGGCGGCGCGCTGCCGCCGGCCTGGCGGCTGCCGGCGAAGGCGGTGCCCCTGAGCCGGCGGCGCCGCGCGAGGCCGTCCAGCTTCTCGGCGATCTCGGTGGGGCGGCGCGGCCCCTCCGCGGCGGGCCCCGGCGGCGCCGGCTCGCAGGCCCGGCCCCCGGCGATGGCGCGCAGGTGCTCGGACAGCCGGATGATCTCCTCGGCGAGGAGGATCTGCGCGGCCGGGTCGATCTTGCGGGGCGCGTCGGTGGCGCGGCCCTCGGAGGCGCGGCGCTCGAGGCCCGGCACGGCGAGCAGCGCGCCCGCGGCGCCCCGCGACTCGGCGCTGGCGGCGCTGGCGGCGCTCGCCTCGCTGCACACGCTGCCGCAGGGCGAGGGGCTGCTGGCGCCGCGCAGCGAGGCGCTGCGCGGCCACTCGGCCGCCGCGCCCTCCACGGCGTACGGGCTGTGCGGGTGCTCGCGCCAGCGCTCCACGAACAGCCGCAGGTTGTCCTTGCTGGCGTCCAGCTCGGCGTCGCCGCCCGGGGCCTGCGCCGGCGCCGCCGACTGCTGCTGTTGCGGCCGGAGGTGCTGTTGCTGCCGCCGCCGGCCGGTCGCGGTCCCGCGGGCCAGCCAGCGGTGCTCGCGGCACTGCAGGGCGCTCGCCCGCTCTCTGAAACGTAGCCACAGCGAGATTGCCGCGTCAGCATTGCCAGTGCCGCAGCGGGCCCCCGGTGCGCGTCGCGGGTTTGCTCGCTCTTCGGCCGATCTGCAGCTGCGCGGCGACGGCGACGGCGGCGGCGGCGGCGGCGGTGGCGGAATGGCCGGGGACGCGCGGGTCCGCGGCTGCTCGGCTCGGTGCGAAAGCGGGAGGCTGGGCGGGACGGGCGCCGGGGAAGCAGAGGCGTGCGGGAGGAAGGGGCCGACTTACGTGATGTCCTTCACGAGGAGTCCTTTGATGAAGTCTTTGGCGTCTTCCGAGATGTCGGCGAAGGCCTCGTGGTCGAAGTCGTACTTGGCGATCGTCACGTTGGCCATCGTCTCGATGTCCGTGTCGCCCATGAACGGCGACAGACCCGACAAGCTGCGACGGACACACAAGGAGTCGGTCAGTTCGCGAAGGGAGAGGGAGAGAGCGAAAGAGGAGGCGCGCTCTTACAGGACGTAGCAGATGACGCCGATGCTCCACATGTCGGTGCCGAAGCCGATCTGGTCGAAGTTGACCACCTCCGGGGCGACGAACTCGGGCGTGCCGAACAGCACCTGCAGCTTCTTCTTGGGATCCCACTCGCGCGCCAGACCGAAGTCGATGATCTTGATGCGGTTGCCCTCCTTGGTCAGGCACAGTATGTTCTCCGGCTGAAGCGACAGTCCGACTGGGTGAGAGCGAGGTGGGGGAGGGGGGAGGAAGCACGCGCACGCGCGCTCCAGTCGCCTAGGTACCTTCATGTCCAGGTGGAGGATGTTCTGCGAGTGCACGAACTCGATGCCCTCGCAGATCTGACGCATGAACACGGCGCAGCTGCGCTCCGTCAGCACGAAGTCGTCGTCAATCACCCGCTCGAACAGCTCGCCTCCCGCGATTCTGCAAGCAAGCCGCGCCGTGAGAGCTCCGTCCTGCGCTTTTAATTTTAGACCCGCCGCGGCGGACGCGACTCCCGCCTCAAGCGCTCCGCTTGTAGGACCGCAGCCGCCACGACGAGAGCCGCGCGCGCGCGCGCGCGACAGGTATATAGGAGGGAAAGGCCACGGGAGCGGGCTCGATCTTGGCAGTGCGCGTCGATCGTCGGACAATGGATTTGCGCAATCGCGCGCCGCGCGCGCCGTCCGACAGAATTAATCGAGCGTGCGGATCAAGAGCTGCGCAGCTCGGCGGCGATTGCGCAAGGCGCGCCCGCGGGGACGGACACAGCGGCAACAAAACTCACAGCTCGAGCACCACGTAGATCTGCTTGGCGTTCTCCAGGGCGTCGTAGAGCTGGATGAGCCTGGGGTGCTGCAACCGGCGCATGATCTCCACCTCGCGCTCGACGGCGCGCCGGTCCTCCTTCCTGCCGGCGTTCACCACCTTGGCCGCCAGCGCCAGACCTGTGCTCCTCTCCTTGCATCTGTACACCGTGCCGAACTTGCCTCTGCGGGCAGAGCGCGCTTTATCGGCTGGCTGGCTGGCTGGCCGACCGCCAGCGGCCCACCTGTCGCTCGCGGCGCTCGCGCGCGTGCCAAGTGCGCCTATTTATCGCCGCGGCGGCAACTCCGGCGGAGCCGCTGGAGCGGCCGCGATTCGCGCGTCCGAAAATACGACGTTGCCGCCGACGGGAGGCCGGGCGGCGCCGGGCCGCCGTCCACGCGGCCGAAAACCCGCGGTTATTTATAAAGGCGCGCTCGGCCGCCCGGCCGCCCGGTCCTCCTCGGCGTGGTCCGGCCGTCGTCCTAAGTCGGCGACCCGCGGACGACCCTGACCACTCGGCACCGGGCCCCCGGCGCGCGCAGCCTACCTGCCGATCTCCGACTCGATGTCGTAGTGCTGCTTGAAGTCCACGCCCTTGCGCACCTGCACGTCCCTGTACGGGAAGCTCGGCTCCAGCTCTGCAACAGACAGACGCTCAGCGCGCGACCGCCCGCGGCCGGCGCCGCACACTTACCGCCGACAGGATCGGTCTCGTCGACGCGGATCATGCTGCTGCTGGGGCGCCTGCTCGAGCGCCTGCGTCCGTCGTCGAGCGGCCGGCCGATTATCGACTGCCGCGCGCTGCTTCCGCGACGCCGCGCTCCGCCGACGGATTTAGATTCCTCGCGCCTCGCCGCCCGCCCGCGGTCACGTGGCCCGCACCGCCGCCGCCGCCGCCGCCGACGCCACCGCCGACGCCACCGCCGACGCCACTGCCACCTCGGAGCCAGCCCTTCCCGGATACGCGCCACGCGCGTACAACCCCCTCGCGCGTGCTCTTCCGCCCCGGGGAGAGAGAACGCCCCTTCGTTCCCGTCCTCCCTCTCCCGAGCTCTGCGTCTGCCGAGCTTTCACCGCTGCTTGCTGGCCCGTCAGCGCGCGCTCTTGGCTCGCGATCTTTGCGGAAGCAATGCTGCGTGCAAGCGGGACCCACCTGGCGCCCCAGTGTCGGAACTTGCGCGTCGATCGATTCGATTCGCTCAAGGCCGTACCGACGATCCGGTGGGCAAGACGCGCGTATTTTCGAGCTTACGGCTCCAAGTCAGCTCGAACAATAAAATGCTGCTTCGCTTGAACGTCGAGCTCGACTTTGAGACGACGCCGTTCAAACGTTCGAGAAATACGTTCGAAAATTAAGCAAGCGCAAGAGCCTTTCAATGTTTCGTATCAAATCCGAAAGAAATCGGACAAGACACCGACGACTTTTTTTCGAAGGCTGCCGTTTGCGAACGAGCTTATTTTTTTCCCCTTCCGATCGCCGCCACAGCTTTGTTTGTTGATCTTGACGAATCACCAACGTATCGTTCGATGCGCAATATCTTAAGCTTCCACCCTGCATGTATATACGGGTCCAATTATAATACGATTTTTTTTTTCGTAAAGAGATATACATTTCGAAAGCGAGGTGTCTATCTTTTTTTAACCGATATTTGTCTAATCGATAGATGAAATCACGATTTTACCGTTGATCGACAAATGTCTTCGAAAATATCCGCGTAACATTGAACGTCTAACAACAAGAGCGGATCAAAAAGAATTCATCGGAATGCCCGCTCAAGATGTCAGGGTCACTTTCGCCCTTCAACATCCGCGACTAAAAATACACCGACACTGATCGTTGCGCGAGTGATGAGCTCGAAAAAAAAGAGATCCCGCATAGCTATACGCATCTTTTGAACAGCTGATCTTCCTATCTCAGCATTCTCGCAGTCACATGATCGCCTTACATACCGTTACAGCTCGTTGCAATCTTGGATTTGCAATGGAATTTTATTAAACTGAAGCAAATCTGTTTTTCTCTCTTCTTTTAACAGACGCGGTCTGACAAATTTCTTTTTTCCTTTTTTTGCATTTATTGTTTCCAAGTTCGCTCGGTGAACGTACGAACAAAGAAAGCGTTTCTATCAGCCAATGACGATCGATTGATGCAACTTGCAAGCATTTATGAAATTAAAGTCGAGTGCGAAGAGATGCGCGCGAGGCGCAGGCGCGAATTTGAATTTTGTTGTCTTGAAATCTAACCTTCAAGTTCTATCCGCGCGGGAGCATGAGCAGAATATACCGTGTATACAATTGTTTTCTTACGCAAAATTATAATTTTTATTGTAAGTAATTGTAAAACCAATCATGTCTGGAACAATTAGGCAACTGGAAGAGCGTCAACTTGCATGTGAAGTGTCGTTGATGCGGTGGTCGCCCAACATGGATCTTTTAGCCATAGTCAATGCCAAAGGTAATTTTTTTAGCTCGTGTTCATAATCAATATATTTTAAAGAAAAATAAATATTTCAGGCGAACTGGCACTGCATAGATTAACTTGGCAAAGGGTATGGTTGCTTGGTCCCATCGAAGAAGGGGACACCATTGCAAACCTTACTTGGAGGCCTGATGGAAAACTGATCGCTGTGATCTATGCAAAATCGAAACTGCTCTGTTTAATCGACATTGAAAATAAAAATATTGTATATAAAAACAAGTTGAAGTCTGAAGAGTCTTGTACTTGCATATCCTGGTTGTCTCTTACACCACCATGCTGTAATAATAAGAATGATAAAGTTTCCTCATCCTGTACTGGGCCTTATTTACCACCTTTACCAAATTTAAATAGAAGTTTTGGCTCTGAACCTGAGAGGAAAGAATTTTTGTCTCAAACATTGGATATTTTATTGGTAAGTCTAAACAATTAATACGTAATATTTGCAGTAACTCAAAATACAATTATATTTTAGCTTGGCCAAGCAAATGGAAATATCATGATGTATATATTTGGAATGTTTTATTGTGGAATGATTAGTGTTGGAAATGGACCTATATTAGAAATAAGTGGAGGAGCTGGTGAAGCTCTATGGGCAACTTGGAAAAGCCAAGAGTGCATTGTTGTTGTGAGATTATCATGTATTTTATTACAAGATAGCGAGGCTTTTTTGAGTGTAAGTAATACAGATTTCTCTTATTTACAATTTCGTTACATAAAGAGTATTTCCTTAAATTTTTAGATAGCTCAAATACAATCGCATGTAGAGTTCTTGATGGACTACCTATCGAGAACACTAATGGCTATTTCCGAAGCATGGGAGACTATCCTCTTGGAAATGGATGAAAAGCTTGCAAAGTATGCAGCTGACAAGCCACCAGGAAGTGTTGCTGCAGATTTCTTAGAACTATTAATGATTGGTAATGGTTCAACAGAGCTTGTATACTTTTTACAAAAAGACCTAACAGAAAAAGGCTTAAAAAAGCTTGGGCACAGTATAGATATGTGCTACACTAATATTCAAGTAATTTAGCAATAAACAATTGACTAATCACAGTTATAAAACTGTAAATCTGAAACGCGCTTCTCTGTTTTTAGAAACTTGTGCTCAACCATCTGACTAGCGTTGGAATGGCTTTGATATACCATTTGTCGGAAATGCGTGGTATGGTAAGGTATGGTGGACCATACGAAGCTCTAGGTCTCAAAGAAGAAACTCCGATTACTAAGGCTCTCACGGACACACAATCATTCTTGGCCAAAACTTCCGAAATTCAGCAAGTTATTGATCATAGTATGCGCGACTACAAAGCTTTTATCAGGTGGCTGTACACGGTAATACTGAGATTGAACGATGAAAAAATTCCGTCAGATATCAGTAAAATAAGTCAGCAAGATTTAACATATATAGCCGAGTTCCTTCGAGGATTTGATAAAATAGAAATTGACGCGAGTAAACGTAAGCGTGTCAATTTAGAAAAGTTAGGCCAATATTTACGAAAAGATCCGTTGCAAACTTGTTTTAGTCCTGAAGGAAGTGAGTGGGCTTCCATGCTTGTCGAGAACAGATGTTTACAAAGTCACCCTCTTATCGTGAGGCAAGATTTTGAAGGATCTTTAATGCAAGCACACGAGATTCTTGTTGGATCCATAAATGAAGTATTTGTTTGCGCATATCAAGATCTGACGCAACGTTTTGAGCAAAGTGTGGTTCAATTGACGACCGTAACAAATAATTTGTGCTCCCAGTTCGTATTAAGCGACGGAAATCTGATGGTTGTCGCTCCCAACAGTGATTACAAAATTCTTCAACTATTTAGAATTTATTCCGTTTCTAGAAGCGAGCCTTTAGTTTGTAAACCGATGAAAATTGACGTCAGCAACAAGCAAAGTAATTTCTACACAATATTAATATTTGTAGCTGTGTGAGCAAATCGAATAATGGATTTTGTTTATTTACAGAGTCTTCAATTCCAGCTGAAGTAGCTGAAGATCAAAAAATAACAGACTTGAAATTTTATTCGCAAGATTACCTAAGCTTACTGATTTTAAATCAAGAAAACAACACTTCTTGTTTGATTCAATTGCCGGTGAATCATGCAATACTAAATGATTCTCAAAATATGAGGCCCGACTTGATCGTCAATTTAAATGAAGTGGCTGATCGAAATTTATCAAAACCTTTTCAAGACATTACTCCCAGACAATTGGCTGTGAGTGGTCCAAGAAAAGTGGCGGCGATTCTGAGTGAAAATAGAAGAAAAATCAGGCTACTTGAAACTGAAGTCGACTACGAAGAAGAGGAAAATTTAGAACAAAGCGGAGATGATAACATGATGGATATTACCCCAGCTACCAGTGCAACTACATCTCAGTCTTGATACAACATGAATCGTAGCTTATATTTGTTTTGTAAATAACGTTAATACATAGTATTTTAAGAAGATTTATTTTTTAGTCAGCAACGAAATCATGTTAAGAAATTTATTTAACAAAATTTATAATATCAGTACATCTTATATACAATAATTACACTTTGTACAGTTCAATTTGATAATTCGTATGCAACAAGTTCTTCATCAAATGGTTGAATAACTAATTAATAATAAGTAATTAGAAAAATAGTCTACTTAGTTTAACACTGCTACAAACAATAATATAAAGACTCAAATGATCACATGTCGTTTTTCCGTAGTATTTTCCATGCTTCAATTCTAACTATATTATAAATCACATCACATCTTCATTGTTTCTCCTTTCTGCATTTGTTGAAATACCTTTGGAAAATCAACTTCCATACCAAAATTATCAATACCTTCAGATTCTATAGGTTTCGGAACAGAAATCGCGGGTGTAGATTGCATGGTCCTTACATATCGTGCAGGTGAATTTTCGCGCGAGTCTTCTAAATCTATAGGAATATCGAGCAAAAAAAATAAATTCAAAATTCATAAGAAAAATACATTTTTGCAAATCATAATTTCTTACCAAAGAAACCTTGAGTTCGTCTATGTTTAATGAGTAGTACAAAAAGTATTATAGCAATTCCAACAATTATAACTGTCGTAACAGCCATTCCAGTCAGTAACTTAGTCTAAGAAAGAATAGATTATAATAAATTGAAAATTTACTGACGCTACTTTATAACAATCATAAAAATGAGCATGGTATACCTCAAAAGAATCTTCTCCAAGCATGGATTCCTTTTTTACTATCAACTCTACCACTTGAGATTTAAAAGCTGAATCATTTATTACGCCTTTTGATACACACCTGTAAAAACCTTCTTCTGCAGTAGATACACCCTTTTTAATGAAAAGTAAAATAACAATTCATTTTTGGAGTGAAAATGACAATATGTATTGAAAACTTCATATTACTTTGATGTACAGTTTCCCTGTCAGCACTTCATAATTGTATTTTTCTTGATCAATATGATTTCCTGGACCAATAATATTTTTTTCATCAATTAATTGCCAGAACATAAATCTATGATCATCATCACTGCTCGGGCATGGCAGTATTGCTAATTGACCAGCTGAAACTTCTACTACTGTAACAGCCTTCACACACTGTCTTATGACGGTTAGGCAAAAATAAAATAAAATTGTTTTAGGAGACATCTGGAAAAAAAAAATTGTTTGAGCTAAATTAAATAAGTACAAATATACTATTTTGACATTTTTTGAAATAGTTGATTGTGTATGAGATGACTAATGAAGATTAAACGTTGGTTCAATTAATGCAATAGTTACCTCTTGTCTAGATAAAGATGATACTGGCAGGTTTCTGGTTATAATTATATTTAAAACAGCGTTCTATAGTTATGCTTTTATATGTTCATTGCCAAATGCACAACAGTGACAGATATGTAATAGTCCATTAACAAATGGTAATATCACAGAAAATTAAAAAAAGTATACTTCCAAACCCTTGGGTACAACACTAATGACACCAGTTTTAATAACCAACAAGTTGCTTTTACTTATTTATATCTGTGACCTATTCATCCTTGGCTTATCTAGATTATTTTTAGTGAGTTTCACTCCCGCTCAGTGCCTAAACCTTCTAATGTTTGACTACAAACTAGAGAGTTTAGAATTTTTTTACAGAAACTAAATTTAGCATTTTGATAATTTGAGTCAGTACCAGACAAGTGAATGTTTGTGACTGTGTTATATAAGGTTCTTCCACAGACATAAAAATATTATTACAAATACGACAAGAGTTATAAAATAATGAATTTGTGAGCAGCTATATCTTGGTCTAGCAGACAGAGTGCTTTATTCTTGTTTGCATATCAAGATAATGACAGTGCATATAAACTATTCATTTTAGTAGATCATAGTGATAGACTCTGCTGTATCTCAATATAACTGAAAGACCATTGTCAAAAAACTATAAGTTTAATGCGACATCTTATTGTTAAATCTATTATAATATAATAATTCTGGTATCTTCTAAGAGATGAGCAAAAACATCAACTGCCAAAGCAGCAAATAATACCCAGAATGGTGCTAAAACCACTTTAGCTAGCAGAGTCCATTGTGTTGCTTCCAATTTCAAACATACAAGTATTTGTGCGCTTAATTTCATAAGTACAGCCACCATGTACCATATCTGTCAGTAAAAATACCAAATATGTAGTCAATCATAAGACATTAATGGTAGAATAATGCATAATTAGTGAAGTGTAGAAAAAAATAATAAATTATTTAACGATTTGCTAGTTACATGAATGAATAAAACATAGTCAAAGCTTACCATTCTTCGAAGGCTAATAAGACGATCATGAGCATTTTTGCAGAACAAAATCATGTTGAATGTGATGTAAATTAGTAAAATATTGTCGTACAGCCACATAGGAATAAACACAATAAACCAATTCCATTGTATTCTTTGATCAAGTCTGAGCACCAGTAAAATCAAGAAAATAAGAAGATTAAACCATGTAAACAGCGCTCGATGTAATACCGCCATGGGTGAGTAGGACGAATGTTTGTTCAGTTTTTCTTAAAAAATCACAATCAGTATCCTGTGCGCGTTAGAACATTTTCCATAACATAACCTATAATGACGTTGATATATAGATTTAGTTCGCGGCCGTGGGCCACCGGCCAGTCAGGGGCGCTCAAGTTATCGCTGTATTATTACGGAAGGGAAGCCCGGTAGTGTCATCGTGTAATCGAGTACGTTACTAACTAAAAGTTGCTGTGTGTGGATGCAAAATAAAAAAACTTGTACCGTAAAGTTAAAGGCTTACGGCCGTATTTGGTCGAAGTAGTACTCGGAGTAGCAGTGCGCATGCTCCTCAGACTGCTCCAAGTTTCCAGTCAGCTGTTCGGCAAAGAAGCGTAGACTCAGTTGGCGAGACCAGTAATATTAATATATTGTAAAATAAAAAAAAATAATTATTTTGTTTAATTATATATTATTATCTTTCTGGTTATTGGCTCTTGTTGTCGAGCAGCTGATCGATTGGGATGTGGAAATTTAGAGCTCTGGAGAACGCGTGGACTGCTTCGAGACCCGGGTGCTCCTGATAGTCCCGAGACTCGATGGATTGGACGGAAGCCTTTATCTCTATGACAGTTTTTGATTTTGAATTACTGAAATAATCGATGAATTTCTGATTTGATTGAGGGCGTCGTTAGCTCATGGCACGAATTAACTACTACTTGTTCATGAATGTTTTTAATAGTCTTTATAATTTGGATGCCGGCACCTAGTATGTTTATACAAAAAACTTAATGTTACTACTGATCGTTGAAAGCGAATGGACAGTGCGCAGCCAAAAGCTTTGAACCCGGCGGGTGAAAATACAAAAGAGAATGACTTGGTTGGTCCATTCTAATGGAAATAACCTGGTTGCTCGCATCTCTGATTCTAGCCGAATAATTAATTATAATGTTAATGGTAATACTGAAATTGCAGATCGACTGTAAATAATGGAAAAGCGTGCGTATTTTGAATAGATTTTATTCGCGTCGAAATTGAAAAGATACAAAAGTGTTGGATGCGGAGAGTGCCATTAGAGAGCTGCGAAGTCAAAAATGAGCGGGTCGCATTCGAACTTTCGCAGCCTTCTCAGCTGGTCCGTGCACAGGTAATTCTCCGCGAAGGGTATTGAATTGTTGAACGCGAACCCGATGTAACGCAACAAGACGTGGTAATCGCCGATTCGGTAGGACCTCTGCTGGTCCCTCTCCTCGGCGTAGGGCAGGCTCGTGACTTCCGGCGTGATGGAGCACAGCGACTGCGGAGAGGGCGGTTGATGTAGCCCGCGGATCGGGAAACGAAGCGGCGTCGAGCGCGGAGAGGCGGATACCTTGGCGAAGGAGAGGAAGAACACGTCGGTGTCGGCCATCGCGCCGAAGTCCACGAACTGGATGGGGTAGGAGTGCTTGGACGGGAGCGCCTCGTAGGCCGTGTCGAGAGCGAGCAGGTAAGCGGCGGCCCTCTTGGCGAAGCTGTCCTGAAATCATCCTGAAATGAGAGCGAGTCGAGGGGCGTCGCGCGCCCTCGCGGTGGCTGGGCGCGGTCCTCGTTACCCGGTCCCCGACTCGGTCGGGCACTCGCTCTCTGAGGCATCGGCCGATCGCCACGGAGTTGTCCGCGTCCAGGACTGCAACAAGGAGAAAACCGAGTGACAGGGACGAGCGAGCGCTGCTTGGGCGGCGGGCGCCTGGCGCTCATCACGTCGTACTCGAGTCGATCAGCGCGTAGTACAGGTTGAAGGCGATCTCCGCGCCGGCCGCTCCGTAGTTGATAGGGCTATCGACGAGGATGGCCGTCAGTTAGGCTTTCGAGGGCGAGCGACGCGGTCGGGGCTCAACTTACTCGAACAGCTGCGAGCTGAACAGCTTGTAGTTGTTCTCGGCGAAGTAGCCGAAGGGAACGACTGAAACAACGCAAGGTCGGTCGGTCGGTCGTGGGCGCGCGCGCGCCCGAGGCGAGCGGGCTCTTACCGATCTCGGGCTCCTCCCCCTCGGCGTTCACCTCGATCCGACTGGACTGGAAGCCTTTGCCGAGCTCGCGCAGGCTGCAAGCAAGGTCCTCCGGAAATACAGGAGACTGTAGGCCGCGGGCGCAGCGTCGCGGCGCGAGCGCGTACTCACTCGACGATGGGCATGCCGGGGCGCTTCCAGGTGCGGAGCTTCTCCTCCAGCAGCTGCTCGACGACGAGCGCCTGGTTGTCGTAGAAGCTGGCCGACGAGTACCTGTCCTTCCTCGTCTGAAAGATAGCGGCGAAAGGGTGTGGTGAGGCGCGTGCGTGCGAGGCGCGAGCGCGAGCGGTCCTACGCCGTAGAGCCTGTAGGCGACGGTGGCGTTGGTCAGCCAGGCCGGGTAGCCCAGGTGGACGCTGGCCTCGGCGAACTTGTCCACGAAGCCGGTGAGCTTGCGGCGCAGCTTGCCCGCGGGCCCGGGCGCCGCGTCAAGGGCGCCAACGGTGCGTCGCAGCCTGGCTACCACCGCGTCCCGCACCTTGTGGGCCAGCACCTGGAGCTGCGACAGAGAGCCGCGACGATGAGCGAGGGCGCGCGGGGCTGGGGCGGGGGAGGCGCGCGTCGGCCGTACCGATAGTCTACTCTCCGCCGGGAAGTACCTGTCGGCGTACTTGTACAGGCTGCCGGCCAGCAGCCCGGGCGTGCAGCTCAACCTGCGAACAGTTCAACGCGCGCGCTTTGTATCACGCGTGGGCGGGCGAGAGGCGAGGGCGCGCCGCGGCCAACGCACCCGTCGATCTGCGGCAGCGCGGAGTAGGTCCGGTAGCCGGGGTCCACCAGGCCGATGCTCCTCGAGACGAAGTGCAGGTGCGCGTAGTCGGCTGCGGGCGGCGGAAAGCGATCGGTTAGTCGCTGGTGAGCCAGCGCTGGCGACGGTGGCGATTACCGATCACGTCCACGTCGTTGGTGCGCGACAGCAGCCCGGCCAGTGCGTAGAAGTAGGCCTCGTTCTGCACCGCCAGCGTGGTGTCGTCGCGCACCGGCTCGCGCACCTTGCCGAAGAGCTTGCTCAGGTAGTTGGACCACTCGATCTGCAATCGCACGGCGAAGGCGTGACGGCTCGACTCGGGTCGACCGGCGGACGCGCGCCGCTCACCTTGGCGCACTTGTGGCTCACGTGGGCCTCGTACTTCTGCGTCCAGTCGTCGACGGTCAGCTTGGCGACGTCGGAGCCGCGCCGCTTCGACGTGCCTCGGGGCATGATCTGAAACGTTCGACGGTGTGCGATGCACTCTATCGGGCGACTCGGTCTGGCGACGACGCTCGGAGGCTTACCTCCAGCAGCTCCATCATGAAGTTGCTCAGCTTGTCGTACTTCCGGTCCGACTTGCGGTAGCCGTCGCGCTTGTTGAAGCGCTGGCTCAGCAGATCCGACTGCTTCATGATCTCGTTGGGCGGCGGCTTTATCTGCAAGAATCTCGTTATCTCCGCGAGAAACGCGTCCAGGCGGGAGAGTCGTCACTCACCAGAATGTAGCGTTCCTCCGGATCGTCGGCGGGCTGGTAAATGTCGACGTCGAAGAAGGCAAAGCCAAAGCCCTCCAGGCCGTACCTCAAGTCGACCGCGCTCCAGTCCGACAGATGACCCCGCGGATAATCGAACTCGCGCTCCAGCCTGTTTGCGCCGGTCCTCGGCAGGACGGATCGCTCGTAGTGAAGCTTCTCGTCGGCGGTGAATGCACCTGATCTCCGTGTGCATCGAGCCAGACGTCAAAATCGCAGTGAGAGAGAGAGAGAGAAATCGTCGCGCGTACCTCGATTCTTGCACAGCTGAAAGATGGTCCTCTCGATCTCGAGAGCGTAATTGCCCGTATCCAGCTCGTCCAGCACATCGCGGTCCAGTATGTCTACACGCAAAGCCAATTAGGAAATGAACGCGAGGCGGGGCGAGGATCGATCGCGACGGACTCACGCATCAGATCGCTGAGCACTTGGTTGGGGTCCTGGGGAAAGGGGTCGTGGTCGCGACTGCCGCTGTAGTTCTTGTGACAGGCGTACTTCACGTAGTCCTCGCAAGGTGCTCGGCTGCTGTCGACGGTCTGGTTGAAGATGTCCTCTGCGAAAGGCAAAGGCACGGGGCGTCGGTCAAGCGCCTGGATAGCGCGCCATACTCACGTGGCCGATCGGCTACCGACCCACGGCCAGACACTGGATGTCCTCGCACAGGTCGTAGTTAGGATTCACCCGGGGACTGTTCTTCTCCCCCTCGGTGACGAGCTTCCGCGCTTTCACCGCCACTGTCAGCATCGAGCACGCCCTGCAACGTTTGCGACGTCTAGAGCAAGGGCGACAAAGAGAGAGGCAAACGAGTCGACCTCACTGGGAGAGAAAGAGAACAAGAAACAATCTACGTACCAGAGCACTCGGAGTAACGCCGCTCTCATGATGATGCTGCAGGTCGAGGAAGGAAGCTACGCTATACTGTGCGATCAGCGTGGCTCGGCCTCATCTCGATCTCGTGCGCTCTCTCTCTCTCTCTCTCTCTCTCTCTCTCTCTCTCTCTCTCTCTCTCTCCTTTTATTTTCGGAAACGTTTAGAATTGATCGCCGCGCGCGCCCAAAACTTAATTGGACGGAATTCGATAAACGCGCAGCGCATGCACGAGCATCAGTCTCGAGAACAGGATGAGGGCTCGACGTCTGCGCCCGCCGCGCGATCGTCCGTATATTTAGCCAAGATCTGTTTTTTTCTTCTTTCTTTTCGAAGCATCTCGATACGGCTTCGCGCTCGGGCGTGGGCGCGTCGAGTGTTTACGCACGCGTCCGTTGCCGCGACTCCGATCAGCGGGATTCCCGAGAGCATTTTCGTTTGACGAACGCGGTGTTGTCGACCTCTCGATCCCGCAAACGAGGCATTTCCGCTTACGTTCCTCGGTCCGGTCACGGATTAACTGCGAACCGAGCAGCACGATTCCATACAGTCAACAGCGTACGATCGAAGCTGTGACATCCGTAGAAAAGAAATAATGTCCTTCTGTGAACTAACGGCAGGCATTTAATCGGCGACGATTGCTTGTGTCGCGTTGAATTAATTAAATACACGTGAACGCGATCGGAATCCAAGGCACGAGCTGTCGCCAAGCATAGCGATAAGAAGAATCAGCGATAAGCTGCACTATCTCTGCGCACTCGTTGACGCAGTCCAAGTGCAGTTTCCTGTTCGATCGATAGGAGCTGCCTCGAGTGTTATTCTCCCCGTGCTGAAAAACAATATGCGTAGGCTCGCGAGGATCGCGATAACGACATACGAGTCCGCAAAAAACAGTCGGCTCTGGCGCGAGCGTCCAATAATAGCGCTCGCGCGGAATCGAGGACGGGCGAGCTCGGCGAGCTCGGCGCGTGGCGTTATCTCTGGAATGGCCCCGGAGATTAAGCGCGAGCGGCCCCTGTCGTGCGTGTGCCGCGCAGCGCAGCTGGAACCCACACACGCTCGCGGCCGCGCGGCGGCAGGTCGCGCGATCCTCGCGTGGCACGCCACGGCCAGTCAGTCGGCGTGTCGTCGTCGCAACGCGTGCGCTGTGCCGCAGGACTCGTCGCGACGCGCGCGCGCTCGGCATCCGCGGACCCTCCTCGAGGCCGGTCAAGTTCGCGAGCAGGATGAGCGCCAGCGAGGCGGCGGCGGCGAGCGAGCCACTCGGCGATCTCGAGGTAAAAACGCCGCTGCGGTTATTATTAACCGGCAAAGATCGCCTCTGCGCGCTCGCGTCTATTTGGAAGGGACCCTCCTACCGAGGCGGCTCGGTGCCTGTATACGTGCTCTCTCGGCCGGCCCGTATGGTTTATGTAACTCGCGGCACTCGCCGTCGCTCGGCCTCTTTCTCCGCTCTTGGGCTCGGACCTCGTTACGCCGTGGATACCTTCACCGTTACATAATCTTAGGCGAAAGCACGAGCTTCCTGTATTTAATCGAGTCGATAGTGCAAGGCATCCCGATCCGACAGCAGCGACGATCGACAGCCACTCGAGTCAAACGCCCGACTCGATGTCGATCGCGCGACATTTATCCAATTTCAATACAATGGAGTGCCTTGTGTCGACGGCAATGGGTATTTCGCACCTGCGGCAAAATTAGCTTCAACGTGCCTATATATACATACAGAGCAATCTCGCCGGCGCGCCCGAATAATTACTTTCCCAGTGGCTCCCTTGTGTCTGGCCTACATAGAATTTTGATTGACCATCCCCAGACCACTTTTCTAACTACTTTTTTCCCGTATATACGTGAGCGCTGTATAGATGTATAGGCGCGCGTCGCTCCGTCTCGCTCTTCTTTGCGACTACCTAGCAGCTTTAGATAACCACGTGCGCGACTACCCTCCAGTTTCGCTTCGATGTCATCGCACACGCAAGTGGTAATTAATTCAACGATGCATTAATCATTTTCTTGTTGTTGCTTGCATATTCCGAGTGGTTTTTTACAAACTTGAGTAGTCAGCATTTTCGTTCCAACAATCGAATGATATTTGTTTCCTTTGTCGTCTCTGTGCATTCTTTGCGGCCTCTTTCATTCTAATCTGTTAACCTCAACAACTCTTCAAGGTTTTCCATCTATGCCGTGCTGTTCAATGATTTTCAATAGTGTTTTTGCTTACATTACCAATTTTTTGTAATATGACATTGCTCAAGCGTTGAATACGGTGTGTTTCGCCCTCGTACTTTATTTATTTTATTTTCGAGCAATTCACCCAAGTTCTTGTTTATCTAATTATTTTTTTTTAACAAATGAGAGTGGTAGCTAATATTTTAACATGCTTGAAACAAAAATTTATCATAAATTGCATCTATCTGCAGAGAGACTAATGAAAAAGAATTTGAAAATCATTATATTGTAGACACTGCAATTTTCAGATTTTGCCTACTTTGGCTGCTGTAGGGGCAATAATAGCAGTGGGTGTAGCAATTAAATTATATTTCACATTCAAAGATGATAAAAAGAAGAATATACTGCTGGTAGAGCCCACAGTCAAGTACCCATTGCCACTTGTTGAGAAAATCATTATAAACCATGATACTAGGTTATTTAGATTTGGTCTGCCAAGTCCGAGCCATACACTTGGCTTACCTATTGGTCAACATGTGCATTTAACTGCCAACATTGATGGCGATGTTGTCATACGAGCATACACTCCAGTCACTAGTGATGATGACCATGGCCATGTAGATCTTGTTATAAAGGTGAGCAAAATATAATTTCTAATTAAATATAAAATAGTGAGGTATTTAAATTTATTGAATCTTGTAGGTTTACTTTAGAAATGTTCATCCCAAATTCCCAGAAGGTGGCAAAATGTCACAGCATTTGGAAAGTCTAAAAATTGGTGAGACCGTAGATTTTAGGGGACCTTCAGGCAGACTTGTTTACAAGGGTCAAGGCAAATTTTCAATAAAATTATTGAGGAAAGAGCCTCCTACGGAATACACGGTTTCCAAGGTAAAAATGCTATCAACAGACTAATTGAGACTTTCAGGTCACTCATTTTTTATAATTACTATAATATTTCAGGCTGTTATGATCGCTGGAGGCACAGGTATTACACCAATGTTGCAACTCATTCGAGCTATTGCAAAAGATCCCACAGACAAGACACAAGTATCTCTGCTATATGCAAATCAGACTGAAAAAGATATTTTACTGCGAGAGGAACTAGAAGAGGTAGCCAAAACCCATCCTGATCAAATCAAGGTTTGGTATACAGTGGACACAAGTAGCGAAGACTGGAAGTATAGTACTGGTTTTGTTAATGCTGATATGATCAAGGATCACATGTATCCTCCTTCTTCAGATACAATTGTACTTATGTGTGGCCCACCACCAATGATAAACTATGCTTGCACACCTAACTTGGATAAACTGGGATACAATTCCAAATTGCGATTTGCATATTAAAATTTTACTTAAATTTATTTTCAATAGTCCTGGAAATTTTTTGGTTGTTTATAATTGTATAAAATTTCTTAGTCTTTTCTAGTAGTTGAAATGCATTGTGGCTAACTCCACATTTAATGTACAAAGAATGCAGCTGTTTTATTATATCTAAACTGATATTTATTAAAGTTATAAAATATTTGATATAAAAGGAAGTGTAATGAATTATTGATTACAACCCTATTCCTTTAGACATATAAAATATGTAAATTTCTTTTATTTATTAAACTTTACCTTAGAAATGCTTACATTCTTGGAAAATATCAAGCTTAGAGTTGTCCTCAGTGTTTAGTAGCAATAGTGAATAGCACATTTTCCGTTTGTGAAGAATAATAAATCTAATCTGTTCGTCGTCATCGACTTTTATGCGAATACTTGAAACTTGTCAACATGACAAAAAAAACCATCAACCAGTTTTAATTAATTTGAGTGAATTTAAAAGAAGATACGCCTGCACAGATATTGAATTTCAATGAATCAATAAAAAATTTGCACTATTTAAGAGGAAGGCCTTTGAGTGACCGTTCCCTTCGATAAATAAAAATGTGAAGCGTGACAATGAAACGAATAGAAAGTTCGGAGATAATGCCTTTAGCAACGGCCGCGGTCTGGAACTCGTTTCCTCGGTGCTGACTTCAAAATGTCATCAACTCTGAGAATCATCTCTGCAGCTTCTGCTGCGCTAAGAAGTACCTGCCTTTTTACGACCCATGACTCTGTAATGCCAAGCTTCTTCATGCAAGCGATTTCTCCCTTTTCCATGTCTGAAGTGGAAAAACAAATCAGTCAACTCCATTTTCTCATTAAAAATATAACTTCCGAATAAAGTACGGTTCAAACATACCTAATCCCATGGTGTAACCGCCAGAATTGTGAGCAGCCCTGAGCTCGCTGACAAGTTGAGCCGAGTCATAACCACCGTTATCAGCAATGACCGTTGGGAGTTGTTGCAAAGCTCGAGCAAAGGATTCCATGGCTACGGCTTCTTTGCCGGGCGTAGCAGCAGCAGCCTTCATTACGGCGCAAGCCATTACCATTTCGCTGCAGCCACCACCATAAACGATTCTCGACTCGCGTACCGTCGATGTCAACACGCAGAGAGCGTCGTGCAATGATCTCTCGGCTTCATCAAGGATTTGTTGAGTGGCTCCTCTGATGACAATGGAGCAAGCCTCTCCTAGAGCCACGCCAGAAAAACGAAGGATCGTGTCTTCACCAATCATCACCTGTTCGTTCATAGAATGTCGGTTAAGCTTGAAATCTAGCGACACTGCACATCTGAGAATATTCACGAACCTGTTCAATTGTTTTACACGTTCCAAGTTTTACCATTTCTGGGTGGTCGAAGGTGCTTACGATTTCTCCACCAGTTACAAGCGACAGCCTTTCGATTCCATCAAAGTCGGCATGCTCGATAGCCATTACACCAGCATCGGCAAACAATTGCTCAGGATAATTATAAATCAGTTGCCTGTTGATAAATACGTTGCAACCGTGCTTGATAATCTTATCAACTTTGTCCTGCAAAAACGGAATGTTCAGTTAATTTATTTTACTGAGTACAAACAACCTTAAAATACAATTAATCTTTAGATATGCTGTGTTCAGAACCTTCATTTTTTCCTTCTCGGCTAATTCCAGCTCAGCAATTTTAGCCATTGAGTCGACTCTTATTCTTGATCCAAATACTTTAATTTTATCAGTGTCCATGGGAGTATTAGCAATAAGAATTTTGGCATCAGTAATTTTCTGTGGTTGATGCATGCCTGGTTTTTTGTCCAAAAGAAAACCTTCATCCAAAAATGAATCAGACAATGTTGCTCCCCTCTTCTTGATGATTTGAATGGCTGATAAGTTGCCAGATCCCTTCAAACGAAGGACTGCTTCCACAGCTAATTTACTAAAGTGTTCCTTATGTTGTGACAGAATTTTAGAACTAAGAGTAGTACGCGCAATGTTTAAAAGATCTTCACGGAAATGTTCTTGATCTGCGGAATTGTCAGTTGCAACATTTTTCAAAGCTTCTCTTGCAACGGCAGCAGCTGATCTCCATCCAGCAATGATTGTTTGTGGATGAATCTTTTTTTCAATCAATTTTTCTGCTTCTCTCAATAGTTCAGATGCTGAAATAAAATATATGAGAATTAGTGCAATTATTAAAAAAATTAAAAGTAGAAAAGTCAAACTTACCTAGTACTGTGACAGAAGTAGTTCCATCACCAACTTCATCATCCTGCACACGAGACATGTCTACCAGAATTTTGGCTGCTGGGTTGTCAACACCAACACTTTTAAGAATTGTAGCACCATCATTAGTGACCTGCACTTCTCCGGCGTTACGTCCTGAAGACACTAAAATTTTGTCCATGCCTTTTGGACCTAGAGTTGACTTTACCAAGTCTCCAATGGCTATTGCTCCAATAAAAAGACTCAATCTAGCAATTTCAGCCTTTTCTTCTTCTGCTTCATGTTTCAATACTCTGATAGGATTTAACGACACCTTCGACAAATATATTAAGTGTAATCAATATTTGATCAACGTCAGGAGGAATGTAATAAAACTAGACAAACGTATTATGGCGTTGCGGTATAATTATAACCTAAAAATCATTCTTGAAAATGTCTGTTGAGGTCGGAAATATCATTTATAAAAAAAATACAAATTTTAACTGTTTCGTTTCAGAAAACTCGCAGTTTTGCGAAGATCATCAACTTTTTTTGATTTACAGATAATTAAACGCTTTTTGGAGCAAAATGAAGCACGTGTGCCATTCGTCGTCACAGTAACTCGTGAACCGGTATAACATCTCATTTTGCAGGTTTTAAGCCATCACCGAGCAATCGTTCGCGGAAAATAGAATGGTAAATATACGAAGAATTTATGGAAAGTCTTACCATTTTGTCGTTTATGGGGTTTTAAGAGGTTTTAGACGAAAACTCGAGCTAAATACCGTACTCAAAGCTAATATCACTCCCACACACACAAAACAAGGATGGAGCTAGTCTTGCAACCGTATGCCGACAAACGATAATATCAACTTTTATTTGTAACTAGAATGTTGAATCAAGCTCTGTTATTTAATAGTGGTGCGTTCATTGTATTAGTACTCGATAAATGAACGAAGCATCAAGTCCGAGGAATCTGAATAAAAATAAAAGAGGTGCTATAAATTTGAATCGAAGGAGGAGAAATCTAAAAATTGAGAAAGCAGTGAGCAAACGAAAAGACAGATGTCGCAAGTGACTCGATCACATGGTATTTTTACGGTGTGGCTCTGAATTCGATTCCTTATAAGGCAATAAAATGCACGTGAACAATTAGATGTGTTTCGAACATTTATGAAAAAAAAGTATCATCGAGGATTCCGAAAAGTGAGTTAGATGAAGACATATTAGTTTTACAGGATTTCAAGAGTCGGCGAAATTCTGACATAATGATCGCCATTCGAAGTAACGCAATGGAACGATGCATTTTATCGTTCTCTCGGGAAAGTCCTTCCCGCCCTACAAGTGCTATGAGAAAGTAAAGCCATTATCGTCAGACAATTAAGAGACGTTCATTGAAAGACGTTGACAAGCGCATTCTCCACGTGACGCATCAGGCGCCATACAGTTATTCCTCGCGCGCATCGCGACGAAAATAAGCTTCGACCTTCCGACGATAATCCATCGATTTGCTCTTGGCTCGTTTAAGCGTACGCGTTCCTCGCCTTTCTGCCCTTCGATGCACGACCAATCGATAGGTCGAGAGGCAGGGGCTAATAAAAATAGAAAGCACGAGAAGTGGCTTGCTTTGCAGCGTCCGGCGCTTCGGAGAAACGACTCGACGGAGACAATGATCGCGGGCGCTGAAAAAATTGCATCGGCGCGCGGCTCGCGCACGTGCGCGCAGTCTCCGGTTCGGCCGCTCCTAGCGGAGCACAATGTGTCGTCTTTCTCGCGCGACACCACGCCGTTACGAGCTCGGTCGTGTCGATCTCGCGCGGCGCGCTTTGTCTCCTCCGTCGCCGTCGAGGCACGCTGGAAGTTCGGCCGCGACTGCGTCGAGGACAAAGACTGCGCTGCCGAGGGCAGAGCCCTTGCGCTCGCGGACAAAGGTCGCGCGGCGATCCAAAAAAAGCCTCGGCCGACTCGGCCCCCTCGCGCGCGTTGGGCGCGTCGGGCGCGCGGCTCCAAAAATAACCGCGCGGCCGACGTTCCCTTCGGATCGCGACGATCGCCGGCAATCCGGAGAGCGGCGCGATCGATATCCCGGCGCCGCGCGACTCTCGTAACGGCTCGCGCGCAGCTGTCCCCCATCGCTCGACAATAGGGGTGCGCGCGGCCGAGATGAAACCGGCGGCGCGGCGGCTCGTCATTGTCGGGGCCCGGAACGCGCGCGATCGCGGAGCTGAGTCAGGTCGGCGACGCAGCTGCGCCGGCGCTTGCGCAACGACACCGCGGCGCGCTGATTCACCGCGAGCGCGAAAACGCCACTCCCCGGTCCGAGGGCTGCGCGCACGTGCGCTCCGGCTGTCGCGGCACGCCGAGGCTTATCGTCGCGGGAAAGCGGTCGACGCGCTATTTTCGGAGCTGACGCGTCGGCGTCGCGAGAGAGAAAGCCGGGTACGGCGAGCGCGAGAGCCGCGGGCAAAGCGATTAGGCCGCGCTCGAGAGATAAGAGTCCTCGGGCGAGAGCGGACCGAACGCTCGAGCGAGGAAGGAAGAAACGAAGGAAGAAACGAAGGAAGAAGAGAAAGAAAAGGCTCTCGGCGCAACCCCCTCGAAAGATGCGCCGCGAGGGGGAGGAAGTCGCGGTGTCGCGTGTCCGCTGCGCATCGTCCCGCGCGAGTGCGTGCCCGCTGGCCCCCCTTTTCTAACGCCCACGACGCGGCAGATGGGACGGGTGGCGCGTGCGGCTCGTTTTTACGGCCAAGCAAACAACGCTGCGCCGACCCCCGTTCGTGGCTGGCGCGCACCTGGTCCCCCATCGAGCAGCCGTCGGCCCACGTAATCGGCCGATTGGCGCGCGCCGCCGCTCCTCTCCGCGGCTACCGACGTTTCTCTCGGCCGCCTGCTCGAGCGGATCGGGCGTCGTCGACGGCGTCGATCGAGAGCGCCTAACAGGACCGTGATTCAGGCATCTCTATTCATCGCGCGCCCATTGTACGCGCGACAAGGCCGTAACGGCGCGTGCAGCCGACAGGGCGCGCCGCCGCGTCGCCGCTGTCCGACGTGCGCGCGGATCGCGAGGAGCCCGCGCTCGCGGAACTGGTTCGAGGTGCGCGAAGGCAAGTCCGGGAGAGCTCGTTCTTTCTCTCGCGCACCCGGAGTCGTTACGCCCATCGGCGCTGGCTTCTTTTGTTCCCGCTGCCTCCCCTTTTTTTCCTCTTTTCATTACTGGCGAGGCTGCGCCGGGGGGTTGCTCGCGTCTGGCGCGCCCGAGAGAAAGGCCGTTACGCGGGCGCTTCGGGCCGACTTCTCTCCGCCGCTCCTGGGTCTCGTCGCCCAAGCGACGCGCGGAAAATTAATCAGCGGCGTCGTCGCGGCATTTAAAGTGGCTGCGAGCGAGCGAGGATCGAGTGCAGGCCGCGCGGCGCCGCGGGGGGAGGGGGAGCCGTGCCGGCCGAGAGCGAAGAGGGGAGCAGCGAGCCAGGAAGTCGGAAGAGCGCTGCCGCCGATGCAGAGTCAGTCAGTCGGTCGGTCGCTAGCGCGCTGCTCGCGCGCGTTCGTCCCCTCGTCCGTCGCGATATCTCGGCCGATCGGCCGAGCGGCAGAAGCGCCCGGAAGGTCGTGTACCTGCGCGCGGCGCGAGTGCCACGGGGGGCAGGCGGCGCGCCATAAGGCGAGAGAGAGGGGCCGCCGCGCTCGCGGGGCTCGAGTGGGGGGCCAGCCACCCCCGAGCGCACGGCACGCGCGCGCGCGCGCGCCAGTGCAGCTGTCGCGCTCGCTGCCGAGGCTCGCACCCGCCGCCGAGATGAGTAGCTTCAAGCGCCACCAGAGCAAAGTGTTCTGGGGCCGGATGGAGTCGCGGGACGTCGGCGGTGACGACCACCCGCGGGCCGGCCTCGGCCTGGACGCCACCGCGGAGGAGCGCGAGGCCGAGCTGTCGACGCAGGAGGACAGCGAGCAGGAGGCCGACACCACGGTCATCCACGTCGCCGAGCCGAGCGGGTAAGCCTCGCGCGATCGACACCCGCGTGCCGCTCGCGGCCGCTGACGGACGCGCGCTTTTTCAGGGACGCAGCCCCGCGGCTGCTGCCCGGGCGCTCGCTCAGCCCGGCGACCAGCCGTGGTCAGCGCAGCCAGGACTCCGGCTTCTCCGACTCGGGCCGCTCCGACAGCTCCGGCACCAGTGGTCTGCGGTCGCCCGAGCGTCGCAGGCGGCGCAGGCGCTCCAGCCGCGGCTCAAGGAGCCAGCGACTGGCCGATCTGGCGGCCGCCTCCGCCGCCGCCGCCGCCAACGACGGCCCCGCGCACACCTCCACCCCCAAGCAGCGCGAGGACTCGGCGCCCAGCCGAGCGGCCCGCGACGACCTCCACGCCGCCAAGCAGCTCCAGTTTCGCAGGTGAGCGGCGGTCGAGTGCCCGTCGGGCTCCGCGTGCCGGAGATAAGCCGAGGCGCGCGATCGAATCGCCCGACTGGCGCCTCGACTCTCCAAAGTGGCCGCGGTCGACGCCCGGGGAGCCCCTGCATCGGATTCGTATCGGGCGCGCGCCCGACGTGTTTGCCCAGCGCATGCATCTTTATCGCCGCGTCATCGTTGGCCGAGATTGTCGTTTGCCGCGCGCGTCGCGCCACGGACGTCGTCGATCGAGAGGCGATTGGCGCTAATTGCAGCGCGACGGCGCGAGAACGCAGCGAGCCGCCCGAGAGACGACGGCTCGGATCGGAGCGCGAGCGCGGCGGCCGAGACAATGGGGGGAAGGGAGTAGTCCTGCGAAGAGTGAGTCAACGCGCGCGCGGACTCACCGCGAATACTCATGCGCGAGAGAGAATCGCGCCGAGGAATTTATCGCGAGCACGCAGGTGAGCGGATTAGTCATCGTCGCGGCCGCGGCGAATCGCAGCGGATAATTCCGGTGTTACGCGCCGATCTCCGTTTCAGCCGACCAAGAGGCGAGCCGGACATAGCTCGACCTCGGCGCAGCGCCTGCTTGCTTTTTATCTATATCTTCTTTTTTTATCGGTTACGTCGAATGCTTATCGCGGCATGCCGGCACATCCGCCCGTCACACGGTTGGGCTACCTCGCTGACGACTTCGCGCTCAGCTCGATCGATCGATCGATTGGCCGAGCCGCCGCGCGGCCCAATCGAGAATTCGGAGGGTAACGCGGCTTATCGCTGGCGCGCCCGATAAGCGAGCGAGCCTCGAGGTCGCGCGCCTTCCGCCGAGCGGAAGGACGAGCGCGAACATGGTCGGGCCCCCGGCCGATTCGTGCGCGCGACTGACGGCTGGAAACCGCGTTCGCAGCCAGACGAGCAACGACGAGGAGGAGCAGCTGTCTTCGCTGAACTCGAACGAGATCGAGGAGCACCTGAACGACTTCCTGTACGCCAGCGAGCCGCCCGAAGAGGACGACTCGGCGCCGAGCCAGCGCTCCGCCGAGTCGCCTCCGCCGTCGCTGGCGCTGAGCGCGTGGCTGGACGAGCTGCGCGCCGGGCCCGAGGACGAGTGCACGGCCACGCTGCAGAGCAAGAGTCTGCCGAAGAGGAGGCCCGGGCAGCGGGAGACCGCGGGCGACCGGGACCAGCGGCCGCTCACCGCCTCGGCGACCACCGCCGCCAAGAAGCTGATCGACGCGGCCGACGCGGTGGAGCGGCGCTACCAGCAAGCCCTCCGGTGAGTTGCGCCGCGGGGTCGGCGCGCCCCGCCGGCTCGGCCTCGTCTCACGGCTGCCCTCGGTTACAGCTGCATCGGCGACCGAGCGGAGTGCGGCGAGCCGCTGCGGGTGTTCGAGACCGAAGCCGCGGACCTGCTGCGGCGCCTCGGCGCCGCGCCGCCGCGGCGCGTCCACCCGCGCCAGGAGGAGCCGCGCGACGCGGCCCTGCGACTGGCCCGGCTGAAGGACGGCCTGGACCGGGCGCTGGAGCACCAGCTGGACCTCCGCGTCCGGGTAAGCGTCGGGGGCTCGCGGAGCCGGAGGCTCGGGAGGCGTCCGCTAACGCGACACTCGTCGGCTCGCAGAAGGTGGTGGCGGCGCTGGACGGCGCGAGCCACGAGGACGGCTGCACGGCCCGCGGCGCCCTCGCCGGCCTGACGGCCCTGGGCCTGGCCGGGCCCCGGGCGGGCGCCAGCGTGGCCCGCTGCGGCGGCGTGCGCGCGCTGCTCGCCCGCCTGGCCGCAGCCCCGCGCTCCTGCGCCGAGCTGCGCTGCGGAGCACTGCGCGCCCTCGCGAGCGTCTGCTGCTGCCTCGAGGCCGTGGACCAGCTGGTGCGCGACGGCGGCCCCGAGGTGCTCGCGGACGCGCTGAGCGCGGCGCGCGCGCCGCTGTCCGAGAGGACCGAGGCCGCGGCGCTCCTCGTGCAACTCACCGCGCCCTGGATGGACCGCGTCGGCCTGCCTTACGTTGAGCCCTACGGGCCGCGGCTCGTGGCCGCCCTCACCGAGCTGGCGGAGCGCTGCACCTGCCGGCAGAGCCTGCTGCTCGCCGCCGCGGCCCTCAACCACCTGGCCCCCTCCAGGCGCTGCATCGCCGCCATCGTCGACTGCCAGTCCATCAGGCGGCTGCTCAGGTCGGTGCGCCGGCCCCGGCGATTCGCGCCTCCTCGACTCACGAGTGCTTACTCGCCGATGTCGCGTTTCACAGGTGCGTCAAGAGATCGAGCGGCGGTAACGTCTGCCTGATGGAGCAGGTGGCCTCGCTCGTCGGCCAAGTGGCCCGAGTGCCGCAGGCCCGAGCCCACCTCGCCGAAACCCGCGCCTCGGTCGCGCTCGTCTGCTTCCTGCGGATGCAGCCGCCCGGCCTCGAGGACGAGTATCGCCGACTCGCGGCCACCACCAGCGAGGCGCTCACGCGCTTGTGCGTCGACCCGGAGATCGCCAAGCAGGTCGTCGCCGTGGGCGGATCCGATTTTCTGCCGGAGCACGAGGAGGACAGCGAACAACGCTTCCAAAGCACCAAGTCACTCAGGGTCGCTCGCAAAATTGCAGCTGAACAGATCGACATTGCTAGGATATGGGACTACAGCTCAAATTAGATACCGTCTTTTTCGTTGTTTCATTCTTTCTTCCAACTGTATCCGTCGCGAATACTTTTAGTTGAGTTTTTTTGAATAATTTAAATTTTTATCAACTTAGATGTATATATTTAAATAAATCGTTTATTGTTATCTTAAGAATTCTAGTCTAGTCTAGTTTATACTTAATATTTTTATATCATTGCCGATTGAAGATAAAAGGTTTATTTTGTATACGGTAATAATAAAAAATCCATAGAACTACAAATTATCTTTTGTTTATTTCAAAATCTATTGTGAATTTTCTCTTTTTGTACAAGTGTACAAATGGAAATTTATCGTCACAATTTATGCTTGTCTGTTATACAATATGTACAATATATTGACAATAACCATTTTACTATCTATAAAAAAACAATCTATAAAAAGCACTTTTACAATTCATTTGATCGTATGGAATAAAATTATAGGTATGTAAGGAGATTTATAAAAGATTAAAAGATATTCTTTTTAATGTTATTGAGATGCTTGCACTGTGTTAATTTTTCTCAACAGTTCGTTCGGTATATAGCATGAAATTACGGTATTTGATTATAGATGAAAATCGTGGCATAAATTTTAAAAGTCGCTTTTTCTTATTTTATATTATCTTGTAGCTGACTCTGATGAAATATATCAACAACTGTTTCTCGACAAGCACGCAACTCCAAGTCGTTGTAGCCAAGTACAAATTTTCCTTTGGGTGGCGAAAAATAATCTAATCCTCTACCAATTTTAATGATCCATCCATTACTTAAACTAAAAGCAAATTTAACTTAACTATAAGAACGATTTTATTAACGCATACAATTAAAAACACCATTTATACTCACGTAATTTGCCTATCGTGAAGAGTATCTGAAAATTTAACTTCTAAAGTTACTAACTTATTGGCTAAACTTGTTTTTAATTCATCTAGTCTAGATATCTGACCAGCCTTATCATTTGGATCACTAGTTGTTGTTAAAATTATTTTAGATAATTCCAGACATTTTGTCACAGTCAATTCACAGAATCGGACAAAGTTTTGACACTAATAAGAAATGATTTTTAATAGTTTCAGAAGTGAACAAAATAAACTTTATTCTCGTATACCTGATGAGCAGCTCTAATGTATGGTTCTTCTACTCTAATTTCTGTGACTGTGCAATCAAGAAACCTGCCGAATACTGAATGATATCCATATCCAATAGCTCCATTTTCAATTTTCATATGTTCTCTGTACTTTCCCTTTGATTTTTTTTCCTCTATCAATGATTTTATTCTCTCGGCTCTGTCCATATACTCAGCTGTTCTAGTTTGAAAATGCTTTTTGCGCGTAGGATCTTTCATCTCTACAATAGATTAATTTTATATTTGTACTAAAAATTACATTTAATAAATACTTGTTACAATATACCTTTGATAGACTCAATAAGAACTTGTAAACCTTCTTGGTACAAAACTAATGCCATAGTATATTGTTCTTGCTTGTCTTTTTCTATTGCACGTTGTATAATTGATGCTCCTATATTTTCCATTTTTGTACCATTAAATTGTTCCTGAAATATTGAATTGTTATTTTTACGATAAACTAAATGACTGGATATATATAATTTACATCTATACTAAACTACTTACAGTTGATGAAAATACCTGGGCTCATTTTTTTTGTTACTTGTCAAATTGGATAAATTATATTGCATAAGCAGTACTTTGTTTCAAAATATTTGTTTCGCTTAACATATCCACAATGATTACCAATAAATAAAGTAAATTTGAAACGAACAATCATTGGCTTGTTTATTTTCTAACCCTTAACACGTCACATAAATCATGTATTTCATAACAGCTCATTCGTTTTAAAAGTGTTTATTTAGTCGAAATTACACTATCACATAGTATAACTGTTACCCATAATTTATGGATAAAAAAAACCACATAAATATTAAAAAAATAACTCTTATAAAGGTAAATTGGTCTACGGTTTACCTATGACCATGAGTACCATCTAGTACCGTAATCACGGAACAGTGATCAGCTGATCATTTATTTTGATTGAGAATGACAGGAATCGAAGCGTTAAGAGTGCTGGGTTGGGATAGCATAGAGCATCTGCATATAATAAAGTAGTAAAGTGTAAAGTTTGCAAAGTCGAAAAATCTCTACAAAATGGCGTAATAATTTGTTTGATCATTAAAATTTTTTTTTATGCTACTGTAAAACAAGCTGCTGCATCCGGCCCTTGATGGTTGGTCGTAAGTGTACCATATACTGATATTATTAGGAAATTTAAACTGGAATGTCACTTAGAATCTTTAAAAATTATGCTGTAGCATTGTAAACCCAAAGGCACCTTTTCATTTCACAATTACTACATTGAATGTGAGAAACCGTAGTTTTTCAATTATAAAAATTTATCTTCTATCAACCACGTTTGGAATGGCAATACTTCACTCAACTTTAAATATGTATTGTGTCTTTTCTAGCACTACTGTACTGGCGTTGTGGCCCTATACTGTAAAAGTTCTTGCCTAATTAATGCATATAATAAGTTTATTTAATTGATATAATTTATTGAACATCCTGAGGAACTTATAATATCTTTTGGGACCTTGATTGGAAAAATTGATCTATAATTATATTCAGATTACGTTTCAGTGGTTTATGGAAAATCTTGAATTTCATATGTTTTCGAATAAAAATAAAAGTATCATCGATATCAAGAATAATCAATATCGTTATATAAAAATGCAGTATAAATATTCCTTGAAAATTCGCGGTTGCTTCTCCAGACATGCGCATTTTGCACTGCGCAGTGCGCGCCGCACGGTAATATCTTTTAGGTTATGTTTATAGTGGATCCACGTGACAGTAGTGTGTATTCCAGCGTATTTGTCGTCGGCTTTTTGAAAAAAAAAAAAAAAAAAAAAAAACGATACAAGTGGACGGTGCGATGGAAAATTCGGGCGAGGAAGTGAAAAGAGTTCTCTCGCGATTTAAATCGGATAATGGCGAAGTGTTACCAGGAGGACTCCTCGATTTGCCGACTAATGTCACTGTAGACAAATTGCAGCTAATAGTCAATGCGTTGTTACAACTAGACGACCCAGTGCCTCTTGCGTTTTTCATCAATGATGAACAAATTATAGAGTCTCTGGAAGAAAGACTAAAAGACTTCAATACTAGTGAAAATGTTGTTGAAATTGTTTATCAACCACAGGCTATTTTTCAAGTTAGAGCTGTTACTCGTTGTACAGGAACTTTAGAAGGTATGCTAAATAGATATTAGTTGTCAAGATATTATTTATTTTTTTACTTCACTAGGACACAAGGAAGCAGTAGTAGCGATTGCATTTTCACCCAATGGTCAATTATTGGCCAGTGGCTCAGGAGATACCACAGTAAGATTGTGGGATATATATACACAAACTCCTAGATACACCTGCGAAGGCCATAAACATTGGGTCCTCTGTTTGTCTTGGTCCCCATGTGGTACAAAAGTAGCTTCAGCTTGTAAAAATGGACGAATTATGATCTGGAATCCAGAAACTGGTAAGCAACAAGGAAAAGATATGATTGGTCACAAGATGTGGGTAACATCTTTGTCATGGGAACCATATCATCAGAATGCAGAGTGCAGAAAACTTGCCAGTGCATCAAAAGACACAGATATTAGGATATGGGATTCCAAATTAGGCAGGACACTATTAGTGTTATCAGGACATACCAAGAGTGTTACTTGCATAAAATGGGGAGGTAGAGGCTTAATCTATTCAGCATCTCAGGACAGAACTATTAAAGTTTGGAGAGCAGAAGATGTGAGTTATACAAAATTGGCAGCATCAAGTTTTTATTTAATATTTTATTGGGATAATATAATTTTTAGGGAGTCTTATGTAGAACATTAGAAGGTCATGGTCACTGGGTCAATACTCTAACTTTAAATGTAGATTATGTACTACGAGTTGGACCATTTAAAATTGTAAAATCTAAAGAAAATGAAGAAATTACTCCTCAAGCATATGCTTTCAAAGAATATGAATCTGTTGGAGAGGAGAAGCTTGTGTCAGGTTCTGATGATTTCACATTAATTTTGTGGAAACCTGACAAGGATAAAAAACCGATAGGTAATGCGTTTAATTGATATCTACATCCAATTAACAAAATCAGTTGAATTAAAAAATTATTTAAAACATTTTTAGCTCGAATGACTGGTCATCAGCAATTGATTAATGATGTCAAATTTTCTCCTAATGGACGTATTATTGCCTCAGCATCTTTTGATAAGTCTATTAAGCTATGGGATGCCAATACTGGCAAATACATATCTTCTTTGCGTGGTCATGTGCAAGCTGTTTATTCAGTAGCATGGAGTTCAGATTCTAGACTTCTAGTAAGTGGAAGTGCCGATTCCACTGTAAAAGGTAATGTCATTGATTATCTTTTATAAAAAATACATATTTTGAAGCACCATTTGAATGTTTTATTCAGTCTGGAATATAAAGACAAAAGAACTAAGTCAAGATCTACCTGGTCATGGAGATGAAGTTTATGCAGTAGATTGGGCTCCTGATGGTATCAGAGTAGCTTCAGGTGGAAAAGATAAAATTTTACGATTGTGGCAAAATTAGATCAGCATTTGTGTAAGTTTTTTAATAAAATTTTTTTATCTGTTAAGACACAGTATTTATAAAGAATAATCTACCTTTATGCAATTGTTAGAAAATCTGGTGTAAATAAAATATTAATTAATTATGTTAAATATATTCAAAAAGTGGTTTACACTTTGATTAAACATGTAATTATTGTAAATACGAAACTACATTATTGAAAGTCAATTTTGTAAACAAACTAAATGAAGATATTCCATCGATTAATTTTCCATTTCAGATACTTTCATAATGAGAATGTTCTTAAATTAAATGTTTATACATGTATCTTTTGTATACATTGGTCTATAAAGATAAATATCCATTTATCGGCAGCCGTAGCCCTGTATACCTGACCATATTTCCTTATTTATTGTAAATTTCAGTTGGATCTATGTATTTTTAAAATGCTAATATTTTAACAACTGAGTAAGATGGAAATGCTTAATCAATATTACATAATCCTTAAACAATAATGTGATGTTTATTTCTATGTACAATATCAAAAATATTAATTTTTTTTACAAGGAAAATACCTTTGGTATGAATGCAAACTGATAGAAATAGAAAAAATTCAACATGATTTAATATAAAAGTGAGTAACTGTAAATATAAAAATACATTATTTTTTAATTAGATCGTGTCAAAATATAAATACAATAATTATTTGACATTATGAGATTTAAGCGGACGATGAACACCATGCATAAGCATTTTGGAAAATTCTCTGCCATGGTGAATTTTTAGACTTCCAATCAGTAGGTACCCATGGTAATTGCCAAGTTCGTGTACACCTCTCTGGGTGAGGCATCATAGCCAAATGACGCCCGTCTGCTGAACAGATGCCGGCAATTCCCTCTGTAAAATATAATCATCGATTAATAGAATTTTGTCCCGAAAATCACGCAAAACTGATTTAGAAATGACTTACCAACGCTTCCGTTTGGATTTTCCGGGTATTTTTCGGTAGGAACTCCGTGATCATCGACATACTTGATTGCAAGGCAATTTTGTTGTTTTAATTTAGCAAGAACGTCTTTATTGCGGAATGTAAACTTTCCTTCTCCGTGAGCAATCCACACGCCAAAAATACTACCCTCCATTCCTTGAAGCATAATTGCTGGTGATTTTTCAATCTTGACAGTGCTCCATCTGCACTCGAAACGCTCAGATTCGTTGTGATCCAACACTACATCTGGACTTCCTTCATATCATATAAAATTTTTTTAATGTAATATTTGAATAAAAAAAATCCTACTTTAAATAAAAAAAAGTTTATTTAAATTACCATCATGTGAGTTACCAATCCAGCCAAGTAAACTCATAAGTTGACAGCCGTTGCAAACTCCCAAACTAAAAGTATCTAGGCGACTAATGAAATTTTGTAATTGCTTTCTCAAAGAAGGATGAAAGAGGAGACTAGCAGCCCAGCCTTTAGCTGATCCAAGTACATCTGGAAGAGCAAAAAATTATCTGCTTATTATAAATTCTATTTTGGAATTGTAAAATGAATTAATTACCTGCATAGCTAAAGCCGCCAGGGAAAATAATTCCCCTGAACTTGTCGAGTGTGACTTGATTGCTCAAAAGATCTTGCATCGTAACGTCCCAAACTTGGAAACCAGCTTCGACGAGAGATGCCGCCATTTCTCGATCACCGTTTATTCCTTCTTCTCGAATTACAGCTACTGGTATAGTAACTGCAAAATGAAATATTATTATATCTTATTTTTTCATCACATGTAAAAATGCTTCAAATTATTTACGATTTGGTTTAGTTGAAAGTGGCACGTTAGGATCAAAGGTGAGCTTATATGCCGGACTCGTTTTCTTGTGGAAGTTTTTATACTCTTGTCTTGCACAGTCAGCATTGGTCTGGCGAAGATCCAGTTGATAACTTGTTTCTTCCCAAACGTTCATTAATGTTATTACTGTCGAAATCAGTACAGATTTTTTTTCTACCGACACATCAATCTACAACAAAATTATTCATGTTCAACTTGATAATAATTAACTCAATTAATCAATCTATATTTACTAAAATTTCGATTTCATGAGCGTACCTTCGAATTTACTCCAAATCCAACAGATTTGCCGATGACATATGCAGGTGCTTGGAATTTTTCGAACACTTTCAAAACATCTTTGGCATCCTTATTGCGCACTTCCAAGACCCAACCCACTTCTTCAGCAAACAAGATTTCGATAGGATTTCCGGATTTATGATTAATGTCGATGTTCAAACCAGAAATACCACCAAAGCTCATTTCCAAAATGCAAGTGATGAGTCCACCATCGCTAACGTCGTGTCCAGCCAATATTTTACCGTCTATGAAACAAGCAAATGGAAAAGTAATGATTTAATGATTTATCGTAGTTCAAAGTTAGATGGTATAAGCGAAAATGTTAATACCCTTGATCAAAATCTGCGTTGCCTTGAAGGCATTCTTAAAGATAGAAGCGTTTTCCACGTCGGCTGCAATGTCTCCAAGTTGATTGTAAACTTGAGCGAAAGCCGTGCCCCCGAGACGGCTCTTACCAGATGATAAATCCACAAAAATTAAAGTGCCTTCTTCTCTGAGAGAAGGTGCTTTAAGATCTGGCGTAACGACCTAAATTGGCAGAACAAAATTAAGCAATAAACTTAGAGCAAAAAAGTAAGAAACGCGTTTTATTAAATAACTTACTTGACGGATATCGGGACAAGGGGCATAGCATGAGACAACTAGAGTTCCCGGTGCCTTAACAACCTTACCTTTGCCAACTCTAGCAGCCATACTAAGCGAGTCCTTACCTCCGTCGATAGCAACACCAAATTCTTTCATGACGTTACACATAGCGACACAAGCATCATAAAGAGCAGCTCCTTCGCCCGGCAATTTTGCAGCCCACATCCAGTTTCCGCTACACTTTACATCCTTCAAGTGACAAATTGATGCAATGAGAACTTCAATTGACGTATAATTTTTTCAAATCGAAAACTTGTTGCGGATGGTACCTCAAGTTCAGAGATGCGAGCGAATACAAGATTCGACAGTGCCTCTGCGACAGTCATTCGAGCCCCAGCGGCTGCGTTTACAAGTCCTTTTATTGGTTGTTCTCCAATGGAGCTTGCTATGCCCACCTACAATGTATTGTAAGTGGAACGCTTGTTTATCAATGTCGATGTGACGGAAAAACGAACAACTTACAATTGAGAAGTGTGTTAGCCCAACAACAGCAACGTCGGCCAGTGGCGTATGAAGTGGACCCACGCACTGTTGTTGCGCTATTAGACCTGTAACGCAGCGATCCACTTTGCTTGTTAAGTATCGCTTGCTTGCTACGGACGGCAATCTTAAAACTCGGTTTAATGCCTCTTCAACAGTAGGGATATTTGGCAGCTGAATTGATTTTAAATTGACCTTTGCTCTGTCCAATTTAAATGTCTACAATCAATGTTAAAGCTGTCGTAATGCATATTCCGCTTTCAAGTTAATATTGTAATCAAATAAATACCTTTCGTGGCATTTTTCCAAGTACCAACTCCAATTCTAGATCGACAGGGTGTCGACGCTTGGCTGCGTAATTTTTATTCATGTATTTGGATATATCAAAATCGTCTTCCTCTGAAAGGATAATTTTTCCATTGCCAGTGACGGTACCGACAAAATTTATTGGACATCTCTCGCGAGCTGCAATTTTTTCCAACAAAGTACTATCTTCTTGTTTGCAAAGAATCGCGTCGTTTTCTTGATACTCAGCGCCCCACAATTCCATGGTGCTGAGACTGGGATCGCCGAGCTCGAACTTTTTGGAGAATATTACAGCGCCAGCTGGCTCGACCAATTCCTTAAGTACGTTACCATTTCCTCCGGCTCCTTGGTCGTGAATGCTGAGTATTGGGTTTTTATCTCCCATTTCCATGCAAGCTCGGACGACTCTGTTGAGCTTTTGCTCCATCTCGGCGTCGCCTCTCTGCACTGCTCCGAAATCTAATTCGGATTCGTTGTCTCCCTGGACCTGCGGATATTTCGATTTCGTTACACGTACAGTTAAGAAAAAAATTGTATTCAAAAAGTAAGAACAATAGACGTACTTCGACGGAGCTCGCAGCACCTCCACCAACACCAATTCTGTAAACAGGTCCGCCAATTTTAACGACTTGCATTCCTGAAAAAAAGTTGGTTTTTTCAACATGCGTTTGTATCGACAATTGCTAATAATTCAAATAGATACGGTATCTATTTGGCATTTACCTGGTTCTGGTGGCAACTTTTCAGTCATATTAGCTTCCATTGAGCCAATTCCACCACTAAACATGATTGGTTTAATCCATTCACGTCGCTCACCAACGGCGTCCGGCATTCCGAAAGAACGTGCGAAGCCCGAAACTACTGGTTCTCCGAATTTGTTACCATAGTCGGACGCACCATTACTAGCTTCGATTAAAACTTCAAGTGGTGGTGCCATGTTACTTGGGTATTCGAAATTCTTGTGTTCGTCTTCCCATGGCAGTTTGTATCCTAAAATCGAAAGGCGCACTTTATTATAAGTATTGTCTGAGTCATAATAGCTTATTTGGAAAAAATGAAAATCGACTCTACCTGGAATCTGTAAATTTCCCACCGAATAACCAGCTGTTCCAGCAATGTAATAACCACCACGACCAACACCTTGAACATCACGAAGACGACCTCCAGTTCCAGTTGTTGCGCCGCTGAAAAACCAAATTTGTTTTTACGTAACTCTGAAAACAACGCATTTTCAAAGTTGTTCAATATAAATTTACCTGAATGGAGCAACACCAGTTGGGAAATTGTGCGTTTCAGCAGTGAAAATGAGATGCTGTTTGGTATCATCAATTTTGAACGAGCTAGACACATCTGTTCTATTAGGACGTAGAGTTTTAGCTTCAAATCCTTTGATGGCACTACTATTGTCACTAAATTTAATCACATTATTAGGATTGGAAGTATTTTGTGTATCTATGATCATATCAATTAGTGATTTTTCTTTCTCTTCTCCATCAATCACTATTTTGCCTTTGAAAAACCAATGTCTACTGTGCTCACTGTTTGATTGAGCCAAGTCAAAACATTCAACACTTGTTGGATTTCTTTTGAGCTTATTTTGAAATAAATTTGTGTAAAAGTCCAAGTCCCAATCATCAAATGCCAAACCTAAAAAAAGAAAAGATTTTAAACTAATTTAAATCATAGACAACTAATTTTACAATAACAATTAACTACCTAATTTGACATTAACATCTTCTAAAGCTTTCCTTCCTTTTTTCAATATGTCAACTTCAAACCATTCCTCAGGTCTGAAGCCATGGTCAAAAGTTTCTATTGGCTTTAAATATCTACATTCTGTCATTTTATCATGGAGAGCATCAACAATCTAAAATAAATTTATATATCACAATTAGGTCCTACCCAATAATTTAAGAAATATTTTATAAATTTACCTCATTTTCAATCTTTTTGTCTATAGCCTTACTGGATTTTATCATATACCTTGTAGAAACTTCAATTCTACTAACATTTTCCAACTGAACAGCTTTGCAAATTGAAACAGCATTACTCGAAAAGGCAGTAGAAAAGTTCAGTCTGTGTGATAATTAAGTTAATGAAATTTTGAACTTCATAATATTTATGATATGGACTTGTTAAATTACAATACCTTGGACCAATTTCAATTACAAGTTTATTTTCTCTGTATGCAGTGGAATCTGCAAGTTGATTGGATTCAAATGGAGAACATAAGATCCATTTCAATATTTTTATTTGCTCTTTATTCAAAGAACTTGAAGATTCAATATAGTAACACAATTCAGCTTCAATGTTGGTTATTGTATTTGATATTTTCATTAAATTTTCTAGTTTATTCTTTAATTGACTAGACTTAAAGCCCGGATTCTTGTAGAATTTCAAAATGACCATATTGAAAAATAAATTTACAATTGGAATAGAGCAACAGGTGTCTTCCACTCGACGACTGATCTCACGTAATGCCTCGCAAACTAGTAAGACAATTTGAAGAGACCCCCTGGATCTCTGCTCAGCAACGAATGACGAAAGGGTCAATACGATATCATTTATATGATTATCGCACTATTTCAAGCACACAAGCTACTGCTCACAAAACTTGCCGGCTTGACGTAACTGATACATTTCGCAATTATTTTCTCGTAATAAGATACACAAGTTTTTTTTACAAGCTGGAATGTATGTATTTAATAAAAGATCTTACGACTGACTTTTAATTGATATGCTTTTTTGTGAAATCGTAAGATTTATTATTATAGAAATTTGTAATTCAAGGCAAATCAAAACTTCAATTAAAATATTCGCGTAGTTTCCAATTATAATTATCGATTATTCCTGTAAATTTCATTAAATAACTATATTTATGTACCTTATACACCCTTTCCCACACTAACGTATTTAAATTAGTTTTGTAATCTATAAGTGTGGAAATAGTTCAGCAATGAGGTTAGAAATTATCCGCAAGTTTTTTGTGACGTCCGCAGGTGGCATTTACGCGCGAAAGTTAGAATCGAAATTTTAGATAAAATATGGAAAAGAACAGATTAATAAATAAGCGCGGAGACTGATTCTTTAAAATTCATATCAAAGGGGATAAGAGGAATTGAAATAAATTTACATTTATTAATGGGAAAAGGTCAACGTGACAGAAAACTCATTTTATTATTAAAAAAAAAGAAAACAATAATAAAAGATTAACAAAAATAAAGAAAAGATGAAAATGGCAATGAAAACAAAATTATAATCGCAGTGTCGCCGCACTTCCACCACTAGCAAACACTCGCACGAAAAAAGTTATTTTTTCTGCACAACGGTACAGATTCGCATATAGTTTTGACAACCGCACGTGGCGATGCAAAATACGTTTGCTACTGAAATTGGCGGCAAAGGTTCAGGTATGCAATTACACCTGAGTCAATGAGAAAAATGGACTGATGCTGAGGGGTGTTCACAAAACGATTCTGACACTTAAAAAATGATATGAATTCTGATACCATGACACATTGAAGAAGGATATATCATGAGCCACTGCGCAGCAAGCCATGCGCAGGTGATTTCTAGGGTTTTTTAACGGACGCGTATTTTGAATACAAAGTGATAAAAATAAAAACAAACAAAAACATTATAATACCTATTCCCCAAAAACAAACGATAAATTTTTATAAATTGACTTCTTTGGCTAGTACATTTTATTAATAATAAGAAATTTACATTTTTCACATACAAATTTTTAATTTTAGGAAAGAAATAGCAAAAACTCTTTTTCTACTTATTTTGATTTTCTATTACTAAATGAATACTTTAACTATGCTGGCAAGTAAGTAGTATTCTTTTAAGTGGCACTTAAAATATTCATTCATGAAAATAGATTTTTATTATAAAATAACTTTTTAATATCACTATTCCATGAATCAATAATGAGCGAATCCTTTGCTAAAGGCTCATCCGTCATTTATTAGGCTTGGTTAGATTTTGTCAAGCTAGAACTCGCGTACCATTACAACCCAATTCAGTCCCTGATCAGGAAAAGTTATCAGGCCAAAATATATCGATTAGACTGCCTGATGAACACATTTCGTTGGCAGTATATATGCCAAAGACGAAACACTGCATATCCTATACTTGTTACAAATGTAAACGTATATACGTACAACATATGTAAAAATTTAAATTAAATCAATTGATTAAGCAGTGGAAAGATTTTCATTTTATTCCATTTATATATACAAAATGTACGAGTCTTAATTAAAATTACTTAATTACATAAAATCGTAGCTGTCATCAAATGGCTGATTCTGTGGATTTCCAGGAGCCATTGGTCTTTGAGGCATTTGTGTTCGAGGACCAACCATTTGTTGCTGCATCCCAAGCACAGGTCTATATTGAGGTTGTTGTTGCTGTTGCTAATGTAAAATAATCGGTGTTAATAACTGGTATAGCGCTACAGAGGTTTTAATGTTACAAAAGCATCAACATACCTGTTGCAGCAAGTGCCTTAATCCCACAGAGTTATTCATGACAGGTCTCATCATCCTCTGAGCATTTGCTTGTTGTGGAGTTTGCAATGCCATTCCAGGATTCATTCCTCTTTGAGCTTGTTGTGCTTGCTGTAGCATACATGTAATTAATTTTTCTAATCTATAAATTTTTAAAAAGACTAGATGAATTTTATTCTGACCTCCATTTGCTTATATTGCATTTCTTGAGCTTGCGCATGATCAAGACTTTGTTGAATTTGCTGGAAATATTTCAAGAAATTATCAGAAAAATTAAATATCATTGCATGAAGAACAAATAATTGTACTATTCCTATTCAATTGCATACCTCTTGAGACTTGTACTGGGCTTCTTGTTGTTGTGCAGCTTCTAAATTCTGTCTTAACTGATGTATTTTCATTAAATTCTGCTGCCTTGCAAGATCCATCTGAGATTGCTGTGCCATCATACCACCACCGCCAGGATCCATTTGATTTTGTGGGCCACCAGCATTTGGAAGACCTACTGCTTGTATATTCAACTGATTCTGTTGTCCTGCATTAGGACCTAAACCTTGTTGAGGGAGACCATTGTTAGGAATAACATTTTGAGTGACTTGACCTCCACCAATCGATATTGTATTATTAAGAATTCCGCTTTGTGAGATTCCCGCGTTTGGAACATTTCCGGGCATTACGTTTCCACCAGCACCACCAGGTCCAGCTCCCATACCAGGCTGTAATTTTGTGAAAATGTACATCTTCTGTTAATTTCTTTCAAGTTTTCAAATCGAAATTTAAACTTACGCGTAAATTAACGGGTACCTGTCGATTAATAGTGGTCTGTGAACTTTTTTGCTGTTGAATAACTTTTCTTAGTCTATCAACAAACGCCTGCTGATCATTGGGTATAAAGCCGATAAATGATCGTTTTTCTACAGTGAATAACAACAATAATACTTTAATATTACAATTTGACGCGGTTGTAAAATGAACACAGCCAGCCTATAAGAAAAAAAATAATTGTTCTGTCCATTGATATATGAATATGACAATATTAATGTTCTAGTAAGACCCATAGGTGAATACTTACAAAACTATTAGACATTACTTTGATTAACGATTCAAGTGCATCACACGCCGAGGGATAAAATACGACTGATTTTGAATTTTTCAAATAAGCTTGTCCAATATTACCGATCAATACTTTAGGCATCAGTTGCATAATTAATTTCATTGGCCAAGAATCAGCTTTCCTGTAAATCAAACAATTACCACCACAATCATCATCCGTAACCTTTAACGGAATATAACTTCAAAATGTAAATGTACTTACACTTCAGGTTCACCATCTTTCACAATGGCAGATACTTGACAAGGTACTTGCCAAGTTTGTTTCTGGCCATCGCCAGGAGCTTTATTTTTCTCGACCCACTCGAGCATTCCTTTCCATATAACAGTTCGTTCGACGTTTCCATTGCCCTAAAAATAAAAAAAAACATTTGCATGAAATCCATACAAAATAATACAAATTATAGTTAAAAAATGTAGATATATGGATTGATTGATACCTGTTGTTGAGAATTGCTCATTTGAGAAGGCACTGAACTGGGCTGTATATTGGAAGCTTGGGAACCTGTGACAGCCTGAGGAACTTGTGATGCCATTTGTTGATTTATATTAGAGACATTTAGTTGAGGGCCTCCTTGAGGTGGTGTAGCTTGAGCCTGCATACCCATTGCTGCTTGTTGTGCATTTTGTTGTTGCATAGCATTCTGTTGAATTTGGTTCAACCGAAGTTGATTCATTTGTTGCTGGGCTTGCTGAGTATTAGCATTCATGGCAGGATTAGCAGTGCCTATACATTGTGAAATATCTGATTAGAATATAAAAAAAAAGAAATTAATAATAATGAAACTAAAAAATTCTTCAATGATTATAAATCAGTCATGCACCTCATGGTCAACTACATTTTTAGGTCAATATATTTTGTAGAAATTATTTCCAAACAAAAAAATTTATAGTTATCGAATAGAAGATATTGAACATGTGTAAAGTATTGTCCTTACATAATACTAATTGTAAACTGTAACAATACAATAAGCTATATTAAGTGATATTTAAGAATGGAAAAAGGTTCTAGATGAAAGTATTAATGATGAAAAAAGTAAAAGCAATAGAAACGGAATTGATTACCATCAAGTCTCTGGGAAAATGGTTGAACGTTGAGACCGATAGTGGACGAGGGTGGCTGAGACAGTTGAGCGATAAGCGCGCTACCCTGGTTATTCGGTTGAGATGAGGGTGCTGCGGGTGTAGGACCGCCACCAGGTCCAGTATTCATGAAGGGTGCTCTCATCCAGCCGCCCCGAGGATGCGGTGGTCTAGCACTCATGGCACCGGGATGGTAATTTGGCGGAGCTGAAATTGGCGTATTGAATTGCGATCTGCCGGGCTGCATAGGTGGTGCTTGTTGTTGCTGATTGACTGCTTGTTGTTGTTGCACAGAGTTTATGTTCTGTGGTGTCTGATTGCGATAGGAATTGGATGGGCCCTGTGGTTGTTGTGTTTGTGTGGCAAGTTGGGGAGTTTGATTGGGATTGGGACTGTCATTACTTTGATGAGGACTAAGGGTCATCTGCGCGCCAGTCGGTGCTCCTGGCACGCCGGTTGCTGATGATGCCGACGGAGCTGATGTGGGGCTCACTGGACTTTCCTTCAGGTTGTAGTTTCGCAGGAGCACCAAGTGACGAGGATCTTTTGCGTAATTCTTTGTTTGCGACAGTTGCAAATCTCCACCAGCTTTTTCAAAAAGCTTTAATAACGATGACAACCTTCTTGGCGAGAGTATGGATAGATTAATATTCCTCTAAAGAAATAACAAATTTTTAAAATCACTTTTGATTTTTTTACGTTGGCAATGTTTATACCTCTGGGAAAAGAGCTACAAGTTGGTCAATCGTGTAATTTAGAAATTCAGAGGATTCTGTGACACCAATCTGATAAGGGGGTGAATTACAAACTAAAATACAATGTTTCTGTGATGCTGGTATGGGCTCCCTTCGAAGTTTCAGATCTTCGAAACACTGTAAAGCTACTGCAAGGCCTTCTCCTATGTTAGCGCAAGATTCACCTTTTCCACCTATCATTCTATTTATCAATAAACAGACTATTGAGTAATGTTTTTTTTTTTAATTTTGAAATATTTCAAGTTTTGTTTAAAAACTTACTCAAGCTTATCAATAGTGTGAAGAACTTTTTGAGGATTAGAAAAGGGTCCAAATGCATTAGTAATGTTTGATGGTAAACAATCTGCTGCTTGATATATCACAATTCCATAGAGTGTTGAAGAAGACTGCACAGAATTGATTCAATGTACAGCATTTTTATTTTTAGTTTGTTTAGTGTGTTTTAATAACTCAAGCTTATGTGTATACTTACTTCAGATGCAAACTCACGATCTTCAATCCCTTGACTAAAATATCTGAGACATAAGAAAAGTGATTTTGAGAAAAAAGTCAGAAATTTAGTCTAATACAATACTTACTCTATAGTAGGTATCATGTAATTTGTTTTAAAATCATTGAGATATGCTCCATTACTGGCTGTACTTTCGATTACGAATACAACATCGGCTGCCATGCCATGTTCATTTGAACCAATCATGATAAAAATTAATAAAGAAGACCTGCTCAAAAACATTTCATGTAAATATTTGAAAATTAATAAAGAAATATGGATTAATTGAAAATAGACGCTCACTGTCAAATGAAACTTTTAAACTAAATAAATCTTTATATACAAAAGATTATGTCATAGAATCATATTTTTTAAAATACGCTCGTCAAAACTATTTTAATAAAATTTTTAAATATTTCATAGCGTAATAATTATAATATCATATGCAAAACGCCACTGCATATACAACACTGCACAAATTTTACGCGACAACTGTAATCGACTGAAATAACCTGAAATCAACTAGTAGTCAGCATTGTTACCAATAGTTACTTGTCAGTGCAGCCAATAATTTAAAAAGTACTAAAGTCACGAACGAGGCAGAAAGGCACCTAATAAACACGTGCTATCAACATCGAGGTCTCAAACCAGCCTCTAACAAGCGGTTTACACGTGTAGATTAGACTCAAATTTTTTATAAATATTTAATTATTATTTTAAGTTTGCAAAATGACTGATCAAGGTGAGTGCGATTTCGCTATAACAGTTGTATCAGTTCTCACTGCATTGTATTGCACACATATATATAACATATATCATCGTTTTTCTTTTCAATCAATAAAATGAACAGAAAGAGGTAGTCCTCAATGGCATCTCTGATAAAGCATTTCTGTTAGTTATAGTCAAGTTTTTTGTGATTCAAGTGAATCCCTTTCGATTGTTTTGACTTACTAATTAATAATTCATCTTATTTCTTTTTATTCATAGCAGTGTTTAAAATGCAAGAAAATCATGTTGGACAGATGAATGGTGTAAGCGAATCCGAAAGTGATGATGAATGGGAAGAAATGAACGATGAAGAGCAAATTATTGAGTGCCTCTTCTGCAAAAATGTTTATAATGGTTTTTTAGATGCATTGAAGCATCTTGAGTCATCTCATAACTTCAACTTTTCTACTTTTAAGAATAGATATGCCTTGGATGTGTACTCTTACATTAAATTAATAAATTTTATTAGAAAGAAAAATATCACAGCTGAAGAGTTGAATGGATTAAATGTCAAGTTATGGGACAATGATGAGTATTTGTCACCTGTGATACAAGATGATCCATGGCTTATGCTTGGTAAGATAAAACATTAACAAAATAATCATTGGAGATATTTATTAAAGAAAATATATCTTTTAGATTTGGATGACATTGAAGACCCTATAACTAATTCTCATGTTTACCCTACCAACTCTGAACATGAAAGCGTCACATTATCCGAAATACATTTTGCTGAATTACAAAGGACAATTCAGTCATTGAAAGCTCAATTAGAGCAACGAGATCTAGCGTGTCTCATAGCAAAGCAGGTATGGCATTCATTAGATTTTATCAAATCTCAATATGTGATATTTCTATAAAAAAGAACTAAACTTTGAATTTGATTTTTAGCAAATTGAAGAAATGACAAAGAAAGTTCAGAAACTAGTATTTGATGAAGATGATTCTTCTAAACCAAAAGATAGATGCGTTAAGAAAGTTTCTTCTAATTCTGACCAGGGATATTTCAATACTTATAGTCATTTTGCAATTCATCATGAAATGTTAACTGTAATAGGCGTAGATTTCATTTTTATAAGCTAGGTGTTGTAATGCAAATCTTTTACTGATTTAATTTATTATTTGTAGGATAAGGTGCGAACAGAGAGCTATCGTGATGCACTTTTTACAAATTCTCACATATTTAATAATTGCATAATGCTTGATGTTGGTTGTGGAACTGGAATCCTTTCAATGTTTGCTGCAAAATCAGGTTGTAAAAAAGTGATAAGCGTTGATCAATCAGACATTATTTACCATGCCATGGATATTGTGAGGTACATTTATTATTTTGAATCTTCTTGTAATAGACTGCTTTACAAATTAGCAGTATTTTACTATTTTTCCAGAGAAAACAATCTAACTAATATTATAACTTTGAAGAAAGGAAGACTAGAAGATATTGATTTAGATATCAATAAGTTCGATGCCATTATATCCGAATGGATGGGATATTTTTTATTATTTGAGGGTATGCTCGATTCAGTTATTTATGCAAGGGACCATTATCTTGCACCAGGTGGTAAACTTTTGCCAAACAGATGTACAATCAGCCTTGTTGGTAGCGGAGATACAAGTATGCTATCTTTTAATAAATTGTCTATTTGTGCATTTTTGTATTTAAAGTAGGTATAATACAAAAATTAATGTTTTTTAGAACGTTATATTGACTTAGTTGATTATTGGTCCAATGTATACGGTTTCAAAATGAGCTGTATGAAAGCAGAGGTTGTGAGAGAGCCAAGTATAGAATTTGTCAATGCACAAGATTTAGTAACCAACGTTGCAGAGATACAATCGTTTGATCTGTATAAAGTAACTACAGATTGTTGCAATTTTTCTGTGCCATTCAGCCTTACCGTAAAAAGAAGCGGTTCATTGACAGCTATCATCGGTTATTTCGATGTATTTTTTGATTTGGAGAATCCTGTACATTTCAGTACAGGGCCACATGCTACTCCAACTCATTGGAAACAAACAGTTTTCTCGCTGAGCGAACCAATTAGCATTACAGAAGGTATGACATTCAATAATGTTCAGTATTCATGTTAATTTTATAACTTATAACTTTAACTCATGAGTTTTTTTTGTTTCTACAGGTGAAGTTGTTATCGGAAAATTAATATGCCAAAGGCATGTAAAGGATGTCCGTGGATTAATCGTAACGATAAAAATTAAGGACTTGAACCAAGTTTATTATTTGGATTGAATTAATCTGCACACAAGAGACTATGTATTATTTGATAAACACAACTTTTAATTTTGGATATTTTTGTCAATATTTTATTCAAGTAAATTTGAGGGCCATCCGAATTTTGCTGAATATATTCTGCATAACAAATAAATCAGTTTCGCGCACACAATTCCGTCATACTATTTATCACTGCACAGTACAATCTTAAAATTTAACTGACTACGAATATCAAAGTCGAATGTTAAAGACACATGTGAGTACACCTTAAGCTTACAAATTTTCAATATTTAAAATGCAATATATAGTTCGTATAAATAATGAATCTACTTAAAAAGAAAGAAAGAAACGAAATAAGAGAAAAAAAACGACAAAATTTTTAAAATAAAAAAATTAAATTCTAATATCTCATTTTGGAGATATTATACAATGCACTTTTCAGTGTTTGTTAAAATAAAATACTGCGTTGCATAATACGATAGTTCCAATCTTCCGAATTTCGTGCCTTTAGAGCGTACGCTAATTTTTGCCACAGAATTGAAAATAACAAAAAAAATCGCGTATTTACAGTACCTTGTAAGTTTTAAGGTTTAGTAATAAGAACTAGTTTAAAATCTTCGATTTAAGAATTTTAAACTTAAAAGAAGGTTGTCAAGCGATAAAAAAATGAATAAGCAAATGAAAGATAGTAAAACGCTGCAACTACACTAACCGATGAGGTATGTTTCGCATACTGCATTTAACTACATTATAGCTCGATAAACATTTATGCTATTCGACTTAGCTTCAAGTAATAGTTAGGTTTATGATAAACAACGTTTAGTGGGTTTTCAAAATATTAATATTTTGGATCCAGTTTTTGGCTCTTGATTGTTGATATTTTGGCTTTTGATTGTTTCTACGAAATAGTCAAATCGACGACTTTATGAATAATCAACAATAGTCTACGTATCTCCGTTGACATGAATAGTCGATGGCAGAACTCCACGTTTAACAAATTTAAATTAAATCTCGTATAATTCTGTGATATATAACGATATAGAGTAACAACTTGAAAAATTGCTTAAAGCGACAAGCTTGAACCGTAGGGTAACAGTAGACGATTGAAAAATTACCCATGTTTGCGCTACGGGCTTTTACAAACCGAATTAATAACGCCAGATAACAGGTACATTAACGAATTTACGAAAAGTCAACATCTTATCGCTTATCAGGCTCTCGCAACCTGATTGAAAGCAATTAAACTATTGTTAGGAGATATTATTACATGTAAATCGCTTATGCAAGCAAAGCATTGAATGTTTAGGGAATTGCCGCCAAGTAGTCGATTCAGCGCGTAAGGTTTACAGATTTATCAACTTCAACTCGCTTTGTTAAATGACCTTAATATTTATACTCATGTATTATACATAGAATATATTACAAAATAAAAATAAACTTTTAACAACACTAGTTCACTTTATTCTTCACTCGTCTTCTTTTAAGTATCCTAAGCTTCGTGGTGTATCTTGCCTCTCAGTTTTATTGGGTAGAAGATATCCGAAGAATATGTTTTTAGCAAAAAAAAAAAGTAAAGTCAGTCTTCTTTTAACAATAATATATATCAACAAGCTTCATTCGACATAACAGCAACGTGCTTCTCTTATTGAAAATCCAACACGAGAAAAAAATTAATTTTGGCACTTTCGTTTTATTCGCACATTGTTCAGAATCGGAAATTCGGATTGTCGGTTTGCCAGCCAGTGGCGTTTGGTCCGAATTGATACACCAGTCTGCGCCCAAGGACAGGCAGGAATATTTTTCTCTTATAATAATACCTGAAAACAAACATGAATAAAGTGAAACACGTGAAATTTGCAATTGAGTAACCCAGAAAACTCAGCAATCCTCGTAATAATAAAATCTTATTATTTTTTTATTTTTTTGTAGTTGTTTTTCACAGATTTCTTTTCAAGCATCGAATCGTCTTTTTCATTCTGTAAATAATGCATGACATGTTTTACAAGTTGTCGTAATCGTGATCGCCAAGAGGTATTATTAATGAAAGAAGACGCGAGGTTGGCGGTGCGAAGTTTCGACTGATTTTTTCTTTTTCTTTTTGTTCTTTTTGAGCAGGCGTATGCGCGCGAACGACGAAGACGCGGTCTACGGCCGCTGGAGGAGACCTACGAGTTGAGTTTTCCGGGCGAGCTTGTCGAAGGTGAAAATGTTGGATTTACCTCATAGCGCGACTGAGCTTCTCGTAAGTCATTTTGGTATTACCCTTACGCGAGCCCCAAAGCTTGGCAACTTCGTCGCTGCGAACAAATCGAAATTTTGCTTGCGAATAGTCTTCCCAACAAATTAGGCTGGGACAGGTTTTGCGGTTACGCAGCAGATCCCGTATAAATTCCCAAAGTTTGCCCTGACTTGTGGCTATAAAGAAGCGGATAGGCTCTATTTAATTTCGTATAAAAAGAGTACATGTGTCGGATCGCGTTCGATCGTTATTTCTCTTTTTTTTTTCGTGTGTGCTTGTGTGTGTACATTCAGTCATGGGCACTGGGTTACACATTTTTCTTGCGTATTATCTATACCTCGTTCTGTAGTTTCAGTTGCAAAGTGCATTATGAGCATCTGGAGCGTTGCCAAGCAACGTATCGCCGCCAGCTAGCTACGCTTATCCGTGCGCTCGATAGCACATACGGCTGCACGTTACGTCGAGCAGTTAAGTCGAATCAAAATTGGTTATTACTTACGAAATCTGTTAAGAACGTCTACAAACAAAGTATGAACTCTGCAAAGGTAAAAAGGTTATAGAAATGCGTGAGCGCCTCGTGAGTTTATTAGAGCATCGTGGGCTTTGTTAGTAATGGATCATTGATTCTCGATCATCGATCGATTGTCGAGCGGTCAGAGCAACGCATCGTTTCGCTGGTCCGGCTTGATCGGTGCGCATTCGCCAGCGGTTGTGCCTCGGAATCGCGATTCGGAGCACTGAGTACCGCGTACGGTCGTCTCGAGCGAGCTAACGGAAAACAAGAGACGAAGAAGTAAAACGCGCGAGGAGGAGAACGAGGAGGAGGAGGAGGAGGAGGAGGATGAGGAGGAGGAAGCCAGCTAACGAAAGCAAGGTGTCTCTCCAGTGAAGCAGACGCTATACGAGGAGTCGGTTTCTCCGGCCAACTTGCCCAGTTTGATCCATGACTGCGCACACGCCATCCAAAAGACAAAATAAAAATCGCGGCGGGCCGCTCGGGGGCGGGTTGCCGGACTTACGGTTCTTTTTGGCCTTGAGCAGCCTCGGCCGACCGGGCGGGCGCTTCGTGGACACCTCCACGCTGTTGTCCGACTCCGCATCTGCGAACAGAGAGGAGAGGCGAGCAGGCGTTGGTCGGCGGCGGTCGGGGGGCGGGGGGCGCGTACCGGAGGCGTTGCTGGAGGCGCTCACGGCGCTGGGCTCGTCCTCGTGGCAGGCGCGCGGGAAGCCGGCGCCGACGGGCGCCTGGGCCTCGTCCTGGGCGGCGCGCGGCTGCTTCGAGTGCTGGGCCGCCTGGCAACGGTTGGCGACCGCGAGGCCGTGCAGCAGCCCGTAGAGCCGGTCGCCGTAGGCGGGCTCGCGCGCCACGAACTCGTGGCGGCCGAGGCCGAGCAGCTGCTTGCCCGGCAGGATCAGCGTGCGCGACTGGTCCGAGGGGTTGAGCGTGCCGTACACCTGCGGCAGGTTCATCGTGGCGATTATCGTGTACAGCCAGTTGACCGTGTCGTCCTCGCACCAGTCCTCCACGGGCTTCGACTCCCACTCGCTCCTGCCCACCCGCTCCACCTCCGCCTCGTCCGCTGCAAAACCAAGCGCGCGCCGCCGCGCTCGCTCAGGCCCCGGGCTCGCGCGACCTCCGCCAAAGAGGTCGCGCCCCGGGGCTCGCGCCATTGCGCGGCGGCCATCTTGCCGAGCGACCAGTCGGCGCGATCGGCGCCGGGATCGCCGCCGGCGGTCGCCGCCAGTGGTCGCCGCGAGTGGTCGCCGGCTGCCAGCCCGCGCGCGCGCGCGCGATCGAGAGTCGAGGATCGGCGCCCGGCGGGGCAGACTCACCGAGAGCGAACTTCTTCGTGGGCGACTCGGAGTAGCCGAACGCCCGGCTCATCATCGCGTCGTCGTCCTTGCCGCGCTGCACCAGCGCGTCCATGTCGAGCAGCATGTGCTCCTCGTTCTCCTCGTACGTGCGGAAGTACTCCTGGTTCATCACCACCTGCGCCCGAGAACAGATTCTCCCGCTGCAGTCCTGCGCGCTCGGCGCAGGCCCGCAGCGGCGGCCGCTCGTTCGAAAACACTTACGTTGGAGATGTCCGACTTGTCGAAGTCGCCGTAGGGATTCATGCTGGCCGCTCCTCTGGCCGGCGGCCGCTGCTGGCTTCAGTGGCGCTCGCGGCGACCTTGGCGCACTTGCGAACGCTCCGGTGGACCGCGCTCCGAGCGCGACACAGCATCTACGTGCCGAGGACCAAGTCAAACAGCTGCTGCTGCTGTTGCGTCGCTGCTGGTTGCCGCTGGTTGCTGCCGCTGGCCGTCCGCGTCCGCACGGCTCGACGTTCGCCGCCTCTCTGACGGTCGATCGCCGATGCGTGTGCGCGTGACGTCGGGAGCGCGCTCGAGCGCGAGCCCCTTCCCTCGCGCCAGAGACGCGGCGATGTCTGCTACGCGCGCGTCGCCGTCGCCCGCGGTGAAAGGCCCCGCCGAGGTCTCTCGCTCGGCGCGGCTCGTCCCGCGAGCACGTGGACCCGCGCGCCTCGGCCAGTTTTCCCCGCTGGTTGTCATTATTCCGTTCCCTCCCACGGCGTCCAGCTTCGCGCGCTACCGCGGAGACAGTTGCGCAAGCCGCGGGTCGATCCGCGAGCGCGACAGTCGAGGCCGTCGAGCGAGCCCCGACGTCTCGCCTTTATTTTGGCCAACGCTCTGTTTGACTATTAATTGGCGCGCCGTCGAGGTGGGAGGCAGGCGAGCCGGCGGTATCGATAGGTGGCGTCGCTAGGCCGACGCGATCGGTCCCGTCGGCCTCGACGGGAGCGCCGAAAAGTTGCCGACTCATCGCGGCGCGCCGAGGCGTCGTCGCGAGCCGCGCGACCACGGCCGAGGAGAGAGGTGACGCGCGCCCGCCGCCCATTATCGACGGCGAGCGTCGTCGCGAGCATCGCCGGGGGCGCGGGTGCAGCGACGCGCGAGAAATTCCCTGCTCCCGCGAGCGCCGGCCAATCGCCGCGAGCCCGCGCGATTCCAGATTTGCGCGCAACGGCGTCTCCGTTATTTATAGAGCCCGGACTCGGCGCTACGCCTCTCGCGCGAGAGCCGCGTTCGTTTTCGCCGCGCGAGCGCGCCGGCGATCCGTCGCTAAGAGCCCGGCGCCGCGCGCTGCCTTTCGAGGCAAGCAAAAATTCATCGGCCGGCGCGCGCGCGCGGCTCAAGGCTCGCGAGCGCGATTTAGCGATGACTTCACGCCCGCGCCGTTCGCCGCTAATTCATCGCTGCAATTTCGAAATCCGCAGCCGGACGAAAAGCTCCGCGGCGAGCTGCGATGCTTCGCCGCGGTGCTCCGGGCCGCAATTAGTCATCGAGCCTTGGCAATCCATCTTGATTACACGAGTCGCGAACAATGCGCCTTCGCTTCGCGATTATCCGCCGCGAATCGCCGATCGACTCGGCGCGTTGCGTTGGCTCGGCGAGCCGCGCGACCGACCGTTCGGCAATAGCCACCAGCAGCGTCGCCGTCGGCCCCCGAGCGCCGATACGAAAGCTTATCTCGGTGAGCGAGGAACGCCGCAAGCGTTTCGCGAGCGAGCGGCGGGGCTCGCAGCGCTCTCGGTCGGTGCGTATGCGCGGAGGTGCGTGCCCCCACCCCCAACCGACGTAGCCACTCGTAGCGAGCAATCAATCATCTTTCCAAGATCAAATAAGCCAACTTCAGACTCCGGAGCCGCTCCACGTGCTCCTCTTCGTCACGTAGCGCCGCTCGATTTGTACACCTTTCTAAGCGAGCACAATAGCTACACGCGCATTGTGTCAGATGTTTGCGTTGAACGCGCAGCTGCTTCCCTTCAGACTCGCAATTGGCCCGCTTCGAATTCGGCGAGAGTCGATGAATTTCTTTCCCATACTTCACTATAGACAATGGCTCGATCCGCTGTCATTCGCTTTTTCTATCCGACTCGTCCGGGCTTCAACAATTTATTTAAATAATTCGAAATGAGTGCGAGGCAAACGAAGGCTACGGTCGATCGTCGCGATAAAACATGTCCATTCGACCATTACGTACAGCTGCATCATGTCAGAAAGGTGCTTCGCTTGAAATTCATTGGGCATCACCGAAATTCTTCGAATCATTATCTTTTTGCGCTAACTTCGTGTCAGTATGCTTCTTATAATCAGCAATTACATCAGTCAGTTATTCCCTAATTCTTGTTCGCACAAATGATACCCGCTAGCTTGCGTATTTTATGACTAAACGCATTACTTCAAGATTTAGAGTTAATACTTTTCAGCATTACAATTCAGCGACGTTGCCGTTGCAAAATTGATTTCGCACTTTTTTCCCAATTAAGCTCTCGTTTGTGCGAACGCTTAATAGTCTTTCGATGCCAATACGAAATTCAAAGTAACTTTCAAAACAAGGATGTACCGCCGATGATTGCGCACTTATTTACTCCTTGCATGCCTCTTGTCATTTCAAAAACAAATAAAGAAATATCTGGGAACTTTTGAACTAGCTATTTGCTTGTTTATGATTTTCCATCCCCATCGAAAATAGTATTCAACATAAGAAAACGTTTTATGCAAAAGTATACATTAACACTGATCGAACAATTTGTTCTTTGAAAATCAATATGGAGGAAGTTTGCTTTGCAGAGTCAAAGGTACATGTTTTATCGAGAAGTAAACAATAATTCACCGAGCGAAATCTATCCAGGAAAAAAAGAGAAAAAGGACTCGTTAAATTGCAATCGAAACAGAAATTATTGTTAATTAGCATTTTAAATCTATACTTCTCAACATTTTTCGTAAAACATCAAGAAGTGTTACTCGTTGCAATAAATAACGTTTACGAATCCTTCCACATTTAAAATTATCATTGTAAAAAAACGAAGTCGACCTTTTGCGGAACAGATCTTACATAATTTCACGTCTGAATTCGCTCGGAAAAATGGCAACGCGCAAGGTGTAAAACACATGCGAGTACGAAAATACCAATTATAAAAGGAAAATCACAAAAGCCGATGCTCTAAAAATACCCATCAGCGTTTTCTCCGACGAATCGGGCGAATGAACTCCTCGGAATAAGTTTCCTAAAGTACTCATTCTATCGGCAAATGCCAGACGAAAACAATCTGCTTTCCTTATGATTTAGCTAGTCCAAACACAACACTCGCTCGAACGAAACGAAGCGGGAACTATCGGGAAGATGAGATCGCGATAACATTTTTCCGTGGAAAGCCCTTTTTTTCTCAATCCGTATCAGTGCCTTGTGCGAAGAAGCGCATATTCGCACGTTGGATTTCATTGGAAGCGATTTTGTCGGAGAGCTGGAAAACGAGTTTCATATGTCGGAGACCTTCAGCGGCTCACGAACGAGGAAAAAACTGCCTCGGCGGTTGTGATGATAACGAAACGAAATCGCGGATTGGTCGGAGCGAGGCATCACGTGGTCTACAACGTCGTCGTCGACTCGGCTCAACTCAACTGCCTTATGAATCATTCAGAATTCGTGTCGCAACGCCGTGGGGCATTACGATTCTCTCTCTTTCGCTCTCGCACACACGCGCATACGCTCTTCTCACTGAGAATGCGTGCGTACGTGCACACGCTGTTTTTTATATATGTGATGATTTTTGTCCGCGCTATCGGCACGTGCTTCTCTGCACACGCGCCAGTCTGAAATCCCACAATTATTTCAGCAGGTCATTTAAAAAATTTGGCAATCGCTAATTTTCTTTCTTTTTTTTATAGTAAGACAAAACAGTTTTGTTTGTGGTCGTTTAGACGAGGCGTATTTACATCGATGAATATTTACAAAACACTTTTCACAACTACGATAATGATATCCTTGTCGTCGTTGAAGTTATTTCTTCGCGTACTATGTTGAATAAATATATATAATATTCACAGACCTCGGGAGGATTATCAGAACATATTACTCTTCTATTTTTACTTCTTTTGTTCTTCGGCTGCTATTTGCGAGGCAAAATTTGCAAATCTACCGGTGTAATCGACGCTACTCTCGCTCATAATGCAAGGCATATTTGCCACCTGTAAATGTCATTTGTGATTTACGATCATTCATTGTTATCATACGAATTGACGAAAAGCTTTTCGTAAATGTATCGTCACTCACGTCTGACGGTGGCCTTATAATTTCTACCATAGGAACTTCAACCTGACTTCTTTGAGAACTTTTCACAGGTGATTCGCCTAAAAGGCCCAAAAAACTGCTGAGGGAAACATCGGCCTGCAATGATAAAAGTCAGTCTATAACGTAGACAAAAACATCTAGATTTTCAAACTGAAAAACTGTGTTTTTCAAAGTACATACATCACTACTTAGCCATCCCTGTTGCCCTCCTTCATTTAGTATTTGCATAGCGCTTGTAATACTGGCATTTGAATGAGTAACTTTAGCTTGGTCAGCTTTTCCATTAGCCTCCAGACCCTCCAGAAAATGCTTTTGTGTGTTTTCTTGCACATTCGGATCCAAAGCTTGATTAGACTCTTCAGCGATACTTTCAGCCGGAGGAATAATAGTCATCGTGACCACTTTTCCGTCGATGTTGATAGTTTGAGTTCCGGGGTAGATAATACTTTCGCGCGTTTGAACTGGCGTACTAGGAAGTACTCTCTGGACAACTAAGTTTCTTTGCCTCATAGCTCTTCCTCTTCTTGAAAAGCGAGACTTGTATTTCTAAAAATAATGAAAAGTCAAATATCACTTTTCTTTCTCTCATTAATTGTACGTTTAGATAAGTTGTCATCATCTTACATCTAACTGTGTTTGAAAAGCTTCTGGTGCACCCATTTTATGGTAAGCTTGAGGTATCAAAGGTCTTCTGAACGTGGACTCTTGAGTGGAAGGTATCCTTGACGAGATAACAGTTTCGTTACTGCCAGACACGTTGTCGTAGCCCTGAACGCAATTCAAAACAAGTTTTGTCGTATGTTATTTTATTAAACTCAACGCGATTGTCAAAATAGCCTAATTGCTTGATTACGTACTTTGCTGGTGCCGTAACTATGTTTAGCTATCGACAATAATTTTTGCAAAGCTAAGCTCAAGCTGTTATTCTGCAGGCTTTCGATCGTACCAGTTTTCTCAGTCGATACCTCTCGCGCTAGCTGCTCCCACCAATACTCCAAAATTATTTTCGAATCTCGTCCAAACTGCATGTATAATGTTTTTCCGTTACTTGCCATTTTTGTTACAAAAGATCGATTATTCTTACCATTAAAAATAAATCTCCGACAGTGATCGTATTAGCTTCCTCAACGTTCCAACCAAGCCTGATTCTCTCAATAGTTTCTCTACCAGGAAAGCCACTAGTCACGGCTGGTTGAGATTCTGTTACTGCTGAGCTTCCAGCAGATACAGATGGTTTTTCCAAAGTAGGAGTAGCATTTGACTCCAGAAGATCAATATCACTATTATCGGGAGCATCGTCCGTTCGAACATTCAGTCTTTTATCTCCTTTTAATTTCTTTATGCCTTTTTTGCCAATACCCTTCACATGCTGCACTGAACCTAACAGTTCAGTTCTAGAACTTTTCAGTCCAAGTCGATTTTCATAAGAATTTAAACTAACGCTATTGCTTGTCAAATATTCTCCCAAATTAACCACTGGCAGGCTTATTTTACAACCTTCAGGAGGTGTCACTCGTAAAAGGTGTATACCTTTACCCTCTGAATTTGCTAAGTTTTCAACTTCATTGGACTAGATTGCTATGTAAGGCAAAATTATATCAATTTACAAAATAAATTAAATGAGTATAAATGTAAGGATACAGTTTTAGCCCTCCATGGTCTCCATCTCTGCTGTAAATATGACAGTATACTAGACAGTCTACGCTGAATAGGAACCAAAGTTCTAACTCTTGGGTTCATTGACAGTGCTTGTACACGCCACCAAGTGACATTGTTGCCTGGCCTCAGTTCTATTGTCACTCTAGAAGGTAATTTGATATCCTCTTGCCATCCTAATAATATGTGAATGTATTAATTAAGAAAATTTTTCATCAGCTTCATTCATATGTCATTTTCTCAGATAATTTTGAAAAGTAATGAACTTCTATTAGATACAATACAAAAATAATTTACCTTCAAGTTGATTCAGTTTTCTAAGAGCTCTGCATATTGGGGTTTTAATCCTCATTGTTTTTCCTCGTAAACGTACTTGTGTAGAGCCCCAGTAAACTAATTCATTCAACTTCATTTGAACTTTTTCATGCATTCTTGGTAACTTCCTCCTCAATTCTCCATAATTAATTAAGCCATATAACTCTTGAGATGTTTTTTTTACATCTAAATATATGCGCATACATTATTGTCTGATTAAAAAATAATGTTCTTTATCAAAATGATACTAACCCTCTGAAAATTTAAGATGCTTTGATATTTTTAACCATGTTCGATAGTAAAAATGTCTGATTTGCTCTTTGTTCTTTATCATTTTTTCATTCAGTCCTTTTTTTTTCCCTTGTATCAAAAAAAAACTCTGAAGAGCATCAAAATCTTTGCCGAACTCATTTATAGCTTTAAAAAATGTATTTTTATCTTCCATAGACCATAACTCACAAGATCTTTTCAAAGATCTTATCATTTTGGCTTCAGCCTCTGGATCATCTTTAGTTTCTATACAAGTAAATAAATATTATTACAAAATTATAAAATGTTTTCGTTTTAGCTATAATTTAATGTTCAAATTCCATAAAATAAACCTTTTTTATCACCAGAATGACCTAGGTCAATATCCAATCTCATTCTCTTGGTACTACGAACAATTTTTACGTTGGAATTTTTTAGATCAGTCGGGCCTTTGGCATCTAAAACTTTACTAGTATTTTCACTAGGGGCACATTCTTCTTTATCATCAATATTTTCTTCCTTTGAAATACTTGGTTCCTTCGGTAAACTGGAAGTACCATCTTCCTGGGATGTACAAACAGAAGTCAGAGGTGGATTGTCCACCTCTATATCTGTTGAAGCCATGCTAAATAATTGAATTCAAATGAAAACAAATTCACAAATTACAAAATGCATTTATAATCAAAAGTAAACAGACAGTGCAAATATAATGAGCGAAGGCCAAATGTCCAACGTCTTTATTTTAACGTGAGAAAGTGGAAACATTATGCATAAAAATCATGAAATAAATTTTCGATCTTCGTTGGGTAAAATATGAGAAATTACCTAGTCAATAATCTTCTCTTCAATTTCCTTCGCAAATAGCGATCACATAACAAAAAATATTCTTTTTTTCGTAAAAACGGCGACCACTGTATGATGTAAACATAACCAATCTGATTTATAATGAGACTTCTGACTAGCTTGCTATCGACGACTGCATGAGAGCGCTCGCTGTTCATCCTTTCAGTTTCGACCACATCGAAAAGCATCGTAGGTATAAAAAAGGTATGCACATTTCACAGCAAAATGTCTTTTCTATTATTAGAATAATTAATAATTGTTTTTCAAAATTTTCATTAGGAAATAAGCTGTTCGATCAATCGATTCAGTAAATTTATGTTTACGGAACCGATAAATATCAGTTACATTCTTATTGTTTTTTACATGGCTTGCCAATGAAGTTCAAAATATGTCGTCAAATTTTTTAGTATGCTATTTCATAGTGCAATATCTATATAGTGAATCGCGTTAATTTTGGGTTAGACGGCTTTGTTTGATTGAAACAATCACACCATTATATGATAGGCCACTTACGTAAGTTTTTCGCAAATCTAGCCAATATTTCTTAAATCCTGAACTCAATTTTTTACTTGAAAATGAAATAGAATTGTAAGGCTTGAATAAGTACGGGGTGTCGTGTGGAATGATTTTTAATTTGTACATTCAAAATAGAAAATTGTCCAAAACTAATCTGCCTAATCACTCGTAAAAGTCCACAATATTGTACACGCGTGATGTTCATAGTATCGCGTTTCAAATGAACAATTGTTTTCCGCGCATTTAAGGATTTCAACTTATATAGCTTTTGATGAATCGCGATAGCGTGTCGCTTACGTAAGTCTCGATCAAATAAATAGTTTATGATAAACGATAATTGTTGTGCGCTAAAGCAAGGCATTACAAATATATTTATCCCGACATGTGGTTGAAATAGCCGTACTCCTCGGCTTCATTTACAGACGCACACACTGTATTCATCAAGTTTTCAGCGGCGAAGTGCTCTTAGCAGTCGCGAGATTTAATAGAGTGTAGCGTGACAAACAATGCATGTTCACTCGAGAAACGCTTCGAGAGCTTTCTCAATTGAAATTCCGCAATTGGATCGCAGCAATCAATCAAGTTTAACAAAACGTTGAAATTCACGTGCTGGTATAGATGGGAACGCGAGACATCGCGCATCGATACCAATCAAAGCATCAAAGGTAAAGATCTTATCCTCTCGTTCTCTTTCTCATCTGGCTATTCGATCAAAAATAAACCAGCAGAGCTCGCTATAGCACTCGCGACAGTGGGTGCATCGGGGCGCGATGATCAAAGACCTTAGGTCGCGCGCGCGTGGTCGCCTGTCAGACGGCAACCGGACGATAGGTGCAACCTTGAGTTGCTTCGTCTCTCTTTCTCTCTTACACTTTCTGTCTCTGTTGCTCACGACGAACATCTGATTCGTGGCGCTCTAGCGGTTAGTCCCCACTTCATGTGGCAGCAGTCGCGAATTTTTTCTCGAAGCGCCGTTCGAATTCTCCCGCGACTCAGGCAGCAGCAGCGTAGTGGCCGCCTTCTGGTTAGCAAGTTCGTCAATGCATAGCCGCTGGCAACTCAATAATCGGCACGTGGACGAAGCTTTCGCTAGCACTGCTCTTCCACGTCGTATATACGCATATACTTATACACACAGACAGCCAATAGCGGACGGACTTAACCTTGACGGCCAGACGTCGCGCGGTTAGAGGTGAGGGTGCCTGCACATTTATTTGTAACCCGTGTCGTGTATGTTTTTCTCTCTCCCTCCCTCTATGTTCATAGCGAGGTCCCCACAGCTTTCCTCTCTTGTTCGCTCTCAAGTCACAAGTTACATCTCTCTGTCTCTCTTCTTCTCCTTCTCCATCGTTCGTTAATCCGCGTGCAGCTTTCGCGATCCCTTCTCATCAATTAATACCTTGTCGCCGTCTTCGTCTTTCGCGCTCAGTTGAACGCATTGCCCTCTCTCTCTCTCTGTCTCTCTCTTATTCTCTCATTCTCTCATTCTCGCTGCACATCCGACTACGACATTTATTATTAGCCACAATCTTTCTCTCTCTCTCGCTCTCTTTCTCTCTCTCTCTCTCTCTCTCTCTTATACTTAGTTTACGCCTCTCTGTGTGTCCGCGAAATTTTCCAAGACTGCCTTTTTTTTCCTTTCTCTCTCTTCCATTCTGTGCATGTGTTCATCTGTGTGTTGTTACTGTGCTCCTCTCTATCCTCGTTATTCGCGTCTGTCACAGAAAGTGCAGAGTGCGACCCCATAAACAAGCAGAAGAGTTGCAGCCGCACATTAAGAGGGCAGATTGAGATCAAGACAGAGGGCTGCCCAGGAATGATAAACTCGAGAGTGACACTTGTTCACGAGTGTAGAGCCGCAGCTTTGTCATCGTCGCTATAAATCGCTAGCAAAATTGTGCAGTGTAGTGTCAGCGAGCAAGACGACGACCACGTCGACGGTGGCGAGCGGGTGCTGGTGGTGGAGGTGTAGAGGCCGCCTCTTCTAACCTCTACCAGCAGAAACGAGATGCAAATGCGCAGCGAGTTGGTGGCCTGGCTGCTGCTGCTCACGGCCCAGGTCGTCGCTGGGGGCGGTGCCCTCGACTCCTCCAGCGGCGGTAAAATCGCTGGCTCCCAGCCATCCAACAGCCCAACTGCCACTTCGGCCAAGGTGGTAGCCGCCTTTGCGGCCAGCAGTCTCACCGATGGCCTTGCCAAGGCTGTTGCCCACGAATCTCTCGACCGTAAGTTGTGCATTTTGCCTTTTCAATTTTTCTCTTCCTGGATTAATTGTGTCCATCTATACGCGTGTTGATTGTGGTGTGTGGCTCTATTGTGACTAATTGGATTGGTGCTAATCTGCAGGAACTGACTCCTGTAATGATGACCTAGCCTGCATCACCATGGCTTCTAACGATAGACTGGGCTTAGAAGCCATCAAGTCCCTACACAGTCAGTTGGATGATGATGCTAATGGAAACATTGACCTGTCTGAGTCTGATGATGTGAGCATCTGTTAAACTATGTTGTTGTCAAGTCTTAATGATATCTGCTTCAACAACGTTATTTGTTCTAGTTTTTGCGAGAGGAGTTGCAATATGAGGCTGGTTATGAGAGGAGGCAGCGGGCATTCCATCATAATGATGATATGCACATCAGTGTTAGGGAGCTGTGGGAAGCTTGGCTCCGATCAGAGGTAGACTATCACACCTTACCTTATATGTTGTAACATACAAGCTAAAAGCATTACATTGTTTTCATAGGTTCATAACTGGACTATAGAGCAAACTTCAGAGTGGTTAAAGACTAATGTAGAACTTCCACAATATGTTCCTACCTTCATACAGCATCGAGTTACAGGGGCTACACTTCCAAGGTAAAATGATTCCTTTATTTAATGAAGTATCCTCTATATTTGCAAAGGTAATCTATATATTCAATTGTAGATTGGCTGTGAACAACATGCATTATCTTAGTAACATTTTGGGGATCAAAGATCCAATACACAAACAAAAAATTGCCTTAAAAGCAATGGATGTTGTCCTTTTTGGACCTCCAAAAGGTTTGAATACAATTACATTTTTTCTGCTGTTCTAGTTGCCAATTATCATTACTTGTTGTAGACTCTGGGCACAGTATAAAGGACATGATTATGATAACTTTGTTATTTGGAGCACTTATTGGTTGTTGGTATGCATATCAGCAGAAAAAAACTTCCCAAAAAGATCTTTACAGAATGATGAAAGATATGGAAAGTCTTCACAAAGCTGAACAGGAACTCAAAAGTTTGCAAAAAGAATTTGAAATAGTGAAAATGGAACAAGAAAGTGTGACGACAGAGAAACAAAATTTGGAGAAACGTTTGAAAGACGAAAGTATGGGCTTACATTCATCATCATCCGACCTTGAGGTTTCTCAATTGAAGGCAGAAATTGAAGTGAGTCATGCATTTGTATTATAAACATCACGTCTTAAATGTGCGTGCTACATACTCTTTACTTACTCTGTTTAGATGTTAAAATTAGAATTGCAAAGGGCCGAAGGTGAACTCGAAGATCGTTGTTGGTCTCCTCCAGTTGGTCTCCAGCATTGGTTACAACTAACGCACGAAATAGAAAATAAATCTTACACGAAAAAAAAAATTCTCGCAGAAAAGCAACTCCAAAGTGCGAGAGAAGCTGTAAGTTCATCATTTTCACATATTTTTCGTGCGCGTTCTCTTTTCTAATTTGCAGGTGTTTATTTCGTAGTGCGAAAAACTGAAAAAGAAAAGATCGAGCCTTGTTGGTGCTTTCGTTTCAACGCACGGAAAATCAATCGATGAAGTTGACAAAACTATTGTAGAAGCCAGAACAGCATTAAACGAAGTAACTGCGGAATTGCAGGAGCGAGTGCATCGTTGGAAACAAATCGAACTTTTATGCGGGTTTAATATTATTAATAATAACGGATTATCTTATTTGGAAAATATGCTTTACAGAGGAGCACCTAACGGCAGGAGTCTTGGATTTAGAGGTAGGTAATTGGCACTTGATGGGAAGAAAAATGAGAAACGCAAAAGAAATACAAATACAGGAAAAAGTATTAATCGCTACCTTAATCAGCAGGACGCATGAGTAGTCAAGATGATTTGGACGATGATGTTAGCTCAATATACACGCCGTCTTTATCGGGTGCAGCAGGTAAGCAGGAATTGGACAGCCATGACCACTCCAATTGACTGATTTTTGCTCAACTTACTTGTTACTCCTCCTCTCCACTATTCCTTTGGTGAAGCCACTGCTTTTTTGCACTGATTGGGTTTTTGGTTCATCGCACAACGACTCTCTATCTTAGAAAATTTTAGTCGTCCTTTCAATTCTAAAAATATACTAAGTAGCGTAGACGAAATTTATTTCTCAATTGTGATTGTAATTGTCGATGTATACATTCGTTAGATTATCACGATTTAATTTATTTTTATTTGATAAATTTTAAAAATTGGACGGAACTTGCGTAAGATAATTAGATATATATGTTTGTATTATTATCTTATGTGTTATTTAACATGAAGAGGATATAATTTATAAAAAAAGATTACTATTGCGCGATTTACTTATTAATGATAAAATACACATACAAGTTACGTAATTTGCAAATGTGTTTATGAGAGTAACTAATGAAAACTTTGAATTTCGTAAGTTTTAGTTTCAAACGTAGTAAGCAGTGGTTGAAGAAAATTAGGATCAGATATATAGCTAGTGTAAAATACAAAAACATAATAGATAGTGATTAAAGTATAAGTAGGAAACGTAAGTAGTACAAATAGTGCAAAAGTCAGCAGTAAAATAATGCGATAGACTTGAAAAGTCTCTCATTTGTGCCTTAACACATGCGTTTTTGAAAAGTTTTATTTGGAATTATCACATCAAAGCCTGGCTTTGACGTGATTTACTTTTGGCTTTTTTTCGAATCTCTTTATTTACCAATGACAAAGTTATAAAAGCTCGAGTAAGAATGGACTTAATTGAAATTTCGTACACTTTTACGATAACCCGTTATATTTCGATTCATTTGTTTTTTTCTTAAGGTTAATTATTATAGTAATAATAAATCCAAGCGGCCACATGGCTTTACTTTATCAATATAACTTGAAAGCTAACTTACTATCAACTACTAATTAAATTTATCCGTAAAAGTCAGCTACTTAGCTTATTTGTCAATAACGCGAAAACGGTGGACCTGAATATAGAGATGTTTTTTTACCAAACTGCACAAGTAAACAACAGTACTTACGGCACTCACTACTTCAGCGCCACTTTTTGCATTTATTCCTCATAAGACCATAAGTGGCCCGGGTCATTTTGAAATAAATCAAAGCCAAGGTAGTTAAATACATTTGTCAGACTCTAAAAGACGCATTTTTATACATGATGTACATAGAAAATTAGACTTTTGTACGTAATCCTCGTTGAATAAGAAAATATGAAAAATAAGAGCCGCTGAAACTGTATAAATAGGATAACAAATTGATGGCGGATTCTAGTGAGCTTTAGACTGTAGATTGTGATAGAAGGAAAGCAATACTTTCATTTTTAGGATGAATCTTTACGAAGTTGATTAACGATATATATATGTATGTATGTATATATGTACATGTATATATATATTTTTTTGTAAGAAATTGTAAACTGTAATTGTATTAATTGTATTACACACATATATACCTATTGGCGTACATAAACTCTTATTAATATCTTCCATATGTATGCTACATTTTATGAATTATGTATGTACATATATATCAATACTTAAGAAGAGCCGCAATTAATAAATTAATTGTACAAACAATGACACGTATTCAGCGAGCAAATTTAATTTTGTAAATAAACATTACCTACTTTGAACGTCAATTCATCTCGGCGGCATTTTTCATAAACGCTTGATTAATTTTCTTTGGAATCTAGCCCAATTTACTCATTTGCGCGTTTCACTCGTTATCAATTCTCTTGTTTAGAGTCAATATGTGTGTACGTCATACAGCAGCATGCAGCAATGTATCATTAGCTACACTAGGTGTTTGTTTTTTCAGCGTCATATTATAAACTCTACACAAGTAACAATTTTATTTGCAGTACGATCTTTGCATGTTTGCTGCTAGAGCCATTTGGTAGAGTGCGCCGTATTCGGCGTTGCTATCATAGCGAGCAGTAGTAAAATCACGCGTAGATTGCCTTAAATTTTTTGCGTTTAACTTCGGGGAATGGGAATGGATCATTAGCATCACTGCTTTCTTGTCGCTCTCGCTGTTTTTTCACTCCAGTGACGAAGCGCTTATCGCTCGCGCGCTCGCTCGACTCGCAATCAAGTTGCCGATACCTCCGAGAGGGTACCGATAAAAATATCCGCCCGCCATATATACCGTAAGAACGAGCGCTGGCTTGCACACGCGACTCGCGGTAATGCCAAAATAAGCGTGCGTCGCGCTCCTTACCGACCTTCAAGGAGTCGACTTGCTCGCTTTCCGAATTCGCATTGGAGCCTGCGGCCGAATTCTCAGCGCGACCAAAAGTCATCAAACAAGCCTCTACGCATCCTTGAGCGCGCGCGCTGAGTCATATAATGCCGTTAATCTCGAAGGTTTACTTGTTTTCTTATTTTCTTGTTTTTTTTTTTCAAACGAACAAAAAAACCCAATCAAATGCGCAGTTCTAACTTTTGCGATTGGCGATGCTTGCGACGATAGCGAGCAGCCGGCTGTTCCCGTGGCCTCGGGCGCAGACAGCTCGCGCGAACAGAGTAAAAAGGCATTTGAGGATAAACTAGATGTGTGAATGTGCGCAGGTGTCCAGGAGACGATGGGCTGGAAGGAGTCGTCGCAACCGCTGGACTCATCGAGCAGCGAGACGGGCGGCAAGGACACGCCACCCGAGACGGCGGTCGTACACTTTACCGTGGGCGAAGAGGAGAATGCGTTAGTCGCCGAGGTCGCCAGGCCGATAGCCAGGAGCTGCAGCCAGGACACCACCCAGGAGACCTTCCACCTAACCAAGAGCTCCTACTCGGAGAACTCGCTGGAACAGGCGGCGGCGGCAGCGGCGCACGACGTGCCCACGGTCGTCAAGTCGGCCTCGGCCGAGCGCCTCAAGCTGCGCAAACCGCCGGCGCTGCGCGATCTGCCGCCCGTGATGTCGCTCGACGAGGAGGCCCAATCCACCGACTCCAACTCCACCGCTGGGGACGACGAGCGCAAGGGCTCGCGCCGTCGCAAGCTCCACTTCCCGGCCTTCCGCAAGTCTGCCAAAAAGTCGTGATACTCGCTGGTCGTCCGCCGACTGTCGCGGCTGCTCTGATCGACGCCGCCGCAGTGCTCTCGCCGCGGCTGTCCGCGCGACGCCACGCTGAGACGCGCCGCGGCGCGATCCCCTTACCAGTACAGTACTTAATCGCTCCCCGCCTCTCTCTCTCTCTCTCTCTCTCTCTCTCTCTCTCTCTCTCTCTCTCTCTCTCTCTCTCTCTCTCTCTCTCTCTCTCTCTCTCTCTCTTGATACGGACGTTGCACTTACACGATTGCTTTCTCGCCGGCCGTGTAGAACTACCGACAAAAAAGTGACTTCACGCACTTTGGCCTTTTCCCGACGACTTTCGGCTTCGATTCGCAATCGTTTCTTCCTTTTCCTTCGAATTTCTTTTCAGCCTACTTTCATTATTGTTTGATTTCCTTTTATTCTTTTCTTCTTGGCCAGGCTTCTTTGGATTACTCTCTCACCTTTAAAAGTCAGTGCTTTTGACTTACGAATTACTTACCGATTCGCTTTTCGTTCTTTTTTACTTGCAACGCTCGAGCGGCATTACGCTGATCATCGAGTTGTATTACACGGCACCAACCACTTTAGGTAACATTCAAACTTATATATTTTTTATATTTCTTCCACTGAGAATCTCGTCTCGGTAAAAATATATTTTTTCCGTTGTGAGTTACTACTGAGACCTGTAGATAGACGCGTTTAAATTAGTTACTGTACAGCACTTATTATTCTAAGAATATTTATAGTTTTATTTATTGTTTTAATTACAATTATTATGTTATGATACTGCTGCGGTATTCTTACGAAGTAGGACAATAACACGATATCATTGAAAGTCCACAGCACCAAAATTAACAAAGAAAGCGTTCGATTGCATCCGTCCAAGGATGGTTAATCGAATTTTGTTGAAAATTAGCGGATTAAATGGCACGAAAATCAATTGGTATTGAAATGTCACAAGAAAATAGCCTGTTATTGCAAAGCATTCGCAAAAACGTCTATCAAGTTCCCCATGCTTCGCAAACATACTTGGAGCAGCATGCTCGCGACAGCGAACGTTAACGAGGAAATAAATGTTGATTGGTAGTCGAGTCGATTTGTAAAGTGATTTGAAGAGCGGCGACTCGTCGTTCGTTTGGTTTTATCTGTTCGATGAGCCGCGAGATGTTATCGCGAAGCGCACTCCCTTCGCTATGACATAATGTTAAGTGCTTTTTACGATTTACTCAAATGAATGCCAAAGTACGGCAACTTGTACATAATGGACGCGCGCGATCACGAGCGGTGATTGAGCGCGAGTAACGAGGCGAAGAAATTGCGCGGGACAGCTTATTTCTCGGAAGCACCCTGGTGTGCACGATCTTCAACGAGCAATTGGCAATACTAGAGTTATGTAGGCTTATTCTGAGCTTTTACCGTTGAATATTTATATACATACTCTGATATTTATTACAAATTTTTACAATGTGAGCGCTCCAAGTTGGCGAATCCAGCTGGCGATGCTGACCTTTTTTATTAGATGTATACCAAGTTTTGAGAAAATTTCTAATGTAACAAGACAAAGTATATATATATTGTATTGATTTAGACGTTAATTTATTTGCGGAAGGTGATGAAAATTTTGTTTGTATCTAGGCGATAAATCATTGATAGTATTATCAATAATAGAGATTAACAGAATGAGGGTATTATTTTATCAACGTTACTATTATATATATTCTTTACAATCACAGTTGTCATTTGAACTTACCTACGTTTACTTAATTGTAATTAAGAGACGGCAACCTTAAGAGAGCACTGCGAGCAGTCCTCTGTCGTAAATGTGTTATTTCGCGTGTCGGTACGTACGTTCGTCTGTTACTTCCAGCGCCGGTAACCATCATCCCTCGTACGCATACTTGCGTGTAGATGTGCAGCATCGAGACAAGAAAACGCTCCAGCGGAGGGAAACGATCATGGAACTTTTACAAGAATAAACGAGATACGCAATTGAACTTTGCCGCTCCTTTTCATTGTAGCACTATACCTCTTTCCAATGCGCATGCACATTCGAGCGCCGAACAAAGCCAGGCGCACGCGTCCCTGCGCAATCGTCGTCAAATTACGTAAACTCGGCGATAATTGCAAGAGTGCCGAGAGAACGATCGGCGAACGTCAACCATCGGGTTTGGAGTAAAGAAAGGAAAAGAAGAACGAAAATGCACGGGAGGCGTAGGCGTGGGTGATTTTGGCGCGTGCCAGTGGCAACTAGAGCCGATCTTCGCGTGCGCAATGAATCTCGCAACAGGCTTTCTCATTGACGTTCTTTTATTCAGCTTATTGTTCTTAGACATATCGGAGACTAGACTCTTTAGAACATTTATCTTTTTTCTTTTAACATCATATAAAACAATTGTCGGTAATCCATTCAGACCTTCTCTAACTTACAATTGTTTTGCTCGTATTCTTATTGTTTGGCGTTCGCGCGTTAGCGGTGAAAAGAATTGCGATTTCTCGCGTGGGTTCGCGATAATTCGCACGCAAATTTTCTCACAAATTGTCTGGAGCGATTCCTCGTGCGCAACAAGGCGTTGCACCGTGAACAATGCAAAATTTACAAAACGAAGCCTGCACTTTCGAGCAGTTTATTCGACGGCGCGGGAAAACTCGGTAGCGGATTGAATTGCGGATACAGCGTACGATTCAGAGGGAAGAGAAGAAATATCATGAAAAGCATTTTTCATTCGCAGCTACGCGCGCTCCTCGGATATTGCTTATATTCGCGTATCGTTCCACCATAAAAATGCCAATCAAGAAATGCGTGTGATATAAACGCTTCGGCGAACAAAAGCTTTCTCCGCTACTTTCACCTGCCGATACATTTGTTTCGCCTGACTGTTATAGTTTTTAGGTTTTTTTTGGTTTTTTTGTTTTTTTTGTTTTTTGTTTTTTTTTGGTTTTTTTTTGTTTTTTTTTTCTTTATTTCGTGAAAGACAAGACAGGTACGGTACGTTACAGTCCATTTCTTTATTTGTTCAGCGGTTCCGAAAATATTCCTCGGCCGATTAACGAACAAAGATCCGGCGAGAGAAAAAAAAACTTACACCGGCGCGGTGAGTTGCTTTATTAATCTCGAAAAGAAAAAGAAACCTTTCGATCGAGGTGATCAAAGCTATTTCGCGCTTCAATGACTCACGGTCATTCATCAAAAGTCCAATTACGTTCGTTTTGTAGGCGTAAACGTCCCACTTTTCCTTTGGCACTTTCTCGTATCTTCAAACGAACGAGAGCACCGTTTGTTTTAAAGACGCAATGTTTGCACTCGCTCTCGTCGCGAATCACACACGCACACGCAGACACCGTAAGAAATACTGTAATGTAATCGTAATGCTGATTGGGAGCCGATGATTGAACTTTCGAATGTATCACGTGTCGAAATTCGAGGGCGATTTCGAGCAATGGCTATATGCTACACGTATACCGTAACAAAGTAACAAACATATCACGTTTATAATCTGGCTTATACTCGTATCACACGTAGCTTGCAATTCCAGCTGTATAACACTGCGTAATGTGGGTCACATCGATAAACATTTCAAATATATACATGCATATAGAAAATTAATTTATATAAATTGTAGTGAGTCGTTAACCGTAATTAAATCGCTTAGGGGTAAGAGAGCTACCCAGCCCATCGTTCGGCAGTGGATATTCAGTCACGGAGAAAAGCAGACTTTACGGCAGAAGATCCATTTGCGCGCCGACGCTTCTCTTTCCAGAGAAAGAGAGAGAGAGAGAGAGAGAGAGAGAGAGAGGAGAGAGAGAGAGAGAGAGAGAGAGAAGAGAGACAGAGAGAGAGAGAGAGACAGAGAGAGAGAGAAAAGGGTCAAGCCCCCGTATCCGAAGGGACAATCTGTAAAAGGGTGTACTTATTTTTACGCGGTCGCGACGCTCTTTTCCTGCTTTTTTTTCCTTCTTTTTATTACGAGCTCGTAAAAAACGATATTTTTACGAGACGACGTATATTTACCTCTCGAGCAACCCATAAATTCGTCGCGCGGCTGCTCCTCACTCGCTCGTTAATGAAAATCTGTTGCGAGAGCGACTGTGCTGTCGTTCTTTTCTCTTCTCTCTCTCTCTCTCTCTCTCTCTCTCTCTCTCTCTCTCTCTCTCTCTCTCTCTCTCTCTCTCTCTCTCTCTCTCTCCTCTCTCTCTCTCTCTCTCTCTCTCTCTCTCTCCTCTCTCTCCTCCTCTCTCGCTTTGCCGTTCTCCCTATCGTGATTTTGGAATGATTACGCTCGCGCGACTGATCGTCGGGATTAGTTGTTCCGGCAGACCGCAACGACGTCCTCCCAACATTCGAATTCGGTTGCAAAAGCTTATTTACAGTGGAAAAACGAAAGAGCCACGCGGTAGACGAGCAGCTCGACGACAATCGGCTAAATGCTACATCGAAGAGTACAGGAAGCTTGCGGTCGGCCGCGTTCGATGCGTCTTGGTCTGGTTCGGTTGTCGGTTCATCTTTAGCGTCGAGCTCCGCGCCAGCAGCTGTCGGAGGCTGACCGGGGCTGCAAGAATCACAGGTCCATTGAGATCGGCGGCGCGGGCGAGGGGCCGGGGGCGGACGACTCACCCGGGGACGGGCCTAGGAGCGCTCGTCGTCGGGCTCGCGGCGGCCGTCGGCGAGGGCCAGGCCTCTCCTCGTCGCACTGCTCGCTCATCTCGGCGGCCGAGGGGATGGTGGCGAGCAGGCGCACGGCCAGGCGGCCGGGGCGAGCCGGGCGAGTCGGGGCTCCTGCGCGGCGTGCTGGCGCGCGAGGCGCGGCTTGGCGCGGCCGGCCTCGGCCGAGCCGGAGGAGCGCGAGGCGCGCCAGGTGCCGGTGCTGGCCGTGGTGGCGCTGCCCGAGGAGTCGTTGCGCGACGAGCTCAGGCTGGAGTCCTGCGAAGGCTTGCGGCCGCTCAGCCAGGAGGAGGCGGCGACCGCGGCGCCGCCGGCGCGCCGCCGCGGCTCGAGGAAGCGCAGCGGCAGGCCGCACTGCTGCTGGCGCCAGGAGTCGGAGCGCGAGGACGAGCAGTTCTCGCTGGAGGACACGGAGGAGGCGCGCTTGTGCTGCCGGCGCTGCTGCGTCTCGGCGGCGGCGGCGGCGGCGACGGCGGCAGCGGTCGCGTGGTAGGCGTAGGCGTCGCGGCCGCGGCTGCGCGAACACGGCAGCCGAGCTTGGCCCGCCAGCAGCGCGCCTCGCGGCCGTAGGGGCAGCCGGGCTGGTGCTGCGGTGCGCCGTCGACCGGCTTGCGGCGGGCTGGTGCTGGTGGTGGTGGTGGTGGTGGTGGTGCTGCCTGCTGCTGCTGCTCCCGCTGCCGCTGCTGTCGCCGTCGCTGTTGCGGCTGCGACTGAGGCTGGTCGGCGCCGGCGGTGACCAGGCTGTCGGGGTGCGAGGGCGCGGGGCGCGGGCCCAGGTGCGAGCCGTGGCGGCAGCGGGCCGCGCCCCTCGTCACTCGTGACTCCTCGATGGCCTTGCAGATGAGCACGCAGTCCTTCTTGAACTGCTTGGTGAGGATGGCGTAGAGGAAGGGGTTGCAGCAGGAGTTGAGCGGCAGCACGAACACGGCGAAGACCTTGGCCTGCTCGAGGCTGACGAGGTGCAGGCCGAAGGTGGCGGTGAGCGAGAAGAAGGCGATGGGCGACCAGCAGAGGAAATCGGTGAAGACGAGCAGCGCCATGCGCCTGGCGATGCGCGAGTCGTTGGAGTTCCAGGCCTGCGAGCCGCGGATGGCGCAGTACATGCGCAGGTAGCAGCCCATCAGCACGAAGAAGGCCAGGCCGTTGACGAGCATGAGCAGGACCACGTAGGCCGTGGCCCAGGCGGTGCCCGTCTCGAAGGGCAGGCAGATGGCGAACTTGCGGTAGTCGGACACGCCGAACAGCGGCAGCGCGGCCATGGTGAGCGCGAAGCACCAGCCGAGCGCCATGATGTAGTAGGCGCGGCGCAGCGACAGCCGCTTGTTCAGGTGCATCGCGTGCGTGATGGCGTAGTTGCGCTCCAGCGTGATCACCGCCAGGCTGAACACGCTCAGCTCCGAGCTGAGCACGCCGAGGAAGCCGGCCGCGCGGCAGCCCGCCGACATCTGCCAAGGGATGGCGTGCTTGCGGAACTCGCCCAGCGTGGCCGCGTCCACGACGGCCAGCGCGCCCAGGTACAGCCCCATGAAGAAGTCGGCTGCCGCCAGGTTGCATACCAGGAAGCGCGGCACGTCCATCTTGCCGCGCGAAAACAGCAGCACGAACACCACCGTGCCGTTGCCCAGCATCGCCAGCAGGAACACCACCCACACGCCGCAGCGCAGGGTCCACCAGTCGAACAGGTCCCGGCAGGGCAGGAACGGGCCTGCAAGCGCGCGATGCTTGAACCGTTTGCTCGGCCCACCGCCGCCGCCGCCGCCGCGCCACCAACCTGGCTCGGGCCGACAGTGCACCGTCCTGCCTTGCGGCTCGCCTGCGCCACCGCCGCCGCCCTCCTGGTCCTCGAAGTACTCCTCGACGTAGGCCGGCAGGTTGCCCGGGTAGCTAAAGTCCGTGCCGAAGTTGTTCCACAGCTCGTTGAGCTTGGTGCCGAACTTGCCGCTCATGTTGTCTGCAACGAGCGAGAGATGAGCGCGAGCGCGCGGCCTCGGCGTCGCCACGGGCGAGTCGTCGCGAGCACCCACTGAGCTGCGGCCAGAGGTCGGTGAGGTTGGAGCTCCAGAGGCTGGGGTCGAAGTCGTCGTCGCCGGGGAAGAGCACCGCGTCCCGGGCGGCGCCCGCGTCCAGCTCGTCGTCCAGCGTCCTTGCGGCCCCGCGGCCGTCCTCGGCCACGTACGCGCAGCAGTGGTAGGCGTAGGACAGCAGCATGCTGCGCGCGCGCGGGAACCGCTCGGGCCCGGGGAACTCGCGCAGCGCCGGGTTGTTGAAGGTCTTGAGGTGCAGGATGCCCTCGAGGCCGGCCACCGGCAGCTCCGGGAACGCGTTGTTGCCCAGGTTCCTGCGGCAGCGCGAGCGTCAGCGCGGCGGCCGCGCCCGGCGAGTCTCGGTACTCACAGGTCCTGCAGCTGGCCCAGCTGGCCGAAGGCCTCGGGGTGCAGCCAGTCGATGAGGTTGCCCTCCAGGTCCCTGCAAGCAAGCGGCGGCGGCGGCGGCGCCTTGAGGGCTCGAGCCGAGCGGGCGGACGCGGGCTCGACTTACAGCACCTGCAGCCGCGACAGCCCGACGAACGCGTCCGCGGGCACGCGCCTGATGGCGTTCCTGGCCAGCAGCAGGTCGCGCAGCGCGCCCGAGGCCTCGAACGGCCGGCCGTCCAGCGAGGATATCCGGTTGTTCGCCAGGTCCCTGCAACGGCAAGCAGCGGTCAGCGGCGCCCGCGCGGCTCGGCCGCGCGCATACGTACAGCAGCCGCAGGTCCCGGCAGTGGCTGAGGTCGGGCACGGCGGCGATGCGGTTGGTCTTCAGCTCCCTGCAACAGACGGCGCCGAGCGCCCGTCAGCGAGCGCGCCGCCGCGGCCGGGCCGCCGCGCGCTTACAGGCTCCTGAGCTTGGGCGAGTGCCGGCAGAGCCGCGCGGGCACGCGGCCCAGCTGGGCGCGGTCGACGCGCAGCATCTCCAGCGAGGCGCAGTCGTCCAGCACAGGGAACTGGGCCAGCACGCGCGCGTCCGACAGGACCCTGGGACAGACCGGGCGCGCGGTCAGTGGTCGTCGCGGCTCGAGCGGGGCGCGCACTCACAGCTTCCGCAGTCGCGTCATGCGCCGGAAGGCGAGCTCGTGCAGCTGCCTGAGCGGATTGGCGCGCAGGTCCAGCGACAGCAGGTCCCGCGCGGCCGCGCCGAAGCTGTCCGCGCCCAGCGCCTCGATCCTATTGTTCGCCAGCGACCTGAAAGCCAAGGGCCGCTCGTTGGTCTCGCGGCCACGGGACGCGGGGCGGCGGCGAGCGCCCGCACTCACAGTTCCCGGAGGCCGCCGAGCTTGGACACGGCCCTGGGCACCTCGCGCAGCTGGTTACCGTCCAGGTCTCTGCAACAGCCGAGCCGTTGGGAGGGAGCGTCGGGGCAGGCGGTGCGCGGGCTACTCACAGAACTCGGAGCTGCTCCAGGCCGGCGAAGGCGTCCTCGTGGATCTGGCTCAGCCGATTGCTCCCCAGCAGCCTGCGAAACGCCCAGAAAAAGAGCCTCGAGCCGCGACGCTACCCGAACGCTACTCACAGCCCCTGGAGGTTGGCGAAGCCGCCGAAGGCTCGGGCCGGGAGCTCGCTCAGCCCGTTGCCGGTCAGCTCTCTGCAAAATGTCGCTCGGTCTAATTGCCGCTCGAAGCTGCTGCCGCCGCCGCCGGCGCCGCCGCCACCGCCGCCGCCACCGCCGCCGCCACTGCTGCTGCTGCTGCTGCTGCTGCGGAGCTGGCGCTCGACTTTCGTTCTTTATGGATGCATTACCGTAATGGCGAGGGAGCGCGCGACGATCGATGCGCGCGTTGCTCGCACGTGCTGCGCTTTCCTAAGTGCTTCCGCGAAACACGCGCGCCTGCTGTTCACCGAGTCGAGACGGAGCGCTTCTGGCTCTCGCGACGCCTGGCCGAAAGTTGCCCGCGAGGACGCCCGTTCCCGGCCGGTCGCCCGCGGCGCTCGCCTAAACGATCGACCTTACAGCGGCGTCGCTTGGGGGATTGCTTCGGCGAGCGCGCGGCGACACTCGAGAGCATTGGCTGCGAATGAAACGCGAAACGAGCGGCCGAACGTTACGAGAGAAGACGCGCGCCGGGTTAACGACACCGACCAAGGCGTCGTCGTTTCGCCCGCTCGGGCTTGGCGCGCGCCTTCGTCTCCGCTGCGCGCGAGAGCAATCGCATCGATCGGCCAATCGAAGCCCTCGTTGGGAAAGCGAGAGTGCGCAAAAAAGTGGAGCAGCGCGCGAGGCAAAAGGCGGCGCGCGGCGGAGGGGAGACGGGCGGACGCGAGTAGGGCAGCACGCGCACCGCCGTAGCTCCGAGGCAATTCGCGCGGCACGTGTTTCACCTGCTGCTGCCGCCGACGCCGCGCGGCTTTTCATTAAAATCCCGCGAGCGTTAAGCTCGCTGACAAATGGAGCTCGCCGTTGTTTCCAGGACGGAGCAACTCGGCGGGGGAGGGACCGCGTCGCGCGAAAACCAACTGGAGATACGCGCGAACCTTCTCCCCGTTCCGCGAGCGCGGCGACGAGTCTCGAAATCGGAAGAGCCGACGCGTCAACGCGACTTCGCGCCGGCCTCGCTAGCGGGCCCCCGTGGCCGCTCGCACGTCGGACGCGTCGGCCGCCCGTCTCCTCGCGAAATCGGCCGTTCGCGCGGCGTATCTGGCGCGCGGAGCGGCGCTCTCTCGAAATGGGGATCGAGGGCCGCGCGAGCGGCGAGCTCCGTTTCTAGGCTGCCGCGGCGCGCGATTGAGCAACCGCGCGCCTTCGGGCTGAATTCCTTCGCCGACGCGCCGACGCGCCGACGCGCCGCCGCCATCCATCTCCTCGCTCGCCGGTCGATCGATCGATCGATCGACGGCCGACGCGTCGCGCTCGGCCGACCCAGCGCAGCGCCCGACCGGCCGCTCCGCTGCGCGTCGCTGGCGCGTCGCCCGCCACGCCGAGCCGGCGATTGCGCTAGGCACGAGAAAGCGAGCCCGGCGACCGCTCGCGTGAGTCAGCGGGTGGAATCGCGGATCGAGCCATCGAGGCTGCGGCTCGCGCCTTTCTCGGCCGAGCCGGCCTTTTTCGTCACGGTCGACTCGCTCGCGCCGGCCGCGCGACCTCGCCGGCGCGCTTCGGAGCTAGGGCGACCCAGGGACCGCGACCCCGGCGGAGTGCGGAGCGTGCGACGATCCGCGGACGACCGGCTCGACGGGGCGACCCTGTCCTCGCTGCTCCTCGGTTCGTCGACGGCAATCGGCCGCGAGCGGCGGACGTATAGCACGCGACGTCGACCGAGGGCCGCGGCCCGACGGGGGATAAGCGGGAAAAGACGAGAGAGCGGCCGCAATCTCGGCGAGATTTGGAGGCAGCCAGCGCGGGATCAGGCACGGACAATCGTACGGAGGAAGCGGAGGAACGAGATTACAGGAGTAAGACGTATGGATTAGAGCGCGCCAAGCGAAAGGGGATCGGCACGAATTACCGCGGGACGTCTCGTGGCGCTCGAGTGCCGAGGGAGAGCACGGGAGGCGAGGGCATCGCGCGTATGAATGGAACGAAGCGAAACGCCAGTGGGAGGAGAGCGCGCGCGATAAGGAGGTTCGGGCGAGGGGAGGAGGGGGCAGCTTCCATAAAAGTCAATTGGTCTTAGCGGCAGCCAGGCGATCTCGCTCGCGGCGGTGCCGCCATACATAGGAAACAAGCGAAATACGTGCCGGGAATTTACCCTCGTTGAAATCCAGTGCCCGCGCCGATAGCGCGCGAGAGGCGAGTGGCGATCGCCGCTTCGCGGCCGCGGCTGTGATCGAGGGCCCCCCGCCCCCCCGCCTCGGCTTCCGATCCCGCGCCGGCCGATCGGCCCGGGAAGCGCTAAATCAGCGCCCAGAGGGGCACAACTCCCGACGACTTCGTTACGAGGATCGCTCCTTTCCCCCTCGCGACCACAACGAAGCTCGGCCGGAACTGGCCGGAGGATCGATCCGCGGCGCGTGCGACTGGTCGCCTCGACGCGCTCGGAATTCGCGGCGAGGAGCTCGGCCATCGGACCGGCAAATGGGCCCGCGCGCGGCGTTATGCAAGAGGGGCGCCGCGGCCGCGGGCCACGAGAGCCCATCCAGTTGCGGCTCTCGCGGGCGTCCCGCACGGACGATTCGCCGAGCGTGGCATCGTCGCGAACGGCGGGCTCCGGGGCGACGGGATCGGGCGTCTGGCGCGCGCATCGGACTCGATTAGGCCGGGGGCGGCTGCGCGGCCAATTAGCTGATTGCCGAGAGGAGCTCCGAGGAGATCCCCGAGCCGACGCCCGCGGGGACGCCCGGCGCGGACCGGCCGACGGACGCGGGCATTGTTCTCGCTCGGCTTTATGCGAATGTAACTGGCGGCGTCGTCGACGAGCGCGCGCTCGCCGCTTTTACGATTGCCGCGCGTCCGAGGCGACGATAAGAGCGCTTGGGCACTGACCCCTCGTAAAACGGCTGTCTTTTCGCGGGGCTCCGCGCGGAATCAGTCGATATTCCGCAAGCTCGGCGGCCGCGCTCCCCGTCGTCGCGAAACGGGGTTACGGCTATTTCCGGGCTCCGAGGTGCGCCCCCGTCGAAACTCAATTAGCCGTGCGTCCCGAAAAACGCGCTCGCGAGCTCTGCCGCCAGGCGAGCCGTTCGATCGCCGTCGCCCTCGGCCGCGCGAGTCTGGAGAATGACAGCGCGAGTGAGAGAGAAGGCTATAACCGGCGCGGGCGCAGTATTAATAAACTGCGAGCGAGCTCTCGCTCTCGAGTTTCGCCCATATAAATCAGAGGTTTTCCGCCGCCTCGCTCGGCAGCGACTAATTGATCGCGCGGCGAGCTATTCGCGGACAGCCTTCTCCTCGATTCTCGTCGATTATCGCCGGCTGAATAATTCAAGGCGCACTCGGCGCCCATGTGCGGCCGGTCGCGCGCCCGAAATTGCGTTATTTACGCGCGGCGCAAGTTTTCCGCGGAGGAATTCCCACGGCGCGGTCGCGCGCGCCCTCGTCGTCGCCGCCGTCGCCGTCGCCTCGCGGGACGCGATCGATCCGGCCGCGATATCGAGCGACGATCGGGATCGCCGCGGTCGAGCCGCGCCCCGGGAGGCCAATTAACGGGCGACTCGGGCTCGAGCCGGTTGCCGAGGGGCAGCGAACCGCGATCGGAAGCGGACGAGCAAAGCGAGGCATATCAACGAGGTATTACGCGGCTGGGTGGGCGGCGTCAGGAGCGACACGATCAGCCGACTCGGACGGCGCGAACGATCGTCCTCCGCAGCCCCGAAGATTGACGAGCGCTCGTATATATACGCGCGAGCTTCCGAGTGCCAATTAACGTGTCGTTGCTCGCCGCTTCGCGGTGCTCGCTGCCTCGGGCCATTTGGCGCGTTCGAAAATACCGCGCTCGCTTCCCGGCGCCGCCGATTTCTCCGTGCGCAAATCTCCCGGACCGACTGTTAACACGACGGGCGGCTGTGCGTCTCGCCTCTCCCTGCCCCCGCGCGCCCCGCGCACTCCGCCTGAAGATTAGCGGGCTGCCGCGGCGCTGATTAATATCCGGATCCCCGCCTGCTCCAAGAGGAAGTTCGTCCGCTCTGCCGCGAATATTTACGACGGCGAGCTCTTTCTCCGGCAGAGAGGCAGAGTCGCAGATGCGCGCGGGCTGCGAGTCGATTAGCCGTGGCGGGGAGTTTTCGCGCAGCGAGTGCGACTGACGTGCCCCAGCGCGCGACGACCCATTACGCCGGCATCGGTGGATTGCTGGCTCGCGCGCTTATCGCCGGCTCGAACGCGGCTCCCGTGGACGGACGACCCGGGTGCCCTCGGGACGGCGGCCAAAGTTGCGGGTCCCGAGCGACCGCGCCGCAAGAGTCGGCGGACGAGTCCGCGGCGCGTTAATCGAAAAAGACTCGGCCGGCAAAGTTTGCGAGCGCTCGGAGACGCCCGCCGGACGGGGGCGGCGAGGGGCGATAGATCGCGGGAAGCGCAAACGAATGTTTATAGCGAAAGTTGGAAGAAGCGCGGCAAGCCGAGGCGACATTAGCGGGGAAATAACGGGCGCGCGTACGCGCTCGTCCCGCGACGCGCGGGCCGTTACGTCGCGTTATATAGGTCGATCATTTCCGATTATCCCGACGGAGCTGGCTGGCGGGACGGCCGCGCGCTCGCCCGTCGGCCGCCAAGAAGCCGCGGCGGCGGGCGCTCCGCGGCCGCCCCGTCGCCCCGCGCCGGCTCACTCACACGCTGGTGATGTTGGCCGAGGGGGGCGGCAGCCGCTGCAGGCCGAGCAGCCGCGCGCCGCGGCAGTCGAGCTGCCTGCCGGCGACGACCTCGCAGCAGCGGCAGCACTGGCTCAGCAGCAGCAGCGGCAGCGGCAGCAGCAGTGGCAGCGACGAGAGCAGCAGCATCCTCCGGCCGCGGCGCCCGGCCGCTCAGGTCCATGCTGCGCCCGTGGCGCGCGCCGGGTGGCTCTGCTCGTCGCGGGACCGGCGGCGCGATCGGCGAGCGCTCAGGAGCTCGGGCGGCCTCTCCCGGGGTCTGGCGTCGCGAGCAGCGCGCCGGCCGTCCTCGTCGCGACGCGTTCACCGACTGACTGCGCGCGCGAGCCGGAGGGACGGAGAGCGCGCGGCGCTGATTGTCGTCCCTCCTCTCGCGCCGCTGCCCTTCTATCGCGCGCCCCTCTCGCCTCCGCGGCCCCCGCCGCGGCGCCCTCCCTCGGCCGCCCGCGCTCGCGGGACGCGCGCTCCTACGGCCCCCCCCTGCCAGTGCCGGTGCGCGCGTGCGGCCGCGCGATCCTCGCCGCGGATCAACGCTCTCGGGCGTCGAGACGCTCGCGCGGCGATCGCGCGCGGCTTCGGGCTTCCGGGCTCCCGCCGGCCACCCCGCCGCCGCGAGGAGCGGATTTACGTCCGCCGCGACAGACCGCCGAGAGAGCGAGGGGGCGAGCGAGACGACGCGCCTGACCGCGATCCGGCACGCGGCCTCGACGCTGCGTCTCGGTCCAGCTCCGAGGATCGTCGATCGCGCCCCGGCCGGGCCGATCCCGGAGCGACGAGCCCTCGACTCCGGTGGCAGCGGCACTGGGAGCCGTTCGCCTCGGGACGACGTCGTCCGCCGCTCGAGAGTGCCAATCGCTCGCTCTTCGGGCTATTAATCATCGGCGAGGAGCCTCGGAGCGGCGCTCGATCGTCGAGTGCGCGAGCGGGGCTGATTGCCCGATGGTGCTGCGCGCCGACTGCCAAGTCAATTTCACGAGCGAGCCGAGCGTCGCGGCCCCCTCCACCCCCGCCGTCTCGCCCCGACGCCCGCCCACCGCCCGCGGCGCACTGCGAAACGTCTCGGGGCTAAATTGGGCTCGCGCGCGAACGCGCCTCGCTCTCCGGAGCCGACGGCCGAGCCCGGTGCGCGCGACTGCGACGATCGATGCGACGATCGATCCACCGATCGCTGCCGCAATTCGACGAGAGGCGCACCGCGCCCGAGAGCCTCGTTCGCGCGCGAGCTGACTCGACGCCAAGTCCCGCCGGTGAGAGGGCTTCGATGTCGTGGCAACTGTTCCCGCGACGGTCGTCACGCGAGCCGTTCGCCGACGCGCGACGACGAACGAGGACGAGACGCGATCGCGATCGCAGCTCGGAAAAGAGGACGACGATTGGCCGACGTCCTTGCGCTCGACAGGGCCCCTACGCGATCGCGGGGCCGCTCTCCGCGCGACAAGGACTGGCTGCTCCGTCATATTTGCTGGAGCGTGGGGGACAGAGCCGGCGCGGTTTTTTTTTCGCCCGACGGGGGGATGACGGACGAGTCGTCGCCGCCCGCCGAGTGGGTGATTTAATATATTAAAAGCCGGAGAGGCTCCGATGCTTCGCGTGCGCCGCGCCCATCCGAGAGACGAGCCGCGGCAGGGCTCCACGTCGTTTCGCGACGACGGCAACGACGAGGCTACTGCCGGCCGCGCGACCCGCGCGAGCTATCGATCGCGACCCTCCCCGCCCGCGACCGTCTCGCGTACACGGCTATCGAGAGATCCACTGCTCGTTCCCGCGGACGCGCGTCCGTCCGATCGCCAGCGAGCGGCCGACGCCGTCGTTCGCCCGCCCGGATAATGCAATTTGCCGAGCGATAATCCGCGCGCCGCTCGCGTTCCTTCACTCGGCAATTGGCCATCGAGGCGCGCGTAATGCCCCCTCCCCCCGCCGAGTCTGCACGCTCGTTCTTTCGTGGCGCCGCGCCACGGCGGCGATAAAGGCGCATTATACGGTTTCGAGAAAGCATTGCACCCCCCACCACCCCAGCCGCCACGCTAAATCGTCCTTGCGCGCGAGCGATCTCGTAATCGCGCGTGCAATAAGCAGCTTAGGCGCGCGGAGACGAACAGTCGAAAAAACGAGCGAGGCGAGAGAGGGAATTCATTTCGGCGAGGGAGCAGCCGATAAGCTTGAGCGTCGCACGCCCACGCTTGTATCGTCTGCGCGAGATCCTCGCCGTCGTCGTCGTCGTCGTCGTCGTCGCGAACGAGCTGCGGCCTCCCACTCTGCGTCCGCGCAGTCGCGCGGGGGAGGAGGTATTACGGGCCAACGCTTCTTCGCGATATTCGTGCCTCGGGATTGCGCCGCGCGCTGTCGAACGCGTAACCGCGGCCGTTGTTTTTTAGAGACGCGCGTAAAGGGACGAGGAATTCTCTCTTCTTCTTCTCTTTTTGCGCTCCTTTCTTTTTCCGTCGCCGACTTTTTCCTTGTCCTCATGCAAAGGATACGGTAGCCCTCGTTGAACGACGTAGATTTCGTATTGGAAGTCGATGAGCCGAGAGTGAGAGAGACAGATGCATATCTCGAGAAACGAAGGAAATATACTCGATCATAGCGCACTCCGGACGGAACAGCCGGGCAAATACGAGCGAGACAGCTAAGCTGAACCCAGCAGTCGTTACGCGGCCACCGCCGGCGCGCTATTGGATTGAAAAGTTTTGATAAGGCGATTGTTCCGTCGGGGGAGAGGGCGCGGGACTCCCATTCCCATGCGAGGAATTTCATTCGTGCGCGGCGACGTCGTTTCCACGCGACGAACAGAGAGAAAGAGAGAAAGAGAGAGAAAAACAAACGAGAGAACTCAGCCGCGACAACGGTAGCGATAACAGCGTGAGCAACTCAGCAGCTCCGCACATATGAGTGTCTTCGAGACGTCTCTCGCGATCGACCGCAAACTCTATTGCCGCTGCAGCTGCTTTTTACCTCCTCTCCGCGCGGGAGGGCTGGCGACCGCGTGCCTGTCGAGATTGCCGTTTCGGCTCCGGCGAGAGGCGAGAAACCGAGGCGACGAACATAATATTGATTTACCGGAGTGGATCTCCGATTTGCATACTTGCGCAGCTTATTTGGAGATCAAACTGGTCTTCGCCGACCTGGATTATAAATACCGGTGGCCGGTGGCGAGGTGAACGATTGCCGATTACACCGAGAACGTCATCGTTACGCGAATCTTGATAATCGCTGAAATTCAATTGTGATCGCGCTCGTGGGAGCTAGACGATGAAAGAAACAACACATTGTCGTTCAGCATTGTTGGCTTTATTAAAAAATCAAAAGAACGAAAAAATTTGTCATATAAAATGAAAAGGGTTGGCTACCTCGTGATCCGTATCTTTGAGCGTGGCACGCACGATATGGCGAACCCCAAAGCCAGAGATGACCTCGTTGCGTGTGCGAGGATAAGAGCGGCCCAGCCGAATTGATGCGCCTGGCTTCTCTTTCTTGTTCTAAACGGTCGGACAAGAGAGAGCGAGTGAGCGAGCGAGGGTGGGGGAAGGGACACCTAAAGGCTGATTTATACCGCGCAGACGTCGTATCTCACTGAACTATCTTGCGCTCTCTCTCTCTCTCTCTCTCTCTCTCTCTCTCTCTCTCTCTCTCTCTCGTCTGTTTTTTTCTCTTTGATGTCGGTGTATTAGAATTCGCAACGTAGCGTCTATACGCAACATAGAAATCGTTAGAAAAAATTCAACACAGAGTACTCTCGCCAACGAGGAATTATCTATACGTAAAAATCGATACAAACTGTTGTACAATTAGTTGATTTTGACTTGCGTCTTTATCTCGCAATGAGCACATTTGCAAACGAACAAAACACTCGTGTTTTTAGTAACAACTATATACTAACTAAAAAGCAACTGAGCTGTGAGAGAGAGAGAGAGAGAGAGAGAGAGATTAATTTGCACTTTAACACGTTATCTTACAGCTTGTGGCGGATCGGAGAATTAATAAGGACGCGTAACGCGAGGGACACGACAAAATGTTAGAGGAAATAGGCCGCGAGTTGAGCCATCTTGTCCTTGGGCGGTCTCGGTTTACCCCGACTACGACCCTTGGCGTGGCCTCGTCCTCGCGTAGCAACGGGTTTCGATGCTACGGCCCGGTGCTTCTCCACGAGGCTCGTAAACGCAGGCGTACAAAATACGCAACCCGTCATCTCAGTCGCCTCGTTTGGCAGCTTGCTCTTGTCCTATGAGCGAAGCGAAATCAATGTCGATTATTGATTCAGGAGTGATTGATTTTTTATTCGACCTAGTGAATGATAATCACCTGTTTGTACTCGACGATGACCAGTTGTGCTCCGCAATCGCAGACGTCGTCTGCTTCGACCATAACTTTGTGCGCGTTTTCAAACAAATGAATGATGACGTCGCATCTGTTGCAGACTAGTTTCCACTTGGGTGCCGCCGATGGGTCTAACACGAGGATACCAGTTTCGCACTCCAAACAACTCGACAATCCATTCGAGTTCAATCCGTGGGGACATGTGGGATGTGTGCAAGCGTTGCACCCACTTTGACCCTTCTTCATATCCCTACGATATAAAATTCATTATTGACGATCGATTGTTCTGAGAATGGCCACGAAGACCGAGATCATTACCTGAACGGAGGATTGTTGAAGCAATAAGGGCAGAAAGTGTAACTCTTGCCACGAGTCCCAGTAGACCAAGACAGCAGTTCAAAGTCATCCAGCGGACACTTGAGTTCTTTGTAGATGCGAATGTTGCCATTCTGAGGCAGGTTATATGTCTCATTGCAGTGCGAACAGTGAAGTCGCGAAGGCTTCGTCTGTATATATTTCATGTAGCGACGGCACTTGCCGCATCTGTATGAAAACGTCAGTTGTGTTTTAGTTTTCGACTAAATAACCCAAAAGCCCCTCACTAATGAGTTTGTTTACTTCGCGGCGAGTTGCGAAACATGTATATTTCTTTTATTCATAAATCTTGTTATCATTTTAACGGAATTCATCGAGGCCAAATATGAAAAGTTACAATCGGTATGCGAACCTTGAATGCGACTTGCCGGAAGCGGAAAGCGGAGAAAATGAAACCTCAAACAACTGGTCCATGGCGTCAATGCTCTGCACGAAATAGTGAAACTTCTGTTTAAAAATTTCGACGGTATGCTGAAGCACAGCATGAAAGTCAGCTCGCCCTATGGCTATAAGATTTAGCTGCTCTTCAACGGCCGAACGCATCGTCGGCAGGACCAGCTCTGGATCGATCTACAATTTTAGAAAGTTTGAGTATCAACTAGACTATTGTTGTTACTTTTCACAGAAGAGAATAGAAACTCACTTTTTGATAGCCGTGCACGAGAACTATACCGAGCGACGTGGGAACAAGCTTTCTACCGGACGCCACAGTCACGTAATTACGTATGCAGATGTTGTTTATGTGAACTGGTATCGAGGCGTCTGTGCCTATGCCGTGCTTCTCCATCAGACTGATTAACTCGGATTCCGTCAGATAATCCGGTGGCTGAGTAAAGCATTCCAGTAGTTTCGCCTAAAAATCAATGAGATTCATCAAACAATGCTTCTACAATAAACAGTAACGAGTATTAGCCGAAACTCACGTCTACAATCTTAAGTCTCTCGCCGATGGAAAACCTAGGAAGCGATTCGTTGTTACTCAACGCCTGCCAAGTCAGCAAACTGGTATAACCAGGATCTATGAGGGAGTGGCCGGTAACTGTAAATGTTTCTATGCCGATTTCAAATTTGACAGTCGTACTAAGATATTTACAATCCTTGGCTAGCTGAAATTTTGCAAGCAAACGCCGTGAATATACGTCCATAGGTATGTATCTGGTTGGTTCACGAAATTTACGCGGCAATAGTAGCTCGACCTACCGTTGCAATAAAATGGCTGGTGATGTAGTCGTAAAGTCGCCAAGCATCTCCGTCCAACTCGTTCCTACTTGCAGACTTCATCGGCGTTATGGGCGGATGATCGCCGGCGTCGTGACCTTTTTTTGGCCTATTGATGCCAGTGCTCAAAATTTTACGAACCTCGTCTCCCCAATCCGGGCTGTGCTGCTGTTGCTTCAGAGTAGATCTAATAATAACATCGAATAAAATTATTTAACGTCTTACTTTCACAAGCAAGCGCGATAAAGATACCGTTGAAAACAACTTACAATAAATCGAAATTTTCGGGATACGACGTAGTTTCCGTTCGAGGATAACTTATGTAACCCTGAGTATAGAGACGCTCGGCGATTTGCATCGCGTGATGCGGTCCCATTCCCAAGCCAGAACTTGCTACTCTCATTAGCTCTACGGTGTTTAATGCTATGGGTCTTGCTTTGGATTTTTCCGAACTTGTGATGCTCGACACACTAAAAGACACAAATTTAATTATAAATATAAGCTTATAAAATTAAGTTTGTAATGATGATGCAATTTAATTTTTGCCAAAAACACTTACGTGGCGTAATCGTGTTCTTTCACATGACTAAGAAAAATATTAGCTACTTCCTTATCAAACGATCGCACTCTACCCCAGTTTAAAATGATGTCTTGCCCATCCGCAGTCTTGATTGTGACCTACAACATTTGTTCTTAGAAAGTTTTAATATCGGAATACGACGCTTCATTAAAAAATCCCTATTCTAGAGTTTTAGTGTACCTGAAGTACCCAATATGGATCTGGCTTAAAAGTCTGTATCTCATCATGCCTTTGAACACAAAATCCTAATGTAGGAGTCTGACAAGGACCATAGGAAATCAAGGAAGCATCTAAATCGCCGTATTTTCCCTAAAATAAAAACAATTTTTTATAATTTTTATATTTTATATCTTATCTAAGATCACATAAATAACCTTTACCTGGAAAAATTTGGTTTGAAATCTTGTAAATGCACATCCAATTCGCAAATCAAGTTCCTGTCGAGCATCAACACTTCTTGCTTCATTTTCATTTGGTTTAACAAGACTATTCATTGCAGCTTTTATGTCTTTATCTGTGATCGCAGAGAACTTTGCTCTCCATATATCCTGTAAATTTTAAATATAATAAAATATACTTATTTCTTCAGGTGATATTGAAAAAGCTATAAAATTATACATTGGAATTTAATCTTTTATTTGATCCTCCTTGTTGAATGGATTGGATAACTTCAAAGCAGATATTTTCACCTTCTTTATCACAATCTAACCATAAAACTAAGTAATCACAATAGCCACCTTCTTTTGCCAGAAAACTTGGTATTTTGAGTTTTGGAACAGCTTCTTTCTTTTCTGTCGGGCAAGAAAACAACTCTGCCTGTACAGGAAATAGTAAAATAATTATGATATGCTCTTCTAAAATGCAAATTAATTAATCAATATTTACTCACTGGATCAACTTTATCCCAATTGTTATACTTTCCTATAAAGTCCAAGCTCATAACATGTCCACATACTGAGGTCATTTTAAAATTAACCATTTCATTTCTAAATTGCCCAACCCACTCATGGACTGAGCACGAGCCATTTGAACCTAGTATTACAAGTAATTTTTTTTATAGTTAATAGCTTCATTCTCTTTTATAAATAGTAAAATGTTGTTTATGATTTGATTTAAAAAAATGAAGATTGAAAAACATTGTTCAAAGTTTTCCTTGGACAATCAAACGTAAATGGTTATTTTAGATTTTTATTATGACAAAAAGCTTGAATTTTAAATTAATATTAAGTCATAATTTCATTATTTATTTTATTTAGCAGACAACATCTGATAACCTAACCTACCTTTCCTAGAACTACATTTTCCATTACTTAATATATTGGCTAAAGAAGCTGCCAAAGACGGCTTTTCAGCCACCATAAATGTAGTCTTCATTTTTAGTAATAGTTTAATTTAAAATAATATATTTTAATACAGAAATTAAGATAAACTTTGTCTATTAATTGTCACATAACTGTCAATGCCTGCGTGCAACTGCAAAGTGGCTCCCTCTTGATTTTGCTGTGCGACTACACTACACTATAAATATAAATCGATTCCTTCAAATCTACATTTAATCCAACTAATTATACATCTAATCATAATTCACATCTAATAGCTTAAAAAGAACAGTTAATCCATCAAAAGATTGAAGGTTTAAAAAATTTATTAATCATCATTTTCTTTTTGTTTCAGATAGTTTGTATTTTACAGCCTTAACAAATTACGGTCACGCTCAGAAATAAGCGCTTCATTATAAAAAATCTTAATTTCTTAAAATTAATCTACAATAATCACTTGAACGAGTTATGTCTGACTTTGAAAACTTGATCTAATGGCGAGTACTGCGAATAGTGATTGGAAGCGTAGACATCGTCGGCTTGTAGATCACATCTCAGAATAACAACTCCTGATGGGTTTACTTTGACCTTAATCTTAGTTTGGGGTGTTAATACACCGTAATCGACATCTTCGTACAAGTCCTAAAATAATAGATAACAAGTAAATTAAAATTCAATTCTGAAAACTATTTATCGAAAAAAATAAAATGTTATTTACTTCTACTCTATATCCAAGTGGGTATTGCAGACCAAGTTCCTTCAAAGTGACTGATACATCAGAAGGTGTACCATCTGTTCTCCTGTTGAGGAACGCAATGGCGTACGAGTAATAGTTTTGGTAAACTGGAGTAATGGGTCGTGCCCAAATTTCAATGCCCTTTTGCTGAAAAATAATGACGAGTCATACAATGCATTGACAATGATTTAATGAAAGTTGACGATATTAAATAATTTTTGTAAGAGTTACAAGGACTCACTTTGTAAATTCGCCGACCTTGGATTCCAAGAGGATCTTGGTCTACATCGATAATTTTCTTATTCTGTAAAATTGTTTTGTACTCTGGTCTAATCGTCCTAAGATCGACCGACATAAGGAGGGGCGCGGCCAAAATCGCCCAAATGGCCATTTGAGCTTTGCTCTGTTCGTAACTTAGGCCGAAATTGCCGATGATCAACATGTCAGGATCGTTCCAATGTCCTGGTCCAGCATTTGGCACGATCGAGTCTTGATTATTACCATAATAGTCTATAATACTTTCTACGCTGGCCCACGAGTCTTGAATATCGTCAAAATTTCTCCATAAATTACAATGCTCGATGATTGAACTAAAGTTGGGCTGCAAAAATATTAATGTTTGGCTTGAAACTTTAGGGAGCACTCGCTGTTAACGCTCCAATAAGATGCTCGAGTTGAAAAAAATTCCCAAACAAAAAAAATCACATGAAGCACAAATTATTATTTCCGAAATCTGTTACTTTTTTGTCACACAATTTATCGTTTATAAGAATGGTCTATTATTACGAAAGAAGCTACTACTAACTCGTGTTAATAATGGGTTCTGTCTTTCCTAATATCAGGTTAAATTATCATCACTTTCTAACTTTCTATTTTCAGTACACAGCCGTATATACTACGCATTTTTCAGTACATTGAAAGAAATGTAAAGAAAGAAATTATGATTTTGCTTACCTGCATACCAGCATAAATTTGATAAACTGGCCAACTGCAAGAGTAAATCATTTGCCTTCCAGTTTGATTTAAATGGAAACCAAATTCAGGGTAACCTGAGGTGATAAAAATAGAGTATTTAGTGCATTTAGCCAATGAATCAGCTATGATTTGTCAAAGTCAATGTCGATAATTGGTTTTAATACCTTGATCCATATCACTGGGATGAGCATAACAGCCATCTAGCTTAACATAATCAACATCCCATGAAGCAAAAAGAGCAGCATCATCTTGCAAGTGTCCAATAACACCCGGATATCCAGCACAAGTGTAGTTACCATAGTCTTCATAAATTCCAAACTTCAATCCTTTAGAATGAATCTGTAAGTAAAATCATCAATAAACCATTAGGATTTTTTCCTAATGGCACTACATAATCAGCCAGCTCATTACTCTTGCTGATCATCATTGCATAACAGAAATGAAGTAAGAATTTTTTTGAGGCTTACGTAATTGCCTAAGCTCTTCATTCCATAAGGGAAGCGTTGTCTATCAGGTACAAGTTGCCCAGCATAATCTCGCTCCTTCTCAAGCCAACAGTCATCAATATTGATATACTCATATCCTACTGCTGCATATCCTTCTGCTACAACTATGTCTGCCATTGTTCTGAAGAGCCGATCACTAACAATTTATAAATCAACCTGTTTACTTGTCTCTTGCAAAACACATGTATTTACATAAAAAAGTAATATTCCATGTGAGCATTGAATCATGTTCCATTTTGATTTATGCATGAAATAAATATCTCAAACATTTGTAAATGCTATAATTTGTACGAGGATAGACAATTAAACATTGAAAATTAGTATTATTTTAGTGGATTAGTTAAGAGGAAAATTGTAAAGTCTACATTAGCATCATGACCTAGAATTTCTGTTTATGTAATGATCTCAAGACAAAATCTACATACAACACTTATGATTCTCTCTTCACATGCCCCAAGGACATACATGTCCTTGAGGATTGCACTGAGAGGAAAGTAGTCTTATTCAGTTTTTTAAAAGCCAGTCTGGGCCAGAAATAATTTGTACTTTTGAATCTCACCTAACTTCACATTATTTTTTTTATCATTCAGTGAACTTGCCAAACAGGTTTCCAGTTTACAAAACTGTACTATTTATGTTGACATATTCTTCATGACAGCAAACATATGAATTGCCGAATTTGAAATTAATTATCAGAATTAATTATAAAAATTATTTTCCTCCATCTAAAACTTGAATAAATCATCCAGTCAATGTCTGTGCAATTCATGTGACGTGAAAATCAGTTTATTGCATTTATATCAATTCAAGATTGTAAACAGATTAGCACATATTCTTATCTAGTACTAATCTTGCATTTTTATCAATTGATCAGCAATTTAAAGTTGATTCAACTTTAAGTATAAAAGTTTTTCAAGCAGAAAGTTAAGAATGTATGATAACATTTATATTGCGTGCATAAAACTTTCCAAGTAGCTAAAGTTAACATAATTGAAATTAATGATTGTACTGCTATGAATAATATATAATTCATGGTCTGGAACATTAAAATTAATTAGACAACATGAAATGAAATAAATACAAATTTTAAAGCAAACTGTCATTAGAAACTATTTGACTTTTATAAGAATGACAAACTGCAATAGAATTCATATGCAATGAAATAAACATTTTCTTTGTTTCATGGTTTTTAAAATTGATCTAAAACTTGAGACCAGCAGTAAAGACACTGATTGTTCATAAGTGAATTAAAAACAAAAATAAGTTTTTCCATTTTGTAACATTGCCAAGGCAACTATGACACTTAAGGTAATTTCTTTGTCTTGGAAATGTTTTCAAGTTGAATGTCAAATGAATCAATAACAAGGTAACTATTTAATAGAAATAAAATAAGTATGAAGATTAGGTTTTGATGTGTAGTGTATTAAATAGCAAGATATAACATTGATCATTATTCTTTACATAAGTATTATGCAGCATAATTATAAAGTGATACGAGCTTGAGGAAGTAATGGAAGAGAAGTAAATTGCAAACATAATTATTTTTTTTTCATCAGCAAGGCTCTGCTTAATGACATTGTTGGGGGTACTGTAACTCGAGAGGAAAGTTGTTAAGAGTGATTGATACTTTTAACTACTTGTGCTTTGGTCTCATAAACAAGAAGAATATGAGTTATGCTTTTTCTATAAAATTATATACAGTTATGCACTTATTCGTGTAAGCTTAAAAAAATGAATGCTCCCTTGAGCATACAGCAATTATAGTACTATCAATATTTATCTCTATTTTTTTATGAAGAGAGCTTTTTTTTAGCAAACAGATGGGATAGTGTATATTTGGTGGAAATAGCAATTTGTTCGCAGAACGAAAATGAAAGTACAATGAAAAGTACGCTGTTAACATCCCAAGGTAAATAGCAAGCAAGCAAAGTTGTTGATAGGTATGTAGTTTTTCTTGGAGAAATAATTTAATGAGATATTATGTGAAAGGCAAGTCAAGAAAATGCTGCAGATCAAGCACTATAAAATGAGCATAGCTAAATGAAAAGTAAGTGGCTGGATAACTGCACATGCAGCAGCAAGCTACGCGCCCGTGAGATCAGAAGAAAGTGAAATACATAGATCAGCACATTACGTGCATATCATGGTAATCATTGGCAACAGTAGGTATATCATTAAGCCATAACTCTCGCACTTGCCGTATGCATAATCACCAAGGCAAATCAGTCTTGAAAACAACAATGATCGAACAACGAGAGGAGGCGGCGGCGGCGGCGACGGAGAGATAGTGGTACATAACAAATAAAAAAGTGACGACACTTCCTCGAGTGGACGAGAAAAACGCGTTGCACAGGTGTCTTGCCGGCACATAATCACTCCTTACCTGATGCAGTTGTCCGGGTCGTTTTTGCAGTCGGTGTTACACCTGAACCGCTCCCAGGCGAGCCATCCCATCGGCGGAGTCCTGGCAGCTCCGTTCTCTAGGGCAGAGCTCCAGCCGACGGCAGCGACCAGCAGCACCAGCAGCGTGTAGCACCGGCTCCTCATGTCGACGTATGTGTGGAGCTCCTGCGGGGATGTCGTTCTATCAGAGACCAAGGAGCAACGTTAGCTCGAGTGCCGAGTGCTGCGCGGCGATGAATGCGAGATCGAGTCGGCGGTCGGGCTTTAAACAACCGGCATAGTATCCGTCCGAAGTGCGTGCGACAAGTGACACAGAGGCGGAGGCGCGCGCGCGTGCGGTCGATAACAATAGCCAGTCGCCGATGACAGTTGGTCCCTCAGAGAGGAGAGGAGACTGCAGAGGATGGGATGCAGCGACAGCGAAAACACGTCATGTTGCGTACACGTCGCGCTCGCACAAACAACACACACAGACTGATCTGATATAAGACCTCGGCGAGTTGGCGAGCAGTTCAGCCGCGACGGTTTCTCCCCTACCTCCTGCACAGCAGCACCTTTACTTTCACCCAATGCCCCATTTCATTTTTACCACGCTCGCTCGCTCGCTCACTCGCTGCCACACGTACGCGAGCGCACCAACACACGTAGGCGGGCACGGCGCGAGGCCTTCCATTGTCAGTGCATGCTATAAAGCCAGTTCCTTTCAACTTGGCTGCATAATATATCCATGCGCACGGCGTGCTCCGTTTACAGGATAATTACGCCCACCACTGTCGGCACGCCGCGCACAGATCCCCGATATGTCTTTCGCTCTGTGCGACTCGAGCGGTTGCCGCGCCAGGCTGCCTCTTTGTTCGCGAGCTCGATCGCTCTTTCCCAGCCTCCGCTCCCTGCACGTTCGCACACCGTTGCACTGCACGCCACGATGTGCACACACCCCCGCGATACTTATGTTTCCAAACAATTCCTGCCCGCGTGCCTGTACGTGCTAGAGGTTATGTGTTGGTCGATGGCGCGACGGAGCGGCCTCTTTTTCAATTTTCGCGCCATTATTGATTATTCCGCAAAAGCTCGTTCACCTCCTGCGCCCTCACCGCTGAATCCTCGAGCGAGCGAGATTTTTGCCATTGTGGCGATTGTCACGGAATCGTTCGCGCAGCGCGTGTATATCTGGACAAGCGAGCGGGGCACGGGAGCGGCGCTTATTTTTACGGCACGACGCTTAGAAAGTGAAAACCTATCGTGCACGGCGGCGGCGGCGGCGGCGGCGGCGGTAGCGGCGAACCGCTCCGAAAAAAAGGAAAACGCTCTCATTGGCATTTCGCGCACGCGAGATCAGATGCACACCGCCGCACCGACGGCATGGCAAATCGTCTCGGGCGATGCGCTCGAGGTCGCACGCACAAGGAGAGACGATAGGCCGATCGTCGTCGTTCCGATACGACCGCGCTCGTGGCGAGTCGCTCGCAATATTAACGAAGCGTCGTTGCGTAACGACGACTACGACGACGACGTCGACATGGACGACGACGACTACGATGCCATGTCCGCTCGGCGCAGCGAGGATCGCGAGCGGCTGTCAATTCCTCGTCTGCCCTCGTCCAGCGCGCCTAATTGATCCGTATCTCGTTCAAGGCGAAAGATAAGTATTCGAAATCGTCGCGTTTCTGCGCACTCTCACGCCTATATGCAATAATAGCGGCGCGCCGCGGGGCACGCGATACTGGAGCAACGGCCGAAACGCAATTAGACGAAGAGCGCCGTCGCCGCCGCCACCGCCGCCGCCGCCGCCAGTCCACTTTCGTGAACGCGAATTGCTGCGCGCGGATCGAGAAAAACGGAGCGCGCTCGCGGGGAGGAGGAAAGCCGTTTTTCGCGGAAAAACCGCGCGGACAATTCGGCTAATTGCGCTTCGGAGGAAAGCGATTTGGTGTCGCGCGACCAAAAAGTTATTACCGGCGCGCGCGGCAAAAACAGAGCGCAGACAGAGAGAGAGAGAGAGAGAGAGACAGATAGATAGAGAGAGATGCAAAATCAACCCCGCTCGAGAGAGCCGAATGGCCTACTCACTTTCGACGACTGCGCTGGCGAAGTGGCAAGAGACAAACTGCGAGAGGAGGCTCGCGCACGGGACGTGTCGCTCGCACTTTGTCGGCCACCTCCAATTTATATACGCAGGTGGACGAGCCTCGCGCGCACGCAGACGCACACCCAACGCTAGCGTCCCGCGTGCGTACACCCGATATAATATCGCGCGTTGACACGTGTGCGTGCGCGCGTTGTAAAAGAGGAGCGACAATCTGGGTATTCAGATCGCCGGCAAACAAATTGCAGCGTTGTCGTCGTCGCGAGCTTTATCTGTAAGGCGCGGCGCAACGAATATAGCTCTCTCTCTCTCTCTCTCTCTCTCTCTCTCTCACTCTCTGTCTCCATGCGCGCGTGATGCGCGATCGATCGAATCTCGCACCGTCGATCCGATTCATCTCGGTGATGTAGGCGGCTACGGCTTATCGCTTGTTATTGCGCACCATCCGCGAACTGCTTCGTATTTGCAGTACGGCTCGAAAAAAAGAGCTTGCACATTTTAAAAATTTTTTTTCATCCGTATGGTCGCAGATACGCGGACGCGGGCGACAAGATGCGCGCGCGCGCGCGCGGAAAACGGGTTCGATTCATTCGCGACGGCCGACAACAGGCACAGAGATCGAAGAACCGAGTCCGTTTCTCCGCAGCAGCTGACATCGGCCGCTAACGCGTTCAGTGCCCCCGTCGTCGACCGAGAACGTCGGGCGACACGATTGATCGGGCGACCAATGCGGCTATCTATTAGCCAAGTTCATCTCAGCGCGAAACCAGTTTTTGCGTCATTTCTAGAGGCGAGGTGGCAATGACACCGAGACTCCGATCCTTCGGCCGAATTCTGCAATTTGCTGATGACATCGTACGCTCTCGCTTCGAGATGGCCGATCAGGGTGAATTCGACGACCCTTCGCTGCGGCTGCTAATTGCGATACTCGGAGAGTGCATCCGCGCGCCGAACAACTGTTCCGCGCATCTTCCTCGATAGGCGCGGTTGGCGTGAGTTTTGGCGGTTGACGGTGCAACTAGAATAACGTGTTTCCTGCAGCCGACGGCAAAACAACCGTTACGACACGAGGCTGCCTCGCAAACGAATATATATATATACATCGTCCCGCGCCAATTCGACATTCCTACATATCCGGCTGTCTGCCTCGTAGATAATCGCCGAACGAAGATTTTGGAACGGTCTCGGATCGGGGGAGCCACGACGACGCACAAGCGGCGCAGGACGACGAACGCGGCCGTCGCGACGGGCTTGGCGCTGCCGCAACCGAAGCCCCGAGCGAGAACGTCCGGTCGTGCGCGCGCAAGCTCGCGATCGCTCGGCGACTCGCTCTGGGAACCGCCTCGGCTCTCGGCGCGCGAGCACCTTTTACGCGAGGCAGCCGCGGCCTCGGCTGCTTCCCACGGCGAACGCGGCAGCCGGTCTCGCGGCGCGGCGCGCACTGGCGCGGCCAGCCCGCCACGGCGCAGGGCGCCCGGGCGCAAGCTCTGCGCGCGGCCGGCTGCGCGGCGGCGCGCCGCCACCGGAACCTCGGAGCGCCGACCAGCGCGGGCCAGTCAGTAGCCTCTGGCGGGTCGGCCGGTGGTGCGCTCCAGGTGCGCTCGCGCTCGCTCGCCGCAGCAGCCCCGCAGCCCGCGCCCGTTCCGCTGCCCGCCCGCGCGCCAGCGCCAGGCACGGCGGCGCCCGCCGAGCATGAGCGCCGAGGAGAACGAGCGCCGAGCCCCGGCCGCTGCAGGACAGCTCGGCGCCGGACCCGCGCTGTGGCCGTGCCCCAGTCCAGTGAGTACCCGGCCGCGCCGCCGTCCCGCGGGCGGCCCCGGCAGTGCGGCCGCCGCGGCTAGCTGGGCGCGGACGGCGCCTCCGATAAGTAGGGCGCAGCGCGCGGGTGGGCGGCCGAGCGAGCGAGCGGGCGGGCGGGCGGGCGGGCGCCGATCGATACGCCGCGCTGCTGCTTTCATTCATGGTTGCCGGCGTCTATATAGACGCCGAGGCGGACCCGACGGACGTCAGCGCTCCACCCCCGCGCTCTGCCCTGCTGGCCGCCGTCGTCGACGACCGCGCTGCTCGGGCTCGCGGGTCGCGTGACGCCACGAGTCGCCTTGCGGATGCGCCGATGCGCGCGGCCGGTTCGCGGCCACGCGTCACGCCATCGATCCGCGCTGCCGCCGGCCCAACTCCGGCACTCGCCCCGTCGCGCTCGTCGTCGGCGGACCCCGACAGACTCGCCGATATGTCGCGTTGTTATTGGTGCCGTCGATCGCGAGCGTTCGATTATCGCCTCGACTGCGGAGAGCGAGAGGGGGGGGGGGGGCGAGAGGCGAGCAAGTCACGCTCGCGACAGCCTCGATCTCGAGTGTGATGGACGACGTCGGATAAGCGCGGCGTCGAGTGGCGCATCGTGATCTGCCCCAGGCGATTGCGCTCGGAGAGAGCGCCGAGAGCGATGGACGAGGCCAGCTGCTGCGTCGGTCGTAGAGCATCGATTTCGATTACCGCACGGCGCCGATTGCGACGTTTTCCGGGCTGCGACGGGAGGGGCGGGGGCAGGGGGTGGCGCACGCGAGCTATTTTCGGCACGGGCTCTCTCTCTCACTCTCCCTCGGATGGCGCGCGCGTCGGCAACCCCTTTTTCCTCGCGGCGGGCCTCGGATCTGACCGTCTTCGACTTACGTAAGCCTCGCGGCAATTCCAAAGTCGGATATTCGCGCGCCAGCGCGGGTGCTCGCTCCTGGCAAACTGGCGGAGGCTTCGTCGCGCCCACGTACGTCTCGACGGTGTGGAACGGCGTCGCGCACGCGACGAATCGATCGGCGCGCTCTTCGCGATCTCGACGCGGCCGGAATCTCGACTTTGCGCGCGCGCGAACGAGGTCGCGCTTGATTAGACGGCGGAGACGAGAGCTCGAAAAGCCGGCCGAAGCGCGCTGCAGCTATAAATACTTTTTTTTAATGGGACACGCGCGCGAGAGAACTCCAATTAGCTCGGCTTCGCGCGAGGCTTTTTTTCCTCTTCTCTCCTTCGACTTAGCCGTCCGCGCGATATAATTACGGAATTTCGTGCCGACTGGCGTCGCGGCTTATTATCTGCAGTGAAGGAGAGAGAGCCACCGGCGCTGACGCCGCTTCGCAGCAGTGAAAGTCGCGCTATTGTTGCCGCCGTTCGACTGACATTGGCGCGCATCGCGTACTACGTCGCGGCTCTTCCACGCGAAGAGTCTACGTGTACGGGAAGAGACAATAAAATTATTGACGGTCTCTCTCTCTCTCTCTCTCTCTCAGTCTTGTTCGCTCGCGGCTGGAACGCCATCAGCGACTGCGTTGAAGCACACGCGGCCTGAGTCATTGCCCACACGACCGAGGCGGACTTTCGGCCATGTGCGCTTCCGTCGCTCGTGTTTTTCCAGCAGGCGCGCACGCGCGCACTCGTCCCGCAAGGATAAGGCGCCGCAGCGAGTCGGCCGCCGGCGTTTACCTTCGGCCGAGCTCTCCACGGTCGATCGCTGTTTTCCGACGCTCGCGGATGCCGATCGCTCGGACGGACGGAGAGGGCGAGGCGGTGAAAATTGGCGCCGCCATCGCGCCATCGCGCGGCCCGACGCGCTCCTCGACGTCGAGCCTTGCGTTCTCGGTAAAAAAGCGCGTACGCGAAAGCCACGCGGGCGCGGTAGTGCCGCGAGCTCTCGCCTCGGTTCGGCATTGTCGCGTCGCGCTCGGGCCGAGGAAAAGCCGGCGGCGGTCGATGCAGCTCAATTACGTATTCCGCGCGCGCCGCTCGCGTCGGGCCGACTTTCCATGAGCCGCTCGTCGCTCGCTCGCGATTGCTCCATCGCCTCTTCGGACGCGACCGCTCGGCGAATCGTCCGAGCGACGATCGGCCGATCGGCGCTCCGAGCCGCCGACTGCCGTAGCGCGCTTTGTCCGCGAGCGCCTGGCGCGCCAATCGATGGCCAACGATGCCAGCGCGGAGAAAAGTCCAATTATCAATTTCGCGCTTGAGGAGCTGTCCCGCGAGACAAAGAGAGCTGGTAATTGCGAAATCTCTCAGCGGCCGAGCGGCGACGTCGCGGCGCAGGAAACGGGGGCTTGGGATATTATTCTTGTTTTTGCTTTTTATTTTCGCTGGCGAAATCGAATGGCTGGGAAAGGCGCGCGAACGAGCCGCGTTTCGGCGGAATCGGAGCTCTGCCGCGCTCGATACTCCGCTCCCTCGCGCGCCGCCCTTTCACTCTCTCTGGCCCCACCGCGGCGACGCGACGCGAGCCGCGATCATCCTTTGCAGCGGAACGGACGCTGCCCTCGTGCGCGGTCCGCGACCCGCGAACGCTTCGTTGCCCGTGGGATAACGCTGCGCGGTCGAGGCCGAACTCGAACGCGGATCGATTCGCGAGGTCCGCGACGGCTCGCGATCCGGTCTCTGGCGCGGAAACCACGCGAGGCACTCGACGTCGAGGGTCGGCGGACAGCCGCGCACCGACGGGACTCACTGGCGTGCGCCAGTCGGTCGTGGCCGCGAAAGCGGCATCGCCCAGATCAACCGCTCGGCGGACGATTCTTCCGGGGAAGCCGAGCGCGCGCAGGCCACCTCGGCTCGCCGCGTCCGCGTGGGCGCGCCTCTTCCACGTCCCGCGCGCCGCGGCTGCGGATCCGCGGAAACGCACGCGCACTGCGAGCGCTAACCCAGTTAGGCGCGCGGCCGCCCCCCGACACTATAAGTAGCCGGCGCTCGGACGCGGGAGGCGCGCGAAGTAGGCCACCGGACAATGGACGAGGGCGAGCGCGCGATCGCCGCAGGGCTGCAAGGTCGCGACGGATCCGCCGCCGGCGGCGCCGCCCCTCCCCGCGGGCGGCCGGTGCGCCGCGACGAGCAACAGGCGCGCAGTAGCCCGGCGCAGCTCCGCGCGAGCGCAGCATGTCGTGGCCGCGCGCGCCGCTGGAGCTGCTGGCCTTCCTGGCGGTGTGCCGGCTGTACCTGGACGCGCGGCCGCGCCGCCAGGGCCCGGCGATCCTCTGGGCCATCGTGACGTTCGTGCGCACCGAGCCCGCGGCAGCGCGCGACTTTCTCGCCTGGTGCCGCGCCTGCCGCCTACGGCACCTGCGCGCGCGCGCCCGACCCGCCCGCGCCCCCCGCCCGCGCCGCCTCGAGCGCGAGCTCCTGGGCGCGCTGCGCCGGCTGTTCTACTGCGGCGCCTGCCTGCCCCCGGCCGAGTCCTGAGCGCCCGATGACGCGCCCCCTGTTGCAGCGGCGCTAGCGCGCCGACCGGCACCAGCAGCGGCGCCAGCCCCGCGGCAGCGGCATGTCCGAGAGCGACGGCGAGCAGGCGGCCCGGTCGCTGGCGCTCGAGCAGGCCTACGTGCACGAGGTGTACGAGCAGTGCGCCGAGCGCAGCGTGCAGGGCAAGCACTGGCCGCGCATCGACCGGTTCCTCGAGGAGCTCGAGCCCGGCGCCCTCGTCTGCGACGTCGGTAAGCGCCGCGGCCGCGCCGGCCCCCGGCGGGCTCGCGCGGCCGCGGCTCACTCCGCGCTTGGCCGGCAGGCTGCGGCAGCGGCAAGTACCTGGACGTCAACCGCAGCGTCTTCAAGATCGGGGTCGACCGCTGCTCGAGGTTCGGCGGCATGGCCCGCGAGGGCGGCCACGAGGTGCGCGCGCCCGCCCCCTGCGCGATGCCCCCCCGCCCACGCGGCTAATCGATGCGCCTTGCCGGCCTCGCAGGTGCTCGCGTGCGACAACCTGTCGCTGCCGTTCCGGGACGAGAGCTTCGACGCGGCGCTGTCGATCGCCGTGGTGCACCACTTCTCGACGACCGAGCGCCGGGTGCGCGCCCTCAAGGAGCTGGCCCGCGTGCTCAGGATCGGCGGCCGCATCGTCATCTCCGTCTGGGCCATGGAGCAGAAACACCGCAAGGTGCGTATCCGAGTAGTGGCGCCTGTGCCCCCCGCGACTCTCACCGAGCGGCCCGCTCTGTTCCCCCGCGGCCAGCAGTTCGAGTCGCAGGACGTGCTGGTGCCCTGGCCGAGGGCCTACTGGCTCAGCGCGACGGGCAGCCCGCTGCGAGCGCGAGGCGCGGCGCGCGACCAGTGCCGCCGCGGCGGCGGTAGGCGCGCGCCCGCCGCCCAGCTGCCCTCCAAGAGGTAGGTCGAGCGGGCGCGGCCCGTGGGTGGCCCGCGCGACGCCCGCGCGACGCCCGCGTGACGCCTCCGCGATTCGCTTGCAGCGCCGCCGGGAACAGGTGCGCCGCCAAGAGCTACTGGGTCGACCCGATCTTCAGCCCGTCGCCGTCGACCAGCAGCAGCCTGTCCAGCCCCAACGAGACCTGCTACAGCTTCGTGCGGCGAGCGCTGCAGGTGAGTGGCGGCCGGCCCGCGGCCGAGCGGCGCGCGCCGGAGAGCACCAGCACGCGTCTCGAGCCACGCTCCTCCGCAGAGGCTGGCTGGCGGCCGGCGGGGCAGCCGCGCCTGGTTCCTCGAGAACTGGCAGGCTCAGCGCCGACGCGGCGTCGCTGACGAGGACGACGGCGACGCGGACGACCTCCCAATAGAGCTGCGCCGGCTGGAGGAGCGCGGCGGCCCCGAGCGGGCCGCGGCGCTGGCGCCGGCCGCCGGGCCCGGGCGGCCGCGGCCGCGCCGCTTCCGGCGCGGCGTCGGCCCCGCCAAGTCCAGGAGCCTGGGCAGCATCCACGAGGCGCGGCGCGCGGCCATGGTGCGGTCGACGTCGAGCGTGCCGGGCCTGTGCGTCGGCGGTCTGGACGAGCGCCTGCAGCAGCGAGCTGCCGACGCGGCGGCGACGTTCGCCCAGCCTCCCAGGCTCGTCCGCCAGAGGACGCGCTACCGCGGCCGCCGCGACGACGGCGACGGCGACGGCGACCGCGACGCTGAGTGCGGCCTCCACCGCGACACTGCCATTCGCCAACCGCTCGGGGGCCTCTCGGGGCCGCAGGTCAGTGTTGCGTCGCCCACGCCCGGGCTCGCCAGCTTCGAAATGTAACCGTGGTCCTCGATCGCACAGTCGACGCCGCCGCAGCAAGCGTCGAAACGCGGCAGCGTGCACAAGCAGAGCTCGCTGAACGAGGAGCTGATGTCGATAGAGCGGCTGGAGGAGCGCGAGAACGTGCGGCGCAACATCATGAAGCAGGCGTCGTTCAACGAGGAGCTCATCTACAAGAGCAAGCCGACCCTGGAGACGCTGCGCGATAGCTTCTACTCGGCCAGCGCCTCCAAGCGCTTCCAGCTGCTCAAGAACGGCCTGACCAACCGCATCCGCCAGTCCACCACCAACATCGAAAAGGTCTCGGGCATGTCCCTGAAGAACGGCTTCGCGCGCATGCTGCAGGTGAGTCGCTGTTGCGGCAAGTAGCCGAGCCCGAGTTTGGTCGGACGGCAATGAGAGAGCGCGCGCGATCGCCCGCAGAGCTGGACGTCGGCGGATAGTCTGGCAAGCACGACGAGCGGCACTGCCGATCATCCGAGAAACCAGCAGCAGCAGCAGCAGCAGCAGCAACAGCAGCCGCAGCAGCCGCAGCAGCTGCAGCAGCGTCAGCAGCAGCCACCGCAACAGCAGCTGCAACACCAGCCGCAGCAGCAGCAGCAGCAGCAGCAGCAACTGCTGGCAAAGCACGAGGTCGAGCGGCGCTCGTCGCGCGAGGACGGCTCCGACTCCAGCAAGGACAGCAGCCTGCAGAGCGACACGAGCGTCGACTCGGAGGACAGCTTCGCCTCGGTGATCTTCGTGCCGAGGAAGCAGCCGACGAGCCCGCTGCCGACCGAGGCGACGCCCCCGGCCGCCCACCCACTGAACGCCACCTCGGCGCCGCCCTCGCCCCGCGTCAAGTACGCACCCGAGCTCCTCGGCGCACACTGGTCCGGCGTCCGTCCCGGCCCCCGCCGCCGCCCGGCAGCCTCCACGCGACCGCTCTCGCCCGCTCTCTCTTGCAGGCTGAAGCTGATGTCGGTGTCGCCGCTGCTCAAGCAGTTTCCCGCGACGAGCAAGAGCCTGCCGCCGCCCAGTCCGCCGGGCCTGTCGCCGCGCGCGCCCGGCCCGGCGGCCGCGCGGCCTTTCTTCTCGGGCGCCGACGTGCCGCTCACGGAGCGCATCGCCGAGGCGCGGCGCGGCTTCGACTCGCAGCCGGCGCTGCCGCGAATGCCCAGCACCGACAGCGGCCACGGCAGCAACGGCGTGGCCAGCGCGCAGCCGCCGCGCCCCGCGGGCCCGCCCCGGCCGGCGCGAGCCCCGCACTCGGACTCGGACGAGGGCTCGGGGGACGAGGGCCGGCGCGGCTCGCCGCCGGCGGCCGCCGAGGAGGAGCGCAGCCGGCGCGCGCGCCTCGACCAGATCAAGCAGCTGCTCGGCCAGAAGCCGGGCTTCGCCGCGCGGCCGCGCGCCGCCGCCTTCCCGATCGTGCGCCGGGCCTCCGCGGCCGCGGGCGGCCAGCTGGACGCGGTGAGCAAGGTGCTGCCGCGGCTGCTATCGCTCGAGCTGTTCAATCCGGAGACCGACGACCTCGACAGCGACTCCAGTGGCGTCAGCTCGCCCGAGTCCGCCGGCTCGGTCATCAGCGTCATCTCCGACGAGCGCTTCGCCGCCAGGAGGGCGACCGTCGCCGAGCCTGCCGCGTCCGTGGCGGCCGGCGGCGCCTTCGACGACTGCGCCGACAGGCTGAAGGGCGCGCTCATACAGGACATCGACCAGTTCTGCCGCGCCTCCCAGCTGCGCATGGACGACCACGTCGTCTCCTCGCGGTATGGTCGCTCGAATTTTAAGTTCGCGATGTCGTGCTTTCGTCGCTTCGTCGGCCGAGTGCAACCGAGCGTGGCGCCGAGGTTCGAACTCGTTTGTTCCGTTCGAACTTTGTTCCGTCCGGTAAATCGACGGCAAAGAAAGCGTTTTTTCATTCCGTCTCCACTGCGGACACCATTCTCGCAACATCACCGACCGTCCACGCTCATCGCGACCAGTTCAACGTTCGTCCTCCACGCGTCAGATTAATTTAACAAATGCGTTTAATATTTTCATTTATCGCTGTCGACATTACGAAAAGATTCATTTTTTCCAATTGCTTATCTATTGGAAAGAGCGAGATAATGGCTGAAGCAGAGACAAACCATCTTGAAAGAACTGCAATTGGGCCAACGAGTTCGGTTATCGCGCCGCCGTAAACGCCAACGTCCATCGTCAAGCATCAGGCCAGGCGCCTAACGAGCGGCGTTTACTCGACAGGTATACGCTGAACCGGAAGCAGCAGCCAGCCGACAACGACGGCAAGTCGGAGGAGCAGAGGCAGCAACGGCAGCCGCAGCAGCCGCAGCAGCCGCAGCAGCCGCAGCAGTCGGGGGCGGAGGCGACGGACGCGCTGCAGCGCAGCTGCTCGGAGGAGAGCAGCGACGCGGGCCTGGCGCTGGCGTGGTCGAGCGGCGAGTGGCCGGCGGAGCGGGCGCGGGCCGGCGGCGGCCGGAGCCAGCGGGCGCCGGGCCTGGGGCGCGCGCGCCTCGGGCGCTCGGCCGAGTCCAGCGACATCGGCGACTCGCTGAGCGAGAGCGCGGACTCGTGGTCGCTGGCGGGCGCGCGGCGGGCCTGCGCCGGCAGCACCGCCTCGCTGGCCGCGCGGCCCAGCCCGCGACTGGCCGCGCAGACCCGCTCGGCCTCGGAAGAGGCGCCGCGCGCGGCCGCGCGCCCCCGCCCCGGCCCCGCCAGCGCCAGCCAGGGCACGCTCAGCGGCTCGTCGTCGCAGGAGTCGCTGCCCTCCGACCAGATCACCTACCACCAGTACTACCACGTGTTTCGCGAGGGTGAGCTCGACCAGCTGATCGACAGGCACGTGGAGAACTTGCACGTCATCTCCTCGTACTACGACCACGCCAGCTGGTGCGTCGTCGCCGAGAAGGTGCAGGTCTGGACCATTTGACTGCCGCTGCCGGCCTCCCTCGTCGCCCCGCCTCTCCGCCTCCTGCTCCCCCTCCTCCTCCTCCTCCACCTCCTCTACCTCCTCCTGCTTCGCTTCTCGCTTCTCGCGCGTCTTTTGTACGCCGGACGTCCGACGGGGCTGCACCGGCAGCACCTCGCTCGCTTCTCTGTAAATAGCCCGCGAACGTCGAGTCGAGGCTTTGCAGCCGAGTAGCGGTAGCGCGCTCAACAAACCAAACCAGCAGTAGGCTTGCTTCCCCCGTTTCGCGCATCCCCCTTGCCACCTAGGCTAAGTACTCGGCGCCAGCGATTCGTTGCGTCTTGCACGCACCGGCTCCCGCATCTAGTCATCGGTCTTCCACTGGCGGAACGACGCGGCTTTCGTTTCTCTCTCCTTCGTTGTTGTTGTTGTTGTTGTTGTTGTTGTTGTTGTTGTTATTGTTGTTGTCGTCGTCGTCGTCGTCGTCGTCGTCGAGCGAGCGAGCGACAGCGCGACTGAATTTCAGTGCCCGCGGCAATACCTACGTTATGGAGTTGTTGATCTTTTTTCTTTCTTTCCTCTCCATTTGGTATGCGCGTGCGTACGAGGCGCGAGAGAGCAAGGCAACTCTGCCCCCGGCGATCGCCTCCTCTTGCGTGCACGCACGCACGCTCGATCCGATCTCGCGCGCTCAACATCCAAGCCGTTCATTCCGCGCTCGGAGCTGCAGAGAACGGAAAATGGGCCTCGCTGTGCGAAGGGCGCCCCCGTGTACGCGCGCGCGTCACGTCCAGGCACCAAGATCTGCCGACCGCGAGAGGGAATCGCGCAGCACTCTGGCCAAGGCCTCCGTGCGATCTGCCGCGACCTCCGCTTTCCACGCGCGAAAACGAAGATTCTCATCCGTGAAAACACACACACGCGCACACACGATAGCCGCGCATAGGTATTTAGTCCATGATATTTAACTTGAGGGAAACAAAACTTACACAGGGTGCGCCGATAGCGTTGGTCTGCTCTCCGCGACCTGTCGCGGGGAACACGCTGAATTGCGAAATCTCTCTCCTCTCTCTCTCATTCTCTCTCTCACTCTCTCTCTCTCTCTCTCTCTCTCTCTCTCTCTCTCTCTCTCTCTCTCTCTCTCTCTCTCTTTCGAGGAGATTCACCGTAGCGAATCGCAACTGTACATAAATAAGAAAATATATAAGTAGGTCGAAAATAAATTGTGAACATCGAAAGATGGCTCGAACACAAAGCTACTCGTACATCAAGCAGCGAATTCGTTAGTTTCCAAGGTCGATCGTGAGCACCGGTTCGACCAACGACGTTGTAAATAAATACTCCCGATGGAAGAGTTGAAGAGCCGAACGCTCTTTCTTCCCTTTTCGTCGGAAGCCTCAGCTTCTAGGGCACTGAGTTTCGCCAAATTCTAGCTTGACGACTCGGTCATTCTGGTCTCAACTCGTCCAATGCACGAACTATACGTCAGCTTCTAAACGGCAAGAGCAGAAATTTAGCCAGAAAATTCCAATGAGCTTTTCGAAGATTGTACGCATTCTCGTAATCACGAAGAACAACCAGATTGCGTAGGACGCCATAATCCCGCCATATCAAGAAGCGACGAGCGCTCACGATGCTTGCATTGGAAAACAAACGCGACGAACTGTCGACGCAATGCCATGAGAACACAAGATTGCAAGTTACAAAGCAGAGCATTCATATAAATATATATGTATATTATACACACACGCGCGCCCGCGCGCATATATAGATAAATATAATAGGAACAATTACAACACGACTGGTTCGAAGCATGTAGAGGAAACAAAAGCGAGTTGAGAAAGAGAAATAAAGCAAATAAATAATTAGCGTGTAAGTGAGCATATGAAACGAGGAGCTTACCTCGACTCGTTACAAAGTTAAGTTTTATATCTAACGACCATTGCGTATTATTACTATGAAAATTATATATCAAGAGGGGCGTGAGAAAATTTAAATTGTAAGCACGTTACGAACGGGGGTTTCACGCTGAAATTGTGATATTTCCATGTAACGCCAGCAACGGACTTAACCAGCTAATTAATTAACGAGCAGCAGTTTCGCTATTTACAAACGATGCGCTAACGATCAGACCGCTTATCACTGATATATCTTCCCTTCGATAGAATCGACCTGTTCCTGGCATATCAGCGTTGTTGTGCTGTTCGTGGCAACCGACTTTTTCGCACGATGGTCCGAAAGCTGTTCTGCCGGAACGATTGTCCAGTTCCGACCTTTCGTTTGCCACCACGTGGCAACTGGCAGATAAAGGTGAACGAGGATGTCCACCGCCATACTCCTACAGTTCTCGTGGCTGCACGCTACCGAGTACTTGCTCGTCGAGTACCTACATACGCGCGCGCGTTAAAAGTGAAATAAGCGAACAACATGATAAATGTAAGGCGAGCGGATGACAGCTGAACTCTTTGCCGATGGCATACGTTAGCAAAAAACTCGAAAGAACAGCACACAAACAAGGAAATATTCAGGTTCGAATCCTAGCTTACTAACGAATAAGTACCTAACAAACAACAACTACTCCGATTGTACCAAATTTGGGCATGATCGTTTCGCAGATGATATAATATAATTCAATATTTGACAAAGCTCAATAAAGTCTATTTTATTCAACCCTTCCTCTCTTGTTAGTATATTCGTGTCTAGAATGGCAAATAAATCATAGCTACACTGCAGCTTGTTCATTTAACATTAATCTTTATTGATTCAATTATTGTTCATAGCTGCTTTTGAATTACAATTACAACGATAGTTCGTTAAACATTTGACCTTTTCATTTTTACGAAAGCAAGTCTGACGTGAACGTTGCACACTGTACGGGCAAACGTTTCGAGGGCGTGATCTCAGTAAATAGAGTTCTTATAAAATCCGTCATTTTTAAAAAACGGGCTGACGCATTGTCTTTATTATTTGATATTAACCAACCTCGTTTCAACTATTTTATAGCAGTGTATGATTGTTCGCAGCGTATTAAAAGCGACTACGTTAAACCGTCGCGAATTCTCGAGTCACCGCGCGCGACACTGCACGAAGCACGATTTCTTTATGTTTTGGTTTGCAAAACAATCCTTATAAAACTTTAGAGAAAAATACTTTAAACTCAAGCATACAAACGTTGCGAATAGCAATGGATGCATTGGTCTTAAATAAACCTGACGAGTTTATCGAATCCAATGACTCGTCTCGTGCAAGCTGTACTTGACCAGAAACGACTGGACGAAAAACTCGCGACCTGGTGTAAGCTCAGCTTTAAGCTACAGCGTGCGCTATCTAATTTTTAGGTTTATTTTAGGCCTGTGCATTAATTGTCTGATAATGAAAAAATAAACCTTACGTTATAGATTTATCACAAGAATCGAGTAAGTATTTTTATACATCATTTACACAAACATTAGTATACGTCTCGACGTACTTTACTCGCGGCGCAGGTTTTCGAGCCGCGCATGAAGATCCGCATCGGCATCCGCTAGGTTACCGTCGTCGTTACCGACTCCAGCTGCGGCGGCTACTGGCTGTTTCGAGCCCGCTATGCTCAACGAGCCTGAGGCTTGAGGTAGTCCTGACAATTGATCGTTCAGTTGAAGGCCAAGTTCGTCCAGAACTTGTGACACAATCGCATCACTAAAATTTTTTACCAAATGTTATCTTCAGCTTTCTCATAAAGCTTTTATTACTATCTTTTATAAAACTCACCTTTCTTCTTCGTCACCCTCATCTTCCATGGCATCGTCTATTGCATCGTTCATTATTTCTTCTTTCATATCCATAATCTCTGATTGTTTTTCAAATTCTTGCAAAATCTTTTGAATTTGTGGTAAATTCAATTGCCTACCAAGTAAATTATGATTTACTTTGTTAGTTTTATTACGATATTAAACAAAATATGAAAATAAATTGTCAATCTCACTTGTTCATATTTTGCATAGCCTTTGTGACTCCTTTCATGGCTTGAGCCATTGTGTTTTGAGAACGTAAAGTTTGAATCTTCAGGGATACGGCTTGAATATTTGCCTTCATTAACATAAACTTTTTGACGTAACGCCTTGTCCTGACAAGATCTTTAGCCATAATTTTGACTGCATCCTACAACAAATAGAGTACATCTATTATTATAACAAAATAATCTTTATACAAAATAAAAGAGTACCATTACCATTTGTCCATCTTTTGCCATTTTCTTTATATCAGCAATAATTTTCTTTTCTTGTTGTTCCATTCTCATTCTTTCTCTATCTAGATCTCTCATTGCTTTGTTCAAGGCTCTTTGGTTTTTTCTGAGCATTTCCTCAGGAGTTACACGTTTTCCAAAAAGCCACTCCATTATAATTCTAATGCGTAATAGAAATAATTTTTGAAAATCAAGGTTAAATACTTCAACAAGTAATACATTACTTATGTAGCATGCAAAGTATATATCTCTTTTATGACAAATTTAAACAATACAGTTTCATCGTTTAAAGTAAGACACCTTATATATTGATTATAAGAAAAATGAGTATAGTACTTATATCTATCTACAAATTGATGAGATATTTAGTGAGTCATCAGCTCATTTGTAAGATAAAATGATATTTTCTTCATCTGTTTTCATATATAAATAAGATACAGAGTTACAAAAAAAATTGCTAAAAAATGTGATTGAGACAATTTTCAGTTGCAATAAGGAAGACTACCTTTATTTTTTTGACGTTCAACACAAGTAGAATTCACAAAATAATCGCACGTCAAACTCCTCGATAAACCTACACCAACCTCTCTCGCACTCTCTACAGCTGCTATTATGCTTGTAGCGTCGCTGAGAAAAGCAGCGGATTTCCCCCAATCAAAACAATGAGTGAGAAAAGAAGAGAATTATAATAATGTCTTTTTCTTGCTCACGTAGCAGCCGTACTTTAAAAATGAATCCCCACGATCTCATGTGTGGGTGTGTATGTGAGTGTATGCATGGTATATGTTTGCATGTGTGTGTTCAGTACTGTCGAGTCGAGACTCGAAATCATAACAATGAAAAATATTAAGATTATAACCTAAAAATTTGAATTTTAGTCGTTTTTATAATTTTTAGTTGTGTTTTGAGTAATTGTATATTGATTGCATTTTCAGTATTTTATGCCAACTAAGAAGGAAAATTTAAGGATTCAATAACGTTTTTCACTGATTTCATGAATAATACTTCAAATTTCTAAATGGCGACTGCGGCACAAGAAGAGACATTTGAACAGGTAATAGCGACAATTTTAGGGAAATTTGTTAATTAGGTACGAGTGCGAAAATGACCAATAATATAATTTAACATTTGTATAAAATTATATCGTATATTATCATTTGTATAAAATTGTTTTGTATATTGATCATGTAGAATTAAGCAATATATATTACTTTTTCTTTAAAAAATTTTGTGATAGTTTATTTCATCTTATTGTCCTTTTGTTTATTTTTTAAATTAACTTTTAGTTTCTATCATAAAAATAAAAAATTTAGATGTTACTATTTACAAATGTAATAATAATTTTTACTTTAATTTACAATTTCTTATAGTTCGAAGATGAAGAAAGTGAAATTCCAATTGGTGGTACATTGACAAGTGGAAAAAAAAGACTATTTTCCAAAGAACTACGTTGTATGATGTATGGATTTGGGGATGATCAAAATCCTTATACAGAAAGTGTTGATCTGTTGGAAGACCTTGTCATTGAATATATCACTGAAATGACACATCGTGCAATGGAAATTGGCAGAACAGGCAGAGTTCAAGTGGAAGATATTGTATTCTTAGGTATCAATTTTAAGTTTTAAAAGTTAGCCATGGTTATTTTGTTTACGATATTATAAGAAAATATTTTGTTGCAGTAAGGAAAGATCCTAGAAAATATGCTAGAGTAAAAGATCTTTTAACAATGAATGAAGAGTTGAAAAAGGCAAGAAAAGCTTTTGATGAAGTTAAATATGCAGGTAACATCACTGAATGAGGTGACTAGGTTGAAGGAATTCTGTGATTGTTTTTATTATTTAATTTTTGATACTTTTTAGTTTTTAATATTTTATTGTTTATGTATCGAATATAAACATTATGGAATTTATAAGATTTAACTACCATGTACTTCCAATAACGTAACATGTATGGTTCAACGTTTAATCAATAAATAACTTTTCATTAGAAAAAGATTCAATTTATGGTTATTTTTATAGCTTATTTATACTAAATTCTTGATTTTTAAATTATTTTCCTTAAGGGTATTTAAGGATATTTAAGTATATTTTTATCAAATCTTATAAATATTTGGTGTAAAATTTCGATATTCAATAAATTTTTTTTCATATTTGTATGTACATACAAATACGATTTAATTTAATATTTACAATTTTAAGCAATGAGAGATAGCTTGTTTTGCCGATAAAATAACATCATTCAAACCAACCCCATAATATGATGCACCACACAAGTACAAGGGTATTCTATGTGCAGAAATATAATTTTCAATGCGCTGGATTCTCTGTCTGTGTCCAACAATATATTGTGGGATGCAGTCATTAAGTATAGCTACATTATATTCTATAGGTTTTTCTTTAATATTAAGTATATTTTTTATCTGATTCATTGCAACAGATAGTAAATATTCTTCAGAATTATTTTTGCTGAAGTACTTATCAAACCATGCACCACCCATTATTACTGTTAGTACCTGCAAAATAAAAATTATTAGCATATTTCTAAATTATTTAATTTAGCATAAGTGAAATTTCTGTTGTCCCTGTAACTACATGTTTTTTACAATATACTTACTGTATCAGAATTCTTAAATACACATGAATCGAAAATGACTCCCAAAATTGGCAAATTTTGATTTGGTGGTACAAGAAATCCAAATGCTTCCATTGGTAATAAATTGCCAGGATACTGAAAATTAACAACTGCTACAGTTGATAACGGTATTGCTGCCAATTCTCTTGATAATTGTGGATGTTGTTTATGTAATAGCGGAGCAAGACTTTTTGTTGATAAACTAGAAATCACTTTTGCAAATTTTTCAGTTCTACCATTAATAAGTAATTCAACTTGATTAGATTTAAAAATGATTTGTTCACATTTTGTATCTAAGTTTAATTTTACATTCGATTTGGAATCCAAATAATTTTTTAGTTCACGTGGTAATACTTCCAAACCATCTTTCAATCCCCAAACTGACCATTTTTCTTCTTTCGCTCTTTTGGCTAAAATTGTTAGTATGTTTTCCTTATTTTTCTTAACTTTTTTTCTTTTCATGAACTCCATTACCATTCCCTTTGTTAGGGAGCCATATTTTTGTTCCAATTCAAAAGCTGATTTCAATAAAAAATTAACACTTATTTTTTTAGCGTCTCCTGCACAAATGCCACAAATCATCGGACTGATGAGATAGTCAGCTATATCTTTTCCCAATCTTCTTTCTACAAAACTATAAATGCTTTCATCTTCTTTGGATGTTTTACCAGCTGCTAAATCATTCCATACTATTGAAATTAATCGTCGATTAAATGGTTCTTGTTTTTTAAATAAACCAGTTAGTGAATTTGGTAAAGTATGTAATTTATTATTCACATAAATTAACCTGTTACGAGCAGCTGGATGTCTACAGTCTATATGAATGATTTTATCATTTAAATTGAGATTATTTGCTAGCTGTAAAGTATTTTCTCCTGCAATACCTGCAGGTCTAATTGTTCGGGGACCTTTCTCAAATATTGCTCCATTAGGCAATTTTATGCTTTTTATCCATCCTCCAAATCTTTTAGATGCTTCATACAAAACGATAGGACCTAATACAGGATTTTCAATGCAGTAGTATGCAGCACTCAAACCTCCTATTCCACCTCCTAAAATTGCTGTCATATTTAAGCTGAAAAATATGATTAGTATTAAAAATATAGTATTGTCAATGTTGTATTATTATTTTTTATTCAAATAATAAAATAGTAATTTTATAATGAAATTGACATAGTTTTACTACAGAGTCTTGTCTTAAAACATTTTTGCAACAGTTAAAAGAATAAGAATAACATTAACTTTAGTTTTTAACTTTAATTAATTTTCTTGTATTGTAGAATAATTAAGAAGTTCTTATAAATAAAACCAGCCTAACTTTGTTTTTATATAAAATTATTGGAATTCTACATTGTATAAGACACTTTACACAACATTTTTCATTATCTTATTTTATTTTTTGATGATATATATTTCGTAATATATATATCAATACTATAATATATATGTATAACTATCGAAATTTATTGAACTAACGATAGTTTTGTATTATCTTTATATTTTTATATTTTTGCACATTTAGTATGCATAATTAATCGTTTAACTTATTATATATTAATCATAGCCTAAGAGCTTAATTAATTACTTGCGAAAATAGAAAAAAAAAATTTTAACATAAAAAGTTGTTATTGCCGGTCAATAATAAACCATCAGAAAAATAATTATGGTGTATTTTTAGTTTCAACATAGTAATGAAAATTTATCCTTGAAATTTTATGATTTACAATGTCAAAAGTGTTTTTTTTTTGTTAAATTATTTACGCACATTTTGAATTCTGGAGCATCAATTGGATTAACCTTGTGTTGTGTATGTGTGATCTAAATTAACTACGCAAAAGTAATATATACGGTTAGTGAAATATAATCTCACAAACTAAGAAAACTTTATTAAATATTTATTTAATTTTGGCTTAACAAATATTTATTTCGTGGAATTGTTCAATCAAATATACGAAAAATTAATTAATTATTCAAGGAGTAGTTTTAATTAATTAGTTATATACGAAGCTTCATTTAGAAAAAACTCGTATAACCATACCATATGTCCTATGAGTCCCATGATTTATACGTTGCCTATAGAGTATAAAAGGGCGCTGCGATCGGCAGTTGCGAGTACTAGCATGGAGTCTATATCTATATAATCTCCATGATCGCTGCTGTGCACTTCTCCACAGAGACGAAGATGAGTGTCTGCCATGATGGCGTGGCGTGGATGAGTAATTTCACGTTTTAAAGGAAACAAATGGAAATTATATTCAGACTTCCTTAGAATCTGCGATAATTTGTTTGATTGTGCTAGTGTTGTCTTCTGAAAGACATTTAGAAGAGAAGGGCCATGGGAACCAAGGAGAATTCGACGACAAACGTGGCGAAAGCGCCGTCAGCATCGGCGGTGAGCAAGCCCTATGGCAAAATTCTACTGACGCTACAAAATTGCCTGTTGCCCGATGACAAATTGAATTCAACGCCGTCCAGTATCGATGGACTTGATACAGAAACCGAGACAGACCTCAGAATACTAGGATGTGAATTGATACAAACTGCTGGAATTTTGCTGAGGCTACCGCAGGTAAGATAATGAACTTTGGTTGATTGGCGACAACACATTTCTTAACCTTAACATGCAGACGATGTGGGTAACTACTGCTGCCATGTTTTTTTCCTACAGTTTATCGCCAAATTTTTTCTTGTAGATTATCTCTTTATTTTTCTGTTTTAGGTGGCTATGGCCACTGGCCAAGTAATATTTCAACGATTTTACTATAGCAAATCATTAGTTAGGCATAACATGGAGACCACTGCTATGGCATGTGTATGTCTTGCTAGTAAAATTGAAGAAGCACCAAGGCATATTAGAGATGTCATTAATGTCTTCAATCATATTAAACAAGTCAACAGCCAAAAGTAAGTGCACTTCTTGAACAATTATTAGCAAAGTTTTTTCAAATTAACTCAGAGTTATCAAAAGTGTGATAACTGAGTGAAGCAACAAGTAGTGTTGTAATACATAATGCTAAAAATTATCTATTACAAATTACTTGTCATTTGATTCTCTAAGATAAGCAATGATCAGTTAGGATTTCTCATCCCACTGATTCTTCAGATATAAACATTTTATTGATTTTTAACAGGGTGAGTTCTACATAGGCGCTCTGGATTGTTCAGAGCATATAAACAGTGTAAGCATCAAAACCAGATCAAGTCACTGAAGATCAACTTGATTCTAGTTGAAGGCTCTAAAAACAACTGACAGCCCCGAGATTCAAAGGACATTTATGTACAGGTTGACCTGTACGAAACTCGGACTACCTTTTAGCTTGATACAGAAATGTTTAAAAGTGTTTTCAGTGTGCAAAGTTTAGGTGCTAATCTATCTATCAAGTAGAAAATTTATAAAACCAGCAATGTGCAACAAGAGCAGTGATAAAAGTAGTTTTAGTTCTTTAAGTGATGTGAGAATGAAGTTTTGGATTTATTATTTTTTTTAATGATTCAATCATTAATGGAAATGATATTCAAATTGTTTTTATAAATTTTCTATTTATAGATATGAGTTGGTAATTGACAGGTTTAATTAAGAGTACAATAATGTTAGTTCCTTTTTTCTTGAAACGTGTATAATTTACTGTGTCGGTTTTACTGTGTATTGCTTGAATGTGCAAATTCGAATGAATGTATTTGTAAATTGTGACTTTGTTTTAAATAAGATTACAAACCATTATGTAAAGCAAGTTGAACATGAATTTGCTTTGTCTAATGAATGTTGAATTCTTATTTAAAACGCCACATCAGTGAATGAATTTTGAAGGCATATGCAAAGATATGAAAACCGTAGGTTGTACATTAAGCTTACTCCATATAATTCATAATCATGTAACGTCATGACCATATTATACGACTGGACTTGTTTCAAGGTTTAAAATCAAGTGGATGTACAGCACAAAGTTCAATCTCGTGGAGTGCCATGCTGAAACTCACTCTTGTTAAGACGTTTGGTGAATATAAGTTGCCAGAATTGCAACTGACCGTTTGCTCTCGTTTTCTGATTTCAGGTCTATCACGCCGGTTATACTTGACCAGAATTATGTGGCTCTGAAGAACCAAGTGATCAAGAGCGAGAGACGAGTGCTGAAGGAGCTCGGCTTTTGCGTACACGTTAAGCACCCGCACAAGATAATCGTGATGTACCTGCAGGTTCTTGGCTACGAGAAGAACAAAGCCCTTATGCAGCAGTGCTGGAACTACATGAACGACTCGTTGCGCTCGGATGTCTTCATCAGATACGAGCCCGAAACGGTGGCCTGTGCTTGCGTCTATCTTGGCGCTCGACATCTACAATTACCTCTGCCTAATGCGCCCTCCTGGTTCTCCATATTCAAGGTCAGCGAGGAATCGATCCGTGATATTTGCAGGCGTATACTTAGGCTGTACATAAGGCCCAGGGTCAAGGCTGAATCGCTAGAGAAACGTGTCGAAGAGTTGAAGAAAAAATACGAAGAAGCAAGGTCCAAAGCTAGAGCGCCCGAGGGCGATGGACACACACCGAGTCCGCCGTCAACTAACAAAAGCGCGCATAACGCTTGGGGTGGATTCATCAGCAGAAGCGGAACGCACGCACCGGCTGAGAGAGTCAAATCACCAAAGTGAGTAGTCGTTTTTTTTCCGACATGTTGAACTATCTTTTTTGCCCTAACAAAAAAAATATAAAAACTTGTTACAACACGAGTTATTCCCTTTGCTTCCAGACACTCGAAGTCTGCATCGGTATCACCAACGAGAGTTGATCCTTTAAAACATTCCAAGAGGAAAAAACGAAGCCGGTCAAGATCACGCAGTCCCAGCCGATCGCGCAAAATGAAAAAGTCATCGGGTCACTATTCAAGCAGTCACAAAGCTTCGAGATCGCGTCACAGATCGCGAAGCCGCTCGAGGGAAAGGGAGCCCGAAAAGTCGGGTAAACATCGAAGCAAACACCGACGACATTGATCCATGAAACTTTTATAGTCGGCTAAATCAATTACACGAATGCCTCGTGTCCTAATTAAGCATATTTGTTGACAGTATCTTTGTATAATTGAACGATGAAAAAAAGTTTCCGTCGAAGTGATTGTAAATATTTCTATTTTTACGTTTCGATGAGTATAACTAAGCCATCAAATTTACATTTAAACAACAAGCAGACAAACAAATACGACGAAGCTCATTTACATAAAACTAATTTTTTCCCATGCGAGATAGAAATAATATACACGGTAAAGTAGCATTTTAATCATAATTATATTATGTATAAAGAATTGACAAATTTATAAATTGAGAATTTTCGGAGGAGTAAGAGTGCCAGTTGAAAGGTTTATTATTATTAATAAAAGAATGTAATAGAAAAAATTATTTACAAGTCGACTTGCACTGTCTTGTGAAATCCAGTTGGTAAAGCCCTTTTTTTCTCAGTATCGATGACTGGAGAGAAATCCAAATTCGTTATCCACGGCAGTATAGCCACGATGTAGCGGCGATAAGCGGGCATTTGCTCGATAGGATTGCCGTGAAGCGTGAGGTTGCGGAGGTTTGTTAGAGATCGCAATTTGACAATGCTCTTCATGTCGGATAAGAGATTACCGTGCAAGTAGAGGATCGTCAAATTTTTAAATTTCAAAAGCTCGTCGTCGAGGTCACCGATGCGATTGTAGGCGAGATCCAACCAACGGAGCTCGGTCGGGTCCTCGAGGAAATGTTTGGCTAAATTGTCGAGGCCAGCGCAGCTTGAGAAGACGTTGTTGCTTAGCCACAAAGAACTGGTGAGGTAGCGTTCGTTCACCGACAGATCCGGTAGCTTACCGACGCGAGTCGATTGCACGGCGCGATTGAGTAGATCTCTTGTGCAAAGTTAACGTGGTTAGACAAATTGCTCTACTGTCATTTTACCAAACATAACCATACCGTTGATCGTACGGGCGTTCTTGAAGGATAAGTCCAGTGGAGGACTCGCGTGCATCTCTTCGTCCTCTTCGCGGTGATAATCGGAACGGTTTGGATTTCTCGCCATTCTCGATCAAAATACTCGAATCAGGTTTAATTTTATTAGAAAAAAAAACGATAAGCCGTGCCAGTGGCTCATAACTGGCGACTCTGCGCTATTGACATTTATCAATTTGGTGAAAAAATGAAAGAAAGAAAAAAAAGAGAATCATGTAAAAACTATCGAATTAGCTTGCGCAGTTGTTGTATTGTCTCGGTCGTGGGTGATACGGTGCAAGCTCTCAATGTTAACGGCGTGTAAGAAGACAGCGTATCTGGTTAGAACGAAATAAAGAAAAGTAATTTTGCAGACAATGTCGATGATTCTTTTTCCCATCCCAGCGGCGTTCGCCTTCGATAACAAAAATAAGCCGTTCCCTTGCGCAAGCGTTATAAATGTTGATAGTCGCTATATTTCATTGCGCATATCGAGCGTGGGGTTTCGCAAAATTGTTCTCCGATAATTTACGTCGCTTTGTTAAATTATTTCTAAAAATGTGGCGCCAAGCCAGCTGCAAGCTCAGCGCGTTGCTCGCCGAGTAGCGCGCGACAGCTCGACGGCGTGCGCGTACACATGTAACGACTCGCCGCGCGAAACATTCGATCAGCTGCTTTGTGTTTATAAATGTATACGTGACACTCCGATTTGCTCGGCCGGCGGACACGGCGGTGCGATCAATCATGCGCACTTATAAATAGGAAAAATCGACGAGGAATTGGCGTCGGCGGTGCGGTGACTGGCGAGACTGACGAAAGCTCCGCTCGGATTGACGGGAGCGACAAGAGAAGTCCGGTGGTGCGTGCGGAGCGCCGATTGGGGGCGAAATTAGAATTCAGCTCGGAGCGCGCGAAACCAACCGCGAGGTCGCGCGTCGCGAGAGAAAGAGACAATTCACTGGGCGAAGGACTGGCGCGGTCGCGCCGGGCTATATATCACTCTCGAGTCGCACCGCTCGTCGCTTTGTTGTAAGCGCTCGTCGGCGCGACTGTCGTAATCGTTCCGCGTCGGCGGGCCATCGCGAGCCACCAGAGCAGCCGCGCCGATCGACGCGGAAGCACGCCGAGATTTATTACGAGGAAGCTCGTGCGCGCGCGCGCGCGCGGCCGAGTCGCTCGGCTATATTCGCGCCGAAGGATGTTCGCGGGGGATGGACCCGCGCGCGGCTTCAGCCGGAGCGCAGCGGTCAAGGGGCAGCTTCCTATTTTCGACGTTCGCGCGCACGCCCCATCCGTCAAAGCTCGCGACGTCGAGAGCGAGGACTCTCGGGGGCGAGAGAGCGAGAGAGAGAGAGAGAGAGAAAGAAAGCGAGCGTGGGCACAATGGCGGCAGATAGCCTCGCCCGTAAAAATAAGATAAAGCTCGGCCTGGGGAGCTTTCGCGACGGGCCGTTGGGTATCAGGCTCGCATCAGGGCGCGCGAGTGAGTGGCGACGCGACGTCGGGAGCGAGCGCTCGCGGCCGAAGGTGCGCCGTGCGTGCGCGCCGCCACAGGTCTAAACTTAGCCCGCGCGGCGGCGAGAGGGAGAGCTAGGAGGCGGCCCGCCACTCTCGAAGCGCCCGCAGTGCAGATCCAGCCGCTCGAGGGCCCGAAGCTCGACCGAAGCCAGCCGACTTCTAGCCGACGATCCTAGCCGCTCAGTCCGCAGCGCAGCAGCCCACGTGCGAGCAGCCACGCGTGCCGCCGAGCAAGTCTCCAGCCAGCCAGGCAGCCAGCCAGCCAGCCGACCTCTCCTCCATCCACGTTCAGTTCGCCAGCCGGTGAGCCGCGATCGCCCAGTTTCCCGCATGCCGCCGCCGCCCGAGCCCAGAACCGATCGTTGGTCAATCGCGCGCTCTACAAATTCGCCAGGCGCGTTTCGACATCGGCCCGCGCGCCTATCTTTACCGCCAGCAACCCCTCGGCTGCCGATCCGCCGATCTCCTCCGCGATCCTGCCTGCGCGCCCGTGACATTACCGCGTCCTCGGCCCTAACCAACGGCCCGTTTTTCTTGTTCGCAGAGCAGCTGCGCCGAGGCAAGGGGAGCTCGCAAGCATCGCCGCAGACGTCGAGATGGCATACTCCTGGGACAACCGCTGCAACTTCGTCGTCAAGTATCTTTACGGTATAACCGTGCGCATGCTCCGCCGTACTTCTGGCAGTCTCGACAACGAGCCGCAGTATTCCAACGGAAACAATTGGAGACGCGCGGCGCGCCTCCAGGGAACGCGCGCGGCCGACCAAAATAAGCGGGCGCGGGGGCGCGAAAACAGAATGCGAGAGGACGAAGAGTGAGGAACGGTCGCCGCTCGCGCGCGCGAGTTTTCCCGAGGGCGCGCGCGCTCGACGAGAGAGAGGGAGAGAAAGAGAGAGAAACGAGGCGCGCAGCAGACGCCGTTGGCAGCGCGCGTACGGAATAATAGCGGCTTGTCGCGCGCTGCCTGTTGACAATATGCTCGCCGCCGTGTAGCAGCGCTTGGCAATTGATCTGGCGGCGGCCGCCGTTGCTGCTGCGGCTGATGCTGCGAGCAAAGGTCGCCGGGCGTGGGCGGTCAAAATTAGCATTCGCGCACCGGGTGCCGTGTCGCAACGGCGATCGCGCGGCCCGCGCAAATCGCTGCTCGATTATCGGGAGCCAACAACTGCGACAAGATATATGCGCGGGTCGAGGCGCGAATCTGGGTAACGCGGTCGCAAAACAATGCCGCCGGCGCGACGCGTTCGACGCAAAGCTGTCAACGAGCGACGCGTGCCCTTCCGCGATTTCGCTCGTCTCTCTCTCTCTCTCTCTCTCTCTCTCTCTCTCTCTCTCTCTCTCTCTCTCTCTGAGACAAGCGCGGTTAGGAACCAAGATACCCAGCGATTTGCTTGGAAATCGTCGGAAACCGAGGAGAAACAAACGGCCGACTTCCAATCGAAAAAGACGTGTGCGGCCCGGCTGCTGTTGCAGATACCGACAGCAACGGAGTGCTGGAGAAGAACGACTTCGAGTGCATGGCCCTGAAGATGACGGTGCTCGAGGGTAAGGGCGTCTTCGACACGGCCCGTCACCAGCAGAACCTCCACGTGATGCTGTCGCTCTGGGAGGAGATCGCTCAGATCGCCGACTTTAACAAAGTATTCTCGACTTTCCCTCCGTTTGCGATCTCGCTCGTCGCTCGTGAGACTTCGCGGACTCGATACGATTGACGATCCGGTCGTTCCCACATTGCAGGACGGCATGGTCACCACCGAGGAGTTCAAGGACGCCGTGAAGAAGTCCTGCGTGGGCAAGTCGTACGCGGAGTTTCCGCAGGCCATGAAGATGTTCATCGACAACCACTTCAAGATCGTCGACATGAACGGCAAGTGCACCGCTCGATATTAGCTTCACCGAAATAATGCGCGCCAGCGCTCTAGACGTAACGCAGGCGAAATTGGCAGGTGACGGAGTGATCGGAGTGGAGGAGTACCGGTACAACGCGGTCACGCGAATCCCGATCGCCAGCATCGACATCATCGATCAAGCCTACCAGAAGTTGCTCAACGTGAGTATACGCCTCGGTTCGGTTGATGAATCGCTCGGCGCAACGATTGCAAACCACCGCCGCTTTTCTAGGACGACGACAAGAGGAAGGGCGGACTGACCCTGTCGCGCTATCAGGAGCTCTACGCCTCGTTCCTCGGCGACTCCACCGACAAGACACCGGCGGTCCACCTGTTCGGCCCACTGCCCGAGAACCTCTGAACGCCTCCCACATCCCGACGATTAATAACCATGCTCTTTCTCAGTCTTGCAATAGTGTGTCGCCTCCCTCTCCCCCGCCCCCTCCACACTTCACCCGTCGGATCTCTCGAAACTCGGTTGTTACCGTTGTTATTTATGTACCACGCTTTAATACTACGTACGCCACACGTACGGACGGACTTTATTTATTCGTCTAGTTAGACCAAAGATTAATTATACCGACTCTCTGAGCGACACATTGTTCCTCTCTTCCTCGTAGAATTCTCTGCGTACACGCACGGACACACACGCCACACGCACACGCCGCGAGTATAAATGTCACGTGCAACATTGACTTGACGCGCACGCCGCCGCGCTGCGCGCGCGAGATACAAGACTTTTCGATACTGCAATCGTGCCAAGTATACATGAGTTGTCGTTGATTTTTTTTTTTTTTTCTGTTATATACGCTTTGTTCTATGACTCGCCTTTTTTTCTTTCCTTCTTCAAATTGATTGATTGATTAAACCAAAGACATGTCCCTTATTTCATTTCAATCGACTCCGCTCGTTTTTATTTACTCAAAACGTTTGTCTCTCGATACGCGAGTCGGATACATGTACCGTCAATGTAATTAAAGATAATCCTGAAATTTTTGTTGCTGCTTAATTGTCATAAAACAAATGTAACATTTTATACAAATTGTACATTTCCGGACTAACACAAGTTTGTACACGAGTAAATAGAAAAATATATGTTATCTGGTTCTTGTTAAACAAATTGAAAGACTAATTTCATTGTCATGGCAAGGCATGACGACATTGCACTATTTGTTCCTTGCTTCATAGTCGTCTACAGCACTGGCAGTGAAGGAATCATCATGGGCTGCAGCAATGGGCTTCAGGTAGACAAGTTTGTGCTTGTAAACATCTGGTAGGAGCGCACTCATGACCATGTGCGTGATTGCAGCTGTTAAACCCCAAATTTTATGATTTCCTCCTAGATATGCTGGCAGTGTATAATTATTTCTAAATTGTGTGTATCTACAGAGAGCTGGATCACATAGTTTTTCCAGAGGTTGTACAAATGCTTCCTCCACCTCGTGAGTATTAATCTTCAAGCTTTTAGGATCTACTTCACCGATGAAACCTATCACAGGCAACACTATCACATCTTTTCTATGAATAAAATTACCACTACCCCAAACGCTCACGTTATCCTTTGGTATGTTTAACTCTTCAAATGTTTCTCTCAACGCTGTATCCTCCAAAGTTGTATCATCTTTGTCTTTCTTGCCTCCTGGAAACGATACCTGTCGTCTGTTCATTCTAACTTTTTGTGAACGAAGAGTATACAGGAGACCAACTTTTCCATTATGCACACATAAAGGGACAAGAACAGCAGCTTGGCTTGGATCTCCATCACTTTTCTTGGTCATCTTTATTTGTTTTAGTCTAGTGACGCATGCTTTTTTAACTTTATCATTGATTATGCCTTCTGGTGTCAGTTGCGCTAGTTCCATTGTGCTTAATTGATTTTGAAATTTCGACCACTGGACAAAAATACATCAAATTTAATATTACTTCCTTTTATAATAACAATTGTAAAATCACTACATAGATTTTATCAATTCGAATTGAAAGAAATTTATGTTTAAATAAATTATTTAAGTCAAAGTCAAAATCAATCTTTTTTCAGATAATGATATTCAAATATCGTAAATAAAATAAAAATTATACACTAAAATGATTGTGTGTAAAAACCAGACAAGGAAAGCTTAAAAAGCTGGAACTATAGCTAAAAAAACTTACTAGTTTTACCGATGGAAAAGGTTTAGCGCGTCTTCTTACAATTTGATACGCCATCAGTAATAATTTTTAGATTCGTAAAAACACTTGTAAACTATTGTCAACTGCTGACAGACATTGAAAAATAATTTTAATGCATTACGACAAATGCACACGTCGTACTCTAAAAATTGCATATTGGCATGTAAAGGTGAAGTTTGCCTTTTCTCAACAGCTGTTTATCAATGCTGCCAACGGTCTTGTTCTTAGTTCTTATTTTAATTTATGTTCGCGCCAAGCGAAGAATAAAACGAACAGAGTTCAGATTTCAGAACAAGACAGAGCAGATGGAGATAGAGCAAGATACCAGAAGGCAACGAAATAAAATAGTAATAGTTCAAATGAGTAAAGTAAATTGAACAAATAATGATGATGATGTTGAATAATGAATTTATTGAATTCAATAACTAATAATTTTAAGTACTCTAAGACATATATCTTGATTAAAAAAATCGACTTCTAACAAATAGCTAATATTGACAGTTATTACAAAAAATAATCCATTCCTATTAATACAACGTTTCTTATAAGGGCGCGCGATTATCCTCTTGAGGGGGTATTGTCGCACAAAAGTGTTATTCCCGACTGATCTTTCAGATGCATGTATCGGTGTAATGAGTAAATAATATTCATTCTTTAAAGGATGGTTATAGTAGTATTTGGATTGGATTGAAAACTGCATGTGATTGTTGCTAACGATCCAATTCATGTATTTCTATAAAAACCATATTAAAACCCTACACAGATTCAATTACTACCGATTTAGGACTGTTCAAGCTTTGGAATCTTTTTATTAACGAAATCTTAATTGCGCGGAATTATTAATGAGTTTTGATATGTTTGCCAATTATGAGCAGTTTTTTCTATAATTTTTCAGAATCGATTATCATCGATTTCTCAATGAGTTCCTTTACCTGATCTGATCAGGATTCGCGACACAACTGACAGTGACGCGTAATATTTAACCCGTGGCTGGCTACTAGCGTCATATAGTAAAGTCTGCTGTCATGCACTCATGCTAATTATTTTATTTTACCGTTTTCTATATAATTTTCTCATGTTGAGTATTCGTTTCCTTACTGAAGCTATTTATAAATTAACTATATACTTTTTATTATGTACAGGAAAATAGCTGCTATATTTTTGTTCACTCCACAAAATTGTAATCCATATTTTCTCATGCATAATAAAAACCAATTGCAATGTTACGTTTTATATTATTGAAATCTCATTTTCATTTTTAATTTATGGACAAATTTTATAGTTAACTGTGCTAACTTAACTATACAATGTAACTTCATATGTACACATCATTATATAAATGAAAAATATAAAGGTAAAATATGCTTGTTTTCTGTTGCTGTGTAAATTTGTATGTTAGCTAAATCTGATTTTCAATAAACAGCAATATTATATTTTCAGTATCTAGTTTCATTCCATTATTAAGCTGAACAATTTTCAACAGACAATGAAGAAATCAAATAAAAAAGTAGGCTGCAAGTCTATAATTAAAAATTTGTCTCATTAACAACTTGAAATTAATGTGGGTCATACATTTATTAGTTATCACATAATTTTCAATTTATTACTAAAACTTAAACCTACAAGAAATTTACAAAATCATTCAGTTATATAAAATAATCAAATGGAGGAAATAAATTTTGATAACAAAGGAAATCTACTTGCTGATTCATTTGAGACAACGATGCAATGTCAAAAAAGAATGTCTCTACAGGTCATAAGCTTACAGTGATGTATTTCACAATTAGGTTGGTAGTGATGATAATTGGATGGTGATTAATGGACAACTAGGAGACAATCGTTTGATAGATCTCACAACCAATGATTCATGTCTGTTATTACAGTCATATTATGTCCCTATAAACACTTGTTATATGTCTTATGGATATCAATTTACCATAGATGGTTAAACTGAAAAAAGATTTTTGTATTGAAAAGTCCAACAAAGGTTTTTTCTACAAAAAGAAAATGAGATGAGAACTGTTACAATATTAATCTTGACATAAATCAACTTAAATGTTCAGAATTTTTTTTTGGGACAACGAATAATATAGAAATATACGACCAAAGAAAATCATCAATGCCTGTTGAAGAATTTTATCTTGTTGAATGAATTGTAAAAGGTACTGTAACTTAATGGTGCTGAAGATGTTTCCAGTAATAAAGTCATTTAATCAGTCTCGCAATATTGACAATGCCTACTTTTTCAGATCAGGAACGAATTACAATTTGATCGACAACGAAAATGTATAAAAAAACTTACGGTTCAATTGTGGAACGAGGAAACGCAAGAGTTGATTCGTAGCTTTGTACTGAACGTGTGTACCGATTCGCAGTACATCCCACTCTACCAGTCTTAGAAATGGATTGGGATGATCGAAGTGTTGGTTTGTGGCAATGAATTTGCGCGCACTGCGCGTGTTGTTGACAATATTGGAGATCTATCGTAGTTGAATTTAAGTATGTTGTTAGAGTATGATGTACTTTTGTCTTGCCGCCGACGACGACCTCGCGTTTTAGAAGCGAAAATATTTATGTACCCAAGACTCGTAATATTTACGATGCACACTTTGGCGGACGGAGGAGCCAATTGCGCCGTTACTATTTCGCCTGGATAAGCGAAAATGATGTGGAGCGACGGTGGCAGTGCTTTGTTGCAGCTCGACAGAAATATTTGTCTACGGAGCAACTGCAGTTCGAAGAATGGAAACAGTGATTTACATCGCTGAAATAAAACATCTTTCGAAGGGAAAAATGTGCCTTGTATATTGGAAAGGTAACGAGCACATGATCGACTGCTCGCAGCGGAATGGTTCGCCGTTAGACTAATATTGGTGAAAGAGGCCGTAAACGACTGGATTTCGAGGTAATAGCAGCCAAGGCAGGCTTATAAAAGTACAAGCGGCGCGAGGGAAGATGCGATTGCCGTGGCGAGCGTCGCGCGAAGGCTACCTGAATTTTACTGCCGACTCCGCCCTTCGGCGAAACAATTGTCGGGAAAGTCGCCCGAGGCCCGAGCGAGCGCAGAGCCGGACTCAGTTACCCAGACTCAGTTCAGCCCAGACAACCCGAGCGCGCGCTCCGGCAGCGAACGCGATGAAGACGCTGACGCAGCACCTGTTCGAGCGGCAAACGGGCATCGGGTCGCCGCGGTTCGAGGCCGGCCACTCGGAGATGGTGCGCTCGATCCACCGGCTGCGCCCGATGCACCAGATGCACCACCAGCAGTACACCGAGGCGCTGGCCGCGGGCGTGCCGGCCCAGCAGAGCAAGGAGCTGGCCGATCGCAGCTACATAGCGCGCATGCGCTTCAACAAGCCGGGCAACCTGGTGGGCACGTCGTACTGGTCGCACGACTCGATCGAGCTCTGGAGCTGGCAGCAGCACACGCACAACCACAAGCTGCCCGTGCCCACGCTCATGGGCAGCTCGATCGTGCGCTTCGACTGGCTGTACAGCAACCCCGAGGCGCACATGGTGGTGCTGGGCAAGCACGGCGACGTGAAGCTGCTCGACCTGCGCCAGCTGGTCTGCTACAACCTCGTGACCAAGCAGCGCTGCGCGAGCATGGCCTACGGGCTGCACCCCGAGCTGCCCTTCAGCATCCTGTACGGCGCGCGCGACGGCCTGGTGCGCGACTTCGACGTGCGCCGCGGGCCGCTGCCCGAGGACGCGCTGGTGCGCGCCACCAACCGCGACGGCAGCCCCTTCCAGCTCTACTCGCTGAAGATCAACCCGGCCGACAGCAACCAGTTCGCCGTGGCCGGCTGCGCCGAGGACGTGCGCCTCTACGACCGGCGCAGCGCCCGCTGCCCACTGCACGTCATGTACATGACCACCTACCCCGGCCTCCGGAGCACCGGGCTCGAGCGACGAGGTTTTATCCGTTTTACCGCGGCCTCTGCCAGCCCCGCCGCCAGCCGGCCGCCGACTAACGCGGCGCCGCCTTGCCGTTTTGCATTGCAGACACGAGCGGCGAGTACAGCTACGTGACGGACGAGCGGCGCAGCCGGCGCTGGAACCTCCAGGAGATGGCCTTCAACTACAACGGCACGCAGCTCGCGCTCAGCTGCGGCTACGACTCGATCTACGTGTTCGACACGCACATGAGGTACCCGATCGGCAGCTTCACCGCCAACTGCCTCGAGGCCAACGACGAAGGCCTCAACTGCAGCATCACGGGCAGCGTCGTCTACGGCCTCGAGTACTTCGGCCTCAAGAGCGACTTCATGATCGCCATGGCCAGGGGCCACGAGCACATCTACGACGCCAATCTGCGCGAGTTCCCCGAGTCGTACAAGCGCACCAGCCTCTACATCTGGGACAGCTTCAGCCACCAGCTCGTCCGCAGGATCCCCATGCCCGAGCGCAACTGGAACTTCGCGGCCCACCCCCACCTGCCCGTCATCGCCACCGCCCTCGACCAGAAGGGCATACAGCTCTGGAACGCCTTGTAGTGCCCGCGCGCCGCACGGCCGCTGCGATTGACGTGCGAACGTCGCTCGCGGTCGATTGGCGCGCGAGACGCTGCCTTCGGCGCCGACAACTGCCAGCGTCATTTAATTAGGCTCTCGATTAAACCCTCGCGACTCGACCGACTAATCCAATCAATGTCCATCGAGTCTCGCCTGTAACTTGTACCTCGATATGCGCTGTGAATATTTTACTCTGTATATTTTTATATATGCTCGTCTCGCGTTCACAATTCCGTCTTAGTCTTAAGTCTGCGTGTCTTTGTTTGCTTTTCTTTCTTTCTTATCGTTGGGATCCGACGTCTGGGGACTGCTGCGACCTCTCGCCGCGCCAAATAGAATGAACATTTTAACACGGACGGCCTAGGGCAAAGTGCCGCTTCTATTTAGTATCTTAACGATAATGGAAAAAATTCGTAAATGAACGTGCCAATCTGGATAACAAATCATACGTCTTGGATAAGTGCATATTTTCCAATTTTTTTATTCGCTTATCTTCAACGAATCATCTGTCATTTCAACTGGCATCGACTCATTCGCGCATTTCTTCGATCATCATTAATATGCTATTACTTTCCCCCATGCTGCCCGCGTTAAAACGCCTACTTGTTCACTTCCACTTCGCGCCCGAGAGAGTACACGGCAGTCCAGATGTCAAAATCCAATATCGATAACAATCTTTTTAACGCTCTTCGTTACTTCGTTACTGTGTTCATATTTTATATACATACATAGCGAATATGTAGCTGATGGATTTTTATAGAAATCGACCGATTTCTTGACACTGTGTGCAATTCTTCGAAGCAAAGATAGATATAGAATTTTATTTAATAATTACGAATTTTACCCGATCGTTGAATGTTTTCAAAAACAGTATTTATATTCAATATTTTCGCGTGAAAAATTGAATGAAAACACTTGCTCGATTCCAAAAAGTGCATTCTAGTTCTATCATTATTTTAAATATAAACTATAAACGAAGAATATTCGAGAGTAATTTTTTCCCCAAATCGATTTTTCCTAGAGATAATTCGAAAGCCATTAGAACAAATTTTAGTAGTTACTGCCGTATCCAATAGCAGCTGTAGAAAAGTAAGTCTGTACAGTGAAATCAGTTTAGTTCAACGATGAACAGTAAGTACTTATCTTTGGTTTAGTGTCCCCTCTGACTCGACAGTTAAGTAGGTATACTGTTTGTCTCGTATCGTGCAACGAGTGAGCGAATGAATACAAGGAAAAATATACGAAAAGAATTTTTTTAGTCGATTAACTCTTGTTACGGCGGAACGAGTTATATATTGCCATATATAAGTCTAAACACAAGAGCTAAAGCTTTCAAGGATACATTTTTTAAATCTCATTTCACAATATATAGCCACATGCACGTATATTAAAATGTCAAAAATCTTTGACATAGCTGTAACTCTGATTAAAGAAATGAAATGTCTTAATGCACCTAAGCACATTTTTCAATGCTTATTACTAATTATTTTATGTCTTTATAACCAAACTAAAAGTAACTTGAATTTGTATCAATGAACTTTATTCATTTTTCACGCCTATGCATGAATTTTATCTGTTCATTGAAGTCTTCTAGTAAAATTTCGTTGATACAAGATTGGAAGGAAAAAGACAAAAATAATCAGCTCTCATTCAGTGTTTACCCACTGTCTTCAATGTACCTTTCTTGGCTGAACTTGGAGAAACCAGATTAGAATCGAAACGGTATTCCACTTTGTTTATATGTCTATATGCATTTCGAGACCTTTCTGGATACATTTGAAAGGATAATAGTCTATTCTAAGAAGGTTTTGCGTATGCACGGAGAAGACTTAGAGTTGCTGCTGCTAAAGTATTTTGCTAATATCTTCACCCGCGAAAGATGAATCGTCGAAGCCTAGTTTGACGTCGCGCTTGAACAAGTTGTCGACCATTCGAAAAGACGGTGTCGATAAAATTATTATTTCTTAAGTTATCTATTTAAATTGCAATATTAATGGCTACACTAACACCGTGAATAATTTTTCATATTCTTATTTTAGCGCATAGCTAGTAAAATAATCAATTAGAAGAGAAATGAAAGAAAATCAGTTGTGTAAGCCTTCCAAATTCCTGATATTTCAATGACAATGAACATAAAAATCGTTGACTCTCCAACAAATGATGATTTGATTACTGACTTCCGTTTTACCATTCGACAGAGACTAATTTTGCTCGAACTGTTTATATTAATGATGATGATGCATGTATTCGAAGTCGCTTTTAGCGTTGAATGAGATCGCTGAAAAGTGTTTTCGTTAAAATATATTATCTAGAAAATTACCATAAATTCTAAACCGAAATTTCCGTGTACTTATATCAAAAACGTCGAATTTATAAAAAATTTCATTTGCATACTATTTTTGTTGATAATTATAATTATTAAAAGTATCGATTAAAAACATTACTTCAATAATAGCTCCAGTTTTTGCTGCTACTCCCACAAACACTCGATAGAAGTGTTATAATGATCGACATGTGTTGTCTCAATGAAAAGAGCAGAGCGAGACAGCTAATTATTGATAAGGTGGAGGTCAACGGTTGTCGCTATATGACTCGCGAAAAATTATTTTATTGATTTTTTTTATAATTATCGGAACAGTAAGCGAAGAACAAGTTATATACAATATACGTTTCAATTTTATCGATACTACAATTCTTTTGTTACGGAATTACTACCAACTATTATATATATATATATATTTATATAGACTATGGAAAATATTTTTTCGCAATTTATTAAAAAAAAAATATGCTTACTTTGCGTGATCATATTACCATCGCATCGTAGTAATAAAAGTACGACGAAGTGAAAATAAACTGCGCACATATTGACGGTGTTGAACGGGCTGAGTGTACACAAAAAGCATCAACACTTAGTTTGAAAATTTCATAACTGTGAGAGCACCTTGTTTTTCCTTAATTTAAAGAATAGCATTCCTTCGTTCCTGAAGTATACGCAGTTCGAATATTTTCACTTATGGAGTCATTAAATCATATGAGAAATTCCTAGAACTTAACGCTCGACAAATGATGGATTACTACGAGCGACCGAAGCGCCTAAAAATGTAGGATGCGCGTGTGATAAGCTCTGAATTATAGACAATACGTCAACGTGTTAATGCGAAGGTGTTGCTTAAACCTGTTACGAAGTTCGTTTTTCGCAATCTCTGCTTTGAATAATAAAATCTTTCGAGACAAAACTTGACCCTCTGCGACGGACATTCTGTTACAGTAGGCATTTACAAAAGAAAGAATGCGAATTATCAAGCGCAGCCAGTCAAAAGCCGGCGGTAGATGCGTGCGCATCCAACGAGTCATGCGAGGACTCTCGCGATCTCTTTCTCTCTCGCATGGTGAGTCAGCAGTAGCGAGCGCACGACAGTGGTAGGAGCGTCTGCGCAGAAAATTCCACACGGCGATTACGTGCGTCAAGAGAGCGAGACTTGTCAGTCGCGCGCACGCTCGCCATCGACTTGCATTTTGTAAAGTACGTTATCATACGTACGCGATACGCACTACGCTGAGCGGAAGTCGCTTGCTACCGAATCCGAACAAGCCCAAGGGAGCCGTGCAGCGAAAAACAGTTGACGAGTCTGGCGTTGCCGTCGTGAGCGAATGGTGCATCGAGTGTAGTAAGCTAGTGTTCAAGCCGCCGTCATCCCTGCATGTGTGTACGTGCGCACCTGGTAAGAAGAGTCGTCGTCGAGGCGAGCTGCAGCAAGAGCAGCACGGGGCGGTTATGATCGTGCGGGAAAAGCCCCGCTTGCGCTCGGGGACAATGCTGCTGTTGTTCCTTGTTGTCGCAGCTCAAGCACTCGTCACTCGAGTGAGTATTATAGCTATGATTCATCCATCTTGTCTTTCGCGTGCGATATGCTCGCGGCGTAACACGCGCGCACACACACACACATGCGCGCGCAAAGCACGAGCACCACTACTACCACGCCCGCGCCGTTCCATTGCTTACTTTCGCCTCTTCAGCCCCGTTTTACGCTCGCTTGCCAACGACGGCCGTTTGTTTATCCATCGTCGTCCAGGCGACGTTCTCGACGTAATTTCGGAATTTTCGGAATTGTAACCCTGAATTGCGCGCGATTGCACGCACGATGGCGGAATTTCGAGAAAAGCCTTCTTTATCGAGGTGCACCGTAGATTTTTGCTCGCTCAAGGATCGGCCGTTATACACTTGCTCGCCTTGGCTCAGGCCTATATATCGATCAGTTGGTTAATCGAATTTCAACAAGCACGCACACGCGCGGTCGAGAGAGAGAGAGAGAGAGAGAGAGAGAGAGAGAGAGAGAGAGAGAGAGAGAGAGAGAGAGAGAGAGAGAGAGATAGATACACCTATCGATGGAACTAACCGTCAAGCGTGCGGCAACGTCGTACTTTCCGCACGGGACGTCAAATCAAAAGTGGATTTCCGTGGAAAACGTGTGCTCGAGTTGGCTCTTCTCACACGTTCCGTTATTTCAAAAAGTATCATAATCAACATGTTCGGTAAAGTAGATTTTCTCGTCCCGTATGCTTTTGCAGCCTCGCTTCGCTCGGGTGTATACATCAGGCGGGACAAGAATTTACATTCTCGCACTAGCTGGCTAATGTACTATTTGACGCGCGCAGCGCGAATCGAGCAGCGAACGGTAAAATCGAGATACGCGACGTGAAAGCAATGGCTCGCGGATGACGTCGGTCGGAGTTTTCTATAGCGCAAAGCGCGCACCTTGGCAGGCGAGGTAGCCGCGAGCTTAAATGGGAAGTGGCCGAGACGCGCTCCAGACTAGGTCATTATCAAGCCGGAAGCGCGTTCCTTACCTCCGTCCTTTGGCGCGTGCAATCGAGCAGCCGCTCTCGCCACTGCCGCGGACGAGCGACGGCCACGCGTTGCGAGCGGATCTGCTGACGAGCGGCGCGCATTACAGGTCACCGGAGAGCCAGACCAAGGCCACTGCGTCTGGTACGGCGAGTGCTACGGAGTGGCGCAGAGGAAGAACTGCCCCTACAATGGCCCGGCCAAGGAGCTCACCGACGAGAAGGCCCTGGCGATCTTCAAGCGCTACTGTCCCCACATGATTCCCAACGACGGGTCCAATCCGCTCACCTGCTGCAGCCCCGAGCAGCTCAACAGCTTCAGCAGGGGCGTCGATATGGCCTCGGCCATGCTGCAGCGCTGCCCCAGCTGCATGAGCAACTTCGCCAAGCAGGTCTGCGAATTCTCCTGCAGCCCGACGCAGTCCACCTTCGTCAACGTCACCAAAGTCGTCGCCGTCGACAGTGAGTCTCGCCTTTCCTCCCGCCACGACGCCAACGGCGTTTCCAGCTCGCGTGCAATCGACACCACTCGCACTGTTGTAGACACTAGCTACGTGGACGGCATCCAAGTTTACATGACGCCCGAGTACCTGAACGGCACGTACAAGTCGTGCAGCCGCGTGACGATGCCGAGCACGGGTTCGCTGGTCCTGGACGTAATGTGCGGCGACTATACGGCGACGCGCTGCACGCCCGAACGCTTTTTCCATTTCTTGGGCGATGCCACCAATCCCTTCGTGCCCTTCCAGATCGACTACATCTCCACCAGTCGGCCCGTCGACCGATTCGTGCCGAAGGATCCCGGTGTGACACCCTGCAACCAAGCTCTCGACGTACGTTCAACGCTCTTATCGATCTGACCCCCCCCCCCCCCCCCCAACCCGCTCGCTAATCCAGGCCCTTCTTTCTCGTCTGTCCGCAGGCCAACTCGCCGGCGTGCAGTTGCGTGGACTGCGAGGAGAGCTGTCCCGTACCGCGGCCTCTGCCTCCGCCGCCCGAACCCTTCACTCTGATGGGCTACGATGGCTACGCCATGATTATGACTGTCATCTTCATCGGTGGTAGCGCCATTTTCATCCTGTCATTTGTCTGCTTCGACAATCGCGAGAAGATTGGTAATTTGACTCTGTTTCGCTTTGCGTCTCCTTCGTCCGCGATACTCTCTCGTTCGATAAGATATTCCCGCACACCTGGACGCTCAAGAAATGTTCTCGAGATTAGCTATGCTGAATTTTTCTTTTTCTTCTTTCAATTAGTGCGACTCTCGGTGTCCGATGTGCACGACAGTTCCACTTGCATATTTTACTCTCCTTGCCGAACGTCAGAATATGCTTAGGCAAACTGAATGCTGATAGCTGTTTTATCAACGAGTGCGACTTCGAGCCTCCGCAGTACTATTTATTTTTTTTATTACAAACTCGAGAAAGCGTTTCTCTTTCATTCGATTTCTTACCGGTCTCTTTGTGTTCTCTCCCTGCCAAAAATTAGAATTGAAAACGATTTGGGCCTAATGCTTTTACGCTGAAAAGTATCATATTGACGGTTTACTTTTTACTAAAGCTTGTTGCCGTTGAAAATCAGTTATTCGACAGCTGATCCGGTGCGACTGCTATAAGAAACGCTCTAAACTTACAGTAACGAATAATTTTATCTGTTTTCTCTTACGGTATGGTTGTACAACATTTGGCAGTTCTAATTGCGAGTACGCTAATTAATCCAAATTAAACAGAAACGATTAATTCTATTAGTTGAGGAGAGGTGAAGGATTGTATGCACACTGTCCCAATTTATTGGTTGTCGTCTAACTTGCAATAGTGTTGACAAAGTTTTTATTTGATCGTCTTCCACCACAGTTCTACTAATGTTTGACATTTTTTTTATCAAGCACCAGTTCACGAAACACTTTTATTCATTTGTTCGAATAACGCGCTGATTGGAATTAATCCGATGAATTATATTTGATTCGCTCATAAATTGAGGCCATCAGCTACCAATCGGATCTCGAGTCACGTGTCATTATTGAAACTAATTCGCAATTATCGAGTCATTTAAATGGCGTGTAACCGAATTAACTGTCGGTGTGTTAGAGATATAGAGAGCTCTGAATGGCCCGCGCGTGTCGTTATTCCAGTTGGCTACTACTTTTTTATTTGCCGTTTATACAAGAAGGAGCAGAAAGAAAAAAACCTCGCTTCGCCAAGGAATTCCAATACTGCCGAGGACTGCGATTTCTTCGGATAGAGCCACGACGGCGCGAAAACCTGTTTCCTGCATAATGTATTATTCACATATACGCGATAGTCCAGGTGACGCAAGCGATTACGATTTTTCCAAATTCTTTGAGAATCGAAGGGAAATCGATCAACGATCACCCGGTATTCGGTGCACTATTTGCTCTGTTTATCTGTTTAAAACATGTTTGGTGTGTGTTTCGACAACATACATTATCACACGTTCAAGGAGCAACTCGACTTTGAAATGTGACCACTTTACATTAAGCATTTCGTACATCCGAGCTCGTATCCTTCGAGGCGTCATGTTTTCAAAAAATTCGAGAACATTTGCTTACATATATAAAAGCGCGATTTTTTTTTGGTAGAAATGGGGTGAAAGGTTGTACGCATTAATCCAAAAGCAAGGAAAAGGCAATTGATAAAATGTCGTAGAGGTAGGGAAAATGAGTTGATTAGAAAGTGTATGTACGGTATCCTGTGTGTGTGTATGTAGTTGCACGAGGGGAGGAGGTAGGCAGACAAGTGGGTAGACGTCTGGCCGCGGGTCTGCACCAACCAGGAGACGGTGCCCGCATCGCTCTCGCCGCTGACCAAGAGGACAGCCCTCTGCAATCCAAACGTTCCAGTACGTCTCGTAAATCTGTCCAAACCAAAATCTCTAACTCTGTTTGCTTGCATTTTATAGTGACGCTAATTTTTTTTTTTCAATTTTTGTTTCTACCTTGTTGTTGTTGATTAGTTCACGTAGTTGATAGATTTGCATCCAACAATTTTGTATACGCTTGTAATTTTTTTTTTTATTTCTTGAAATGAAATGTTAATTCAATACCAGGCTAATTGAAAGTCGATAATTATTGATGTGACGTATTATTCACTATATCCTGGATTAATGTTGGTATCTGAGATTGCGTGAACGCGAAGACTAAACATTAGTTATTTCAATCTTGTTGCATGCAAAGTTATCGAGCACTTTGGCTTGTGTAGCAGATCATGTTGTCGATAACTCCTGTCAATTGAACTGCATTGTTTTACATCATGCATCGCTTTGCTGTTGGCATAACTTCAGCAGTCACGTGAGAAAACAAGTCAAAAAACTGATATAAGACTTTTTGTATAACATCGTCTCGCAGTGAAAGTCTCGCTCCAAAGATGTTGCTTGTATATATGTGCGTTCTGTTCTATGTGTATCACCTGTGTTGCCGCCTGTTGTGTCAGTGTTTACGTGTGTCGCCAAACCCAATAACATGCGCTTTACCAGCTTCTACATAATACGCTGCCATTACGTTGCTACTTCTTCTTGCGCTCGTGTACGCTCGTAATGCGACATTGCGCAAGCGAATTTATGCAACGCTTAGGGCCTTTTTGCGAAGTGTAACCGACAGTTATCTATGTCACGGCTCTATCGATCTGATATTGTCCGATACGAGCCGGGCGCTTTTTTTTTTGCTCTTTGCAGCCCGCCGGTGGGAAGAGCAGCGAACGTCGCTTCGTGAGAAATTGACACGAGCGTTGTTCTTCTTGTGCTCCTCACTGGCGGCAGCGCGAACGACTCGACTTGACGAGCAGCGCCATTGCAGTGACGATAAATAATGCTTCTCTTCCTCTTTACGCTCGAGCGTTTGTCAATCGTGTCGAATTCGTCGCACAAGCGCTCTTCGCGTTAGAATCGAATTTCCGCGGTGGCGGGCATCGGTACGACGGCCGATTGTATCTCGCGTGGCGCGACGACAGAGCGTCGCGTAAACAGATTCGACGTTACATCCGCGTGTTGACAAACGCTAGGCTTACCCTTGTTTTTTTTTTTTTTTTTTTTTAATCGAATTGCAATCCAATACGTCCCTTATCATCCGCCGATTAATCGACTCTGCTGAGAGACTTGTATACCCGCGAGAGAGAAGCAAGGGAGCGAATGATAAAGAGGTAAAACATTGCGGATAGTACCCAATAAAACTGTATCTCCGTCCGTGTCGATGGAAGCGCACGAGGACGGTTTTCGCGCTCACGGAAATTCGCCACTTCGCAATTTAACCGGGACTCGATTATTATTCGATTGCGCAAGCTTTCGCGGATTACCGTGTTCTCGCGCGCTCTTGTGCGTGACCAGCGAGATTTTTTAATCGCGTGGCGGACGCTTGTGCAACGATCGCGCTTTTGATTTCAACGCGGCAATGGGAGTAATTCGCGCGCGCGCGAGAGAGGGTGTAAAGACTGGTCGGCCGACCTTTCCGCGTGGCAAGCTATACGCTTGGATTTTCGCCAAGGAGATCGTAATCGAGGGTTGGCGTGTCTTGCATATCACCTCCGTGAAGCATTGTCAATGACTCTTTTTGGCTGCATACTGTTTTTTTTTCTTCAAAGTTCTGTTCTGTACATGCTGTATTTATTGTCTGCGCTGTATCATATATTGTACATAGCTAGTAGCGTCGGCGCACTCTCAGAAAAAGAGAGAGAGAGAGAGAGAGAAAGAAAGAAAGAAAGAAAGAAAGAAAAAAAGAAAGAAAGAAAGAAAGAAAGAAAGAAAGAAAGAAAGAAAGAAAGAGAGAAGAGTGAGAGAGGGGGAGGTTGTTGAGAATTATCGGAAGGCGCTAACACGAAAGCGCAAGTCGCCGCTGAGCGAAGAGAGGAACCAAAACTCTCACTCTCTCTCTCCCCGTCGAGAGCGAGCAGGGAAGTACTCATGAAGTGACATTGATCGTCTCTAGGTGTGATCTCGGCCGACGATTTGCCGTCGATTCTGCGGGACGAGACTTCGACCTTTCTCGAGCGCCTCGGCGCTAATACCGACAAGTTCCTGCAGAAATTCTTCTGCCGCTGGGGCACCGGTGAGTATCGCGCGTGGGATCTCCGCCAATTCGGACGGCTCTCGACCACTCGCGCCGTGCTCAGTCATCGCTCTACCTTCCCTCGGCTACGGGCAATTGCACTCTCGCCGATGCATTCATTTCGGCCCCGGTTTTGTCGCTAAATTTCAATTTCCGATCTGCACGATCGAGTGCCCTTTCTCTTTTCTCGAGATTAATGCGCGCTGCCGGCGACGAGGCGTTTCCGACGTCGAAACCCGACTTGGTCGGTGCCGGGACGATCGTCGAGATCCTTTACACGGCAAGCTTTCGACACTACGGATTGGCGTGTCGAAACGCGATTGAACGTCGAGGAAGAAGACGCGATGGAAGCGCGATTGTCGGGCGAAAAGTGACTCGACACGCCGCTCGTCTCGTAAACGAAGCAGATAACTCTTCTTTTTTAGGCCACGCGGAACACTTCTTTCGTGAATATTTTTATCAGCCTGCGATTAGATTACAATCCACTGCGATAAAGACGATCGATCCAAACAAAATAACAGATTCATTCTAAAAAACAAACAATCATAAAAACTTGCTGCTCGAAGATCGCGCGTCGGTCATTCAATTCGCACGTCCAGTTAAATCCGACGCTGAACTTTGAAGCGAATCCAGATAAGCGAATGGCACACGATTCGAAAGAATGCCACCATGCCGTCGGCCTTCCGCCGACATCTGCGCAAACGTCCGCAAGCTCCCGTCAACGACGCAATACACGACGACGACTATGAACTCGCAAGTACGCACGTTTGACGTTGCCTCGGATACGCGATCGCTCTCGATGCTTTTTTTTCGACAGACGTAACGTTTTGCAATCACCCCGAGATTCCCTCGAGGATTGACAAACGAGAACGTCGAATGATAAGAAAAATTGCGCCGAGCATTGTTTGACGTTGACGGGAGACGCACAAATTATAATGCTCGGAAGCGTTTCGACGCGTGAAAATTCACTCGGCTCGATTTCTAAATGACCAACCTGGGCGATTCGTCAATGGGGAATGGTGCGGGCGGTCGACAACGCACGAGCGATCAATCGATATCTGCGGCCATGCCCGCGTGGACAAGCAGTGGCTCCTTTGGCGCGCGCGTTCCGCTCTGGCACTCGACTCGCTTTCGCTCGAACGTATTTTCTTGCTCGCAGTGTGCGCGACCTACCCGCTGGCGGTTCTGTTTGGCGGCTTCATTTTAGTCTTGCTGCTGGGCTTTGGTATCAAGTTCTTACACGTCACCACCGACCCTGTGGAATTGTGGGCGTCGCCCAACTCACGATCACGAGTGGAGAGGCAGTACTTTGACAGCCACTTCGAGCCCTTCTACAGAACTGAGCAGATTATTATCACTTCCGTGGGGCTACCGCCGGTGAGTTGATATCTCTCTCTCTCTCTCTCTCTCTCTCGCTCTTTCTCTCTTTCTCTCTCTCTCTCTCATGGATTACGCGACCACGTGCAATCCGAACACTCGACTTCCCAGTGCAAATCATTTGCAATAGTGAGTCAGTCAGCCTTGCACGGTGATGCATTTTTCTTTGATTTGTGTTGCCGTCAAATGAAACGCCAGTTAGTCATGGACACCTGTGATATTTCATTGATGCTTTTTCTTCAATTTTAACGATGGCGCCTTCACTGCAGTTACAAAGTCTGCGATACGACTTGTTATGATAATTTTTTTTGTGCATCTTTCCGTCAGATTGAGCATCCAACGTCGAACGGCAAAATCACGTTCGGTCCTGTCTTCAACGAGAAATTTATGAAAACTGTGCTCGAGCTTCAAGAGGGTATCAAAGCAATTGTCACTCCGAATAACTATACTCTGGCCAACATTTGCTTTGCGCCGCTTTCCGCCGCCTACACCGGCCCTACTACCGTGTCGAAGTGCGCTATTCAGAGTGTCTGGGGTTACTGGCAAGATAATCTCGAAGAGTTCGAAAACAGTCACGTTGACGACAACAATTTCACAGTCAACTACTTGGATACTTTTATATCATGCTCTCAGTAAGTTCGTCCTTTTTAATAACATCGAACCAGTTTCAATGGAGTAACGTTGTCATTAATGGGACTTTTTTGATTCAGAAATCCCTACAGTACCACTTGTCTGGCCCAATACGGTGGCCCCGTAGAACCAGCAATAGCAATGGGTGGATTCATCAAACCTGGTGAAAATCTACGCAATGTCAACTACGAGAAAGCAACCGCTATTATCCTAACTATTTTGGTCAACAACCACCACAACAAGTCCATGTTAGTACCGGCAATGGAGTGGGAGAAGAGCTACATTGAATTCATGAAAAACTGGACCAAGACTAGAAAGCCAGCTTACATGGATCTCGCCTTCACATCCGAGAGATCCATCGAAGATGAACTCAACAGAGAGTCGCAATCGGATGTCTTGACAATTCTTGTGTCCTACATCATTATGTTCGCTTACATCGCCATCTCACTTGGGCAGATCAGATCGTGCAACAGATTTTTGATCGATTCGAAAATCACGCTCGGTTTGGGTGGTGTTCTGATTGTATTGGCATCGGTCGTGAGTTCTGTCGGTTTCTTTGGTTACATGGGACTACCAGCCACGCTAATCATCATCGAAGTCATTCCCTTCCTCGTATTAGCCGTGGGCGTAGACAATATTTTCATTCTCGTGCAGACGCATCAGCGCGAAGGACGACGACCTGACGAATCGATCCCGGAACATATAGGCCGCACGCTTGGGCAAGTTGGACCGAGTATGCTGTTGACTAGTGTTTCCGAGAGTTGCTGCTTCTTCCTCGGTGGACTGTCCGACATGCCTGCCGTCAAAGCGTTTGCTTTGTACGCTGGTATGGCGTTGCTCATAGACTTTATACTTCAAATTACGTGTTTCGTGAGCCTACTCACGTTGGACACGCTTAGACAAGCCGTACGTATTGCAAGCTCTGACATTATTCTCTTGATCATTTTCCTTCGTTAATGAATTATTTATTTCAGAATAATAGATTAGATATATGCTGCTTCATCAGAGGCTCTAAAAAAGACAGCGGTGAAGAGGCCGTGGACGGACTGCTGTATAAAATTTTCAAAGCGGCCTATGTACCACTTTTGATGAAGAAATGGGTTCGCGCAGCAGTTATGATTATTTTCTTTGGCTGGCTGTGTACAAGTATAGCCGTGGTTCCTCACATCGAAATCGGCTTGGACCAAGAGTTGTCGATGCCAGAAGACAGTTTCGTTTCGAAATACTTTCAGTTCTTGAACACGTATCTTTCAATTGGACCACCTGTGTATTTCGTTGTCAAGCAAGGCTTGAACTATTCTGATCCGTCAGTTCAAAATTTGGTGTGTAGTGGAACGTATTGTAACTCTGACTCTGTGACGTCACAAATTTTTGTCGCTTCGGAATTATCAAATAGGTAAATATTTTGGAATATAACTTTTATTACTGAATTTCACGAAATCACAATGAAAATGTTTTCTTTAGGACTTATATTGCTAAGCCAGCAGCTTCGTGGTTAGACGACTATTTTGACTGGGCAGCCTTGAATAAAACGTGTTGTAAATATAACGAAACTGATGGATCATTTTGCCCTCATTCCTGTAAGTATAAAACACGGAATTGATAATTTATTTCATAATCTTTTTTATTATCCTTATCGATTTAATATTTTCTAGCTTACGTAAGTGAATGTCGTGTTTGTGAAATTAATAAACAACCGCCTTTCAATCGCCCAACGTCAAGCGAGTTTGAAAAGTTTGTGCCCTTCTTTTTGCAAGACAATCCTGACCCTTTCTGCGCTAAGGGAGGCCACGCAGCCTACGGTAATGGCGTTAATTACAAACTTAATGCAAAAACTCGCTTGGCTCAAGTCGAAGCATCCTACTTTATGGCATACCACACTATATTGAAAACGTCCTACGACTATTACGAGTCAATGAGACAAGCTCGACTAGTATCGGCTAACATTACAAATATGTTGAATACCAATTTGCAAAAGTACGGTTACAAAGAAGAAGTCGAAGTGTTCCCATACAGTGTCTTCTATGTATTCTACGAACAGTACTTAACGATGTGGCCTGATACTCTCAAAAGTATTGGCATCTCGTTGTTTGCCATATTCTTGGTAACGTTCCTACTTATGGGCCTTGACATCTTCTCGTCGCTCGTCGTCATTATCACAATCACGATGATCGTTGTGAATATTGGAGGTCTGATGTATTGGTGGCATATCACACTTAACGCAGTTTCTCTGGTGAATCTTGTCATGGTGAGTTTCGATAGCTCTGATGTGATAAAAATGACAAGGCACTAATGAGAAAATGACTTCTAATTTTCCTTTTAGGCTGTTGGTATTGCCGTGGAATTCTGCAGTCACTTGGTACATTCTTTCTCTGTCTCCGTGCATTCGACAAGAATCGAGCGGGTAGCCGATGCACTTACGAACATGGGCAGCTCGGTATTTAGTGGTATTACTCTTACCAAATTTGGAGGAATTATCGTCCTTGGCTTTGCAAAAAGTCAAATTTTCAAAGTAAGCGCGCTTATTGTCGTCTTTACATTTCTGCTAGAATAGACTATTAAATAAATTCTTACAAACATTGCGTATGATTTTTAGGTATTCTACTTTAGGATGTATTTGGGTATCGTGCTTTTCGGGGCCACACATGGTCTCATTTTTCTACCCGTCCTTTTAAGTTATATTGGTAAGTCACGTCACTTTAATGTTATTCTCGTTTAAAACAGTTCTCGTGCTAACATCGTATGCGCTCTGCAGTGACCAAGATTTTTTTTTTCGTTAACCGATATCAGATACTATGAATCAAATTAACGATTGCAATAATATCAGAACGTTAAGGCTGGGAATACGCGCAAATTTACTAATTCCAACTTGATAGTTGAAGACGTCGCGAAAACCAGTATTCTTTTTTTAATTCGCTATTTATCGAATCACGATTATTCGTGATTCTAGGCTCGCCTATGAACAGAGAGAAGCTGGCCAATCACAAGAGAGCAATGCGGGGCAATATGGACAACGTGCAAGAGACCTCATTGAACCATCGTGTAAGCAAACCCAAATCTCCTACACCCACAATTACACCTAGCTTCCGGGTGATTGATAACGATGGATAGGTATGGTACCTGTCCAAAGTCCAACCGACAATCCGAATTATTGTGTAATCTTTGCAAAGTATGTCGTAACTTCCGTGTTTCGTACCATACTTTGCGTAAATGTCGATGCCGTGATTCTTGAATTATTCACTTGAATTATGGTACGTGCTTCATCAGCTATCAGTTGGCGTTTTTTAGCGTCTGTATGATTTTTTGTACGCTTAAATTTAGTTATGCACTCCTTATTTTATGTTTGTAAATTATGTGTTTGGGCTTTATGTTTGTGCACAATGTTGTAATGTTATCTGTGTTTTATGCATTGATGAAAATTTGCTCTACATTTTAGTAGACAAACGTTGTAAATTTTTTGGCGCCAATAACATTCGCTTTAGTTATTTTTTTCTTAACGAAAACGAAATTCTTTAAAAATGTTTTGTTATAATTTTTTTATGATTAATTAGGGAAGTAAAAATAGCGCTGAAAGTATAACGATTGGCCGCATAATTGTAATGTTATTTTTGTACGCATCAAATGCTCGAATTGTTAACGATGATTCGACGAAAATAAAACGAAACCTTTTCTTATAATAATGGTTTTTAATTTATTTTCAATCGTTGCAAATTAAATAGGGCAATTTGGTGCTAATCATGCAAATCATTTGCCTAGTGACTTATCTACTGAAAAGTGTTTATCATTTTTTCGTGACTTCATATATTAAAATGTCGAACACTTGAATTTTCTAATGCATTACTTTCACAACACTTCCTATTTTGCTTTTTTAATTTTATTAAGTAATATATCATCTAATTATATCGCTATTTCATATAACACACTTTTGCATTTTCTCTTGTGATTTGTTGGCTTTTGAAGGAAGGTAGGTGTAACGTCGTCACGATAATCAAACTCAATAACCAGCCAAAATCGTAAAATTTGACGGTCCGATTTGATACTAACGGAATATCCTAGAGGTGTAAATAAATTCTCTAGTGCGTACTTGGTCTATTCGGTTTCAGTCTGCAATCTATCGAGCTTTTTTTTTACGTTAACGCTTCCGACGTATAATCGATTATCAATTAGTAGACCTAGCGGGCCCTTCCCAGCACAAACATTAATGAGTGAGTGCTTATTGCAGACATGATGTCCCATCGACGACGACGAGAGATCGAGCAGCACAGGGGAGGGAGAAGAGGAGCAGGGGGACGAGGCGATCGGCCAAACGACCACAAACATCCCGACAGTTCAGCCGCACCTCTGCTCCTCGCTGACCCTGGTCAAGGTCCTTCCAAAACCTACGCCAGTATAACCAATGTCAATGACGCCGACGACGTTAATTTCCATGACACTTCGTAGGCCGACACAGTTGGCTCTGGTTGATTGGCGAGCGCCAATATCTTTTTCTATTGCCAGCTGCTGGACGACAAAGCAAATTTGTCTATAGATAAAAAAAGCCGGTTCCCCATCGATCGACTTTGCCTATGCATTTTTCACTTGACGCCCCATCAGAGAAGCATATTTTTTTAAAAACTAATACGTATTTGTATCAATCAACTTTAGATGATTTTCATTCGAAGTCGCCTTCTCGCAAGTGTTCTCACTAGAAAATCTTTCTTCGGGAACGATGGCCATACGCTTTGCAACACCTTGTATAATTTTAGGTTTTAATTTACATATGTATATGGCGATCGAGAAAAAGCTAGCTTCGCTGATAAATGACCGCTCGAATTGACTTGGTGATTTTTTGCCGGAAATTGTTGGAGATGTCTAGTTTGCTCAGCAATACTTATAAGTATTGGAAAATTTTTGTTTTAGAAAAAATAAAAAACATCGGCTATTGGCATTCAATCGCCAAAGTTCGATCTGGCCTACGGTTATCAGCAGTTCGCGGCTAGCTATATTTACATTGATTTTGAATCTTTCTCGGGGCAAGTCATGAGGGTTTTTACTGACCTCCGATATCCATAAATATTTTCAGTATACACGCTGTTAAGCGTTATTTATTTGCTCATTTATTTTTCATGCTAATGCCAAGAAAAAAAAACAAGTCCATTATATCTAACTCGACAGGGCATGAATACTATAAACCAAATTTTTAGGAATGCTAATGTTTCAATGTTATGAAAATTAAATAATTAATATTTGATTGTTGCTCGTCTGAACAACGAATTTATCATAAGTCAGTATTGCGATTGGCATTGTGTCGATGTAAAATTTTCTTTGCGATCAAATTCATGTAAAAAACAAGTGTAATCAGTATTGAAAATTCAAAATTTATATCGTGCTTTTGTATATTGTTAAGTAAGTTTTTATTGCGTGCAATAAAATGGCAGAGTGTTTTTTCTAAAAAAGAGAAAAAAACGTTACGGCGTGTTGATGATGAATAAGCCTTCAACCAGTTTACTATAACGAATAAAAATATTTATGTACTTTACGGGTTTTAAGTGTAGAAAATATGGTACGAATGAGAATTTTATAGTAAAGGCTTCTGAAAGTTTTCAGGTAACAAATAGAACATCTGTGCAACAGGTGCAATAGACAGTAGATTTCAAAATCAATCTTGATTTTTTTTACTAATCGCAGTCATTAACAACGTGAAACTCAGTTTCAACTTAAAAGTTTTAGTGACACGTCAAAACCATAATTTTCATCAAGTCTTTCCACTACATTTAATACATTTGTAAGGGGCCTATGCACTAATTTTTAAGTTTCTTAATTGTATGAAGTTTCGCTGGTTTTTTTCTTGAAACGCGCTGTAGACATTGAGTGTAAAAATTCGATAGCCGTTCGTTTTACGATCAAATGATAAGCGCAAAAGGAAGTATATATTTAAATGAGATGTTCAGCTTTTGAAGCGCTAAAGCACTGAAAACTGTGATATGTGCTTAAAAATCGAGCTGTTACGAATTTTATAATCAACTGCCCAATGAAGGGTCTCATAATCATAATATTTTCAGTCTCGATTCGACAGCGATTCTTTTGTATATCAGTGATCGGCGAATGGCGCGGTCTGGGGCGCTCTATCCAAAACCATTTTGTTTTCAATGAGCCGCATCGAGTATCGGGCATCACACAAGTGCACGCGATTCTTCGTTGGATTTCAATCAAAACGTTTTATATACAGCAAACAATTTTTATACAAATTCAGTAAATTAACATAGACGAAATACGACGAAGCGAGGAAATGTTCATAGAAGTATTATTGTCTGTACATTTCGAATTTTGGGATGAATGATTTGCGAAATAAAAAGATGTAAAAATAAAGTAAAAGTTGATGTTTGACAAGAACCTCTTATTATTTGAAGTAACCTTTCAACTCCTTAAAATTTCAGTTTTTTCGTAAAACGATCAATCATTCAGTATCATTTTTATTAATATTAAACGATAATGGATGGTTGAAAGAATGGGTAAATATCACAGAATATTGAAGCCTGGCTTAAATTTGCTCATCCTAGTTATTGACACATTCGTGTAAGAACACTCTTGAAAACAATGCAATAGATATACCAAAACAAACTGCCATTACCTTCGGTAACAAAAACTTGTCATAATGAATATTATTTTGATCATGCCATACTTACAAAAATGATTTATATTAGATAATGGTGTGCTGTGCTTCAATGTAAATGATCCATTCTTGGCCTCTTATGGAGTTGAAGATCCTGAATTTGCTATCATTCAATTAGCACAGATTACATAACGATCAGCACTAAGTAAAATATCTCTTGACAAAGAATTCAAAAAAGAGAAGGCTTGAATATATATATAATTGTCGAGAATATAAATAATGCTAATGCAGCATAGAGAGTAGCTTGACTTTGTTATGAAATTCGTAATGGTTTTGATTAGTGATTTCATAATCAATTTTTGAACTTCATTTTTATTTGCTTATCTATATAGGTGATATAAGATTTCCACAATGAGCTCATGAAATTATGCAGATGCAAGTAGAAGCAGAAAGAAAAGAGAGCAGTCATATTCTCGAGTCAGAAGGAATTAGAGAAGCTGATGTTAATATAACGGAGGGTAAAAAATAAATAAAAATTCTTGCCTCTGTTAATTATAATAATTTGATTTCAACATTTTATAGTAAAATAAGGTGTTGCCTACTCTCTCTAAAAAAATTTTTTTTCAGGCTGAAAAACAAGAATTTATCAATGAAGTGAATGGTAAAGCAAAAGCTATACTTGCAGTTACATCAGCTCGTGCGAAAGGACTGAAAATTATTGCTGCTTCTTTGGACGATAGACATAGAATAAGTTGAGCTGCACTGGATCATATTGGAACATTCGACGACTATGCTATGTGCATAGTAAAATTTTATCAAATTTTTAATTTATTCTTTAACGCGCACCGTCGCCGCGTGGGTCTGTTGTGCAGGCGAGATACTCAACAAGAAAAGGCCCAAACGGTAGGCGCTTCAACGTGTCTCGTTGAGAGAGAACTGCGATTTATACATTTATGTTAGATTAAAATGAAAACAAATTCAATGACAAGTGAAAATCGGAATCTTGGGAGCGATTGCACACCGTATTTCGGCAAGGTAAAGATGAGATTTTCGGGTGTGCAATCGCAGTATTATACCGATGCTCGTACATACACGCGCATTTTCGTTTAGATGTAGCTGGTCCCCAAACAGTTAGCATAATTTGGAAGAAATTGAGAGAGGTTTATTAAACGAAAATGGGATTTCTTCGCTTAGTTGTCCGCAATCGTTTCATTATTTACTAATGTTATAGTATTAGCGTTTCATGTGAGTAAAATTGAAACCAAATTTACACTAAAAAATACATTGAATTATCTGAATTTATTGCTTATTCAGGTTTCTTTAAAAATAAAAGAAGATGTAATGGCATGAACAAGCTTCTAAACCAATAGTTGTACTTTTTCATGAAAAATGTTACTTTAAACGATTTTACTCTTTATAGTGAAGTCAGATTTATTCTGCAATCGAAATGTATCCATGAATATCCATATTACGTATACAAACAAATTACATTAATGAATGAAAATTTACTATGCCACTTCAATCAACGTGAATTAATTCATAGAAAAATTAGAACGCATTGACAGCCACCTTGGCAGCACGCTAATAGACTAGTACATTTCTTTGGACGCAATAACGGGACAATTTCTGTTAGCGAGATTGTTTCCCAACACATGCCTATCGCAGTAGACCCATCTTACAACTAGAATTTAAGAAAGAACAACCCGATTCGAATTAGCAAACAGCCGAGCTTTCGATCGAGGAAATTGGGAACTCAGTGGGGAGTTACTGAGTATCACTGTAACAAAGACTAGGTCTTTGATCTTCTGGCTACAGAAACTCAGTTTCTGCGTTCTCGCGGGTCAGGCTTCTTTGGCTTCAACAGAATACGAAAAGGCTCAACTCGTTTATGGCAAGCCAAATCGCGCACATCTGGAGCTTTATACAACGCATCCCGGGATGACAAGGAGGGCGATCAAAGCTCAGCATGGTTGCTGTTTTAAAGCGCGGTAGAAGGGAGAATACAGAGACGCGTAATATTGCGTTTATAAACGCCGCTCACTGTCTTCATGGAAGCCACTCTTGCGATGCCGTCACTCTCAGGAAAAACCTCCAAGACCACACCCAGAGGCCAACGTGCGCAGTGAGTCAAGTCGTCCATGAGGATCACCACCATCCCTGATGAGAGTTCGCCGTTGGAAGAATGCCACTTATGGCGGATCTGAAGTTCATGAAGGTATTCCTTGTGCCACTTGGACCAAAACGTCTGCCTGGCCTTGGCAAGGAATCTGGCACTGAAATCAAAGATTTCTCGGGTAAAACGTTGAATGGACGTTCTATTAATAAATGGGCTGGGGTTACAGCTAAAGGGTCGTTGGGATCTGAGGACAACGCACATAAGGGGCGAGAATTTAAGATCGCTTCGATCTCGATGAGGAGAGTTTCAAGTTGTTCGTACGTAACTTGCTGATTGAGAATCCGCTTTAAATGATGCTTGAAGCTTTTGACGGTTGCTTCCCAAAGTCCTCCAAAATGCGGCGATAGTGGGGGATTGAAGTGCCATTGGATACGTATAGCAATAAAATGTTCCCCAATCTCCTTCTGGACCTCTGATCGTTCGAATAGATCGTAGAGTTCTTGGAGTTCCCTATTTGCCCCCACAAAATTCGTCCCATTATCGGAAAAAAGATGACTAGGAATACCGCGACGAGGGACAAACCTTTGAAACGCGGATAGGAATTTTTCGGTCGATTAGCGCCATCATGAGCCTCGTTCGCATAACCATACGCGTACTCATACGCATACACAAACATGTAACGTCGCAACGGAACTCAAGCTGTCCTGGCCGCCTGGCGTTGTACGAGCTAAAGATCGCCTCGTAGCTAAAAATACTTGTGCGTTTTTAAGTTTGCATCATTTGCTTGTCTGAACTATTTCGACATCAAACTGTGAGTCAAATTTTTTATATTCCTCAAAAATTCAGCAGAATTATTCTTAAAAATATTTTAAGCATCATATTTTAGTTAAACGTAGTCAGATCGTCAAGCTACTTTTTGTAGCGATGACAAAGAGAATGCGTATTTTTTGCTGTTTTCGTGAGTGCCTGCACACGCTGCATCTCTTCGTAACATATCTGCTCGCCTTATGTTATTTTATTTTCTTTTTCTATGTTGGCGGATCGTGCGTTTTATTTCAATACATGAAAAACGAAGTAGAAAAAAGTTGTTTTTCAAAATAACTTGTATGATTGTAAATCGAATTTATTATTTAGTGTAAACTTCAATATTTTTCACATTTAAAAAACGACAGAACAAAGACTCTTAAATAGTTTATTTGTATATTGGAATAATAAGATTATAATATTACTATCGTCTTCTTCGCTCTCTTCCATTTATACCATGACCACCTCTGCCTCCTTTTCCTGCACATCATCTACCTTTTGCAGCTCCTGAAGATTGTTGGTTATTGAAACAATAAATATTAATTTTCTCTTGATTTCACATACGTTTGTTTGTATTTTAGGCTGGTATAGTTTATTTAATAGTTTATTATTCTTTTTTGTTCTTTCGAAAATACGCGCCCCTCATAAATCCCTAGAACTGGTCTGCGCACAGTGGTTGCGCAATGGCTCATGTGTCAATTTATTTATTTTTTAAAGTGTCAACCTTTTTTGGAAACGCCCACCTAGCTTCAACAACAATGAGTTATACGGAAAAGAATGTAGCTATTGTTAACAAGTAACTTTCAATTTTGATTGTCTAGTAAAATGCATCATACTTCTGTTATTAATATGATTTTTTATTTATAGAATCTTGGAAACAACGAATTATTACGAAATATTGAATATACCACAGAATGCAACAAATAAAGATATTAAAGCTGCTCATCGTCAATTAGCACTTCAAGTTCATCCAGACAAAAACAATTGTCCAAATGCAAAAAAAGCTTTCCAAAGTCGGTAATGAAATTTAGAGTTTATCATAATTTTCTTTAAATGCATTTAAATTCTTGCAGATGTACGTATAGCTACAGCAATATTATTAGATGAAGAGAAAAGAAAACAATATGATCGAAGTTTGAAATTTGGAGGACTAAAGTTGGATCAATTGAATCTGTCAGGTACTCTATGATTTATTTTTATTTGTTCATTTGTATGATTAGTTTGGTATTGGCATAAATGAAAATATTTTTCATTTTTCGAAGATGATGCTATCGATGCAATCTTGATGGGAGCTGGGTTAGCCAGTTTTGTAGGTATTGCAGCAGGTTTGTGGGCTTTGTACGGCTGGATTAAAAGTCCAAAGAAGGATGAATCAAAATATACCAGATAAAAAAAATTAAAACCTTCACTTCAGTGAAACTCAGACTTCAGTCTGTTTTATTTGTCTCTCTATTTTATATTATTAACTGAAAAACAATTAACTTTTATTGTCTAGTCAATAAAGAGGATTTTATATTATCAAACGTATGTTTTACTCATTTAACGCCAATAAAATAAGAGTAAGCCTTAAAGCTGAACCAGAGTTTGTCGTCCACGTCAGATATGAATATTCTCCCCTCTCTCGTGACGTAATGCAGCACGCTAGTGTTATTTATCTATATCTGTACTGCACATATAGTCTGATGGTGGTGGTCGCGGTCGTCCCGTCGTTGTTACGCTTTTCTCGCCATTTGTGGATTATTTACTATTCTGCCTCGTCACGGGACCCGTGTGTGCACTTTTTTTCTACTTGACTGTCCGCGTGATACCGTCGTTTGGTGTTTTACATGTGATACTCGACTAACGCGATAATGGACAGCAACAAGGACGAGGCCGAGAGGTGCATAGACCTCGCCGAGAGATACGTTCGCGAAAAGAGGTTCGACGACGCGGAAAAATTCCTTAAAAAAGCCCAGAGGCTATTCCCCACGAAGAAAGCCGAAGGTGAGTACTCTGTAATTTCAAAACATTCGCATCTTGCAATCTACACATAAAAATGTATTAAGATAATTTATTTACATAAGTTTTACCTATTTCGCTTTCGAGAAATAGTAGTTGTCGAATTTTGTTATTTTTAGAATTTTTTGACCTATTGTTCGTAATAGAATAATTCGTATCGAGCAAAATCAAATTTCTAAGTTGAATGTTCTTTGGTGTGTATATACATTATTATTCCTTCAATGACATTTTTTATACATGTCAGCTGATTGGTTTATCAATAAAAAATCAATCGGCGTTTATAGAAATTACCAAAAGCACACAATTGATTGATTTTACACGAAGTATTTATTAGTGACAGTGTCTAATTTTCATTGTGCCATTACAGATTTGTTAATAACAGTCACATTAATGTCAAAACAAACTGGTAAATCAGAACCTGAAGCAGAGGTTAGAAAAAGACAAACTACCTCAAAAGCAAATGGGCCACAAGTTCAAACCACCATTAACTACACAGAAGAACAAATCGAGCATGTCAGGAGGTAAATTATTATTTCATCAAGAGTTTGTAACCAATTAACTAGAGTGTAAAATTGACCAATCTGAACATATGCTTTGTCTTTTCAGGATAAAAAAATGTAAAGATTATTACGAAATTTTAGGAATTAATAAAGATGCTACTGACAGTGAGATTAAGAAAGCATACAAAAAATTAGCATTACAATTGCATCCAGATAAAAATAAAGCACCTGGAGCTGCAGAGGCATTTAAAGCTATAGGCAATGCTGTAGCTGTTCTAACTGATGTTGAAAAAAGAAAGCAATATGATATGTATGGTTCAGATGAAGAAAGAATCAGTAGTTCAAGGCACACACATACACAGTATAGTTATACACGAGGCTTTGAAGGTAGGTCCTGAACTCATTGCAAAATGTGTATTGAAATTTACATTATGTATTAGCATACTAAATTCAATTTTCAATTGGCTTATTTCAATTTATCATTCTAGCTGATATTACAGCTGAAGAACTATTTAATATGTTCTTTGGTGGTTTCCCTCAACAAGAATTTTATATGCGCAGAGGTGGTGGTAGGTGGATGAGACAAAATGAAGCTCAACATGCTCAGCATACTCATTCTCAAGTAGGAATACTTAATATTACCTATTTGTTTACATATTTGCTTATACTAATTATATAAATATTAATCTGTGATTTAGCAACAAGCAAATGGTTACACTACATTCCTTCAAATGTTACCTGTACTATTACTAATAGTATTGACAATGATGAGCAGTTTTTATATCTCTGATCCAGTTTATAGTTTACACCAAAGTTCGTAAGTACCCATTTTCCTTGATCTTTTAAAAAATTCATTTATCATTACAATAAAAATTTGCCATTTCAGTAAATATTCAACACAAAGAATTACTCAAAATCTGAAAGTACCATACTATGTAAAGGACAACTTTCAAACAGAGTATAAAGATAATTTAAGACGCCTTGAACATTCTGTCGAAGAAGAATACATGAATTTCTTACGGCATTCTTGCTTTAGAGAAAGAAATTATCGTAAGAATATAATCTATTCATTATCTTCATTTAAAAGAGCAAACGTAATCGTTATTGGTTTTTTTAGGAGAATCAATGATGTGGAAAGCAAGAAGTTTCGGAGATCAGGAACAATTTCAGCGAGCTAGAAATATAGAAATGCCTTCATGTAAAAAGCTTCAAGAAATGCAATGATAGTGAAAAAAGACTTAAATATAATTTTTAAGTTTAAATAAAATTTGAAACATGAATTGTAAGTATATAAAATGGTCACTTTTGAACAAGGTAAATTTTTGTTCAATAAGCATAATCTGGTTTTCGCATTTCATATCTTAAATAACATTTGTAGATTTTCTTTTTCTTTTAAAGTAATTTTGTTCAAATTAGCTTGTAAAATAGATTCACAGCGGATAAACCTTAGGACCTTTTTTAAAAAATACATTATTTCAATGTGCAATGCTTGCAGTGTATGTTGTAATTACAGTAATTTCATTGAATTGGCGTTAACAAAATATTATTTTTCCAATCAACTTCTGACGTATGAATTTCTTTCATTAATACCTATGTGTAATGATGCAAATTTTAAAGTCCATTTTTGAAACTGGTAATCGAATTCATTTTATTGAGTATAAGGGCAAAGAGAATCGTGAATAGTTACTGAATATTATTCAAGTGAAAGAGATGATTTTGCTAAACAATCATTTTGTAAATACAGTATTTTAGTGCAATTTGTCTTATCCAATCTTATTTAATTTATTTATAAACTTTCTTGCTGTTTAAAGATGATGTATTGTTGTTTATTGAAAGCAAAGATTAAATGAATTATTATTAAATAAACGTGTATAATATTTACTCTAAGTGTACCTAAATTTGGATTTATTTGTAAATTGAGATGAAGTAATCAGTGAATTAAAAAAAATTATAAAATTTCTTTATTCAAAGCAATACTATTAACATGACTGTACATCTATAAATTTCTTATCATACAAAATACTGATTTTTCAGAATATCAACAATTTTGCGAGAATGATTGAAAAATAAATTTTACCAAATGTTTGAATCTTGCATTAATTTTACGTGTTCATCGAAGGGCTCCAAGTGATCTGGTTTTAAAAATGTCTTGAAACCTGAAATAATTAAAATTATGTCATTGGCACAGTTTATAATATCTAATTAGACCAATAAGATTACAATTTACCGATTAGTAAGTGCTTTAATTTGTGATTTTCAATGAAAATTTTCTCCAATTTTATTAATAATTTGGTTACGTTACTATCGCCAGTTTGATACTCACTAACTATGGTTTTGAAAGTTTTAAATGTTTCTTTTGATAATGATTTTTTTACCTGAAAGTATACGATTTTTGTTATTAAAAATACAGTTTATTCAAATAAATTGAAAAAGAATCATCATTACCTCTTTTACATACTGTGCAGCTTGTTCCTTTTTTGGAATCACACTATTTACAGCTTGTCCAGAATTGTTGTGACCAAACAGTTCATGTGTATTAGTTAACGTAGACGTTGACGGAATGGCTGATTCATCTGAGTGAAAGTTCACTGGCTTAATTTTTAATTTTCTACGCTTTATGCTAGGTTCATTTGAACTTGCAACATCAAGCAGTACACTAGAAATTGTCTTCGGTGGCTTGCAGATACTAAAATTAATAATAGGTTTTGGTTTAGCTTCCAGTAAGGAAGCAAAACTATTATTTTGACTAATAGATTTTTCAACACATTGATGAGATTCGCATCTATAGTAACTACTAATATCGAAATTTCCATTTTCATTTTGAGATGCTGTCTCATTAACTTTAGCATTCATTTGACGTCGGCGAACTCCACTAGTATCAAACTGAGCTGGAACCGCTGGTAAAGACAAATCTGATATATCAATAGTACTACCTGACGGCTGAGGCAACTAAAAATTGCGCTAAGTTAACGTAGATTAAAATTGTAAAATGACGTTGAATCGGCTACTTACATTTGTTTGAGCGTATTTGAAAAATATTTGCAAGTCTTTGATTACAGTTTTGAAATTTGGAAATTTTTTTATACGTGGTCTAATCCAAGCTGATAATTGTTGCTTAAAAGATGGATTATCGAAACGACAGTCACAAAGTAGTATAGCTCCATAATCATTCTTATGACGAATTATACGGCCTATAGCTTGATTCACAGCTCTTGAAGCTTCCAATTGATACCACTGTTGTCCTGTTAAACTCTGAAATTGAAGATTTAAATTGCAAAGTTAAAAAAATTATATGTAGAAATTTTTATTTAATAAATTTACAATTTTTCCTAATGCTTTGTTTTCTTCCAAATAACGTTGTTTTAATATAACTCGAGGATCTTTCAGAGGAGGGAATGGTAATCCAGTAATTATAACTGCTCTTCCATTGGCATTAGCAAAATCTAAACCTTCGCTTACTTTTCCTCTACAAACTGCCATAAAAATTGCTCCTTTATGGTGAGGATCGTTAATTTTGTTGTAATACTCATTAATAATACTGTTAAACCCATCTTTGGATTGAGGTTCCACAAAGATAGGCTTTTGAAAAAAGAAATTAATATTAGAACTTAATTATCGTATTCAATTTGTAGATACAAAATGATATCATATTTAACGATTAGTACTTTTTTATTTTCTATTTGCGTCCATTTTCCCGTTTTCTGCCATTCTTCTTGACAAGTCCTCATAATTGGATATGATGGAAAGAAAATCAATAGTCCATGTGGTAAAATACTACTCAAAATTTTTATAGTCTCTCCAAGAGATCCAATGTATTTTGGATCATTTCTAAAATAAATTCAATAAATTAAAACATATTTAGAGCTAATTGATTAAACAAGAATACCTTGTATTGTATGAAGAATTTAAAGTATAACCATCATGACCAGCACTTATAATGCCAACACAAATTTGTTTCTCTGTTACTATGTGAGGGTTTTCCAATTGTACAGCAATGTCAATTCCAATTTCAGATATAAATGGTTTCAATGGTGACAAGGTACCACTGGTTAAAACAACTGAACGAACACCTTGATCCAATATTTGTTGCATGCTGGAACATATGAAAAGTAAAAAAATAAAATTAAAAAAAATAATTATGCACAGTCTACTTTTCATTCAACAAATTACCCAAATCCAGGACTGAAACACCAATAACTAATTAATTTCCCATCTGACTTTGTAATTTTTTTGGTTTCCCAAACATTTTTTGAACTTTTTTTAGGCTGCTCAACTTGAATGTAAACTTTGTAACATCTTTTAACTCTTTCTCTATAGTTTTGAGAATTTGCTCCTACAAATACTACACGCAGTAAATCACAAAACTTTTGAAGAGCATTCCCTTTTCTAATAAATGAAGATGTATTAACAGTTGTTAAATAAAGAATAATTTTATCCAACTTGTCACATATAAGTTGTGACTTTCCATGTGATATCTAAAAATATTATTTTACATTAAAGAAAATAAACAATTAAATACTTTTGAGCTAATCTTGGGTTACTTACATCAGCTTTTTCCAGTAAGTCAAAAATATAACCACCGGAAAACGTTTCACCTTCGTCAGTTCTTGTTATAACAATAGCATCTATAGCTTTTTCTACTTCTAAAAACATGGCTTTTAAATTACATAAATCTTCAGCTGTAAAATCCTTTTGTACAGCATTTGGAGTTTCAAAATCATTCTGTTCATTTGTTTCATCGATCATGTCTTTCATAACAGCTGTTATTTCATCTATACAAACTGCAATATCTGTACTACTAATCTATAAACAATTTATAGTGTCATATATTGGATAAGTTAATATTGACTATGTTTTATTATCAATTGACCTGCAAAGAAGTTGCTTCTTCACATATCTTTTCAACATTGTGTGCTTCGTCCAGCAAAACAACATTGTTTTGAATTTCAATACTTTGATTTTTCCTAGTCTTAGGATCTAAAATATAATTGTATGGCATAAATATAATATCAGCACTTTGTTTCAATTCCCTAGTCAGGTAATATGGACAACATTTCAATTTTTGGCCAGTCTTTACCAAATCTTCAATATCCAAAATATTTTGCCTTATAGTTGGATCATCTTTCCTGCAGATAATCAATTATTTTTTATTTTTTCAAATACGAGAATTTATTAAAATACAATGAGATAATTAATACCTTGCTTCAACATTATTATAATAGTAACAAGTTCTTGCTTTTATTTTAGCTTGACACATATGAATTTTAGTAGCACTATTGGTTTCTTTTGCCACTTCTGGATGAATGCAAAGTTGATCTCTTGAACCAAGAACTGTTACATTGACGTGTTTATATGCAGATCGTTTCAATTCTTGCATAGCCTGAGATAGTTGGGAATGAGTTCTTGACGCATAAATAATTTTTGGCATAGACCATCCAAAAGTATTTTGTGTTTGGACCAAAGCTTTGCCTCCTCCTTTGTCTAAATTTTTTGAAAATTGTTCAGCAAAATCAGAACCACCACTCAACTGATCTAAAGCTCCCATTGATAGCGCTTGAGATTGTATTTGAGCTTTTTTGACAATGAGCCAAGCCAATGATGAGCAAAGTAAACTTAATGTTTTTCCAGTACCTAATGTAAAATTCATAAAATCGTGAAATACTTTAACTGGAGTTAATATTTAGAACTTACCTGTAGGTGACTCTAAAACTCCATTTTTCCCATCTTGTAAACATTCAATAACTTTTGCCATATAATCTTCTTGAACTTGATAGGGTTTGAAAGGGAATTGCACAGTAACTCCCTTCAAAGTAATTTCCGTCATCGCAAATGTATAGTAGTAACACGATGAATTTAATAAAATTTATTGTTGATAACGAAATCACAACAACAAAACACGAATAGAATGTAATACGAAACCGCATCCGCAAGATTACATCTATTTGGCGGGAAATATTTTATTTGCGTTCGCGCTTGTTCATTCATCATTCGGCTGTATACAAGTAGTCTCATATCATACTTGTCATAATGGTAATGTGACGGTTTGCACGTGGCTTTCCGCGTAGTTCTGCGCAGCTCCCATCAAGCGGGGCATTTAATTGATGTTATCCTTGTCTGTATAGGTTATATTCAAACATGGACATAATGCTGGAGCTTTGTAATCGCCGAATAAAAAATTGCGATTTACTTGAAAGCGTAATCACTCATGAAGATTCACTAGGAAGTGATGTTGATAAGGTAATTAGTCCTATTTATTATTTGATAAAGAGATAATTTTTCGCGGAATGCAAATATCGGTTTTTTTTAGACTGATGTGTTGGAGAAAAATGTTGTTGCAGCAATTAATACAAAGCTCGAACGTGCAGAAAGTCATCTACAGGGTTTAAATTTATTGTATCAGTTTTTGCCTAGAATATCTAAAGATTCTTTGGTTAACAATTTTCCTCGCTGGATTTCCAAAGTTACACAGATTTTGAATAATGCACATGCTAGTTCAATTGAAATAGTTTGCCAAACTACAGGAGCACTGGTTGCAAAATGCAAAAAGATACCTGAACTTGACAAAAATGTTTCTATAAACAATGTCAAGCTCATCATTAAAATTTTAGTTCAACGATATGATCAGGATAACGATGGAGCACTGCTCAATTTACTCATAGTTTTGCTTTACCACTATCCAGAATCATGTGCACGGTTGCAGGTAAAATAACAGCAAGAAATATCTTCATCGTTAGTATGTTAACCTAATTTTTGTAATTTTAGGGACATTACAACAAAATTATTACTGCATGTATTGATGATATTAATGATGATATAATAATCACTGGTGCAAAATGTTATACGCTATTAGTAAGAGCACTTGAGCGTTCATTCAACAATTTGCCTAAAAATGAACCAATTATATTTCCTGACAATGTCTTTGCAAGTTGCCATGTTTCTCATCAAATTGATTTATGCCATAATTTATGTATGTTGATGGATGAATTATTTCAAGACTTAATATCAGTGTCTGTAGAATTTCCTAATGTAACTCAAAATAATACTAAAATCATTAATTTAGAATTAAGTGAATTATCTCGACATAATTTGATTGATTACTTTCGAGCTGCTCAAAATAGATTTACCAACATATGTATCTACTTATCAACGCTGTTAAAGTAAGGATTTTAAATTATCTTGCAGCTATTGTCATACAACTATTTATTTATTTATTTATTTATTACATTTTCATTCTAGAATTGGCGGAAATGGAAGAAAGAAATATGTATTACCAAATCTTATACTCCAAGTGATTTGTAAAGGCTTGGCAATAACTCCTGCTAATTTACAAGAAAATGACAATAACGAAGATAGGAAAAGAGAGTTTTTAATATCAATTTTGCCTGCATTCCACATTAGCTTGCTCAATGTTCTTGGAGATTTGATATTGTGGTAAAATATTTTGAATAGATTTAACTAGTTTTTCTTGATAATTATTAATTTTTTTATTGCAGTTTCCAACAAGAATTGCTGCCCTTTGCTTTGACTATTCAAAGATTAATAGTGCAAACTCTGGAATGGACACAGAAATGCTACAAACGCTTCAAAGACATTAGAATATTGGCATACAAAACTTTAACAACATGGTTAAAGCAAGCAGGAACTTTATCAGGATTTCAATTAGTAGCTGACGAATTTTTGCCGCACATACTCAATGACCTATCGCCGCCCAGCAAGAAAAGCATTGTATTGACTTCAAATGTAATATCTTTTTTTACTATTATAATAATTATGAAAGCTTAAGTAGCATTACGTTATGGTAGAAGATTTGTTAATTATTGGATTGTATTATTATCTGACACAGAAAGGCACTAAACGAAAATCGAAGACTCAAAACTCAAAAAGCACGCAAACTACAAGTAATAAAGATTCAGAAATATCGCTTTATTCCGATATGGAATTGTGCTCCCAAGTTTTGTCGACCACGCAAGCTATTGTGTCAAATGCAAATGTCTTTTTAAAACAATCATTTTACATCGTAAGTGTTTCTAGAAGATAATAAACTCGAACAATAATTAATTGAAAATTTGTCCAATCCTAGGAAATTCGAAATGCAACAGTGTTATTATTGTGCGAACAATATACCAAGAAAGAATATTTCCCGGTGTCTTTAGAAAATACAGAGTACCGACTTCAACTAATGAAAACTCTTCAAGTATTAGGTCTATTTATACACGTTTCAACCCCTCCGCCTACCGCAATTGCTATAAAGATGTTTGGAGAAGCTATGCAACAGGCAGATCCAGATATAAGAGAAGAGGCAAAACTCGGTTTTGCCATGTTGCGTCACATAATTTATCCTTCTTCACCTTCATTGATGCTTCCAGTATACGAACCTCAGGTTTTTTCGCGACCTTCCTCACCAATGGAAGTCGTTCAACACGAAAATCTCATTTTTTCTTCTCATATGAAGCGGTGCCATGAAGTATCGAAAGACGACGTTGGCGATTCGGCGGAACCGTCAAAACGACAGAGAGCCAGCCAACAAGAATCTACCGATGCAACGGATCTGTTTTCCGGTGTGCCACGATGCCATCCAGTATCCAAAGACGACATTGGCGATTCATCTGAATTGCTTAAACGACAGGAAGCTAGCGAACAGGAATCTACTGATGCAACGTTTGTTCAGCAATTAACGATAGAAAATGAAATTTCAAATATTGAAATCTCGACATCGACTGAAAAGTCCCAAATAGATGCTTCAGCAACAAAGAAAATTCCAATCAATAGAATTTCCAGTGAGCCGCCCGATTCAACAAACGTCAGTTTGAAAGCTGCAAATGTCAATGAGAAACTTGAAACAGATGATGATATGCTAATGTCGTTCTGTGATGAGCCAATTTCATAAAATTAACAAGTAGCAATCGAGTGGATATTTTTTTCGTATGTTATCGGTTATTAAATTTTGTAAAAATAAAGTATTTTCGTAATATGAAAACTAAACGCATTAAAACTTGTTGGCACAGCACATTATCGATACGATTATTCAATTAAAACTACAAATATCGTTTGGACAGTACAAATATCGTCGAAACTTCTCATTAGATCAGTAAAAAGCAGATCGCAAACATTGTCGACAGTATAGAGGCAACTAAAAAGAGAAAGTTAAATCTAATACTGTTCGAACGACATTAAAGTTTTGCAATTTTAATTGTTGCACGAGTTGAAAACATAGACAGGTTTTGTCCTGGTACGTATACAAATAATTACCCGCCGCGCGACGACGGGTGAAAAATGCGGAGAAGTAAAAATTCACCGCTTTCATTTTCTCCTCGTTTTCTCCTCTCGCAGACCGTGACATTGATCGTGAACTACATATATGCACGACAATGCGCGACTCTGCTCGCCAAAGCAAGCGTTTTGTTTTGATGACGAACGCTAAATATAGAGGGGTAAACACGAGGAACGTGGCATTGTAATTTAAGCAGTTCGATCAATAAATACACGCGCGCTCGTAATGAACGGCGAGTGCGACGGCAGCCGAACGCGAGCAACGCGAACTTTATTCGGCACGTTTGTGTGCGTTAAAACGATTCGGAAATGGATTTTGAACGTCAAAGAGTGCGCGGCGTAGAGTACATGCGAACGAAGCGCGTTTCGCTCACACGTATAAACGAAAGCCACTGTGTGGCCCGTCAAAAGCGAAATTCCCCGGTGGGAAGTGGCTGGTCGCGATCGCACGTACAATATAATGAGAAAGCAAACAGTGCGACGAGCGGAGCGTGATTCCCCCCATAGAAAGTACGTGCGAAAAATCAATTTGATCCTCGCGCGAGCGACGGACGGCTCCTGTCTGTCTACCTTATTATAGTTCTGCGTAGCTGACACAAACTGACGTCAATCGTCAAAACTATGTGTATCCTGGTTGGATTATTGCATATACGCACTTGATTTCATGAAACTTGCGAGCTTCCTGTCGGATTTCACGGTTTCGAAAAAAGAAACACGTCTAAATGGAGCGCTTTTTATTTTATAATATCTAGATGAAAACGGCAATGAATTAAACCAAAAGAATGCGTTTACTAAACCTACGTATCTTTACAATGAAGAATTATATAGGCTGTTGAAATGCACGTACTAATAGAAAATCTTAAATGGTTAATTATATGCATAAAAAATAATGTTCTTTTATAAAATTTTTATGGCTTCACTTAGATTATAGACTGACTGATAACTTATTATTATTACTTCGTAATTAATAACATATCTAAGCGTGAATGACGAATACATGTTCCATTGAAAGAAAACTCATCATCGTGTTAAAGACATAACGGTAGTGAAAGCAGAGTCGTTAACTGACTCAAAAAAAATCGAAACTGTAAAAAGTTTCAACGGTATTTGGCTGCCAAGATAAAACAACTATATTAATACTCCGATGGTGATCATAAAAGTATACAAAGAATGAACAAATTATAGATTACAACTGCTATATGAAAAGTCAGACTGGACTCTCTGAAAAACAGCTTTCCGCCAAATAAATCGCGCTGATCTTAAAAATACGGGCGAGAGGCTATTGATCCAGTGTTGCAGGTAGGTATTAAAAGAGCTGACGGTAGAACGCTAGTCACGAGTTTGCGTGAAAGTGTTGTAGCGGAGGTTAGCTGCACCCCTCCATCACGCCTCTCCGTGTAGACGTCATCAGTGATCGCGCAGCACAGAGCCGAGCTGATGCCAGCTCGCGTTTACTGTTAGTCGTCGTCGTCGCGCAGCAGTAGCAGCATCATCAATTAGAAGACCAGTGTTGACGACGCACCTCAGGATGCTGCTCTGAACACAAAGTCGCGCGCGCCAGAGGGTTTCCATTTTTTTTTTTTCGAAGAGAGCGAGAGAAAGGTCGAAAGGAGACAAAGTTTGAAGATCAGCGAGATGGGTCTCGTAGCAGTTTTTACGGTGGCCGCGTGCGTCATCGTAGCCAGCGACGCGTACTCACCACGTTGGACCTCGCCAAGCGGTGGTAGCGGCAACGGGGGCCCTATTGAGGACTTCGTCGTGCCGCATTACACGCACTACCATGAGCTTCAAGAGCTCTTCAAGAATCTCAGCGAGCAGTTCCCCAACCTGGCCAAGGTGCAGTCGATCGGCAAGTCGGTAGAGGGTCGCGATCTGTTGGTGCTGGAGATCAGCAACAATGTGCACGAAAGGGAGCTTGGCAAACCCATGGTCAAATACGTGGCCAACATGCACGGAGACGAACCCGTTGGACGAGAGCTCATGGTATATTTGGCCAAGTATCTGCTCTATAACTACGGCAAGGATCCGCGTGTCACCCGACTTGTCAACGGCACGGACATCTTCATCATGCCGTCGCTCAATCCAGATGGCTTTGAAAAATCAAGGGTGAGCTGACGTTCATTAGAGTAATTCCCCGATCAACGTTGCGCTCGTAGCGCAGAAAATCTCTTATCTACTTTCCGACGCGAAAATTGCCATATGTGCTTTTTTTTCGTCTCTGACTGATATATTGCGTTTACTTTTTTTTTTTATTTTCGGCTAATGCTTTGATTTCGACTTTGCTTGTTTGTTTAGGAGGGTATGTGCAACTCTCTAGAAAATTACACTGGTCGTGAGAATGCCAACCATGTGGACCTCAATAGAAATTTCCCAGACCAGTTTGATCCTAGAATCAATCACATCAAGGGTGGAAAGCTTATCCAGGGAAGACAAGCTGAAACCGTGGCTATGATGCAATGGATTGTAACTCATCCATTCGTTTTATCTGCCAATTTTCATGGTGGTGCTGTTGTAGCAAGTTATCCATTTGATTCTGGGTATGATCAGAACATTAGCATATTTTGGTGCTATGCATTTTTGAGCTTATAGATTTCCTTTTCAGAATCGTCAATGACTGTTGCGAAGAAAGCAAGTCTCCCGATGACAGGGTATTCAAACATCTTGCTCATACTTACGCTGACAATAATCCAGCTATGAGGGCTGGAAATACCTGTCCATCTGAGACATTCAGTGGTGGTATTACCAATGGAGCTCAATGGTAACTTTGCATAAACTTTGTCTAATCCGAAACGTTTACTCTTTTATATATACTTGTTTTTATTATTTCAATTTTTTAAATAAATATTATTGTTATCCAACGATAGGTACAAAGTAACAGGAGGCATGCAAGATTTCAATTATGCTCGTTCTAATGCATTTGAAGTAACATTTGAGTTGAGTTGCTGTAAATATCCATTTGCTACTCTATTACCAGGATATTGGCGTACAAACAAAGAATCTCTCCTAAAGTACCTCGAACAAGCCCACATTGGAATTAAAGGTATATATCTATTGAATTGAATGGCTTGATACTTCATAGTTCAAAACTAATAATAATGAATATTAGGCCTAGTGACTGATCTTGAAGGAAATCCAGTACCAGATGCTGACATTGTTGTGGTTGGAATATCTAAAAATATTACAAGCACAAACCGAGGGGAGTATTGGCGTTTACTTTTGCCTGGAACATACACTGTATATGCTTCAGCCTGGGGGTTAGTTCTTTTCATACAACAATATCTAATCAATGAATTACTTAATGTCTCAATTAAATTCATAAAATTTAAATGTGTTTTTACAGTTATGCTCCAAGTGAACCACAACGAGTAACTGTGAAAAAAGGCAATGCTGAAATTGTAAATTTTGTCTTGACAAAACTACCGTATCGCGATCAACAAGGTAATTTTGACAATTATTATTACGAAGTATCACCATTTTTGAACCGCTTTCCACCGCCGAAGAGATTCATCCATCCCTATTACCAAAAGAAATAATGGTGGTAGCTCGAAGAACGAAGCCAATTTATTTTATAAAACGCCTCTACCATTTTTTTCCTATTTTACGTATAAAAGTCTGAAGACCTATTTAAAATTTGGACTTTAAAAGGCATCCATTTCAATTTAATTATCAATATCAATACCCAAAGCAATCTAAATTAATCAGTATTTTCATGAAGATACGTATGCGTCATTATTTATGAATTTAAAAAATCATAAAAGTTTCTCAGTTTGTAGTACTTAATTTATTATAATATTTAAAACACTATTAGTGGTATATTGGATAAATAATCCATTTTATTTTTATCTATGTAACGTGCTTATTTAACGCTAATTGATACGTAGAATGTAAACACAAGGTAGAGAGAATAAAAAGAAGTGAGGTCAATCAGCCTCGAGGCGGTTTTTCAACTAATGGAACAAACGTCAAATTACAAGTCCGATCGCTAAAAAAACTATCGGATAATTTATATAAATCATTCATAGATCTGCCGGATGTTACAACATATGTGTATGTGTATGCGCGCGCGCGCGCGTGTGTGTGTGTGTGTATACACACGCGCGTACGCGCGCATTTAAAATTGTTAGAAAAAAAGAAATTATTTTTTCAGCTTGAGGCTGATATATACGAACAAATCTTTTGACATTATAGAAACGTACTGATTCGATATCAAATTGAAAAAAAAACCCAGATATATTTTTAGATCTGTTAATTTTTAGATTTTTAAATACCATTTGCAATATCTTTATTGAGGTATATTTATTGAATATAGCTAGGTCAGTTAAATGTGATTATTTTTTCTAATTTCCCCGTGACTGTGCAATTATAGTTGATAAGTGAACAGATTCATTTCATGAAAAGAAATCCGAATATTTCTATACTATAGAACCAATTGATATTTAATAGAACGATATAGATGGCGTAATATTTTACCGATTAAAGTAATTTCGTTGAATGTTGGTTTTTATAGTTTTCTCTTTTTTATTTTTATTTAATTTTATTTACACTATTTATTGTTTGCTACGAATGAACATGAGAATCGAATAAATATTTTTCGTTATCGAATGACATGTACTTCGAATATAGAAATTCATTGAAAATGAAAACATGTACTGTATAGTGAAATATAAAAATAAAGAATTATATTTGATGTGGACCGTGTGTTTTTCTCAATATGCAGCGACCAAGAATCCTCAATCCTCCGCAAATATCGAGTGCATTATGAATTCGATCGCTATTAATTTCTTTGCTCTCCTACCTTGTGTTTATTTGTTCGTTGCTTGGTCAGCGCTGACGAGCATCGTTCTTTCGTTTCGTTTGCGCCGTCCGTCCGTCCGTCCGTCCGTCCGTCCGTCACGCGGACGCTCGCGATCGGCGGCGGCCAGTCGCTCGGGCGCGAAAAAACGGAGCCTTCGACGTCGCGGTCCGCGGGACAGCTAATGGTCTGGCACGAAACGTAGCAGGCGAGGCGCACCGGGTGACCAAGACGATGCGCCCGCGCGACCAGGACGGCTTCTACACGCACCCGGAGTTCGGCCACCACAACTACACGGCGATGGAGGCCTACCTGAAGCAGCTGAGCGCCAACTACCCGGACAGGGCGCGGCTGTACAGCGTGGGCAAGTCGGTGCAGGGTCGCGAGCTGTACGTGATCGAGGTGACGAGCCGGCCGGGCGAGCACGCGCCCGACAAGCCCGAGGTCAAGCTGGTGGCCAACATGCACGGCAACGAGGTGGTGGGCCGCGAGCTGCTGCTGCTGCTGGCGCGCTACCTCTGCGAGAACTACCAGCTGGACCGGCGGGCCAGCGCCATCGTCGACCGCGTCAGGCTGCACCTCATGCCGAGCATGAACCCCGACGGCTACGAGAAGGCCAGGGAGGGCGATTACGACGGCCTGCTGGGCCGCGGCAACGCGCACGACGTGGACCTCAACCGCAACTTCCCCGACCAGTACGAGCAGAGCGAGGTTGAGCGCGCGGGCCGCGGAGGGCGTAAGGCTCGCGGGTGTAAGGCGGTCTTCTCGGTGTCGCAGGGCAACGTGGCGCGCGAGCCCGAGACGCAGGCCGTCATGAGGTGGATCGCCGAGCTGCCGTTCGTGCTGTCGGCCAACCTGCACAACGGGGCGCTGGTGGCCAACTACCCGTACGACGACAACCCGAAGTCGGTGGGCGAGGGCCGCGCCCGGGCCAACCCCAGCCCCGACGACGACCGTGTTCCGCATGCTGGCGCTCGCCTACTCGGAGGCCCATCCGACGATGCACCTGGGCCGGCCGTGCGCGCCGCCGCCGGGCGCGCACTGGCCGCGCGGCATGCTCGACGAGGCGTTCCCGCGCGGCATCACCAACGGCGCCGCCTGGTACCCGGTCACCGGCGGCATGCAGGACTACAACTACGTGCACGGCAGCGCCTTCGAGATCACCCTCGAGCTGGGCTGCGCCAAAGTTCCCCAACGCCAGCGACGTGCGGGCCTACTGGCGGGACAATCGCGAGGCCCTGCTGCGCTTCGTCGAGGCGGTCGGTCGCGCTCTCCTCCCCGCGCCCCTCGCGCCCCTCGCGCGCCTCGCGGCCGTCTCAGCTCCGGGCTTGTCGGTTGCAGTCGCGGCGCGGCGTGCACGGCCTGGTGCGCTCGTCCATCGGCGGCCCCATAGCGCACGCCAGGATCCACGTGGAGGGCCGCGAGCACGACGTCTACGCCGGCGCCGCGGGCGACTACTGGCGCCTGCTGCCGCCCGGCGCCTACAACCTCACCGCCAGCGCGCCCAACTACGAGCCCCTCGCGCAGCTGGCCCGGGTGGGCGACTTAGGCGACGCCGAGACGGTGCTCGACTTCACCCTCGTCCGCGACGACCCCTACCACTGGTGAGCGCCGCTCGGCTGCCGAGCGGGGACGGGACGCCGCGCTCATTCTCCCTCTCTCCGTCCGCCAGGGTCCACCTGCACGACTTCGATCTGCGGGCCAACCTGAAGGAGGGCTACTTGAAGAACAGCGAGCTGAGCCAGAGCTTCATGGTGCTGGCGGCGCAGAGGCAGCGGCTGGCCGAGTTCAAGGCCGACGACTCGCCCGTCAGCGCGGCCCTCCACTCGCTGAAGATCGCGCGCAACGTGAGTAGCGGCGAGCCGAGAGTCGCGCGATTCTGACCCGGCCGGGCCTCTGCCCCGCGCAGATCGGCGACAGCGACGAGGACAAGTTCCACGTGGCCCTCGTCGGCGGCCTGTTCGCCTCGCAGCCGGTGGGCCGGGAGATCCTGCTGCGCTTCGCGCGCCACCTGCTCAAGGGCGACGCGGAGGACGCGGCCGTCCGGCGGCTGCTGGACAGACTCGCGCTGCACTTCCTGCCGGGCGTCGACCCCCACTTCGACAAGGTCGAGGCGCGCTGCGAGCCCTCGGTCGGCGACGAGGTCGTGGACAAGCTGTACGAGCCGGACCGCAAGCAGCCCGAACTGGACCTCGTGACGCACGCCTTCGAGCAGATGCTGAGGACCGAGGGCTACGACGTGCTCGTGCTGTTCGGCGGCGGCCGCGGACTGGACGCCACGTGAGTATCGCCGCGCGCCGCTCGGCCGCGCGACCGCCCGCTGATCGGCCCTCTGCGACGAGCCGCAGGTACGCCGGTGACAAGGCGGGCTTCCTCGAGGGCTTCGTCGACGACTACCGCAAGTCCGCTCGCAAGGAGCGCTGCAACAACACCCGCAGCGAGGACCTGAGCAAAGTCCAGGACTTCATCAGCCGGCGATACGACATCCCAGTGGTCGGTCCTCGCCTGTCCGCGAGGTTCGCTTCCGCGCTCAACGCTCTCTCCTCTCCGATTTCAGCTGAGCTTCTCGCTGTCCTGCTGCAAGTACCCGGACGACAAATCCATCCCGAGCATCTGGAGGGAGATTCTGGAGCCGCTGAGGAGCCTCGCCAGGCGCCTGTCGAGCGGCGTTCGAGTCAGCGTCATGGACGCCGACAGGAAGCCTTTGAGGAACGCCAAAGTGAAAATCGGAAGAGCGCTCTACGGGGTGACGAAGAACATGGCCTACTTCAAGGCGATATTGCCCCCTGGCGTTCACAGCGCGACGTTCAGCTGCCTCGGCTACCAAGACGAGACGGTACAGCTGACGGTCGCGGACGACCAAGTGACGACGATGGACGTCGTTCTGTCGACGCTCGAATCCATCGCCATCGGGCAGCGTACCGACCGAATAAACAAAGTCCTGGACGAGCTCAACGGCAAGTTCCCGAAAACATCGACTCTCCGCGAAATCGGGGTAAGCAGCAAGGGCCACAAGATGCTGGCGCTCGAGATTCACTCCGAGCAGGATCCCGACCATCCCGTGGAGCAGCCGTCCGTCGTTTTCTCCGCGGGGCTGGCCCAGGGAGCGCCCACCACGTCCGGCGTGCTCGTCCACCTGGCCACGTACCTGCTGACCGAGTACCGCGTCGAGGACCAAGTCGCGAGTTACCTCAGGAACCTGTCCATCTTCGTCGTGCCCGATCTCGATCCCGACTCGGACGAGACGGAGACCTGTGCCTACGTCCCCGAGAGGACGCTCGAGCAGTTTCCCCTCGAGGAGGGCGCGATGCGGTACCACCCGAACGCGATGACGATCGGCCGCTGGTTCCAGGCGATCAAGCCCGTCGTGACGGTCAACCTGAAGACCGGCTCGCTCCACGTGGAAATCCCGTTCGGCGACAAGCTCGGCAAGGACCGCGCGAGACCCTACAGGACCGACGACGACGGCATGCTGCAGCACCTCGCCGAGACCTACGCCCTGAACCACCCGACGATGAGCCTCGTCAATTGGAAGTGCGACAGCAAGGCCGTGCTCGAGAAGAGCGGAACCACTCACGCGGGCGTGGCCGCGCGCGCCAGCCGGAACAACTCGTTCGTGGACTACCTGTACCTGAAGGCGGGCACGCTGCCGCTGGACGTCTACCTGGCGTGCTGCAACACCGACGACGACAAGCGGGCCTGGGACAGCAACCGGAGGAGCCTGCTCAGCCTCGTCGCCGAGGTCCACAAGGGACTGCAGGGCTTCGTCGTCAGCGAGAAGGGCGAGCCGATACCGCGGGCCGTCGTCTCTCACGACCGCTCGGCCCATCGGCTCGAGAGCCGCGATAACGGGGCCTACTGGCTGATGCTGCCGCCCGGCAGCCATGTGATCGTCGTCGAGGCTCCGGGCTACCACAGACTCACCCAGGTCGTCAACGTCACCGATCGCGCAATCATGCCCAAAGTCATGCTCAAGATGACGCGGAACGAGAGCATTCTGGGCATGCCTCGGCTGCTCTTTGTCATTCTGTCAGGCAAGTCCCCCTCCCCCCCTTGTCGCCGTTCGGTGCCTACAAATGCGCGTGTTTCATTCATATCTCTGCACCGCAGGCTCGATACTCGTGGTCGTCGTAGCCATGTGTGCATTCGTCATTTCCAAGTGCCAGGCAAGGCAGAGCGAAGACAAAGACAGGCGGCCGTACGCTTTCAGCTTACTGCGGGAGGGCACCTCCTTTTTCGACGACGACGAAAAAGAGGTCGAAATATTCAAACGACCAGTGAAAGGTAATTTCCCATTTCGATCGTAAACCAACGTTGCGTTCACGATCCGCGCTTCCTTTCAGAGTACAACAAAGAAACCGTCCAAGTCGACGCAAAGCCTTTCTTCGATGACGCCAGCTCCAGTTCCGACGAGGCTAGCGATTTGGAGTTTGTAAAACCGGATCGGGAATGGAAGAGCAGGAGTTCCGAGTAATTCAGACAAGTTCCCTTTCCCGACGATCAAACTTTATTGTACAGACGTTCGAATGGAAACAGTGAGACTGCGAGCTAAGGAAACTTTATAAATCAAGTTTAAGTCATGTTTAATTTTGACTAATTGATGCAATGCCCACGAATAGTAGCTTTTGTATATACATAAGAAAACTCGAGTGAAATGAAACTAATTGATAATTAAGTTAGATTAATAAGAAAAAAGAGAAGATTGTTCTCAAATTAATAAGAAAGCGTCAAACAATCAGTGAGGCCTTGAAAACTACATTTACAATCAAGTTTTTTAACTATACATACATTCTAAGATGAACGGTCTATTTACAAGCTTTCTATAATTATTTGCATAGATCTATATGTACTTATGTCACTGACAACCGGTTGGATTTCATAATTTACATTTTATACCTTCACATCTGTAGTAACTTTTTTACACGCTACATAAGAGTATATTGAATTTTATAAATATTTACAAATATATACATAATAATATGCACACGTTGAAAATTACAATCATTCCAAGATTTTATAAATATATTTTTAATCTCAGTGTTATACAACAAACTTCCAACTAACTCGACTGTGATCAATAAATATACTGGTTACAAAATGTGTATTTTAAGAATAACAACGCATTTATCCTGTTGTTGCAATGCTAAATAACTGCAATAAGAAGAAACATGAAAGGAAAAATAAATGAAACTACTATTTTAAAAAATAACTTGGTTTATATTTTATTCAACCATTCTATAAATAATGATACAAAATATACAAAATATGTTGATATCTTGCTTCGAATCCAGTCAAGTATATTTTACTTTAGAAACGTAGCATACGATAAAAGGCACTGTACATCGACTGCTTAAAAATGCAACATGAAACTCTGCTGAAAACTCACAATGTTAAGCCTACGTACTTATATTTAATACTCTTTATAACTGTACTTCATACGCAATGCATCATACATATTAATCATAAATACAAAATTGTTTGATCGTATGCATCACTGCATATATTTTATTATTTTATCTACATGTAATCGAATCATTGAACATAAAATCAAAAACAAAAAAAAAAAAATAAAGAAAAACGCGAAAATCAGTTTACAACTGAAAATTGATGAAATGGGAGAGTATCATCTATAGATTACAATTATAAATACTATACGGTTTTCGTCATGCTAGAATTATCTATTTATGCACCGTTGCTGGATTTAATCATTGCAAAGTTTACAGAAACCATGCGTTGATGACTCTGAGTACGACAAATTAAACAATATTTACAATAATCATAGTACTACACCGTAAATTAAAAGCTTCTTTCGCAGTAAAAATGATAGTTATTGTCATAAAGTTTTAATGATTCGTTGCACGTAATATATAAGCTTTAACCCGCTTTTAAAATTGAGCGGATAACATTTATTTATTTTGAGTCTCTGTTTTAAATTGGGAAACTTTGAATTAGTTAATGTATATTTCATAAATGTTATGAATAGCCAAAGCGCAGAAAATTTTTAAAATCGTTTCCAAAAATACATCTAAATTTAATGTAAAAGATTCCTGTTCTCGATAAGTTTTTAAAGAAATAATTGAGGTCTCGCAAAATATCGCCAGTTCTCGACAACGCATCTCTTCTTTGTATCAATTTGTGTGGATATAATGAATCATCGTGCCCGTAATCTCAAGACACAAAAAAAAAAACCGACAGTTCAGTTGTAAATAGGTTGTGGGAAGTAGGAAGGATAAAGGACGTTCCAAAGAATCGCCGCGGCCATGAGGGCAGTAAAAGTGATAAAGCTTGCCCACCAAACGACTTTTTCCCATGTTTGCACCTCGAGGTTGCGGAGGATATTGATTCCAACTAAAAGTCCAGCGACGGCACCTGCTAGATGAGCTACGTATCCAATTTGATTGTTTGCTTCAAGCACGTAACGATTATAAATGGCTTGGCCGACATCCACACAGGTGACTACTAGGAAGACAAGCAATTGAAGGACAGCAAATTCCATTTGATGCCAGTTCATAACGATAGTCGCCACATGCGCGGTGATAAGAGCATATACGCCGCCTGAAGCACCTGCCAAGTATACACTCGGATCCGATACTGAGGTTCCCAAGCTGCCCGCAATAACACCGGCAAAGTAGATAATTAGCACTCGCCACCACTTATGCACCATTTCCAGAGGGATTCCTAGCATTACTTGCACCAGTAAGTTCACCACTAAATGAAACGTGCTGCAAGGTAAAATAAATCAAAATATTAACAGCTTTTATTTAACTTGTCATTGTAGCCTGGAAATGCACAGTTGATGCTTACCCAACATGTACAAACATGTATGTTAGGTACCTCCAAGCCTGATATCTTTTATGAGGATTATAAATAAACAATGTTGCAGTTGGTCCTTCTACAGCTACAGCATTATGAGCCATTGTATCGTACAAGAACAGAATTATTTCCAAGACACTAATAATTATCATAGCCACTGGAGGAGGGTTACAGCTGTACTCTTCTTCGTAAACACCATCAAGAGAATCTATTGTACATGGTCGACATGGTACCATCGAATGAACATATCTCTGCACAAAGTTTCCAAAAACACCCTGCATATCTTTTCTATGAATCTGTAACACAAGTAATCTAGTAAAATTGAATTGCCTTGGCTACAAAACTGTTGAAAAAAGTTTGCATCGAGTCTTACCATTGCAATAAATTCTGGATACTCTAGATATCCTGAGTCATCAAGATCAGCTTTTTTCATAATCATTCGAACCACTCGACCAGGAAGATCCTTTGTGTTATGAGAAGAGCTTCTAATCATGTTTTTTAACTCATTGTAAGAAATTTTACCATCACCATCAGAGTCAAACTTTTCAAAAATGGCTCTCCAGTGCTATAAAAATATTTACTCACATTTATTACAACTTTAAGAATACAATAAAACTGGAATGCTATTAAAGTTTTAATGTTTCTACTTACAGAGTCATTAAATTGTAAAGGAATGGTTATTTGGGCTTCACCATCTCGTCCTGTAGCCATCTTGATTAATTTGAAACTTCTGTAAAAATAGAATGAAATATATATATAATGATTTTTTTGTCAAAGACTTATTGCATAATAGTTATTTAATTGAACATTCAATAAATAGACAATTAAAATTTGTACTAAAATAGAAACAATACTGCCAACCTACAGACTTTTTTAAATTGATTCACGAATAAAGAAATACTTGTCATTTAAAACTTGGTACTGATGAAGAAAATTAAAAAGTTTTATTTATTTAAATATACAGTGAAAGTAACCAGAGAACAATTAGCAGAATGCATTATTCAAAAACTAGTATGGAGAATAAGCAGTTTTCCAATAAAACCTGAGCGTTTATCTCAAAGAATCGAAGAAAAAGGATCGTTTTGTAGCAATGGAAATGTGATGGCTGAAACAAGATGATGCAAACAGGTGTAGCTGCAATATGTTCAAAGGATCGTGAAAGACTTGACGTTCGGAAGACAACTGAGCGAAAAGAATACAGGACGCGAGGAAGACAATACATATATCTCAAGGCAAAGTTTTATCACGGCTATTAGTCACGAAGTATTAGTTAATGGCTCGCGGCCGTGATAAACGTGGCACTGGGATGTGTGACTGTACCGTTATCTACGTACCGCCGTTGATTGAAAAAAAAAAGGTAGCTCAGCTCAACAGGTTATGATAAGTGTTATCCTCCGACCTACCTCCTTCGGCAAGCGAACAAGTAGGGTCCAGCAATCGGGAAACGAGCGTGTTGCTGTCGTGCGGAAGGTTAGCGGAATATCGCGCAAAAAGCAAAACCCCTAGTGCATCGTCCGTTATCGCAGCGCGAGAAAGTACTTTGAAAGCAGCACGGCGCGCGGCGGTCACACTGAGTCGCTCGGCGCAGCGTCGGTCTGTCCCCCTCTGCCGCGCTATTAAAAGCACCTGCCGCTCTTTCTCGCTCCTTGTGCGCGACGGCGGTGGCGGCGGCAGCCATGCGGGGTCGCCTAGCAACGCACACCCGCGACGCAAAGGATAAACAAAGCTACCCGCGCTCTCGGCTGCTCGACGAGAGAAGAAAAGCACGACGGCACCGCGACCGACGAGAGCGGATGCGGGCTAAATCGAGCAGTGGCTTCACCGGTTGGTACTCGAGCCGCGAGTCGTCTTATCTCGCTCGAGGAGTCGACGAGCGTCGCGAGCATGCTGGAGCCGTCGAGTGGACGAGCCAAGATATCGGCTGTCTACCGAGTGAAGCAGCCAATCGAGAACTTGAAGATAAGGTGAGCGCATCGTCGAGCTGTATCGGACGCGAGCGGTGCTCCCGAGCGCTGCGGCAGACCAAGCCCTAACGGCGCAAGCGCTCGACCGCGATTTCACTTGGCACAGGGTGCGCATAGTGCAGCAGAAGTCCTTGCTGGCCGAGCTGTTCGAGAACGAGGGCGAGACGCGCGACAGCAACTTCCTGGAGGCCGAGGAGCGCGAGTTCTCGTGGCAGGAGAAGGTGCTGGGGCCGCGCGAGGCGAGGCGGTACCGGGACGAGGGCAACTGCGCGACCGACCAGCAGAAGGCCTACCACCGGCGCCTGCTCGAGTCGCCGGCCGCGGGCTCGCGGCTCTACTCGTACGTGGAGGCGGACGCGCACTGCCCACAGGCCGGCCCGCTCGCGGGCTGCGCGTTCAGGTCGCGGCTGGCGCTGCGCAACGAGCGGGCCGCCGCGCCGGCGCCGGCCAACCGCAAGCCCTTCGCCAAGCGCCACAACAAGAGCGTGGTGGACGAGCGCCCGTCCGACGGGCGCGTCCGCGCGACCCACTACTTGTACAAGGTAGGCCGTCGCCGCCGCCGCCCGGCCGCCCCGCGGCCACCAGCTCTCACCGGCCTTTGCGCGCGCGCAGGAGCGGCAGGCGATGCACATCGTCGCGGACCTGTCGCCGAGGGACGAGAGCAGCGTGGACTCGGAGGTGCTGCTCTGCCGCCTCAGCTACGACCCGCTGCGCAAGACCCTGCGCCTCAGCCCGGACTTCAGCGCGCGCGACTGCTACAGCGTGGACGGCGTGGGCATGAGCTACGACTACTGGATCGAGCACGTGTCGCCGAGGCCGAGCGCGCGCGAGCTGCAGCGCCGGCGCGACGCCGCCGCCAAGGTGACTCACTCACCCCACGTACGAGATCTCGGAGATCTGGCGCATGATCTTCATCGTGTACGGCACGTCGATGTCGATGTTCATGTTGCCGCACACTGGCTGGGGCCTCCGACGACGAGATCCGGCGTTGCGCGGCCTAGCCCTGCTGCGGCCTCTCCATGCTGCTCGCGCGCTGCTGCTGCACCACACGGACGGGAATTCGGAGGCGCGCGCCTGGAATGACGAGCGGTCGTCATCCGGTCCGGCCGGTCCGAGAAGCGAGGGGCGCGAGGAGGCGGCGGAGGACGGCCGAGGTACCACCACGGGAACAGCGACGACGGTGCTCGGCAGCCGCAGTCCGACTGAGCGTGCGAGCGTACGAGACCGTGTCCGCTTCCGCGCTCGGCCCCCACTGCCTCGCGCCGCCGCCGCCGCCGCCGCCGCCGCCGCCGTCGTTGCATCGCCGACGGATAACAGAGTCGCGGGAACGCGGCTATTTTCGCGCCGACTCAGCCGACTCGTGTGCTTTTGTCGGATTGCACGCCATCGCGACTCCCCGCGGAGATCGGGTCGAAGATGCGCCGCGACCGAACCCTCGTCCCGAGGGCTCGACGACAATCGAACGAACGCGCGCGACTTCTCTTCGGCGCGTCCGGGCCAGCCACCAGGCGCGGAATCGACCTCGCGCCGAGCTTGCGTTCACTTTGCAGGAGGCGCGTCGGCTGCGCGCTCTCAGGGATGCCCAAATGTTTCGCGAGATGAGCGCACCGCAGCCGCGCGTTCTGCGACTATTCCTCAACCTGGACATCCGATCGGCCAGGGACTTCGCCCACGACGACGCGCTCTTCGTCAGCTACTTCCTGGACCTGCCCGAGCACTGGACCTCGGCCGGGCGACCGGCCGGGCGCACGCAGCGCTGCCGGGCGCGCGACGGCGCCGCTCACTTCGCCTACTCCAGCGAGGTCGTTCTGGACCTGGACCAGGACGCCGCCGCGGCTTCCGGCCGCTGGCCAAGCCTGCTGTTCTCCGTCGGCTCGATCGACAGCTGGACGAGGTAATTCGCTCACGCGCGCGACTCGATTAGCCGACGTCGACACGCGCGCCGAAGAACAAAGCGCGCTGCTCTATTGGCACTGCGTCGCCGCGCTATCGGCGCATGCACCTACGGCCACTGGCGTAGCGCTTATCATCCAGCCGAGCCAGAGATAAGACCTGCGCACGGCGGCCGGGCGCTCCGTTCGGGCGGCAGGACAGAGGAAAATAACAACGGAGCGATCCGAAAAATGCGCTAAACAGGCGATGACGCAGACGAGCGACGAGCGCCGCATCTGCTTTATCGGAATCCATGACTAAGGACAATGGACTTTGAGGCCAGTTTCGTCACGCGTCGACTCTCCGCGCGCCGTCGGATCTCCGCGAATGCTCGGCCGTCAACGGCACACGCGCACGCTCGCACAGCCGAACTGGTTTTACCGCAGGTACAGGCTCGAGGGCTACGGCTGGCTGGCGCTGCCGACGGACCCGGGCAGCTTTGGCTACGAGCTGGCGACCTGGCGACCGGCGGGCGGCCTGTTGGACTCGCTGCGGCGCTTCTTCACGGGGGGCGCCTGCGAGCTCGACGACATCTCCTACTGCGCGGTGCCGGCGATGCAGCACGAGGCCGGCAGCCTGGACAAGCGGCGGCTGCGCGTGCTGCCCAGCGGCAGTCTGCAGCTGAGCGTCCACACCGCGCACCAGAGCCGGCACCCGGCCGATTGTCGCCTGCGGCGTCGCCGCCGCCGCGGCGACGGCCTCGCCGCACCGAGTGCGGCCGACCTGCTGCACGGCGCCGACGACGTGCTGGCCCGCTTCAAGGCGGCCAGGGAGCGCATGATCCAGGCGCGCGCCATGTACCCCTCGTGAGCTACGCCAGAGGGTGGGGGTCGGGGGGTCGGGGGTCGGGGGCGGGGGCGGGGGCGGACAAAGTGCACCTGCTGCTCGCCTCTTTAACGGAGCTGATTCTCTTTTATTTCAACAAAAATAACAATTTACATCGAATTGTTGCCGCTGCCGCCGCTGGCGCTGCTCTTAATTCGTCGTAGTAATTGTCGTGCGCGCTACGCCTGCGCTTCACTGCACCAGGCACGCCGTACGCTCGCTTCGCCATTATAATCTTCGCTGGCATATCGCGCCTATTCGTTAACAGCACTGCTTGTCGTTCTTCGTTTGCCTATACATCGAAATAGTACTCGTGGATTTTTACGCTGCTGCTACGGCGCTTCGCGCGCGAACGAACGTCTCTCGGCCCGAGAAAATATAAGAAAGGAGTGCGCCTTGGCTTGTATGTATATATATATTCTTTTTATGTATATTGTTCAACGCGTCGTACAGCCTTATCTGGTTCAGCGGGACGGACCGACAGCTCGTGTGCTTTATATGCGAATTGTCGATCTGCCGACATGTTTCGTTAAGTCGAATAGGTACACGTGTTGTGATATTTCTTCGCGCTTCATCTTATTTCTTTTCCTGCTTTGTTATTTCATTTTCTTTCCCTATGCGTAATTTACATATTTACCGTGAATTCGTTCTCAAATGTAGAAAGGAAAAGAAAGGAAATAAGCGCACTGGCGAGATACGTCACTCTTTTCTTTTTAACTTTTTGTTTGTTTTTTTTTCTTCTAATTTACACTTTTTGCAGCACTGTTCTTTCGCGTAGTCGTTAATACATTTTTTTAAGAAGCATCGACAATTTTGCTGTTTTTGTTCACACTAAAAGTTGGAACATTGTGATTATTTGTCGTTTGTTCACAATTACACCATGTTACCAAAGTAAAATTTATGCGTCAAAAATTTGCCAATCGCACAAAAGAGCACAGAATAAAAAGTAATGTACAAATTTCAGGCTCGCACTCGCTTGGGAAAAGAATACTGGAGATAAATTACAATGGACAATTCTTTCGACATCGAGAGAGGCTAGCGAACTAATACTAGGAAGACTGATTCTTTTTTCCTTAATTACGTCTTTCTTTTCTTTTAAATCTTCGTTCATTCACATCAGAAATGTCACTTTTGCCATCGCGCACACGTCTGCTTTTCGCATGAAGAAAAAGTGACGGTAAACATTTCAATTAAAATTCTAAATATCACAAAGTTTTCTTTTTCCAATCAATGAGAAAGCATCGTTACTTTAGCATGCTATATCGTCGAGATGTTGGGTGCTCCAAGTGGGATTTCGCGCGCACGGATATTCGTTGATCACACTTTCTCTCTGTTCGCCGTATGCGTTCAATTAGAAAAATATAGAACAGCTGGTGGGCATCACTGTGAGACTCCGTCAACGATATTGAGTAATTACACATGTACATAGAGATCGACGCCTAGCTGGAAAATGTCTCAAAAGTATGAGTTATATGGAGAATTGCGTCGATTCGTATTAAAGACAAAAGTCCGTTTTATCGAAGGACTGATTAATATAAATGCAAAAATTCGGGAGATTCAAGTGGCCCTTGGCATATAACATTGCGGTAAAGATGGAGCTTAATGAAGTCTGTAGAGTAAGTCGAAAATGATAAAGGAATAATAGGTTCGTTTGCAGTTGTGTTTTAATAGCCAAGTCATAAAAGGCACCGGAATTATGTCTTGTTTTTTTTTTTACCGAATGATGCAATTGTTTAAAAGAAATTTATCAAGAATGAACGCAGCGACTGATTTTTTCCAAGCTTCTTCTTGTACGAATTTTCGAGTATTTTTCATGATGAACTTGGAAAAGTATTGTACGAATTGGACTGATTATCAATAAAAGCTTTGGTTCACTAAATTTGGAATAGCACATGACGAGAAATAAAAAGTGAGATCCATGTAAACGATTTTATGTTAACCATCAAACATGTATTTTTATCGTATTATCAGCAATGTATTTACACGTAGAAAAAATATTAAAGATCAAATACCGATCAACATCTATCATAATAGTTTTCCATATAACGTTTAATACATTACTTTTTCCCAATCCATCACTGGAAAAAAATTAAATCCATACAATATTAAGGCGACCCTTAACAAACGACGTTGTTGCACCGATAATAGAATTTAGAAAGCGTTAAAAAATCGCGACAGAGTACAATCGAAGGCGCAATCCACGCGTTGCGTACAAATATAAAATTAGGCTGTATAAAAAGTTTTGTGTATCGTGTATACGTGAAATGTATGGTGAATGTTTAACGAACATATGGTGAGACGCGCGTATTCTTTCATTTCGCTTATCGCGTAATATTTTTCTTTTATTATTCGCAAATAAAGAGGATACGCTTTGATGTTATCTAAAAAATTGTTAAATTAAATAAAAACCCACATCTATTCGTTCATCGACGATTCAATCTTTTTTTTTAATCGGCTGTTTATTTCAATTATAAGAGAACGTAGTCTTGGGAAAACTTCCCTAGTCAGTTCGTGGTTTCCTAAATTCTATACGCTAGCTACAGTACTTAATCTGGGCCTAGAGTTTTCCTTCCTTATTCTCTATACATAATAAACTAATAATCGTTATAATTACTTATAATTCACTCTTAAAAGATAGTATTATGTACTATGTACAACGCTTAAGCTTATAACTGTAATTTTTATTTTCTCATAAAACCACTTTACTGGAAAAAAAATAAATGAAAGAGGGTGGCAACGGTGCGAACCGCATCACTATAAAACAGCGCATTAATTATTTTTGTTCTCTCACATTTGCGGTGTTGCACTTGACTCGGTATAGCATTCTTACAATCATAAACTTCCATATTCTATCTAACGACTACGTTTTTCTTCTTTATCGCACTTGCATATTTCAATGAACGTTTACATGTAGTGGACATGTATCAGACGCATCCAAATTAAAAACACGCACACTGTTAACGCTGTATTTATCATTTAACGATATACTACGTATTCATATTTACAAAAAGCGTCTGCATTGTTTCTCCGGGCTACGTTTGCTAAATTCTGTCAAACTTTCGTGCTCTGACTTTATCTTCTCGACAATTGTTTATCTTTTTTTTGCAATACACTGCGCACGCACGCACACGCACACGCACACGCACACGCACACGCACACGCACACGCACACGCACACGCACACGCACGCACGCACCACGCATATACGCACAAACATGAGTCACCCTGTTCTCATTTTTTTAGTCGCAACTACAATTTGCAATCGTAAGACTTGCACCGATGATGGAATGAACGTTGACTTGTTCGGCAGAATTTCAAAATATTGTACAACATACTGCTTAAAATAGGACGCTGTTCGTAAATTTTATGCAATGCATGGTTTGTCTGATAAAGATTATTTCGTTCTCCTAAAAATAAAAAAAAACATCTATACAGTTCCTTGGGATTAGAGAATAATCTCCCGACAAACATAACCTGTGTTATATATACATTATATGACAAATCGCGCAGAATATCGTTGGTTTTTACTTCAAACGGATCATAAAATTTTCAAAATTGAAAATAAAAAATGTCTACAACTTCCAAACAAGTCGTACATCTACACTTTTTCAATGCGTGTTTTTTTTCTCGATATTTTACATACTTAAATTGTTGCATAAAGAAATAAAATCAAAGTAAAAGTGTAAAAATTTTACCTAAACAACAATTAGTTAAAATATAATAAATACAAAATGATGTTCATTGGCACTCTGCGCTCGTCCATATTTGCATGTCATCAATAAAATAAAACAGAAAGATTCATCTTTTACGCATGAAAACAATTTTAACCATAAGTTAAACCTACTAACCGTATGTATCTCTATTGAAAAAAGGGATATTGATCAATACTGCAAAAAATATTTTGTTTGAGAGGATAACGGAGGGTGTAAAAGAGAACAGAAGAGAACATATATAAAAACGTAATCTATAAATTTGTAGAAACTATTATACTCGAACAATTTTTAATTTTCATAAAATCTAGATTATTATTTACGTTGTTATTCTTTACGTGGTTTTTCAGGGTGAATGATTTCAATAAATGATCAAAAGTGAATATTGTAGAGCACCAATTACTATAAAACTATACACCATAAATCTCTTTTTCAATGCGTATCGCAGATTTATTTATTTCCACCTAATATTTAGTCTTCGACAATAATGAAAATCATCCATCCTAGTCTATAATTCCGAGAAAAACGTATGGCTTCTACATCTCACACGAACTGTTAATTATTCTAGTATAATAATTTCTCCGGAAGTGGAAATTTGTTCCGTCATCCTCTTAATGTAATGTGATGTAAAGTTGAAGAAAAATTAAAATTGTAATGTATTTTGAGTGAAGAACTAAAAATAAGTGTCGCGAGATAAATTTGAAAGAACTGGAGAAAAAGTATTGCATTTTACAAAATAATCAAACGCAACATCCTTTTTTCAAACAGACGTTGAAACATCTGATGACATTTGAGTCTATCTATACAAGTCGGTGGTACGTAGTTTTTAACAAGTTTTGAGCGTTACATGGTTTTTGCTGTTTCACGATCAATCCTCATCCGAGAGAGGCTCGTACTGTGCAGAGAGAATTGGCGCAGGTTCTTCGGTCTTGACCACAGGTAAAGATGTTACGCCAACTGTAGGTGGTGGCGCCGGCGGTGGGCCCGTGTGTACACCTAACGCATTGAACGGATAAAAGTTTGTGGGAGTAGGAGCTGGCGGTTGACTGGGCGACTCGTCAATCACCATTTCGCCACTGGGCGAATTGTCAGCACATTTGTCGTCTTTTTCGTTGCCGCCACCGTTCCTGTCTCCCGAACTGGTCTTGTCGTCTTCGGTGCGCATCACCTCCACTATCTTGTTTTTCACGTAGTCCAGAGGAGACAGATGCGATTTGCTCGAAGGTGCACCCGATGTCGTAGTCGTCGCAGTGCTCGACTCATAGAAGCGTCGTGGATAGTGGTTGGCCTCGGGTGGTGACACAGGTTCTGTCTGATACGTAGGCTGCTGTTTGCTTACGGACTGTTGGCTCTGGTGCGAAGACTGTTGTTGGGAAGATGTGGGCTTTTGCTGAGCAACGCGGATAATTTGTCGCTCATCACCAGGCTTTCCAGGATCTGGTTCACCTGTTTTTCTCCTCTTCCACTGGTCATCCGATATTTGGTAGCTATAATGAAACGGGCATTGACAATCAATAGGAAAAAAAAAATTACTTTTTTATGACGCACACTAACCCAGGATAAGGCCGGTAGGAAGACATTGGCGGCGCAAAATCTTTGTTAATCACATGCTCTACATGCTCTCCTAAAGTAATAACCTTGCTGCCAGTGCTACTTGCATTTCCAGTACTCGGACCGCTATTTGGAACATTTTCTTCGCCGGCCGGACTATGAGCTACGCCGTTAGGTTCCGCCGGGCTGTCACGATGAAAACTCTGTAAATGAAGTTGTAAAATATGAAATACTAACACCATCTAAGAGTATACCCGTAATGTAGCAATGAGCTTGGTTTGACTTGACGAACCTGAAATAAACGATCACCAGGCCGTGCTGAAGGAGCTCCATCGCCTTTCTTAGCTGTACTCAAATTAATTTGGTGCGTGATAATAGCATCGATCAAGCTTGCCGCAGTCAAAGTAGACGCGACGTCACCCTGTTGACCGGAAGATGATTGATTGTGTCGAGAAGAAGACGGAGGTGGTGGCTGTGGTTGCTTCTGCGTTATTAGTGGATAATAAATTTGAGGTCCTTTCACGCTTGGCGATTCACATTGTCGTTCCATCATTTCTCTGAAGAAAGTAAACCGGTCAATATGATTCTACATCTAGCACGAAATGAGTTTATCAAAATGAAATAGACGTTGAATGATGTCTCACCTGTACATTTGTTGTTCTTTGAGATGCTCGATCACGCGTCTTTCATTTTCGAAATGCTGCTGTTCGGCTGCAATCTGCTGTTGCATTTGCTGTTGCTTTTGAAGCTTCTGCTGTTGTAAATACATATTTTCTCTCTGCTGTTGCATCTCCATTTCTCTTTTTTGCGCCGCCAAGGCACGCTGCTGTATCTCCTGTTGCTCTCGCATCGCAGCGGCCACTTTTTCTTTTTCGCGATGTTGCTGCACCATTCGGTAATGATGCTGCTGCATATCTTTCTCTCGCATCTGTTGTTGCTGTTGCTGATGAATGCTCAGTCTGTGATCGTGGCTTTGCTGATGCTGTTGCAGCTCTTTTTCACGTTGCTGCGCAGCGATTCTATGATCCACGGCCGCCTGGTGCTTCTCCTGTTCGCGCTGTTGCTCGCGTATCCGGTGCTCCTGCTGTATGTCCTTCTCACGCTGCGCCAGTCTTTCCATTTGCTGCTGATGATGCAGCTGCTCCTTCTCGCGCTCGCGATGCATGCGCTCACGCTCTTCCTCGTGCTGCTTCTCGCGCATGATCTCACGTTCGCGCTGCTCTTGCTGCATCGCCACGGCCATTTGATATTGGGCTGCCTGCTGCCTGGCCAACCTCGAGCTTGGCATGTTCTGCAGCGATCGATTATCCATTCCATAACGCTCCGAGTACATTCGCTCGATCGACATGCATAATCCCTCGTGACTGCTACTCGTCGCCGGAGGGTGCGGCACAGGAAGACTGGGTTGCTGAACGGCTACGTCGACTAGACTAGCGAAGGCATCGAGGCCTGCGGGAGGTGGTGCGTAGTGCTTTTGAGTGTTGTGCCTCTGAATGACACCTTGCCGTGGTTGTGGCGGCGGCGTGTTTGCGCAATACAACGTGGTGGGAACTTCGTTTTTACTAGAAGCCTCCGCCGAGCCACCGCTGCGGTTGCGAGGATGCATTTGCTGACTGGTTATGTAGTCGTTCATTATTATTTGCCGCGACGACAACTGCTGCTCCATGGTGTAGTTTGGCGCTTGGCGCGACGGGAAGGAATTGTACTGATTGGTGGAGCTGCTGCAAACAGAAAGATTCGATTGGCTCGGAATGTGGTAAGAGCTTAGCGACGGGTCGTTTGAGATTAGATGTAAATGGTTTCGGTACCTTTGCCCATGACTGACGACCACACCGGAGTTCTGCGGCTGAACGGGCACGTTGCTGGTGGTGACTGGTGAATGCCTGATGGACCTGTGATAATCATAGACCGGAGCGCGCTTGTCGACCGCATACGGATGCACAGGAGTGCCCTGCGTGATCGAGCCCGTTTCCTTGGCGCCTACCGGGGTGGTGGTGCTCGGATTGGGCTGAGCGTTGTTGCCGGGCGGCGTCATCTGCCTCAGCATGCCGTCGTACCGCGCGCCGGAGACGGGGGTGCCGTGCGTGATGGAGCCAGTCTTGTGCGGCGTGCCGATGTTGGTCAGCTTCGGCGACAGCTTCGGATGAGAGGTCGGCGGCACGGTGACCTTGGGCAGCTTAGGGGTAAGTGGGGCCTGTGGCCTCGGCGACGAGGAGTACACGTGCGGGCTCTTGGCCTGACGAGCCTGCGATTCCGCGTGGGGATGCGCGTGGTAGTAGGTTGCCGCCGACGGGGGCTCCGGCCTGTAGTGAGCGGTTGGCTTGTGCGGGGGCGGCGGCTGCAGCGCGTGATTGTACTCCTGGCGCGGTTTCTTAATGCTCAAGTCCAGGGTGCCCTCGGTCTCGCGCATCGTCTGCTGCTGCTGAAAGGCGAGAGACAGAGCGTGAACGATTGGATTGTTATAACGGAGAGGAGGAGCTGTCGGAGGGACAAGGAGGTGCCGGACGATCGGGCTCGAGAGTAGCTACCTGCATGACGACCAGTCCTTCGTTGGGCAGCATGTCTTTGCCGGCGGGCTGAGGCTGCTGGCTGGGCGCGGGCGGCGGACAGGGCGTAATAGTAGCCTGCATCTGGCCGATCTGCTGGTGGGGACTGGAGGCCGAGCGGTGCGCGTGGTGGGGCCCGGTGACGACCGAGAGCGTAGCCAGGTTGGGGTCCCTGTTGGGCATGGCAGTGTTGGGCATGCTGGCCGGCTGCGCGGGCTGCTTGTACTCGCGGACAAAGGTGATGTCGTTGCGGTGATCGGTCTTGAGAATGCTGGATATGGTGGGCGTGCCTGAGCTGACGGGCACCGACGAGTTGGGTCCCTGGTTGTTGGGGTTACGCTTGAGCTGCATCTCGATGACGCCTAGCATGAGATCCTTGACCGTGAGGGGGTTATTGTTGCTGGTGGTCGACGGCGGCGACTGCACTGGCAGCACCGGCGGCGCCTGCGACTGGCCCTGCGCCATGGAAGCCGGCTGGTGCGAGCCGGGCGCGCCGCCCGAGGCGCCGGCGAGCGTCACGACCAGGTTGCCGGCGTCCAGGTCGGAGTTGCCCGGCGCTTCGTCCGCCGTCTCCTGGAAAGAAGCGTGGTGACTCTATCAGACGGTCCTCTCACGGGAAGAGATGCGAGGCAGCTTGGAAACAAGAGGCAGCGGCGCTCGCCCGGTGGCGAGGCGGCGTGGCGCGCGGTCTGCCCTCGGGGAGCGCCGGCCGGGCCGAGCGCGCGACCGACGGCAGACGCGCGCGCGACAAGCGCCGACGGCGGCATCAGAAGCGGAGCGTCAGACTGTGAGGTGTAGAGAGCGAGAGAGGAGAGCTGAAGCAGTGTGTGTGCGTGTGATATGGCGGTGGCGGTGTAGCACGCGGCGTGGCCGAACGAGCCGGTCTTACCGTGGCGGAGCTGTCGTAGTCTTCCCTCGTGCTCGTGGGTGGATTGGTCTGTGGTGGTGGTGGTGGCTGGGAGGAAGTGATCGCGGGCGATGGTGCAACCAAGGACACCACTGCCAGGTCGGCGAGTTGTTGTTTTTCACCCACCTTTGTATCCTGCGACTGCGCGTTTGCGGCGGCAGCGGCGGCGGCAGCGGCGACGACCACGGCGGCTGCGGCTGCGGCGGCGGCTGCGTCGCTGGCCGCGGATTGCGGCCCGGGGAAGCCGACGACGGTCGGCTGCAGCAGCGGCGCCGCGCCGCTCAGCGAGCCTGCCGACGAGGCCGCCGAGGCCGCCGAGGCCGTGGGCGTGCTGCTCGACAGAGTGTTGGCGGGGCTTCCCGCCGATGCCGTGTCGCTGGTGTCGTGCACCTGCGGCAGAGGCGCGCGTGAGCGAGCGGCGGCCGGCCGGGTCGCGCGCCGCCCGGCGCTACTTACGGCCAGCTCGTCGCAGCTGCTGGTACTGCTGCCGCTCTCCTCCTCGTCGGTGAGGCAGGGCTTGCGCTCCTCGCCCAGCGACTGGTAATACGCGGCCAGCAGCTGGTCCAGGCCGAGCTTCTTGCGGTGGGTCAGGTAGTGGCTCTTGCACTGGTGGTGGCTCTTGCCGGCGACCACCTCGGCCACCTTGACCCAGTTGGTGCCGTGCTCGCGCAGCGCCTTGGTCAGCTGGTCCAGCTCTTCGTCCGTCCACGGACGGCCGGCGGCGTCGGCCTCCTCGCCCGGCTCGCCGCTCGCGCCGGTCAGATACGGCGTCATGCTCCTCGAGATCCGGTTGAAGCACGCCGTGCAGCACTTGGTGTCGTGGCTCGGGATCTCTGCGGGGCAGAACGGGCGAGCGTCAGAGGGGACCATCCGCGGAGCTGCGGGGCCGCTCGACGACCACTTACGGAACTCCTGCGCGATGATCTCGCGGGCCTTGGGGGTCAGCTCGCTCCACTTGGGCGGCAGCCAGCGCAACCGCTTCAACCTCGCCTTGGCGGTGCCGAGGTTCGGGCAGCCGGGCAGCGGGCAGGTGACGTAGCGCCCGCGCACCGACTTGCAGCGGCAGGTGTTGCAGACCCGCGCGCCCAGGCCCACTTGCTCCTCCGACAGGCCGTACTGCGAAGCCTGGCTGCGCGACAGTGGTCTGCTCTGGTTGCCCGCCTCCACTATCGTCTGGCAGATCGCGCACGGATGCGGTCCCAGCTGTCGCCCGCTCAGCTCTGAAACCGAGCCAATTTCGTTCGCAGCTCAAATCAGCGCGTCTCTTCTTAGCCCCTCTTTCTCTTTTTCTGCTTTGCGTTTTTTCTTTGTTATTTCCGTGGTCTTCGATCGTCGAGCGATCGGCCTAGTGAATATTTCGAACAGAATCAGCGAAATGTCAATAGCAAAGGAAATCGGTCCAATTGACAACTCTGGCTTGTCTGTCGCTCGCGGACGGCACTCGAACAGTCGGCCTACAATCAATCGCCGCGGACGCAACGAAAACACCCCGGCGCTCCGATGTACATCCGCTCGCGATGAGGGGGGGGGGGGGGGGGCGGAAAAGCAAACACGCGCGGCAGCGGACAAAAAGAGAAAAGCGCGCGACGTGAAATCATATAAAGGCCGATCGCATCGCTCGCAATCGCAATATCCGAAGCCGCGCGCTGCATAATCGCGCGCGTCTCTCCGGCTCTCCTTTTTTCCTTTTTTTTCTCCCCTTTTCCGGCCCTTGCGCGACGTAATCGCAGTGATCGAGCGGATTCGGCGAATCGCTCGGCAGCCGATTGATATTTGCCCAGCTTTCAAATTAGCCGTGAAGAAAATTCACGGGGCAGGCGGCTGTTTGAGGGGGCTGAATAATTAGCCGCGCGAGCCAACTAATTACGAATTGCCAATTAAAAACTTGGCCGTGGACTCGCGCGCGCGGGCGCTGTTTGTTCAAAGGCCGAGTACGCGCGCGCGAAATGTGCCAAATTGGCTGGTTTTCGCGGCGCGTAATTCGATCGCGGCGAGTCAGCTAATTAACGGGCGTCGGTGCCGAGCAGCGAGCGATTTTCCGAGATACACGTGTCGCGGCTGGGATCGGACGCCCGTCGTTTTTCGTCAACGTCGGGCACGCTCGCGGGCGCCCGAGAGGCCAGTCCCGCGGTCTTGCCTGCCCTCGGCGCCGCGCTTATTAACGCCATTGTGCTTCCTCGAGATGTCTGATCAAACATTCACGGGCTGCGCCATTGTTCCCTCTAATTAGCGGCTATTTGCCTGCGCGCCGGAATCATCGTCGCGGCCCAGAGAGCTCGCGAGAGAGGATCATCAAAGCGCAGCGCACGATGACTCGCCGAGGCTAGAGTGCACGGTTAATTTCGCTTCGCGTCTCCCGCTCTTTCTCTCTCTTTCTCTCTCTCTCTCTCTCTCTCTCTCTCTCTCTCTCTCTCTCTCTCTCTCTCTTTGAGCTTGTCTTTTTCCTCGTGCGGCGCATTATTCATTCAGGGTAATTATCAGCCAGATCGAAGAGCAGCGCCGGCTCTTATTTACCCCCTTTCTTTCAAAGGGAATCGTCGATGGGCCACGCGCTCCCGCGTAATCCTTCGCAGATTACGACGGCGATTCGATTACGAGAGCGGTGGTGGTGGTGGTGGCGGCGGCGGCGGCGACGGCGGCGACGGCGGCAGCCTAGGTTCCTCTGGCGAATCGCCGCGCGCGATTTCCAATTCACCGAGAGCGAGCTGCGTTGATACGAAAAATTGCTTGTTTCGCGCAAACACGCGAGATGCCCTTGGGCCTGATGTACGCATTCATGTATTTATGAGATTTGCGGCGCTCGCTCGCTCGCTCGCTCGCTCGCTTGCTCGCTCGGCTCTCGGCAAAAATGATTAAAAGCAAACACAGCGGGAAAGAGAGCGAGCGCGAGCAAAATGTACACACGTGTGAGTGCTATTGAAAGACCTCGGGTCTCCTCTGCCTCGGCGGGGATCTTTTGCGCTCGCCAAGTTTAACCGCTGTACCAAGGCGGCGGACGCGCTCCCGAGGCGTCGTCCCGTCGCGGACTCGCACTCCGCCCAGGCGCAAAGTCGTTAGCGCGAGTATGGTCGAGCGCGACGACGAATCGTCGGTCTGAGCTAATTGAAATTTCACTAGAGCTCAAAGACGGCCGGCGCGCTTGACCGAAGGGGCTGCTGCGAATTGGCCGTGGAGTGAAGCACCCCCCCCCCTCCCCCCCCCCCCCCCCCCCCCCGCCGCCCTCATCCCGTGCTCCTCCATCCCCGCCCGTCGCCAAGCTCGCTGTCCTAATTGACAGATGTTGTTTGCTCCTCATAATGTGCACCCCTTTTCGTTTTCGCTGGCTCTCGCGCTTTTGTGTATTTGCCATTCATTACAGCTGATTGATTAATTTGTCCTCGGCGTCCGGCCGGTGTGTCTATACGGGCCGGCGTCTAGAAAAAGATACGCGGCCGCTGTTTTTCTTTCCTGCAATTTGCAGAATTGCTAATTATTCATTTAGCGGGACACTAAAATGAAAAGGCCAATTACGCGCGCGCGCAAATTGAAAGGCCGAATTTTATGAGCGTTAATTACCGGCCGGGGGAGGGAGGCAGGGGCAAATTTTTGCATTTCAACTTGGACGAGAGAAAGAGGCGCTGACTAAAGCTCGCGTATTATTACGCTTTGGCAACAAGAAATTCGCAGCGCGTGAATTATTCAATTCTCATAAAGTTTCGGGAAACAGAGGAGAAAGAGAGAGAAAGCGAAGTCGCGGGCAATTAACGAGCTCGAAAAAAGCGGAGCCTCTGTAGGTATTAACGATAGCATTAACGAATGCTCCTTGCGGCTGGCGCAGCTCGCGTAATCCTCTGGCAGCAGCGCGAACCCGCTCGTACGTAATCCGCTATTTGCTGAGCGAGCTGGCTGGCTGTCTGCCTCTCTCTCTCTCTCTCTCTCTCTCTCTCTCTCTCTCTCTCTCTCTCGGAGTGCCATTAATTGGGATTAAGTAAATCAAGACGCTAATTAGCTCGTCCGCCTGACGAGCGAGCGCCAGAGAGAGTTTAGCTCTCTCTCTCTCTTTCTCTCGCTTTACCTTCATTTAATTTTGCGCGCCAATTTGCTCCGGTTTGTGCACACACCCCCGCCGACGCGCGGCCAGGCTATTTCGCGCACCTGCCGATGCGCTCGCAGTCGAAATCTCATAACGGAATCGCGCGCGCCGCGAACAAGCGATTCGCCACGGTCTGTAATTGGCAAGAAGAAAGAAAGAACGAGAGGACGAAAACGAAAAAGAAGAACCGAGAAAAAAAGCCACGGGATCTCGCGGTGCTTGCGCAAACACTGTCTGGCGATATTAGCGGCGCGCGCTGGGAAAATACCTCGAGGGCTCGCTACGGCGAGGCGAGCGAGACCCGTCGCTCGATCTTGATGTGCACTTTCTTCCGCTCTGATTTGATCGCGCTGCTGTACGCCGCCAATTATCGAGAGAGCGAGCGATGAATTATTCCGGGGGCGCGCAGCCGAGCTTTTTCTCTCCCCGAGGTGCCGGGCGCTGCGGCGGCCGTCGCGCCGCCAAATAGCTCCGAGGACGTCTCGCGGCGCTGCGTAAACCAACCAACCAACCAACCAACCAACCAACCAACCAACCAACCAACCAACCAACCAACCAACCAACCTCCTCCTCCTCCTCCTCCTGCTACTCCGCCGCCGGATGAAACGCTCTCTCTCCACTCTGCCGGATGGCGACGGCCGACGGCGATCTCGTTCGACCGATGGCGCGCGGATTTAATTGGCCCGCGTCGGCGGAGCCGAGCAAGAAGCGCGTCGACGCGCGGCCGCTAGCCGCCGCAAAAACCTCGCTGAAAAGGCAAAGCCAGCGGGGGTGGCGCGGATGCGGCGGACGAGTCTCCGAGGACTACACGAGTAGTCCTCGCCTCCGTCTCGCGCCAGGCGGTGGTGTGCGCGAACGCGGCCGGGGAGTACAATGGAGAGGGAGAGAGAGAGACAATCTCAAAGGGATCGAGCCCTTAAAGCGCGGCTTTAATACTGGATATACACGGAGAGCGGCAGCGCGCACGAGCGTAAAAGCGACGCCCCTCGGGAAATGCGCGTAATCGGCGTCGCTTTCTCGCGTTTGTTTATCATTGGCTGCCGCTTCCTCCACGCGCGTAACTGTCACGATCCCGCGCCGGATTTTCGTGCGGCCAAATTATGCGGAAACGTGCGCTCTCTCTCTCTCTCTCTCTCTATCGCTAATCCGACACACGCGCTCGCTCCTCCTGTCCATTGATTTGCGCCTGTGTCGGGTAATTCGCAAACGAGCTGCGTCCAGTCGGCCTTTGCTTAATTACCGCGCGCTCTCGCGCTGCTATATGGACAGGACGCCGTACGATTTTTTTTTTTCCTCTTTGCACGGCCCATTTGTTTGTTCATTTTTTCCCGCGGAAATTTATGCGCGCGCGCGCCACGGCTAATTGGATCGACGTCGGGGAGCTTTCTTTGCTCCTCGTTTTCGCGCCAGCAATTCGACGGAGTGATAACGCAACCAGCTCGGGCGGAACTTTTTAATTCTTCCTCGAAATCGAATCGCGGCCAGGCTTGTTTGCGCGCCCTCGGTGCGGTAGCGAGCGTGGCCACGCGACTCGCGACGGCGGCAAGGCAGCCCCGCGGAGAAAAGCTATCGGAGAGCCGGCTGTTTCGCGAGCGCGTTGAATGGAGCCACCGAATGAAACGAACGGAAAAACAAAAAAGCACGGAAGAAGAGGAGGAAGGACGAGGAGAGACTTTGTTCCCATTGATTTGGCCAGGCGAAATCCGGAGCGGAGAGCTGCACTCGGGCAATTAGGCAAAACTGGGCTACCGACAAAGGAGCCCGTCGCCGCGTCTGGTGGTGCGCGCTCCTTCGGTCGCGCGCGCGCGAGCGAACGACCAGCGGCAACGGCAGCCCCGTCCCCGGGGAGATCGGCAATTGGCAATTGTCGGGAAGCGCGGCCAATGTGCCGCCCCGAGGGGCGGTTCCAGCAGCCGCGCGCTTGCCCGCACCCCGCGCCGCGGCTGCGTGGGCTGCAGGTGGCGGTGGTGGGGCGCGCGCGCGAGCGGCCGCTCGCTGCTGCAAGTCCGGCGTTCAAATCTCGGCTGTCGGCTGAGCGCCTCAGTCGCGCGCGGCACGCGACACCCGCTGCACGCGCCGCCGCCGCCCACGCCGAGGACATGTACGGCCTGTACAGAGCGTGGTTCGGCGCCGCGGAGGAGAGCTACCCGCTCCGGCTGTCGCCGCCCGACACCGTGGTCAGGGTGGGCCAGGACGGCGAGTTCCACTTCGTGGCGCACCGGGCTGTGCTGGCGGCCCACAGCGGCTACCTGAAGGCCCTGCTGGCGGGCGGCGCGGCCGGGGTCGCCGCCGGGGAGGCCGCGGGCGCGCGCGACGCGTCCTCCGCGCCGCTCATCGCCTCCGTCAGCGTGCCCACGTCCATCGGTGACTAGCGCCCGCGGCCCTGGCCGCCGCCGTTGCCGCCGCCGCCGCCGCTCACCCGCTCTTTCTGCCGGCAGGCGGCGAGGCCTTCGGACCGCTGCTGCACTACATGTACACGGGCCGGCTGGAGGTCACGCTCGACAACATCTACGCGGTGCTGCTGGCCACGCACTTGCTGCACATGCCCGGCGCCCTGGAGCAGTGCCGCGCGGCGCTGCTCAGGCTGCGGGCGCCGCCGGCGGTGCCGACGCCGGTGGGCGGCGGCGCGACCACCACCGCGAGCCCGGCCCCGAGCGTGCTGCGCCCGGTGCCCAACCGCCTCCTCGGGCCGGCGTTCTGCTGGCCGCAGGGCGGCGCCGCCGCCCCCCTGTACGCGCCCGGGCATCTCGACCTGCCGCACCTGCCGGCGCTGCCGCTGCCGCACGTGCAGCTGCCCGCCGCCCTCGCCCACAAGGCCACGTCTTACGGGTGAGTCGCGGCTGCCACTGCGCGCCCGCCTCCGCCTGCCTCATCGCGCTCCTCGTCTTGCAGCGGGAACGAGCCGTCGGTGTCGCCTGTCTCGAGCGCCTCGCCGCCGGCCCCGGCGCGTTCGCCCTCGGCAAGCCCCGAACTCGTGGTCGTCTCCTCGGCGAGTCCGGCGGCGCAGCTCGCCGTCGACGACGAGCGGGCGAGCGCGCCGGCCGGCAGTGAGCGCATCTCCGTCAGCGACGCCGGCTCCGAGCACCAGCCCCAGCCTCGGCGCCAGCAGCAGCCGCAGCCGCAGTCGAAGGGCAGACGCAGCTCGCGTCCGGGCCGCGACAGGTCCTCCAACGCGTCTTCCTCGCCGCCGGCCGCCACCGGCTTGCAGCAGACTGCCGGAGTGATCTACGATGTCGCCTGCTGCGACGGCCCGGTGCGCTTTCACCGCGTGCTCAACGAGAACTACGCGCCATCATCGGATCCGCAGGTAACGATCGCGCCGCGAGACGCGCCGACCAACCGAGCGTTATTCCTCCGCGACTTGTTTTTTGCTAAGCCGCCAGCCGCTCCGACGCAACATCAACAGCAACAGACACCGCAAGAGCAACAACAACAACAACAACAACAACAACAACAACAACAACAACAACAACAACAACAACAACAACAACAACAACAACAACAACAACAACAACAACAACAACAACAACAGCAGCAGCAGCAGCAGCGAGTGCCGAGTCCGCAGTGCAACGGACGCGCGTGCCGGGAGAACGACGAGAACGTGCACCGCGTGCCGCCCGCCTCGCAGCGAGTCCTCGCTCAACCGCTGCCGGCCATCATGAGCGGCGGCGATTCGGAGAACCGCAGCTACACGTGCAGCTACTGCAAGCACACCTTCAAGTCGCAGAACTGCTATCGCAAGCACGCGCGACGCCACCTGCTGCCGACCGACGGCAGCGGCGGCAACGAGGAGCGTCGGACGCCGCAGCCGAGCGAGGGCAAGAAGCGCGAGGTGCGCCTGCTCGACCTCAACGTGCAGTACTATCCGTGCAAGATCTGCGGCAGCAAGTTCCCCAGCTACTACTTTGTGCACAAGCACAGGAAGCTTCACCACCCCAACGTCGACGAGCCGGCGACGCAAGGCAGCGTCGGCGGCGAGCAGCACAAGCAGCAGCCGAGCACCAGCGAGAACGTCCAGCAGCAGCAACAGCAGCAGCAGGCCGCATGAACTTTTCGACCCTGGGCGCCCGGGGGTCTTTCTAAGTGATGCGCGATCGTTATAGTTTAGTCGAAACACTCTCATACATATCAAAGTGACGTTGAGTCGGCGATCCGCGTGAGGCATTATAATTTCTGTAGCGGCAAACTCATTCTCCTCATCGTGTGTAAAAAAAAACAAAAATCCGTTAGCCATGCACTGTAAATATCGTATCCCCACGATTGTCTGTTAATAAACGAATTACCATATATTGCGTTGTTATTTATTTTTGACGGACAGTGATCTATATTATTACGTTTTCCCGAATACATCCACTCGCTCGCGCGCATTTCCATTTTGATTGAAGTGACTTGGGAATCGATTTCGAAGCGCCGTCATTATTATCATGATTGTTATTATTTCAAATTCAATACGTTTGTCTCGCCGGAAAATCATTCGCGATTGTCGCACACGCGTTTTCATTGCGATTAATCAAACAATGGATAGCTTTTGTTAAATATGAAACGAGTGGCAATTACTGAGAAATAATTGCCGTCAAAGGTTTCGCTCGTTCGACCTCTCACTCCGACACTCCCTCTCTCTCTCTCTCTCTTTTACATGGTAGGCGCGAGTCGATGACCGTGTAATTTATCAATTGCACCCTGAAGCTCCACGCATTGACTGCGCGCAAGCCTTTTGAAATTGCGTCGGGCCAGCGATTTCGTAATTGTTTCGATGGGGCGGTATTTGCTTAGTCGCTGGGCTCCGCGAGCGCGCGTGATTGATTCATTCGTCGCATGCTGCATCGGCGATCCGTCAAATTTAATTTTTATTGGGTCACTCATGAATGTACACATATACATGTACACATTACGCATCTACCAATTAATTTATTGTTACTGCCGCTGCGTGCCACGACTTTTTGCACTCCAACAATCTTTTCAACTAATCAAATGACATTTCCACGAGTATTTAGACACAAATTTCGCCGAATAATATTCTATCCGGCTGTACTAAAAAAGGAGAGAGACGTCGGATACGCGATATTATAATTTACAATTGAAAATAAAACAAAGACTCACCCAGTGCGTCCATGGCTTGCGACTCCTCGTCACTGGTCTCCATGGGCGTCGAATGATTTTCCTTCTTCTTGTCTTTCGATCTGCTGGACGAGCCGGCGCCGGTGCCAGTGCTCTTTTTCTTATCTTTTTGTTGCTGCTGCGGCTGTTGCTCGTGCTGCAACGTGGTGGTGTTGTTGGTCGCTGTACTCGTATTAGACGACGAAGACAGTGTTCCTTTGCCGTCGGCCCTGCGAATCAAACGCGGCAACGTCATCGAGGATTCTACGGGCCGAATTCCGACGAGCACGCATATTCCCGCGAAGCCCTCTGCACGTCTCGCTCATCCGGCTATTCGAGTCGATGAAATCCGCGAACTCAACTCAATTAAGATGATGAACATCGGTCGGATGCCCAGCCAAACATTGTCCGCTAACCAATAACCATTGATTAGCATTGCAATTTGCTAATGACGAATATCTGGCCCTTCTCTCTCATCCTCTTGCTCTCGGTGGACCAGGGGAGGGCGAGGAGTCTAGTCCCCGGCGAGCGTTAAACTAATATATCCAGCGCGGAGTGAGGTCGACGGTATAAAATAAAATTTTGCATTTGGTCGTTAAAATTCACCCGTTAAGTGGATATGCGCGAGCTCGCGGCAGGGGGATAGACTAGAGCCGCTGATCCAATTCGACAGAGAACGAGGGGGAGGGCTTCGCTCTCTTCCTATTGTTTGCTCATAAAATCTCTTCCAGTTGTTGCCCGCACGCGCCAACGTCATCCAATCAGACTAAAGTTTCGAGAATTAATTGAAACGAGTGAACGATCCGATTGCAGTATCAACTTGCCTAATTTTAACCAATTACATAGTTTTTTCTTTATTGGAAATTAAAGAAAGAGGGGTACTCACTTGTCTCGGATGACCATAGTTTCCGAGCTGGACATTGACTCTTCCTTAATGTCTTTGGGGAGTATCGAGTCCTTGGGTTCCTGCTTGACTTCCTTGTTTTCTTTGTTGGCCTCGCGGGCCTCTTTAGCTTGTGCCGCTGCCGACGTGGAAGTCGTGGTGAGTACGCTCGTCGTACTTGCCGACGCGCTGCTACTCGGGACGGATGCTGCTGCTGCTGCTGCTGCTAGTGTGGAAGCCGTGGATACCGGTGCCGACGTTATCGTCGTTGTCGTCGTTGCCGTCGTCGTAGTCGAGACGGCCTCAGAGCTGTTCAGGGCAGCGCTATTGCTACTGTTACTCGTGGCCGTTGCGGCGGAAGTCGTTGCAGAGGAGGACACGGAGGTGGCGGTGGAGGAGGAAGAAGTCGATGCGGAACTCGTCGTGGTAGTCGAAGAGGAGGTGACTGCCGTCGCCGGCGTCGCGTTCGACGTCGACGCCGAGGCACTGCTGCTCTGCGAATACTCCTGCGTTTTCTGTTGCTGCTCACGCTGCAGCCTCGTCGTCACGCCCGGCGTTAATAAATCTATTGGGCCGCCGATCGTGGCGTTACTATGATTTACCTGTGGTAGAAGCAAATTCAAAATGAGTGCTTAGTCAGAAAGGCATACGATCGGGTATCGAAGAAGACTACGTACCTTAGTGTTAGGATTGTTTCGAGAACTACGAGTACGCCTCGACTTGCGCAGCAGCTGCTTATAATTCTCGGCTTTCTTGGTGAGGTAGTAGTGTTGCACGCAGTCCTGTGCGGATTTTTGCTCGAACGCCTGGGCGATCAAACCGAAGTTCTTGGGGTGCTGGAGATACTTCTCCTTGAACATTTCGTGCTCGGTGGCGCTCCACACGTTTATCAGCTTTCTTTCGCTGTGCAATGCCTCCAACTCGTCGGGCCGCAGTAGCCCATTGTTATTTTGAAATGCAATTTTCCGCTGCTTTTGTTCCAGCAGCAGCGGCGGGATCACAGCGTATGAACGCATTTTCTTCTCCTCCATCTGTAATGCATACCAGTGAACGCTCGTACATTCTTTCCACGTCAGCTTTCGAGCTGCTTTGTTCGACTGATTTATTTCTGTTTTTTTTTTCTCGCTCACTCTCGATATACATCTAAATAAACATTGTACAACAGTTTTCGACGCGTGTCAAACGAGCATGAAAGAGAAAAAGTGTCTACTGTCGCTTATTTGTTTATAATACTCTTTGTTTGTACGGACAACCAAAAGTCTATGACATTTGAACAACAACTAACTTTCGAGTGTTTTTGTACAATAAAGGTAGAGAAAAGCATGGTAACATTACTAACCTGACGGGCTTTTATAGCATTTTTTAACTCAGTCGACAACTCTTCCTGCGGAATAGCAATCAAAATAATCTTCCTGGAGGCATGTCTTTTCAAACTGATTTTCGCTTTTTTTCATTTTTTGTTTTTTTTTGCAAGCTTTCGACACTGAACACAGCGTCTATCGATCATTCTTTCTCAGGACTAACAAAAAGCCTACTAGGTTTCAAAATAGACAAAGAAAATAAAACATTAACAAGATTTAGCAATTTAAAGGACTTGTCTTCTCCATCCATTGGATCCGGCCATCACTTCTTGACCTGCACTCGGTTAGAACGGTTAGAGCTCGGGAAAATAAAGAGAAAACTCAATATCCCAAAACATTCCGCGAATACCGGCTAGTGAGCAGTTACCAGATACCGTTGCAGCAGGTACCGCACGTACCAACCAAGAAAATCAATATCCTGAACTATATACAAAGTCATGTGAATCGTTTTGAGAATTAAAAACAAACACAGTGGGACAATGAATATCAATGTGAAATTCATGATGCATGATTATGCAAGTGCATTATTAGAAAGAAATTTGCTGGTAATTGTAGTGTTAGGAAATAACAAAGTTCAATGATAGAATTATTTCAGTTCATTTTTTCAAGCTCGCAAAGAGTCGCGACAAGTGGCAGTGTAGGTTAATTGCATGAACAATTACAAAGCTTGTAAGCTCATTAATCACAGAATGACGAAAAAATGTTTGTGTGAGATTGAGAAAGTATTTTTCCGATCGAGGAAATGATGAATGGCTCTTGACTGTGCACCAGTGAAGATTACTTTGAGAACAACTGTTATGTGAGTTTGAGGATGAACATTATAATACAAGTGATCGTTCGACGAATCGAAACAATAATGAACGAAGAAGCGTTATGTCAAAGCGTTCGACAAATTGGTTACAAAGCACTCAACTATCAACACACTCTCAGCACGAGCATAGCACACTTTTCCATTGACTAACTCATATCACCTTTTCTCTTTCTCGACTCGAACTCATTCTCCATACGTGAAAAAAAAATTAATCCGCGCGACACGTAAAAAGCCACGAGTCTCACACAGATTGTAAAAAAAAACTTTAAAAAAGCCTAAAAACATAAACGTACCTCTTGCTCCTGCAAACCATCCATGATCTCTTCAAAGTCAGCTTCGCTTTTGACGCGACTGCCGACCCTGTTGAAGCGTTCCTTATCTTCGCGGTGCTTGCGCAACTCGGGGAAGATCTTTTCGAAGAATTCGCGGTTCTTGGCCTCCTTGGTTTTGCGTTTCTGCGTGGCTTCGAGCTTGTCGACCTTACGATGCCATTCCTGTACGAGTATCGCATATGTTTGCGACTGTTGGCGATGAAGAGTAGCCCGCTCCGAGTGTTCTTTACGTAACCTGGCCACAAGACGAGTCTTCATACATTGATGCCGCGTACGGTTCTCCTGGTACACCGTCGTGTCAGATGGCTGATTATACAGTGGCAATTTCACCTTCGGACCTAGCTTATCTAAAAGCTTGTGCGCCTCTTCCGCCTTTTTCTGAAAAATAAATAATAATGTTATTGATACTGCACACCTTCGATCTTCACTTAACTCGAACATGAGAATTACCCTGTTTTCAGCATAAATTTTCTGTACAAGGGTTTGATGCTTGGGTTGCGCAAAGACTTCGTCGATAGTCCGCTTGCAATCCAAGGGCTGATTGGTAACCTCCTCGAGCTCTCTAAGCTTTTTCTGGAGTTTGAAAATCTGCGACTCACGCTTGGCTATTTCCACGTCGATACTTGTGATTTGCTTCAGGATATCGTCTTTAGTAGTTTTGAATGCCTCTTCTTGCGGCTCTGGTAGAGTCGGCGAGATGGCTTCCGTTTGTGGCGTATACGCACCTGCTGGCGGCTGTAATTTACAAAATATTCTTTAGCTTATTGTTTATATTTGAGTGATGATCCGCCAATACTTCGATCTAAATTAAGAATTTGGGTTTGTGATTTATTGACAACGCGACGGTTTATTTTTGCGTTAGCGCCAATTGGCAGTTCTATTTAAGTACACAATAGCAGTGTACAATATGGATGTATTGTCTTAATGTATATTTGATGTAAGCATTCAATAATGAATTTCGTGATTGACAACAATAACTAGGTATTTAAAAATACAGTAGGATTTGGCGGTGCTCGATAAATATTGACACGATTCTTCTATCGAGCAAGATTATACCCAAGACGCATCCACCTACCCTTGTGTCTATCCTGAGCGGTTGCAGCTGCACGTGCTTCTGTTTGACGTGAGTGTCTTGCGTGCTAGCGATCCTGGGGCATTCGGGAGTCTGCTGCACCACCGTGGGCTGCTGCTGCGTACGCGGAGGCAGCTGCTGTGCGGGTTGACCCAGGCGAATTTTTTTGAAGGGCGGCGCTTCATGCTGCTGCTGTTGTTGTTGCTGCTGAATCTGAGCCATGTCGACAGGAGTCGGCCTGTACTCTTGGGGCTGCATCGCCAGAATGCCAGGAGCGCGACTTCGCGCCGCCGCGGCCGCGGCGGCGTGGGCCGCGTAGTCCGTGGGCGCGGTCGGCGATGCAGCCGGTGCTATCGAAGCTGGAGCTGGCAGCAGGGATATTCGCGGCCTCTCGCCGGCAACTCGCCCATACTCCACGTGCGAGGACGCCGGACTGCTGCTTACGCTTATCACAACTCGCTCGTTCACCTGTAATCGCAATCAACCAATTTAATTTTCTTCTCTTTTCCTCTTGTTCCATTCGTTTGCTCACTTGCTCGTTCGCTTAAAACTCAACTAGTTCAGCTTCGCCGAAAAATAGCAAGCTGCCGCTCGAATGATCGACGAGCACACTTACCTAACGCACATAAATTTGGCGCGTAAAACTTTTCGCGATATCGCTCGTTTTTCACTCTCGAATGTACAGAGGTTAAAACATTAACGTAAGCGCTCCAACGCACAGACCTAATTAAACGATGTATATTAAGCACGTTGGAAGTGCTTCTTTTTATTATGTTAAACAAAGGAAGCGACGACAAGAAAGATAGTGTCAAAGAGATTGCCGATAAAAAGTTGGTCTGCGAGGGCGAAGAGAAGAGCAAGCGGCCAAGACAATGCACTCACGTTAGGACTGACGTTGCGGTAAACCGTGTCCCTGGTGTAAGCCACGCTCGAAGCGGCGGCGGCGGCGGCGGCGGCGGCGGCAGCAGGAGACGGCTGCTGCTGCTGCCGACTGTTCGACTGCTGCTGTTGCTGCTGCTGTTGTTGCTGCTGCTGCTGTTGCTGCTGCTGCTGCTGCTGCTGCTGCTGCTGCTGCTGTTGCTGCTGCTGCTGCTGCTGCTGCTGCTGCGAGTTGGCGTTGGAGACGGGCGAGGCCGAATTTGGATTCGAGGAGGCGCCCAGCTGCGCCGCCGGCGACTGTGCCGCTTGGTGCGGATGCTGCGGTTGATGTAGGTAACGCGTGGCGTACGGATCGACAAAGCGCAGCGTGGGCGGCACCGGCACCACTGGCGGTGGCGGCGGCACCGTGATGTTCATGATGGTGATGTTGAGGCCGTTGGGATCGCCGGCCGCCTGCTGGAAGTCGAGCGATAAGTAAGGCTGGGAGCGAGAGCAGCGCAAGGCTTGGGACAGTACCGAGTGATCGCGGGAGGAGGGGAGCTGCGGCGCCGGGGACTGCTGAGCGGAGCCGGGTTGGAGTCCCGCCGGTGGCTGGCCAGGGCCGCCAGCCGGGCCACTGTTCATCGCCAACGGGGCCAACGGTGATAGGGAGGCGGCGGCTGCGGCGGCGGCTGCTGCTGCCTGGAACTGGGCCTGCAGGTGCGGGTAAAGCTGGGCGGAGTGGTGCTGCGGCTGCTGCGGCAGCGCGGAATGGTGGTGGTAGTAGGGGGACGGGTGGCGGGCCGGGGGCTGGTGGCCGGCGACGGGCTGCGGCTGGCGCGGCGGCGGCTGGAAGCTGCGCGCCGGCTGTTGCTGCTGCGCGGGCTGCGCACGGGGCTGGGGCTGCTGCGGCTGCTGGCCCGCCGCGCCGACCGGGGGCAGGCCCGCCTGGACGCTGCCAGCGCTGCCGCCGCCGACGCCGCCGCCGCCGGCCGACGACGAGCCAGTCGCCGCCGCGCCACTGGCGCCGCTGGCGCTGCCCTGCTGCTGCTGCTCGCCGTCCGACGAATGGCTCGCCGCCGCTGTCTCGCCGCCGGCGATGTGTCCGCTGCCGCCTCCGCCGCCACCGGCGCCGCCCTCGACCGTCCGCGGAGACAGCGCTTTGCGCGAGCTCGAACCGTAGCTCTGCTGGGGCCTGCAACAACAACACAACGTTCTTAGTAATCGCCGTCGAAGGCCAACGTTCTTTGCCTATTGTCGTACCGCGACGACCCGATAAACTTTCAGCTCCATTTCATCATTCGCGATATCCCGCCGCGCACTCAGCTGTCGCTCGATCGACTGCTGATGACGATGACGTTCGTTTTCTTTCTCCGAGAAACTGATATCGATATCGACTGCTCGCTGAGGGGTTGGGGGGGGGGGGGGGGGGTTACGATAACCGAACATTGAAATGGACCGAGCGCGATCGATATCCGCGTCGAGTGACCCCGACAAGTTCGACTCTCTCACCCTTTGTGCGAGCTGGTTATGTGCGTCTATTAAAGATTCCATTGCGGTGCCTGACGAGAAAACTCGTATCTTTGAAGAACTATTCTTATCTGTCGTAAAAAGTAGGCGCGTCAGAACGTGTCGATAGTTGGATAATATCGAAGACTATAAGTTAGTTGCCATAGTTAAATTTGCACTGTTTTAAATCTGCATAAAGAAAGGAAGGAGCACTCGAACGCTCAGAACGATGGTTGTTTATTATTCATCGAATCGCTCGACTCGAAAAGGCACTTATAAATACATTGTTACATAAAATAGTATTAAATGTAGTTCAACGTCGATCCTCTGCTTATGTCTGAATTAAGCTTGATCGATTGTAAAAGTGACACGACAAGGCGTTCCTGCACTTTGGCTGTGCCACGAATTGCGCGTTAAAAATTTTACTGTTCGAAATTGTTCATTTCTTTCGATTAGGAAACTTATGTATTCGTATCGATCGAGCAGAATAAAATAATTGCTTTATAAATACGCAAAAGAGAATTACTCAGTTGTTACCGATTGCTTAGTTGTTGTGATAAACGATAGCAACATATCGCGTCTAAAATGCCAATAGCTATTTGTAAAATTACCCACTAATATGTTCACGACGTAAGTAAATGTGTCAGCACGAAAGGCAGATTTTACAAATACTACCGCATTGTCTTTTTCATTTTTTACGTGTTTTCGAGTAAACACCAAGTACAAGAACGTCATTTAAAACGTCAGTTAACATGCAACGTTCATAACGGTTAACCGTGAACACCAAGTTACTTGAATTATTGAATTCAATCTGTTTATTACGTGTTATATTAGTAATAATTAGAGAAATAATTTTTTATTTGAAGTGAAAAATCCAATCCAAAAATCCGTAAATTTGGATCAGCTAGTAGTCATGTATACTATAACTTCAACGTAGACATAGCTACAGCTAACGAGAATATTTGGTTAAATGTGTGCCATCAATAATTATCGTTATGGATCGTTTAGATTATGTTGCATTAACTGAAAAAGCAAAGTGACGAGAGTTATTATAAAAATAGACAAGTCACTGCAAACCAGATCGAATTGTGAAAAAAGCTATCCTCTTCGAAATCAATAATGCGACTCGTCGCAAGCATAATCCAAAATAAAAGCACGTTGATAGCAGGGACCTATAGAGACCAAACGAAAATCGTCCTGGAGCAGACGTGCGCGCTAGCGGCGGTGAACTACATGTCTGAGCGTCTGAGCTCATGAACTCGGAATGACCATCGAGCAAAGGAAATGACTAGCATTGCCAGGTGCTCGTTCGTTTTGAAGATAGCATCTCGTCGATAGCAAGTAAATATGCTTATCTGGGAGTGCGAGAGAGACAGAGAGACAGAGAGACAGACAGACAGACAGACAGACAGACTGACAGACAGACAGACTGACTGACAGACAGACAGACAGACAGACAGACAGACAGACAGACAGACAGACAGAGAAAACGGAAAGACGCAAAGACGCTACGCTTAGTGACTTTCTGACGTTACGGTCGATGACCTGTTCTCTCACTGCAATACAGGTACTAGTTTGATAATTGATCACCGCTTAGAAACAGAAACAGAAACAAAGAGAGACCGATTGAGAGGGGGGATAAGGAGGAACAGAGAAAGCGAGAGAGAGAGAAGTGGGGCAAAGAATTCGCCTGCTGTTTACACCGGTAAACCTAAACATAACATTTTCATCCCACCCCGCATAACCGCGTTGTATTTTTGCGTTCATCCTGGTAACAGAGTGCCGTTGCCGAGTCAGCAGATGCATCAGCAGGACTGAGCGAGTGCGTTCTCCGTCGATCGCCTCTACAAGTCTTTTTCGTCATAAATGCACAAACACGTGCGCCAGCGATAGCATAACTCGCTCGAGCTAATGACTTCGAGAGAACACAAGCGCTACCTACTGCGATAATATGCGTACCCGCGTGTATGCCCCTATGTTAAATGAACGGCCAAAAAATTAAAAAAAAAAAGAAGGTGGAAAGAAAAGGCGCGAGCGATGCGATCGACATTGTTCTATTTTTAGACACACACACTCACACGAAGACGCGCGGACACACGCACTTCGCGATAGGTTAGTGTGTCTCGCAGATGTGTAATTGACGCGAGCCAGTAAGGAAAAGCTCTCACTCGCTCGATTATCACACGCGACAGACGAGGTTTTATCCCACGTCGTCGCCAGCGAAAATCAAGTCTCACGCTCTCTCGAAATTAACGTAATTTAATTTCATTTCGCGGCCGTAAACGGTGAGTTTTATTGCAGCGTGTGATACACGATTTTTCCGGTGTGCGAGTAGCAGCAGCAGCTACCGATCGTAAAAGCGAAAATTTTTCAATGCGCCCTCGTAACTTTTTACTACTGCTCCTAAGCTATTTCTGCCCGCGTCGATGCAACTGACTCTTCCATTCTTTCTCGCCTTCGCATCTGCCGATCTGCTTCTCGTTCGATCAAAAACAATTTCGGGCCGTTCGCAATAAAGATAACGATTCCAATTACGATAGAAATCAACACGAGACGAGGCCTTTATCAGAAAACATCGCGTTCGCGCGCGAATCTATCCATAATGAGTTTATGCCCAGTGGACAGAGAGAGAGAAAGAGAGAGAGAGAAAAAGAGAAAGAGAAAAAGAAAGAGAGAGAAAAAGAGAGAGAAAAAGAAAGAGAGAGAAGAGAGAGAGAGAGAGAGAGAGAGAGAGAGAGAGAGAGAGAGAGAGAGAGAGAGAGAGAGAGAAGAAAGCGAAAGAAAGAAGAGAGCGAAAAAGAAAGAGAAAACGGAAAACGAGCAGAAACTCACAAAGAAAATCAGAAATGATTGGGATGTATCGGGTAGCTAGGTTGAGTACAGACCCCGCCAGTTACGTAAAAGCCTTTACGCAAGCCGTCGGAACGAGCCACACTGACTTTGCACCCTTGCATCACAACCAAAGGGTGGTAAAAAGAGGGAGTAAGGGTACGCATGTACGTCGCGGCGTGTTGCACGCCCGCACTAGCGCCAAGTAAACAGCGAGGAGGAGCGCCCGACTAATTTCTCCCACTGGCACCAGTTTTCAAAGCAAAGGGGAAGATGCTCTCTCTCTCTCTTTCTCTCTCCGTCTGGTGGCTAGTTTTCCCGTGATAAGCTTGTCGATTCCCCCGATTTCGGAGTAAACGACGAGAACGCCACGTACGAGATCGCAAGGAAGAGAAAAAAACGAGGAAAATTGATGCGAGCATGCGGCGCCGCGTGGCACAAGGCGAAGACAGAACGAAGCAATGGCATCTTACTTGTCCATCGTCGGGACATAACCTCTTGCGCTACCTTCTTGCACTACTCTTCAACGAGGCGAATCTCCACTTCTCGGTACACATCAAGGCACTCGCAATTCTGCATCAACTAATTGGCACCGAATAACAAAAAGGCACTCTCTCGTGAATACAAGCACTCGCGACGGGGAACACGTTGACGTTTGAGGTTAGAATCGACAGGTAGCTGGTCGCCTCGGCTGCCTGCTCCCGCGAGCACAGCACGAGAAACCGGCGGATCATCGGGCGCATGCGCACTGTTACGAAAACGCGTGGCGCGTCAAGAGAGAGATGGCAATGGGTAGACTGTAGTAGGGGAATATATACGCTGCTTTTGGCTTTCTCGAACGCCTGACCTTTCGCGAGCGTAAGCGCGCTTGCAGACTATACACTATACGCCCGCTGTATACCGCTCTGAACGGCGGCTCTCGCTCGCTGGCTTCTTATTTCGCTAATTAAACTAGCCGAGGGACAGTTGCTGCCGCGTTTATTCCGGCGAATTAAAAGGTAATTTTGGATGCGCCCGAGCACGCCAACTTGAAATTGCGCTCGCGGCGTATAATTTAAGTTCGAGATCGAGTTAATTTCGGCGCCGCGCGACCTACATATCGGGCCCCCCCGTGCATATTAAAAAACTCTGTCAATCGATCGCGCGCATGCAACGGCGAACGTCGGCCAGAGGCGAACACGCGAGAAAAGTCGGAGAGGCAGGAAACGCGGACGTTCGCGAGGAGTATATTAAAATCTCGTTAGTACGCACACAGGATGCAGTCACGCGCTGAAAAATCCGGCCATTGCGCGCGTTTTGTTGCCACTCGCGGATAGATTTGCAGAGGTGCAATTACGATCTAGGCGTTCCTCGTCGCGAGGATCGACGGGAACCAGCGAGTTTGCCGCCTTGCTTCTTTCATACGCCTCTCGACATGCTCCAACGTTAAAAAAACTAATGGGATATTCCAAGAGCGCGGTGCTCACGGGTAATTCGAACGAACCACGGGGATCGACGTGGCAGGCGACGTGGAAAAAATTAATCATTCATCTGGCTCCGTCGCGAAGCGGCCTCGGTGTTCCGAGAAAAGCGCTTCTGATTCGAGTGATTCGCGAACGACGCATCCGAGTGACGAGTCGAAAACTAAAGTCTATATTTAGCTACGGCATCGGAAACACAACAGAGGCGTCGCGCGCGAGTTAGGATAATGAACTATCTATTGACCGCCGCGGTGACAGACCAATTCACGCGGCTTATCAGCGCAGGCCTTTGGAAACTCGGCTGCGCCTGACTCACGGCTCGTGCGCGACGCTCGAGATCCGAAAAGGCCACGCGCGCGCCGTACTGCGGTACACATTTTGGCATTTGTCTCACGGACGTGGGGTTCACAAACCCAGTCGTCGTACAGTCGGCCAATTTCCGCTTCTAAGCACGTAGCGCGCGCGCGCGGGACTCGTTCGATTTTTCCCGGCACGTGTCGGCTTGCATTTTCAAGCGAAATTTTTTAATGGGACGCGCATTGATTTTTCTTCTTCCCCCACCTCCTTCCTCTCCCGCTTCTCTGCCGTGAATAATAAACATCGATTCAACCGTCCGCACCTCGGGTCGTTCTCATTGATTTGAAAATAGCGTTGACACTTTGGCGCTCGACATAAATACGAGAGAGAGAGGGGGGGGGGGGGGGGGGGAGGGGGCAACTCATACACGTCGTCAGCGAGAGAGAAAGAGAGAGACGGATTCTCCCGCGCTATTCCTGCCACTGTTTATAAATAAATAAAGAATCCACACGGCCGACAGGCGGCAGAAGCCGGCGGCGGCGGCGGCGGCGGCGAAACCGTAAACCCGTGCCAGAAATATTATTGCGGCAGTTCAGCGTCCGGCTAACTCGGACTTGGCTTGGCAGCCATCTCGCTAGCGTGAAAAGCTTCGTCTTTCTGTTTTTTTTTCACACCAGTCATCTTGGGATACCTCTCCCTTACTCTCTGTCTCTCTATCTCGGAAGTGCCACAGACGTAGCTACTTCATTTCCAATTTTAAGCGTGTAGACGACGATCAGACGCCAGACTTTTGTAGTGCTGAGCTGCGCGATGCGCCACCGCGAATTACGTATTCTTTTCAACTGGCTCTTTTCCATGACGGCATTATGCATTCGCCACGTTCCATTCGCAGCGAGAGCAGCCTTTTGGCATTTTCAATCGTAAAAGTTGCCTTTCATTCGATCGGCGAAGCAGTGGTCGACCGATGACAACGACGACGAGCGTTAAAACTCGAGCTACAATCGCCCATTGACGCAAGCTTCTCGTACGCAGATTATGTGGGGCAACGTCTCTGTCGAGCAAGAGAAAGCAGCAAGTGTAAGTCTAGAAGCACCCCCATCGGCGGCGAACGAGGCTGCGACGGGGAGAGCACCAAAAAACCTCTGAGTTTTCAAGGACTTGCCCCCTTACATTACAGCTAGCCCCTTGAATTATCGACTCGACCAGCGGCGAGAGGGAGAGGGAGGGAGAGGGGGTGATGACGCGTGCATACGGCGGCTGCTCTCTCCGATTCTGGCCAGAGAGTGCCGAATGCGTAGTCCATGACCCTGACCGAGCTCCCGCTCTCTCTCTCTCTCTCTCTCTCTCGCTCTCTCTCTCTCTCTCTCTCTCTCTCGCTCTCTCGCTCTCTCTCTCTGTCAGGCTTAAAACGCGCGTTTTTCTTTTCCACGCTTCGAGAGGAATAATCATACGCTCCCCTGCCGCGGCCGGTTAATTACCGCGCGACGCGACGATCGATAACGCGCGACCGCGCTGCATTGTTCGTCCGCGCAGTGGGAACATCCTGCGCCACCTTAGACTAATTCAAGCGGACAATGGCGAAGAGTGCATAAGCCAGCTTCCGTTCCCTCATTACCACCAGTTTGTACGGCTCGCTGTACTTCTTTCTCGCTTCTGCCCTCGTTTTTTTTTCCAGCCTCTTACGCAACTTATTCCGCTTACTATCGGGTCCGAATGTGCCTCCGAGCTCGCGTTCCTGCGTGCACTCGCGCATGGACGACTTGCCTTCGACGCGTAAAAGTCCCGAGAACATTTTTAGCAACGTCGCGCTGCTCGTCATATTGCACCGTTCAGTTTCGAAGCGACGCGTTTCATTGCTTTCCACGCAGAAACAGATTTTTTTTCAAAGCCGCACTTTTCCTCATTTCGAAAAGTTTTTTTTTATCCAATCATTACATATAGAAGAGCGATTCGAGCATTTAAATACTAGAATTTTCAAAATTGTCAAAGCCTCGGTGAAATTGTTGCGCAATCATCAAAAGCACAGCATTTTCTAATGTTTTAAAATATTAACGAGGCTGTCTATTCATTTAAAATATTCAGAGCTGTGTACAGCAAGTTTTCTTATTTGTTATGACATGCACGCCCAAGATGTGCTAGGTTCTATGCCACTAGTTCTATGGCAAACTTGAATAAAAAAAATTAATATAGCTATCAATAAGACACGAATTACAATTACATCTTTATTCTTTCAATGTAAAAATATGCTTCGGTTTATCATTAAAGAGACATTAATATTAAGGGTTCAAATACTCAAGGCTAATTACTGCATGAATGAAAATGTTGAAATAGTTTAACGATTTTTTAAAATTTTTTCGAGCATTGCCCCGAAGTTTCAAATTGGTGCCTAATGAAGAAATGACGTCAGTGACTTTTTGAAAATCCTCGATATCCCCAGCAACAACCGCAACGTTATTCAAAATGAGCATGCGCCTCTAGCGAACTCCGGCGCATTCAACACAAACACAACTAACGCGTGAGCTACTGCACGATTGGCAATTTTTTTTCGTTTCGAAGCCTTCCTCCGCCCCCCCCCCGCCCCGCTGCCGACATTAATAAAATAGAGAGCGAGAGTCGCGCTCCGTGAAAAAATGCGAACGTGAGAGCTTCGTTTCAAATGCGTTTCGGCTGTCGAGGCATTATTTTTTGTCGTTACGTCGTGTGCGGATTAGTTTCCTGTAGCGTGGAAAAGAGAGAGAGAGGGGGGGGGGAGTAAACATGCTGTTGAGCGGAAGTAGACGCGGAGGGAAACTAGATCATCGCCAGGGATGCTATTCTCCTAAGTAGACTATAAGTCATGGTGTGATTTTTAAACCTCCGAGGACGAATCGCGCTCGGATATCGGTTTGTCATTTTTGGACGCACAGTTAGCGACGCGTGGTCCGATAATCGCCACGGTCTCTTCGGACACGCTCGCGCACGCTGCAATCGAAGCTAACCCGGCCACATATACACGAGCAATAACGCAGACTCGGGGATGCGCTGTGGGTTCTCTGCATTCCCGCGGATCAGCCCCGAAATGGCTCTCACTCGGAGAGAAAAAAAATCGCTCGAACGAGCTCTTGGTCGAGTGCGTCTGTAGCAGCACGGAAGGGGGGGCGGGGGAAGGGGAGGGGGCGGCGGCGGTGTGTCCCTGAATGGAAACTAGGTCTGACAAGGGTGTGCGCAATCGGCTGCGCGAGCGGGCGCGTGTTCGGCTCTGTCCCGGGGAAATCCTGGCCTGGCCGCAGCTGCCCGGGCAGCGGTGTGGCGTCGCGCGGAATCGTCGTGTCCCTGCGTGAAAACTCACGTAATGACGTCAGCTGGGCAGCCGTGAAGCAGTCTCGGCTGCAGGGCTGGCACAACTGCGGCTCTCTGCAGCAGCCTGTCACGTGCTCCTCCTCGCGGCTGCTCTCGCTCGTAGACTAACGACGCCACCCGGCAGGCCACTACGTGTCATGTGTCGCGGTCGTACTCGTCGCCAACAACTCGCCTCGATAAGGCATATCGTCGTACTCGTCGTCGTCGCCGCTTCTGCTCCTACCGCTACTGACTCTCGAAGCACTAAACCCACTTTTTATTTACTTTTTTTTTCTTTTTGCACTTCACGACGTACCTCTCGTTTATTTCTTTTCCTTCTTTTCCTCCTCTTTCTTTCTTCTTTTTATTTATACACTAACACTGCACCTGCTACTGCACTCATCACTGTCCGTCCGCTCGTCGCTGGCCGAGCCTGTGAAGAGAGAGAGAGAGAGAGAGAGAGAGAGAGAGAGAGAGAGAGAGAGAAAGAGAGAGAGAAAGAGAGAGAGAAAGAGAGAGAGAGAGAGAGAGAGAGAGAGGAGAGAGAGGAAAAAAAAGAAGCGTTAGGCGATTATCGTGATTATCACCGCCTGCGAGCCACGTCATGCGGCTCTTCGACTATTCGCTCGAGTTTCTTTTTTCATTGGCAGATACGTAAGGGGGCAAGCTTAACGATGAATCAGAAATAGTGCGCGATTGATATTCCCGAGCAGATAGACAAGGCCGTGAGCGCCGTTATTTATCGCGCGCGTATTCCTGAACTTGAGACATACTCGAGAAGAAAGTCGAGCGGCTTAGACGGGCTTTGAATTTTTTGTCACCTGGTCAACGAGGCTCCCCCGGCCTCATCCAGCCGAGCACGAGGACCACGGCGTCATCGCCCGTTCTGACCGTCGGCGTCGCTGCTGCCACTGCTCGCTTCGTTCTCTCGGCGCTGGCGACGTCGTTTCTCACTGCGCTCGCCCGACGCTCCGCATCGTCCTGCGCCTGACCATCTGTACCGAGCAGCGAGGATCAGCTTGGCGTCCGCCTCTCTTCTCTATCTGAAATCCAAATACGGGGAAGCCCGGTTAGCTCGCTCGTGCTGGACAGTGCGCTGGACAGCGCGTCTGGCTTAGGCGAGCCCATCGCCGCATTCGACACCCGAACCTGCCTATTATTTCGCGTCGAAACGGGTAGCGCTCGCGCTTATCTCGCTAATGAACGCGTTGGACGTTCATTCCGAGTACTTTTTCTGTATGAACAATGGATCGGCGCGATAAGATAACGCCACTCGATGCGTACGCGGGCGGAGGAGAGGCAGAGAAGAAGAAGCGAATGGCGAAAGCGAAAACAGTCGTCGAAGGACAGCGCAGCCTGGAAGCTGAATAAATAGTCCGAGAAAAGTCGTCAATTGAAGAGGCACACAAAGCGCCCGAATGGCAAATTGGCGAATAGCACCTCGACAAAGTTATTTCCGAAGGAAGGGGAGGGGGAAGAGGAAGGGGAAGGCGCCAGGGCGAAACCACACAAACATCAATTTCCCGAAGCCCCGGCGAGCGTCACTGGGCGATCGACAATTTTCCAACGGGCAACATTTCAAGGTTTCGTCGCGCGAGCAGCGAGCAACGCCCATACGCAGCGTCAGCTGGACGTCGTCTTGCTCGCTCGAGGCTTAACGCGGCGGGGGCAGGGTGAGGGGGAAGGGGGCGCTAGTCGGGTAAACGCGCGTCGAAACGACGGGGCGGCCACTCTTCTGCCTTCGTCGTTGTCCTCGCGCGCGCGAAACGAGCAAGACGCCGGGGCATCGGGGACAAGTCGCAACGGAGTCGCCGCGCGGCGTTTATGCTAATGAGAATGCATCGGGCTGGCCTGACGTAACTGCGCGCAGAGAGAAATCGAGAGGCCCCCGCGCGAACGGCGTCACGATCGTTCGCAGCGAAGGTCCTTCAATGCCGCCTTTCAATGCCTCCTTCCCCCACCAGCTGCTCCTCCTCCTCCAGCTCCCCCTGGTGCTCCTCCTCCTTCTTCTCCCGAGAGCAAGTGTGCAGCTGAAAAATCGCTTTCCCACCGGCGTCGCCGCCGCTTATCTCCGCCGCGTCGTTACGACTGGTTCGCGTCGCGAAATAGATCATTTTTATTGTTCGGTCGAGCGCCACGGTGACTCACATGCTCACTCCGGGGGCAATTGTGCAATCGCGATACGCTTCTTCAATCTTCAATTGATGCACCGCCGTCGGCAATTAAGACGCCCGATTGTTTTCTCTTTTGGCCGCGCACCGATTAACGCACACGCCGCGGCGCGTCCGCGCGATCGATCTCGTTTTCCAGTTCCGTTCAACTTTCACTTGCGTCGCGCTCGTCGCGCCTTACTTCGACTCGCGAACGACGGACTGCAAGCCGTCGATAACCGCGACCTCTCGCAAGGCGCGACAGCCTCTCCGCCCGCGCCACAGAGGGACGGGGACGGCTACTCTGCACGCGGAAGTCGCACGACGGATTTTCAGCGATGTTGCGAGGTGCCTCGTCTCCAAGCTCGCGTACACGCGCGCGAACGCCAGCGAGCGAGCGAGCAAGCAAGCAAGCAAGCAAGCAAGCCAGTCAACAACTTTTCTAATTATATAATTATTGATTCGATGCCGACGCTTATCGCCAAACTCGCGCTCCAACTCGAGAAAGAGAGCCGCTGCCGTCGCGAGCGACAGAGCGATAATTTCGATATGATTTAAGCTGTTCGCAAACAGCGGAGGACAGACGCAACTTGCCGAGGACGCGCTCGTATCTCGACGAGCTTCCACTACGTTGCATTTCGCCTCTTGGTCGGGTTTCTCTCCGGAATTGCGAGGAAAACGTCGATCTTGCGTCAGGGACTTGGCCAGCTCGCCGAGCGACATTTTCAACCGATGATTTTCGATGAATTTGCGCTCGACGTGCAGCCAGCATTGTGCGGCTGCTGCCTATTCCCGACTCGTCCTTTCGGCAAAGATACGATTCGCGACAGGCGCAGAGACCGCGAGACAGCGCGAATGGGTGGGTCGCGCTCGCGTCGCTCTCGCGTCGCTGGCGACTAAGTCCCGCGCGTAGCGACGCTTAAATTGAGAAAAATCGCCAGCTACCCTTCCGCTTGGAATTTTTGCGTGAAAAGTAGATTTAATTGACCAACTCATCGTCTAATTTTCGAATCCAGGGATGTTTAGCTGAAAAGAGCATTATTGAGCAAGTTCTATTTTTACAACGATTCATCAGCTTTCTCTTAATATGAAGCCAAGCACTCGTCCGAAACCGATTAAACCTACTATAATTAAGTTTGTAAATGCCTGCAATTTAGAAGTAACTGGGAAAACCGTCGGATTTATTGAACTAATGCATCACTAATGAGCCACTACTAAGTCCTAACTACACTCACTCTTCCAGCACTTACGGGGGCCCCGACCCCGACAAGCCTTCGATTTTCGTGGTTTTTCTAGTGCAAAGCTCGCAGCACTTGGGAATACAACGTTGACGAGGCAGAGCCAGGCGAGCGAGCGAGAAAGAAGCAGCAGCAGCAGCAGCAGCAGCAGCAGCAGCAGCGGCAGCACGAAATGGCGGCCACTGTAGAGCCCCGATACTCCTCGGGCTCTCTGCTCGCTGCCTGCGAGAGTCCGATTAGCGAGGCTCTCTTTCTCCCTCACTCGCTCTCTCTTGTCTCTCACTCGGCCTATCTCACTCGCTCGCTCTCCTGTACTTTTTCGCACGTAAGGGCACGAGCCCACCGAAATTAGACATGCACTTTTTACTCGGTTTTCCGGCAATTTCGCCGTTAATCACACGCACGATACAAATACATACACTCGTGCTCTGCAGCAGCAGTCGTACATACACGCACGCACACGCACGCACACGCACGGACACGCAGCCGACCGAGCGTTATCTTTATTTATAGTGCGTTCTCTTCTACAAGCGAGCGCCGATAAATCACGCGGACTGATGCAAGGCTGCTTGCCTGCGCTTTCCTCTCGCTTTTTTTTTTTCGTTCCCTCGTCTTTTTGTGTTTTGCCAGCGACACCGAACGACATTCGCGGCGGCGCGTCGTTTGTCCGAAAACTTGGTTAATTGGCGTCTGTGCGTTCCGCGGCACCAACGAGATAGATAGATAGAGAGGGAGAGAGAGTGCGAGACCGAGAGATGTGCGATTCGAACGCGAGAAATAAAAAAAACCGAACGAACATTCGATTCTGCGTCGTTGGCACGGACACATACACACACGTCGAATACACGTACACGCACACGCACACACGCACACGCCCGGACGGTAATCGAATTTGCGAAATTGCGATTTTTTACGATATCGCCTGGTGTGTGAAATACGACAGCACTGTGACGCTCAGCACTTTTCTTTTTATTCGGGAATACGAAGCACTGTTCACAGGCCGTGCAGGCAGCCGAGCGAGCTGCACGCTAGCGATTGCGGCAGCGGCGGCGTCCCGAAAAACGGCTTATTTTAAAAAATTCATTTCGGACACTTACACTCGGAATTTCCGCGTGAAAAATAGATTTAATTGACCGGCTCGTACTCTAATTTCACGATTAACGAGTTCCGAGTCGAAAAAGTCATTGGCCGCGATTTTCCATTCTCCCACGTCATCGATCCACAATTTCTTTAAAACTCGTTCTATCTTGCGCCAGCTTCGTATAGCACTTGTCGATCACTCGCAAAACACTGAGTCGTGGCGAAAAGCCGGAAAAACTCACTGTAACGGGCTTTCCTAGCGAACACCACACTGAGCTCCACAATAGGCAGGGCACACAATAGCAGGCAGTCTGGCTAGAGCACGAGAGCACCCACGGCTCGGAAAACTCGAATCCAGGGCACTTTGACACTGCGATAGAAGCTTCGAAAGCCGCGACGAGTTTCCTCGGGGAGGAGGCGAGCACAGCACAGAGCAAAAACAGCAGCGGCTGCGAGAGAACATAGCACAGCACAGCCTGGCCAAGTCCACAGGGGGGGCCGAGAGCTCGCCAGTCGAGCAAGCGACGCGTCGGCCTGACACAACAGCACACAGGTCCAAAGACACCAAAGCCCGCTGCTCGTAACGAAAAGTTTACCTAGTTTTTCACGCGATTTTTCGCAGGAACACACACAGAAAGTGGCTGGCGCGTGTGATGGTGGAGAGGAGAGCCGTACGCGGCGGTGGCGGCGCCTCGCACGAGTCACTCGCGATTCTCTCTCTCTTTCTCTCTCTTTCTCTCTCTCCCCGCCGCTCTCGCGCACTCACACCAGCAAACAGCCAGGCGCACACCGACGACGCGCGCGCACTCGTTACACTGCTCCGCCGCCGCTCCACTGCTGCTGCTGCTGCTGCTGCTGCTGCTGCTGCTGCTGCTGCTGCTGCTGCTATTGCTACTGCTGCTGCTTCTACTGCTGTTGCTGCTGCTGCTGCTGCTGCTGTTGCTGCTGCTGCTGCTGCTGCTGCTGCTGCTGTACCATGCTGCTGTTATTGCTATATTGCTATACACTGCTTGATTTTTTTCGGAGTTTGCCCGAATCGAATTCTGCGAAACACACATCAAACTTTTTTCTCCGGTGAGAGTCTTAGTCTGGATAATTACACGCACGTGCGATTGGAGCTCGCGAGGGAATGATTCGGCTGGTAAAAACACGTACGTACATAGGTACGCTAGAACAGAACACTTGGAAAACGCGCTCGACGATTAAGTAACGTTGGTCGTTGATAATCGAGGATCGATACTGCCTGGGCTTTAAACCAGCTGCAGTGGCGGTGGCATCCGTGGCAGGTAGTTCGCTACGCGCGCTCTGCTCTATACGGAATTGCAGGAAGACGAGAGAAAGAGAAAGAGAGAGAGAGAGAGAGAGGGAGAGAGAGAGAGAGAGAGCGTGCGAGCGAGCTAGCAGTGTATACAGGGACGAAGAAGCGGAAGTAAAAAATATATCGTTTCCTGGAACTAGGCAACCGCAGACAGCCTGAATACATGTGCATTAATTCCGCTGCTCTCCTACGCTACTCTGCAGCTCGCCGAGTGTTTAATGCCCTTGTGCCACTCGTAAACCTATACGACTGCGCCCCCGTGCGCATTCATCCCTCGGCTCTTCCTGCCCCTACCTCGTAGGTTTATTTTTTGTTTTTGTTTTTTTTTTGTTTTAATTGCACCCTGCACCGATCGTAAAAATGTAGGCTAAGGGCTAACGCAACACGAGGCCTTCGTTGATTCACGACAACGCGTTACGGTAGCGCGAGCACGCAGTTCCTCGACGTTGTCTCCAATCATCGTGTTCATGTAGAGCGTGTTCCATCCGAGCAGCATTCGAAAATGCAGTCACAACATTCGTTTGTTTGTAAACAGAAGAAAGTACATTCGTGATTACAAAAGTCCTCGCGTCACTTTCAATCGGGTATTCGGCGCTAACCTTTTTAGCGATCTAGAGACCGAGGGAATAATGTTCGCTATGTGTTTGGGCTCTGTCGTCTCATGTTATATTAAATTTCGCGTTGAAAGAATAATGCGCGATAAACGCCGCGTGCGCGCGCGTTGCGCTGAGTCATGTTTTCAAATTAAAATTTATCTCAGAGTGGCGCGAGCAATTTTACACTTACGAACGTCGTTCGATGTATGTGAATTTACTCTTATAGTTCGATCATCGTCTCGACGAAAAATCGCCCACGAATAGTAACAAAAAAGAATAAAAAAGAAAAAAAGAAAAGCTCGCAACAATCGTTATTTAAGAAAATCGAATATTATCGATTATTGTGACGGGCAGGCACGAAGTGCTGCAGTTAAGAATGAGAGGTACGCGCACGTACATCTATTCCGGTTGCAGGATATGGTTTGTTATTCACCGTACAGGGAATGGACAAAAATAAGCGATTCTTGTGTATTTTGAGCAGTTGAAGCTTGTACTGGTTACAATTGCGAAATCATTATTCACTTTGTTTCAAGAGCAAATGTTTAAATAAATAGAGAAAGGTTTTGTTTTTTGCATGGCAAAAATTATTTTTTAGATAATATGGCTAGTTTTAAGACGAAAAAGTCCTTGATAGATTTAATCTAAAATGAACGTTCCAAAATTTATTAACGTTGGAAAATCGAAAAATTGTCTTTTTTTACTAACTTTGCATATTAACAAGTTTCAACTATTAATTTTTTAAAAATGAGAAAGCTTTCTTAATTCTCAAAGTTTACTCTAATGACTACTTTCGTGGAACGTTCAATTTTCCAATAAGAAACCCTCTTTTTGCGATTAACAAGTAGGGCTTTTCTGCTTGACCACCGCTGTGGGTGAGAAACGGCGAATTGTCGATCTTTCAGTGTTATCAACTTTTGAACCGTGTATTTCAAGTGAACTTATAATAACTTTGTCGTCTTAATCTCAGCATAATACCTAAAAGAACTTGTCCATAAAAAACATAATTTTTTCTCAAGTTGTTTAAAGAATTGCGTTTGAAACACGACGAAACCGAAAACGACGCTTGTTTTCAAAGTAGTAACTGATACTAATCGATTCAGCAGCTGAAAATACATCTCGCTTTGGTGCATACGAAACCATAGCCTGTCTCGGACTAGTTTGCCGAGCAACGGGCGTGAATGCGCCTTAGCAACTGTTTAGCTGGAGAGCGAAAGGGCGAATGAGGCACGGGGCGGACGGGCAACCCTTTGCTGCCGCGGCCAAAGAGCGCATATATAGGCTAGAGGGCGAGGTGGTGATGGTGGTGATGGTGGTGATGGTGGTAATGGCAGCAGCAGCAGCAGCAGCAGCAGCAGCAGCAGCAGCAGCAGCGGCAGCAGCAGCAGCAGCAGCGGCGGCGGCGGCGGCGGCGGCGGCGGCGATGACGGTAGCAGAAGAGAAGGGAGAATTTCGATCGAGGAAGAAATTTGCGAAACAGGCGAGCGTGCGGAGCACGGAGGAGAGGCCGCGCGCGCGCTGCGAGCGGTCAACGGAAAGGGAAAGTGCAGCGGCGATTTCCGGCAGCGCGGTCCTTTTCGCTCTTTCGCTTTTGGACGCCGACCTGTCCTACCGCGGGTCGCCAGTTCGCCGAGCCTTGGGACGCGCGTGCGGAGCCGTACACTCGACGGCATCGAAAAGATGGACGCCGCGGCGTGGCCGGCGGCCAACTCTCCGTGTACGCTGCTGCACGTCTATATATGGACGATCGCTCGATGCCACGAGTAACAAGCTTCGCCGAGTGTACACGCACACACACACATACACACACACACACCCTTCGTCCAAGTTGCACGATGTTTGAGAGAGCCACGCCCGACGACGACGACGACGAAGACGACGGCGACGGCGGCGACGGCGACGTCCGCGGCCACGCGAACGGAAGGAGAATCGAAGGTGCGCCAGTCGCGAGTAGAGATAAGACGACGCGCGACACACCAAGATCAGATTTTGCCCTACGAGGCGTTGCTTTGAACTTGGTCAAATTCCAGCGTCGATTCGGCCGCTCGAGCAGAAAGCAGGAGCAGGCGCCGTGCTGGCCGCTGCCACGTTTGCCCTGCGCCCAAGTCGCATCTGATACTTATCCCGGTATATGCGTAACGGCATCCTCGGCTGCGCGTACGCATAAACAGAGGACGAGAGAGGAGCGCGTACTCTCCTCGGCGGCGTGGCGTCTTGCGAAAATCGTTGCTGTCCGCGCGAGACAAATTGGCTTGCCGCCGCTCGCTCGCTTGTTCATTCATTATCTCGCAGCGGCTCGGGCTTTCCTCCCGTGGCCATTGTGCCCCACCGAATTCGCGAGAGCCGTTTTCTAACGAGGCTTTTCACCTCTGGCATCGATCCCTCCCGGTCCCTCCCTCGATTAATCGAGCCAGATACAGTCGCGACTCGCGATAATTGCTTCATTGTACGCGAAAACCCGAGGAAGGCACACAGAAAGAGAGCGCGATCTATTTTTGGGCCGCGAATCCGCGCGCGGCTACTGCGCTGCAGAATTCGCGGCGGCAAGATAACGATGATTAATTCTTCGTGGGCTCGCGCGCTGCCGATCGATACGCATGATGCGTGCACGCCGTGAGAGCTTGACGGCGCGATCGAAAGTGTACCGAAAAGTTATCGCGCCGGGGAATCCGCGCGATGCAACTGTGCCATTGGATTGCCCGAGTCCGAACGACAGAACGCCAAGCGACCAGACAAAAACGGCCGCCGTATCTACTACCTGCCTATCTGTCGCCGCGTCGGGCGGCTCTTCATTTCGGCTTTTCCGCCGATATCGAGAGTATAATGCTCTTTCTCTCCGAGGCAGATAAGCCGAAGCACCATAAAGCGAGCGTAGAGCATTACATAACGGCCACGTTTTCCAATTGCCAATTCTGCCGGATGCCGAGAGCGAGCAGGGCGCACGAGATAAAATTTTGGGCTGAGCGTGCCAGCAGGACCTTGAAAATCGACGACGCCGAGTAACGGTTTACTCGTGATCGTTACGTCGCAAACATTTTTAGCAGTCGTCCGAAGCTGCTGCTGGAATTAACGGTAAACCATCGAGAGATAGGACAAGATGACCTAGCGCACAACGTACATGTGCGTGCGTGGGTGTCCTCGCTTATGCATCGAGTACTCACTGGCGCGACACTTCATTTTTTGTTTTCTCATTCGATTCGAACGCTCTCGCGCACAGATACGCACTCACTCACTCACACGCACACGCACATACGGGCACGGACGCGCGAGTCGGTGGGTCGCCAACTCCGGCACACCTTTTTCCTCGTCGTCGTCGACTCGTTTCTTTGTATATTTTTTTTTCGACGGTTTCGTTTTTTGCTCGACAGCGCGTCGTCGCTCTCCGTTCCAGGAAAGCACTGTGCTGTTTTGCCGTTGCACTCACTTCTCTCCGTGCCTCGTACAGCCGCTGCAGTTGTGCAAGATCGCCTGGTCTCTTGCCTCCTTTGGACTATTTACAAATATACACGAAGAGAGGAGGCGGCTGCTCCTTCTCTTTCACTCTACCTGGTTCTCTGCGTGACTCCGTCTCTCCCTCTCTCTCTCTCACTCACTGTATACGCGCTGTTTGGTTTAGGCGGCTCATACACGTACGCACACACGCGAGCCGCGCAGCACAGGTGCACACAGGCTGCACAGCCAGACGGGACTGCTCTCCGTCGCGCACGCACACACAGACAGACGGACGGGCCGTGCGCGCGCCGGCGTGGGACGGACACGAGGGACGGGAGGGGAGACTTGCCTGCGAGGGAGTTGGCCCCTCTGAGTGTACAGAGCCATCG